TATTGACCCCACGAAGCGGGAATCCTATTCCTAGTTTATCAAATAAAAACCTCCGAAAAACCACGAAGAAACCCCAAAGCATGTTTCACGGTGTCAAAGGCTTAGCATTCAATATATCAGGTCTTCTTGTGCACTAATAACTCTGAGATATTTTGTTTAATGTTATCTATTGCAAGTTGCAAGAAAAGAATTCCCAAAGAGGCTTAACGGAAGTTCCAAAAAAAAAAAGGAGGCTTACTGGTCAACAATTGTTTTGGATGACTTTGTGAAAAACATTGCGGTAGAAAAAAAGGGTCTAAAATCACTAATTGAGTAGCCATAGCCCATAGGGTATTAGGGATCACAGCTAGTTTGTTGACTTGTGGATCGGAAATCCCTAAATCTTTCAGATCCGAGGATCGGGCTACATATGAACTTTAGTGGTAAGGTCGCCTTGGAGTTGGAAGAGTCTTCCACACAGGAGTTGCAGCAGCCCTCAAGAATTATTTTTTAACTCATTTATGATATTTGAGCATTTGAGGTTTATGTTTGTTTATCCTAGGGTTTTCTCTTTTATCTATATTCTTTGTTACCGTTTTCTTGTGGTTGATGATAGATAACATATCAGCAATAACAAAAAAAATGTCACACATTAGCTACAAATTAATGTGGCCTTTGACAAATTATGTTACAAAATTTTTGATCTTAGAAATTTATTATAAACCATTCACACACACTATATATATATTGCCACGAAGAAAAAAACGAAATAAAATTCCATAACTATATTGCACAATATTCTAGTGTTTTTGTTTTGTTCTCTTTACTTCAAAAGAAACAGTACTGGATATAAATATTAAGCTTGTATTAATTTAAACACAAAATTATTTCATCGGTTATCTTGTTTAATAGGCACTATTACTCTTGCAACTACTACAATAATTCTTTATGCGTTGTTATGAGTTCACAATATATAATTTATACTATTCTATAGGTTTAAAGTTCACAAGATTGGAAATACAAGATCCGTCAAAACTCAAGATTATGAATGAAGAAAGGGACACCCAATTTATGCGCGTACGGACCAGCATGGTCGCGAATCTTTTTGTTCTATTTGTAATCCACATATGTGTTTTTTTATAACTTGTAAGTTACAGAATTTTTTTTCCTGGGTTAATTTTTTTATAAGTTGTGATTATTTTATAGTGTTATTGACGTACAAGTGACGAGAGCAGTTAAACATAATATAGATTCCTAAATACAAAAGTATTACATTATATGAATATATTAATGGGAAAAGACAAAGCCGTTTGTCAAAACTTCAACATCGTTGTAAGATAATAATGGCGAAGAAGAAATCATTTGCCAGATTCAACATCGTTGCAAGATATAATTTATATTTTAATTATATAAAAATGATGGAGTTTTCATACACAATTTTTATTTTATTTTATTTTACAAAACTAACATATAGTCATTTACTATATTTTAACATATCTATTGTCAACGACAGCAATTTGGGTTTTGTATACATACACACTCGTCACACATATATATCTGCAATATTTTTGTATGTCAATCTCAAAGTGTGTCACTTCTCGTGTTATGCGAGGATCTTTATTCCATATTTATATTTATCTGCATACGCTTTCTATATACATTTCAAAGTGTAACGAGTACCTAAACCTAATATAATATTGCTCTTCCACTCTTTGTGTGTGTTACGGGTTTGATCTACGCTGTCGTAAGGAACTCAACTTTACGCTTACGAGTTATGTTGTTAAGTCGATGACGCGATATGCATGAGATACAAGTCTGCACTTCAGTTGTCAATAAATATAACACATCTGACATCTTAATTCTACAGTCTTCTGTGTTTGTAAAAGGCAAAGAAAGAAGACGAATTTTATGGAAGACACTGGGTTTGAAAACTACTGAGCAATTCATGCATGAGACCTTGATCTTTGCTTTTGTGGTATAATCCAAAAATTAGTGGGAACATAATAATATGTTCAAAATAGTTATATATATATATATTCCCCAAAGTTTCCTTCTAAGATTTCGTTCAAACGAAATCAAGATTTTTATTATCTTTCTGACGACGACAGATTATTCGAATGTTAGCTTGTGATATGAAGATGTTCTTATAAAGTCAGACCAATTTTATAGAAATTGAAGGCAAAAACAACAAGAGGCATGTCGTTGTTTCTTCTATATTTGAAAAGAAAATAAAGAAATTTGAAAAAAAAAAGTAGATAGAGAAGAGAAGAATATCCTCTTCCGTGATTTGTCATATGCGCGTGTAAGCTGACGTGTGATCGTTTATCAAAGTCGTCTGTGATTTGGACAATTTAGTCGTCAGATTAAGAATGAACTTTTATGTTGTACTACATTTCGCACGTGCACTGCTTCCTCAGTAATATTGTTAGTTCTCAATTCTCTCATACACTGTATTTTTTTTTTTCTAATTTTATAAAATATGGATTTACACAAAATTATATACGGACTTGGATGAGAGACACAATTATTTATCTGTCTTCCACCAAATAGGTTAATTTTTTTTTTTACCAATTGGAGTTTCCTCTAATATACATTTATGGCTTCGAGCCCAAGCTATTTACTTTAGATTCATGACCAGTAATAGGTACTTGCTTATGTATTTATCAATAATTAGGAAGAAATTTTGGAACTATATATATTACATTAGAAAAAAAAAACCATGACCAAAAACATTTCATTTCCTTCATTTTACCGTTAACAACAAAGTTGGGTTTTATCGAATCGTATTTTTTTTTATTGAATGAAAAGGAAAAAAAAAAATTTTGATCTATCAGTTTCAAACTTTTATTCGAAAAATATATTTTCCCTCCACACAATTATATTATCTTTGGTATGTCTAAAATTAATAAGAACTTTCAAATAGTACATATACGCACTTGATGACAATTATATAATAGTGTCGTTATATATGCTGTTATGTAAACTTGATTTGGATTTTAGCTGACTAGAACTTGAACTTAATTAAAGTAAAAAAGTTGGTTACAGATCACATCATTCACCATTAAATATGTCGAGAATAAGAAAGACATGAATATTGTATATATATTAGAACTGTAATCAATTAATTCAAATTTTAATTTCTCACGATCACATGGGTCAACAAGTGTGGGGGCTAGAAAACACGTAAGTTTTAGGGACCAATGTGTTCAATTCCTGAATGCGCATCGATGAGATGTGTTTATACTAATTTCACTCTTTGATAAACGTTTATTTAATTGTGACTACGTTTACAGGATAAATAACAACGTCTGTTTTGCATGCAAAAATATATTAAGAGTCCGTACGCATTTTTATAACAGATCAATTTTGGATAATTCAGACAAGATGAGTTATAATTTTCGTTCTTTCCTTATATGGATATATTTTTATTGCGAAAATGATAGGGGCGGGAAGAAGTTTCCATCTTTGTGGGCTCTACGCTCTAGATTTAAATTAATAAAAGTATAATTATAAATAATTGTTTTTACTAATGTTCCAAAAAAAAAAAAAAAAAAATGTTTTTAGAATCTGCCCAGTAATTGAGTTTTTCTACAGGAGACTAGAATTATACTAAACATTATGAATGTGTTTTAAGTACTCAACATGGCCATCAAAACAAACAACTTTATCGAGTCTTTGTCTTTCCATACAGATTTCATTCTATTTTCGGTCATGACTTTTCATGCGATTTATTACGTAATCCATGACGCACTCGAGTAGTTGTTTTGCGTGTTTAAAAGTATACATGTTGGAGAAAATGTTAAAAGGAGGTGATTGGCATCAATAATTGTGTTGGTTCGTTTGTAGAAATCTCTCATTTATCATGTTTTTACAAATGTGGAGACATAAGACAAGTGACATTGGTTTGATAAACCTCAGTGATTTGTGTTTAGTGCATGTACGTTTTCTTGCAAATCTTTTGGAGACTGGGAACGTGATTCACTGAAGTACGAATGCATTGTTCCTGATATATAGCGTGCATTGGTTGACACAAAAAAACGTGTAAATCAACTTGTTTCGTTTTTTTTTATTAATCTTAAACTATATATACCTTCACAAATTAAGTTAATTACTTTAATTGACAATGGAGAGGGGTCGTATATTTTAGAATACGAAAGATAGCACCTCTTACACAATTAAAGAAGTTGTAAGAAATGGCTCTCTTTTTTTGGGGATCAAAATCAAATATAAGAAATGGCTCTTATATTGTAAACTATAACTGAAATGGCTCTTATAAGATGTTGTTACTATTTAAAAACTCATATTTTCTACTAACAGATTTTTGAAGAGTAAATTTATATGTAGACGAAAGATCCGGGACAAAAAAAATGGAATGGGAACACAAAAAAGTTTCCGTTTACAATTAGTTACATCATCCCATAAACCAAAAATCCAAACCAAACCAAGCGAAAGCCAAAATTCACAGCACGAAATGATTCCCTGACTTATTTTCTGCGTGTAGTGGTGGTGGTACTGCACAAGAAACAAAAATATATCATAAACAAGAGCTAAAAGCCTTTTGCTCTCGTGGCCCAAATGTGATTAAGCTGACTAGGTTATCGATCTATTATCCACTAAAATATTAGAGCTTTAATTGGATTGGATTTGGGATTTGGATTTGGATTTGGATTTGGATTTGGATTTGGATTGGTTCGGTTTATCTTTTATAAAATCACGTGAGGCGCATGTGACATCCAACGAATGGGCCAATTGCTTTGAAGTGAAGACTTTATATTATTACCCCATAAAAAAGCATCTAATCTTTTTTCTTTTTCAAAACCAACTTTGCATCTCTCTCTCTCTCTCTCTCTCTCCTGCTTCTCTTCCATTTGGCGATAGAAGAAGTGATGTACCAATCATCTTCATCCACGTCATCATCATCGCAGAGATCATCGGCTCCCGGCGGCGGAGGCGGAGGTGGAGGGCTAATCCGATATGGCTCAGCTCCGGGATCGCTTCTAAACTCTGTGGTCGACGAAGTCATCGGAGGGTCAAACGCTCGCGACTTCAATTATCCGCCAGCTGATAACTTCCTCGGTCATTTCTTCGGCGGTGCCGATTCCTCCTCGCTGAGATCCGATTCGACAACTTGCGGAGTCAACTCATCGGACGGACAGAAACAGCTCGGCAATAACAAAGATCTCCTCCTCGACAGATCCTACGGCGGATTCAACGAGATCTCGCAGGACAAGAACAACGACGTCGGAAACAGCTCTGGATCTTACTCTCTCGCTAGACAACGTAGCTCTCCCGCCGACTTTTTCAGCTACCTCTCCGGAGATAAGAACAGTGAGTTTTTCTTCTTCTTCTTCTTCTTCTTTTTATACTATTTCTTGATTTCGTGATATACTATAGAACTTTCCTTAAGAGTTTCAGAATTTCTCCAACTTAGGATTTGCCAAATTCGTAAATGTATTTATGATATTCTATTGTTTACTAAATGAAGAACAAGCATCATTCATTGCTGAATGAAAGATGCATTTGGTGAAAATCGGCTGCTGAGGGTATTTTAGGTATCTCATGATAGATTATGTAGCTTTGTAACACTTGTAATACGACGCTGTAATAAGTTGACATTTGTGAGATTAATACATAGGGTCGTTGATAATTTGGCTGGTTGGTATTTGTGCAAGACGTGATCCTCGTATTTCAAAATGACGAAAACGCCCTTGATCTGAACCACGTGCTTGAAAAGATTCAGCAAAAATGTGGCTCGGTTACCCTTAATCTTTGGGATATTATTAATATCTTCGAGGAATCCTATAAGCCAAGTTGCATTTTTTAAATAGTAGGCTGGGTTTTTTTAGTTCGTGACCAATAGTATGTCTCTGCTCACGTGGCGTAAAACCATTGGTTTTTAAGAAGATTATTCAAATGGAAAGCGATAGATCTTACTTGGTGGATCTGTCCTTTTAAAAAAATAAAAATACAAAATTGGTCCTGCGGATTTCATTTCTGCTTTTGCTTCGTTGTTATCTAATAATAATAATAATAGAATTCATAATAATATCTTCCACCGAGTCTGGATGTGACTTGCAACACCTAACCGGTTACCGATTTGAACCGGAATTTGAAAGTTGAAACTAACCGATGTCCATGAATTCAATCTTGCTTTTGGATCGATTCGTTTTGCTAGAATATGATGTGAAATGTGATTCATTATTGAGTTTTTTTTATTTATTTAAAAAATCACGTAATGTGATATATCAGGTTTCTCGTTGAACCAACCAACCAGTGATTACAATCAGCAAGGAGGGTCCATTAATGCAGGACGAGGACAATCGAGACTTAAGTCTCAGCTAAGCTTCACGAGTCACGACCCTCTGTCCCGGATCTCCGAGGTCAACGAGACCCCTGTTCACGATGGTTCGGGCCATTCGTTTTCAGCAGCTAGCTTTGGTGCCGCCACTGATTCTTGGGATGACGGTTCCGGTTCAATAGGGTTTACTGTGACCCGACCCACTAAACGATCCAAGGACATGGACTCAGGTCTCTTTTCACAGGTACTATTTATGTTTATATGGGATTTGTTTTTTTTTTTTGTGTGTGTGTGGTTATCTTTTACGTGTTATTTAATTTTAAAGCAAGAACACAATGGTTCAATATTTTTTTTCTCAAACAAATATACAAGGACGAAATTAGTTTATGTTTTACCTTTGAGTTTGCAATTTTCAAAAAAAAATGTATGACAACAAAACTAAAATATTTTGTTTGTCTTTAAGACATTTTGTTTTAAATTAGTAAAGGTAAACGCAGCAAAATTTTACCATGCAACCAAGGGGCAGGCTCTTACGGAGTCTCTTTGAATCATTTGATTTTGCAGTATAGTCTTCCTTCAGACACGTCAATGAACTACATGGATAACTATATGCAGCTTCCAGAAGATTCTGTGCCATGCAAAATTCGGGCCAAACGTGGCTGCGCCACCCACCCGAGAAGCATCGCCGAGCGGGTCAGTTCAACAAAACTCTTTTCTTCTATAGCAAACGAAACAATAATTTTGTCGCGAAAAAGGTGGAAAACGTTTAGCGACAGAGTTATAAGTTCAGTATATATGTCAAGACAACAAATTCACAAAAAAAATGTTAAACAAAATTTCGTCTAGAAGTTATATTCTTTTTTTTCTGCCCACCTATTTAAGCAAAAAAGGTCTGTTTATATATGTACTGATGGTATATATATATATATATATATATATATATTTATATGCAGGAGAGAAGAACGAGAATAAGCGGTAAACTAAAGAAGCTACAAGATCTTGTCCCCAACATGGACAAGGTAACTTTGATTAAATTGAGTACATATATAGTAACGTTGTCAGTTGTCAGTTGTCACTATTAGTAATATAAATTTTTGTTTACTAAGACATTATTACTTGTTACTCATTTGATTAGCAAACAAGCTATTCTGACATGCTGGATTTAGCGGTACAGCACATCAAAGGCCTTCAACACCAACTTCAGGTTCTTGTCCCTACGAAACTAGAAATCATCTTATTTTTTCTATTTACATCAGCTGAGTCCGTTTTTAGAGTTCTCTTTATCAAGTCATTAATATACATACACGCTACATTTTCATCTACAAACGCAGAATCTGAAAAAAGAACAAGAGAACTGCACGTGCGGATGCAGTGAGAGGCCAAGCTAGCTGCAAACCTTAACCGGTAGCGATCATCCTAATTTCGTCGGATGTTGTTGTTTGGTAATATAAGAGAGTTAGAGAATATGTACATAAATAGATTATCCAATGCCTAATTCTCGTATAAGCTCCCCAATCATAATCATTATAAGATCGAAACAGTGCCAATTGTCCACTATATTTTTTGTTTATTTTTCTTCTTCCAAGATTTATGCTCTGGATTTGCTTATTTTGGAAGGACTTTGATATGAATTTTGAAATTAAATTCGAGTTATGACGTACGAGTAAAGCAACTAGCTTCCCTTAGTTGGGTTTCTAGTCCTCTCCTATTCCATTTTTTGTTTTGTATTCATTTTACGTTTTCATAAAATAATATCTCAAACTCAGAAGATCAAAATATAATCTAGTTGCATATCAAATACTTTGTTCAAATATCTCCCTCTCCTAATGTAGTCATGATTAAGTTAAATGTATTTGTGATTTTGTGAATATTCTTGATTTTGGCTTCAAAACAAGTGATGGATCCAAGACTTGGCGTCAGCTAAACATAACGTCGTTGAAAATAAAATAAAAAAAGACGTCTCCCTCTAACGTTACCAATTTGCACGGCGAAGCCCTGCAACGTGCCAAGAATGCAACTAGGAAAAAGTCGTAAATCAAAGAAAAAAAAGTCAACAAAAGAAAATAAGATTTTAAAAGATATAGATTTAGTAAACAAGAAATCTGGAAATATCATCATAAAACATTTCATAATAATGTTAGCATTGCAGTAGTTTGTAAAAGGGAACTAATTAAAAAGCTGAAATATTGATTATGCCAATAAAAAAAATTGATGATAAAGGGAACGATATTAAGAGGCTACTTAATGCGCGGTATGTCCTCTTGCCAGCTTGTTGCACCGTCCTCCGTCTCCTCTCCTTCCCCCCTCTCTCTCTCTCTCTCTCTAAAACCACTCCTGCTTCTCTCTCTCTCTAGAAACCGGAAGAGTAAAAGAGAAAGAGAGAAGACGCGGAGAAGGAGCAAACGATGTCTTCTGACGACGAAGGAAGAGAGGAGTACCTATTCAAGATAGTGGTTATCGGCGACTCGGCGGTCGGGAAATCGAACCTCCTGTCTCGGTACGCTCGGAACGAGTTCAGTGCGCATTCCAAGGCGACGATCGGCGTCGAGTTTCAGACGCAGAGCATGGAGATTGAAGGCAAGGAGGTTAAGGCTCAGATTTGGGACACTGCCGGCCAGGAGCGCTTCCGTGCCGTCACCTCCGCCTACTACCGTGGCGCCGTCGGCGCACTCGTCGTTTACGACATTAGCCGTCGCACCACCTTCGAGAGCGTCGGACGTTGGCTCGATGAGCTTAAGAGTAAGTCTCGGTTTGTTCCTCGGCCCAATTTCTGCCGATTCCGTTTCTGATTTGATTTCACGAGTTTATCTGAAGGGGATGAGATGTGAATCAATGCGACTGAATATCGGGATGATCGATTAGGACATAATCCTGGTCGTAGGGTTGACTAAAATTGGGATTTTGAAACTCGTTTTGGTAGGATTCTGGAATTTTGGTACTTGATCTGAATTTCAAGGGCTTTAAGTCTCTACTTGGAAGTATTCTCGCTATCTAAAAATAGTAAGTATCCTACAAAAAGATGGAATTAGAATTTGGAAACGTAGGAAAATGCGAATACATATACTTAGTAATCATCCGTCTTCTTCAGTTTGCTCAACTTCCTATGCACCAACCTTGTTTCTATATAAATGCATCGTTTATGCATATAAAACTATTAAAGTTTCGGCATTGGTTCATCTTCCTGAGAACTAAAGCCAATTCAATTGTTTTTTTTATTCTTTTGGTTTTTCAGTCCATTCTGACACAACGGTGGCGAGAATGCTGGTGGGAAACAAGTGTGACCTAGAAAACATAAGGGCAGTGAGCGTGGACGAAGGCAAAGCGTTAGCAGAAGCCCAAGGACTCTTCTTTGTGGAAACATCGGCTCTTGATTCGACCAACGTTAGGACAGCTTTCGAGAAGGTCATACTTGATATCTACAATAACGTGAGCCGTAGGCAACTTAACTCCGACACTTATAAAGATGAACTCACCGTGAATCGGGTAAGCCTCGTTAAGGACGATAACACTGGCTCTATACAAAGCTCGGGTTTTTTCTCCTGCTGTTCTACTTGATACTCAAAAGAATCTATTTTGATCTTTTCATTTAGAGACATCATTTGTTATTCCCCTTCTTTCTCATTGTTACTTTACACAAGTTTTCTATTCTTAACCCATAAGTTGTAATTTATTTGTCTGTTTCTCCTTTTATAACTTTGGCAAATATTTAAATTATCAATTCACTCTACTTCTTTTTCTTTTGTAATATTCTCTATTTTAAATCCTCATTTGGGAACTAATTTGATTGGTTTTGTGAGTCTTTTTTATTCATTATTTGGAAAATGGTGTAAAGCGAGAGGGAAAAAAAAAATACTAAAAAGGAAAAAGATGGCTTTTCACCGAGTTTTCTCTGGTTTTGTAACAACGAATATGAACGGAGAATAATTTCTTTCCCTCTTGTCTCGCCCCCTTTTCTCTTTTGTTTCGCTCCATCACCCTTCGATATCCTCCTGCTCTCCCTCGATTACGGTGGCGATGTCATTACCTCCGTTTAGCTGCCGCATTCTCGCGGCGGCGGTGGCCCTCTATCTGGTCGGTCTGTTGTGCGTAGGGGCTGGCGATGTTGCCGCTCCGAAAATTCCTGGATGTTCCAATAAATTGCAAATGGTAATAATGTCATTTGAATTCTTCATCATATTTTACCCCATTCGAATTTTGTTTTGGGGTTTGGCTTCTCATCGAAAATTTCTGGGAATGATCATTCGTCTCAGAATTTTTGTCGAACGGAACCTTACGTCCATCTCATTGATTGATTTGAATCGATACCTATCAAATTCCGCAAATACAGTTTCTGTTTCAGCGTCTGCGGTTTGCCATTTGATGTTTATGTTAGGTTTAATCGTTCATTTAGGTTTTCTCTGAATCATCATGTATCGATCAATATTGAGGTTTCTCTGTTTCAGTTTACACTCACCTGTCGGAACTATAGATTCATGGTCAAAGACTTCTCTACTGCTAATTAAATTCTAAATCCTTTATCTTCCGTTTACTAATATAGAAGTATTATCCAGGTCAAGGTCGAGAATTGGGTCGACGGAGAAAATGGTGAAACTCTTACTGGCATGACTGCTCAGTTTGGCGCCTTGCTTCCGTCTGATAAAGACAAAGCTGTTAAACTGCCGGTTGTTCTTACCACTCCTTTGAACAGTTGCTCCAATTTGACCTCAAAGGTTTTCCACCTTTCTTCTCCATCATAATAACAAAATCCTCTGTTTAGAATTTGGGTGATTAGCAAAGCTTGAGAGAAAACTCAAACACGGCAGATCATAATGCTATTACTTAGTGTTGATGGATGTTAGTTATTTGAATGAATTTATCTTCAAATTGTGAAGAGAGATGGTGTATTTTTGTTTTCTTTGTTAGTTGCAGCTCTCTGGTTCGATTGCGTTATCTGTACGTGGCGAATGTACTTTCACAGCTAAGGCTGAAGTTGCACAGTCAGGAGGAGCTGCAGCTTTGGTGTTAATTAACGACAAAGAAGGTTGGGACTTTTAAAATTAAAACCCGGAATCGTATCTCTGCGTTGCTATTTCTTGCTTATCAGTTTTTTTGTTTTTGATTCGATGAGCCTCTGACATCTTCTTCTCCAATATTTGGTTTTCTAGATCTGGATGAGATGGCTTGTAATGACAAAGATACCTCCTTAAATGTTTCTATACCAGTCTTGATGATTTCAATCTCATCTGGAGATGCCTTGAAGAAATCCATCATGCAAAATCAGAAAGGTAAGGTCCATGCCTTCTCTATTTGTGACGCTTTATCTTAATCATAAAGATCACTAGAAAAGTTAAATTATGGAGCGAGACTGGTTCAGTTTCTTTCCAGCAGGGAAGATGAAATGTGATATCTATTCTTTGAGTTTGAAGTAAATTTGAATTTAATGTCTGCACATATAGAAACTTTCTGTCTCACTATATTTATGGTAGTATATCTATTTTTCTAACCTTTCTTTTGATGTCAATGTGATTTCTCGTCCATGGTTTTTGATGCAGTGGAGCTTTTATTGTATGCTCCAAAAAGCCCGGTTGTGGATTATGCTGTGGCATTCCTCTGGCTAATGTCTGTTGGAACAGTTTTCACTGCCTCTGTTTGGTCACATATCACCGGTCCTAAGAACGATGAGCAGTACGATGAATTATCACCAAAGGTTTTACCAGACTACATTTGGGGTTTTAAGATGAAAATCATGAAGTATACATTTTGTTAGAAAAAAGTGACAAGAAGATAAATATAATATTTTATCAAGGAAATTACTTGTCTCTTAGTTAGAAACTAATTATTGTTATGTTCCTAACATCTGAACTTTTTGGCAGAAATCTTCAAATGATGATGCTTCTAAAGATGGCAATGAAGAGGAAACTCTTGATATCAGTGCTACGGGAGCTGTTATCTTTGTCATATCAGCCTCCACGTTCCTCGTTTTGCTGTTCTTCTTCATGTCATCGTGGTTTATCGTGATCCTGACCATATTTTTCCTCATTGGTGGTATTCAGGTAATGTTGACGAATCTTGAGTATGTATATCTAAGTTTCAATAGCTAGAATTATTATTAATGTCCGGTAGAAACTTGGCATTATTTCCACGGTAGAAAGACGAATCATGATGAAATGAAAGACAGGCTAAGCTAAGCATTGTAATGTCAAATTATAACTTCATAATTATTGATATCTTTTTTTTTTTTTGGTCTCAGGGATTGCATAATATTATCACTACGCTCATAACAAGGTGTTCTCAGAAACCCAAATAAGTTTTTCAACCCATGAGAGAGCTCTCTATAGCAGCTAGTTTTTAAGCATCATGTGTTACTTTCTCTTGTACTTCTCTGCAGGAGATGCAATAAATGTGGCCAGAAGAATGTGAAAGTGCCGCTGTTTGGGAATGTCTCGATTCTCTCACTCCTGGTTCTGTTATTCTGCTTTGTGGTTGCTGTAGTCTGGTTTCTGAAGCGCAAAACTTCGTATGCATGGGCCGGCCAAGATATTTTTGTAAGTCCTCTTGTAACTCTGTCCAACTGAAACGGTTTTTTTTCTGTTTCGTTTTGTCATTATTTGGCTCTCTAAGTTGGACTTGTCACGTAACAGGGTATTTGCTTGATGATAAATGTCTTGCAAGTGGCTCGGCTACCTAATATCAGGGTGAGTTTTTTGTATGTATTTTTCAACTGTATATTTTTAGTGATCCCTTTGTATGTTCTAATGGTGTCCTACACTTTAGGTTGCTACCATTCTCCTCTGTTGTGCATTTTTCTATGACATCTTTTGGGTATTCCTGTCACCACTAATCTTCAAGCAAAGTGTAATGATTGCGGTGAGTTTTCGATATCTTCCTTCACCACAAAAGCGTTTTTCACATTTCAATTGGTGAATTTTCTTTTAGTTGTAGTTTTAGACGTTCTACAAAATTTCGTCATATCATATAATTCTTATAGCTCATCAAACCAGAGCATATATAATTACATTTATCAATCACATACAAGTTGGAGTCATATATTCTCGTGTTGGTGTTAATCTATGGCATAGGTTGCACGTGGGAGCAAAGACACTGGAGAATCTATTCCCATGCTCCTGAGAATTCCACGGCTTTCTGATCCATGGGGTGGTTACAACATGATCGGTTTCGGAGACATTCTGTTCCCAGGCCTGCTCATATGCTTTATTTTCAGGTAACCTTTCTCATACTTGTGATGATTCCGAACTAGCTCGGCACTAATTGTAGGCACATCCTATGTTTCAAAACTCATATGCGTCTCTCTCAGATATGACAAGGAGAATAACAAAGGAACCTTGAGGGGATATTTCCCATGGTTGATGTTTGGCTACGGACTTGGACTATTCTTGACATACTTGGGATTGTATGTTATGAACGGACACGGTCAACCTGCGTTGCTCTACCTCGTCCCTTGCACCCTCGGTATATCTCATTCATCCCAAGAAAAAAGCAATTACTCTAAATCTTGATGAAGATTCAATCTGCTAGTTTCATTTTCACCTTGTCATTGTTAAACCTGACCAAATTGCAAGGTTTTCTTACATGTGTTGTGCGGTTTGCAGGAATCACAGTCGTACTCGGGTTGGTGAGGAGAGAACTCAGGGACTTGTGGAACTACGGGACTCAACAGCCTTCAGCTGCACATGTAAATCCATCTCCACAAGTATAACTTTCTCTTTAACATTAGCTCACAACTCTGGAGACTGATGACGAAGAAGCAGAATACATAAAAACACACGATTCTGACAATTTTTCTTTCGCCCACAAAATGTAAGAAATCTAACACGAGGACCTTTACCCTTTTCTGCATATACATGTACTTGAATGATCCCCCGACACGTACAACGTCATTGTATTTGTATATTCACTAAACTTCTGTATCTTAAATGAAAAAAAAAAATTTGTATATCATAGCGCTGGTTACAAAGCACAAATAGTCTCGAGATCTTAACCAAACAATTATTCTAAATTGAAATAGGAACTCGGAGTTTTTTTATACATGTAAGAAATCTTCTGAATCAATCATTGGATATAAAAAAACTCGATGCATCATATATTTAAATGGGAATAGTTACTACATAATATATTATTGACGACAAAAAAAAAAAATTACTGCATATTATCATCGCAATTCTCTTAATGAAAAAGAGAATCAAAGAAGAAGTCAAAACACGCCGTTTTGCGTTAAAATTTTTAGTGACCGTTACTCCTTCTCTTTTACTATTTATCGCAATTCTTTTCTTTTAAAGTTGTACTTTACTTACATATTAATTAAAAAAAAAAGTAATAACAAAATTGAAAATTTCCGTGGTTTAGTGATACAGGATTCTCCTTATCTATCTTGCTCTTTTCATGTTTTAATGTGTTGGTTTACCAAACCGGTTTAATTTACTTTTTTGGTTTAAGTTCTTAGCCGGTCATGTGTTAGACCGTTAAAGTTTGCACACATTTTGTACTGCCTGTGCGGCCATTTTCCCAAAAAGTAATCAGAAATTATTCCTCTCTTCTCTCTCTTCTCTCTCATATTCTCTGTCATCATCTCAATCAATCGCCGCCATTGAATCAGATACTCCGAGGTGTTCTTTCTTTCTCAACGTTCACCTCCTTGAAGACAGAAGGAAAATTTTTAGTGACCGTTACCCCTTCTCTTTTACTACTTATCGCGATTCTTTTCTTTTACAGTTTTACTTACATATTAATTTAAAAAAAAAAAGTAATGACAAAATTGAAATTTTCCGTGGTTTAGGTTACTAGTTCTCTCTCTCGTCTTCTGTTAGGATCCCGATTTGGTTATTTTAATAGACAGATTTGAGGATTGAAGGAAGAATTACTGCAATTCATCATATATTCTCAATTCTGCCTACTTAACTTAGGATGTTCCTTGTTCCGTGAGTCCAGAGGAGTTAATTTTCACATGCATTGGCGATTACGAGTGATTCTTTGTATTGATCTGGCTCTGGATTCCTAATTACATTTATCTTGATGGGCCTTTTGCTTTTGCTTGCTTCGTATTTGTAGATTGTCAAAGCAACGCCACAACTGATTTAAATTGGAATTTGGCAAACAGATACCAATCTTTGAAAAGGGTTATGAGAAGCAACTAGAAACGGAGCGGATGTTGTTCTTGTTGTCAGCACAAAGATGGTGATGCAGAGACGAAGATAGCCATACAAGAAGCAACTAGAAATGGATCGGATGTTGTTCTTTTTTGACACAGCTGGTCGGATGCAGGATAATGAACCTTTGATGAGAGCTTTGTTTAATCAGCTTCGGTTTCTTGCCCGCATTAGATTCTTGTTTTAGCATGTGTGTCAAGTATTTGCAACGAGAGTTAGTTTTGTGTTACCTCTGAGTCTGTATTAACGATTGTTTCGACTAGGAATCAATTGAAATAGTGAAAGTTAGCTTCTTTGCAGTTCACTTTTGATCATTTGTCTTTATAAATTCAGTATTTCCGGTTCACATTTGATCGGAGTACTGGAATGATTCTCTGTGTACGGTATATCTTGTTTCCGTTGATAAAGCTGGGCTGTTCCTAGCATGATTGCTGTAAGTTTCTTACAAGTATCAATGAGTTTTAAGACGCAGCTTAACATTGGACTTTGGATGCAAACGCTGTATTCTTTGTTTCTTGCTTTGATCACATGCTTTCATTAATGTCGCATCTGATTGCTATCTTTGTGTGGATCTCTACGCCCTGTTCTGTTCTGATGCTCTCAGTTTCCTCAAGTTTCTTTTCGTCATGTTATCTTTTGTTTACCAAGCTTGAAACTTTGAAATCTAAAAGGACTGCCTTTGTATCAAACTGATTTTTTTCAGGGCTTAGTAAACGCACCACTTCTGAAGGACTTAGGACAGCTTTCGCTCAGTTTCTTGAAGATACAAAGAAGATTGAACTGATGACAGAGGAACTAGAGAGTGTAAAGGTACTTTCTCTCGGTGGCTATCAAATTCAGTTGTCTGATAAATCAATTCCATTTGCTGTTGTTACATATGACTTTACTTAGCATCATGAGTAATCATTTTGCGTTCCTACAGACTACTCCAGAAAACGAGAAACAAAAGGCTGATGATGCAGTAAGGAAATTCGAAGATGCTCAAGAGTCTCTTGAAGACAGAAGGAAAAACTGTAAGAGACAGAAGAAAAGTCAACAACTCCAAGAATCCTTCTCAAGGTACGTAAAAGAATATATCATCATGCTTATATGATTTATTGGTCCTGTAAATTCACGAGGTAATTTCATTCGCCCGATCATGAGCTGAAACTTGAAGTTAATATGATCAAGATGGAGGAAAAGTGCAGCAACTTGTAATCGGAGAACAAAAGCCTTACGGCAACAGGATGTGTCCATGGCACCGAATAAGTTTCTCTCTGGCCGCGCTCGCTCCATTTTACAGGTAAATTTGAAAGTTGAGACCCGCAAGTATCTTATTGTAGCTTGTTTGAAGTTGACGAGGGCAAGTTTGATGAGTAAATATGCCACCAACCAGTTCAGTTTCTGTCTCAATCTTTAGCTTTCGGGATTAATAGGTTGTCTTTCAATGTTGACCAGGATCTGCATAGCCATTCGATGAACCATAGGGATCCCTCTGAAGTGGTGGATAAGCCACAAAAAACATTAAACGAGAAGCAGCAAGAAAACCAAGAGCTGTTTATCCGCTGCATCGTTCAACACTTGGGTTTCCAGGGGAACCGACCTATCACAACTTGCATCATATACAAGTGCCTGCTGCAATGGAGATCATTTGAAGTCGAAAGAACCAGTGTCTTTGATCGCATTATTCAGACAATAGGCCATGCTATTGAGGTTCGGCTTTGAGCTTCCTTGTTTTAATTGTGTGGTTGCAAGTGTGTGTTGGAATGATAAATAGATTAACTAATGTTTTGGAAGTTGATCTTTCAGACTCAAGATAACAACAATACTTGAAGAAGGAGATTTCCCCACTCCTTGGGTTGTGTATTCAGGTATCGTATTTCATTACATCAGCTGGCTAACTGAAACAACAAGGTCCTTCTCGCTAACTGTGTGTGTGTTCGTCTTGTCTTCAACGCTTCAAACAGGCGCCAAGAACGTCGAGGGCGAGTTTAGTAAAAGGAGCATCTCGTTCCGTGTCCAATACTGCAGCTCAGCAAGCACTCATCGCCCTCTGGCTAGGAATTGTGAAGAGCCTTACAATTTTCCTCAACACTCTCAAATCAAACGATGTGAGTTCCTTAATTCGGTTTCCTCACTAAATCCAACGCCAGATCATTCTCGTATATTTCCAGATATGATTATTAGTTGACCAATTATGATTTTCTTGCAGAATGCGCCTTGTTATAAAATGTTGCTTGCATTGGTGTGCTTTGTGTCATGAACACAGGGAAGGAAGAGAACGCCCAAGAGAAGAAACTTCATTAAAAAAGATATGTATTCTCTTTTCTCTTTGTTTTTTATTCATTTATTTTTCCGTATTAACCTGAATTAGTCTAGAACCGATTAGATTTATATTAGATGTGTAACTAACCGGACATGGTATCCAGCCATCTAAATTTATTTGGTCGTTAGAGATTATCTATGTTCAATTTGTTTCCACAACTAATATAAATCAATCGGTTTCTTATTAGGAAAAAAATTGATAATTATAATAAAAATTAAACTTAAATACCCAATATGAAATCTAATGTTATTTTTTAATATTATTTCAGGTACACAAAATAAAACTTAAGAAGCCAGAGATGTCGAAAGAAGAAAATTCAGGAAACTCAGAAAAGATATGTTTTATATTCTTTATTTTATATTTATTCACATTAAAATCTGAATTAGTTTTAAAAATTAATTAAATTTACATTAGTTGTGAAACTAACCGAACATAGTATCCAACCATTTGAATTCATTTGGTCGTTAAAGATTAATTATGTTCAATTTGTTTTCAACTAATGTAGATCAGTCGGTTTTTTATTAGGAAAAAAAACGATAATCATAATAATAGCAAACACTAAACGAAACTTGAATCTAATCCAAATATAAAATTTGGTGTTGTTTATTGTATTGTTTCAGGTTAAAAACTTTTTTTAACACAAAATAAAGTTAAGGAAGCAAGAGATGAGCAAGAGATGCTTAGAGAAAGAAACTTAGGAAAAAAAATATGTTTCCTATTCACTTTTTTTTAATTATTCACATTAAAACCTGAAATAATTAAAAAAATCGATTAGATTTACATTAGTTGTGAAACTAACCATAGTATCCAGCCATTTGAATTCATTTGGTCGTTAGAGATTATTTATGTTCAACTTGTTTTTATAACTAATGTTAAATTAATCAGTTTCTAATTAAAAAATATAATAATAATAATTAAACTTAATGAAACTTGATAGCAATCGAACATTGATTTTAATGTTGTTTTTTGTGTTATTTCAGGTTGAAGTTTTCTCAACAAGCATGCAAAGAAAAAAAATTACCATCATTCTTTTTAAATTTTGTAATTATATTTATTTCATTGTATTTTATTTGGTTTTTTTTTTTGAAATTGTAATTTTTGTTTACAATTTTTAGTTTTCTCTATATTAGAATTCAAATTTTCAATGCAATAATTTAACAATAATTTAACAAATTCTAATTTAAGTTCAAATTTATATTCTAAAATTATTCATAAGTATCAGCAAGACAACAAAAGACAAGTCGATTCGAAAGACACTCAAACGGTGACGTTTCCTACTTCTAAAACTGTTATGTGTGTGTATAGATGTGGTGGAGCTATATAAAATTTAAAAGGTTAGCGAGGAGCAGATCGGAGACTGGAAAATAAGAACTTTCCTGCTAATTTTACCCGGCGGGAAACGGATAATTCTGGGGAAACGCTATTTTCTTCCACACTTGTTTAAACCCTAATCAATTCAATTTCAATTTCAGTTTCAATCCCAATCGCAATTTAAGCTTCAGTTTCTTATATCACTAATAGTGGTGAGCGAGAACTTTACCCAACCCCTTTTCCTCCGAATGATTTCGATGGGGAGTGTCCCAAAACCCTTAGAGGAAGAAGATAATCAAAGCACAGTCGAACTCCACCACGACCACGCCGGTATTCCCGTTCGCTACGCTTCTCTCGAGCGCGTCTACTCCGTTTCCTCTTCCGCCTCTTCACTGTGTTGTGTTAGCACCGCCGGTTCACACAATGTGATGTCCAAGAAAGTCAATGCCCAGAAGCTCACGGTGGCCGATGCTTTCGAAGGTTACGGTTGTCCGGATGATTTTGAGTTCCGGCCCCACCGACGACCGGAGATTGTTCACGTCTACAGTCGCCGTAGGAGGCGGCGGCGGGAGCCTTTCCTTGAAGAGGAGGAGGAGGAGAAGCAGAAGCAGAAGAGACGGAGGATTGGTAATGGCGAGCTGATGAAACTAGGCGTGGACTCGAGTACTTTCAGCGTCTCTACAACCCCGCGTTTAAGGGGGTGCAGAATTAACGCTGCGTGTAGCGGAAATAAGCGAAATGGATCTTCGCAGAGGAAGGGGAAGGTACTCCTCCCAGCTTCTCCTACATCTAAGAAATGGGTCAGGTTAGGATTCACCTACCATTTACTTATACCGGTTAAGATCTACAGACATTTGGAAGTTTGGATGGAACAATGTGATCTTAGATACATTGCTTCATGTGCCCTTTTTTATTCCACTGATTACATTTTATTGTTAATTGGTACACTGTTTGTTCGATTGATCTTGAATGATGGGGGACTTTTGGCCTGGCAGGTTAAGTTATGATGGTGTCGATCCTACAACTTTCATTGGGCTGCAATGCAAGGCAAGCGCTGAGCTATATTGTTATGTGCTTTAGCTATTCTATTCCATGTTTATGAAACGGACCTGTTAACAAACACCTGATTGTTATCTGATGATGATCTCTAGGTTTTTTGGCCGCTGGATGCTGATTGGTATCCTGGTTCTGTAATTGGATACAATGAAGAGAATAAGCATCATATTGTATGTTTCTGTCTATGCCACTATTCTTGGAACTTTGGTGACTGTTGGTATATCTAAGGGATTTTCCTTTTCACCTTTTGTACAGATTAAATACGGAGATGGAGATGGCGAGGAGTTAGCTCTTCGCCGTGAAATGATCAAATATTTTGTTTCTCGTGAAGAGATGGAGCTGTTAAATCTGAAGTTTGGTACTAATGATGTGGCTGTGGGCGGTCAAGATTATGATGAGATGGTTGTATTGGCTGCTTCTTTTGAGGGATGCCAAGATTTTGAGCCTAGAGACATCATATGGGCGAAACTAACTGGTTGATATTCTATTCCAAGCCCAATTGTTTCTCGTATACACATTTTCTTAACTTTCTGTAGTAAAGATTTAGGCATAGATAACCTCCCTTTATGCTAGAATAAACTTGATGTCGTTAGGATGCATAAAACTTACCAGTCCTAATTGCTGTTAGAATTTTATGGTGATTCGTAAGTATGCATTGCCTAGCTTTCATACATTTTGGTTTCAGAGTAGTTCTGAAGAAAAGCATGTATACTGAGAACCTTACTGCTGTGTTTGTTAACTTTTCCGGACAGGTCATGCTATGTGGCCAGCAATTGTTGTGGATGAATCTGTTATTGCAAAGAGGAAGGGTCTAAAGAACAAGGCATTGGGAGGAAAATCAATCCTAGTACAATTTTTCGGCACTCATGATTTTGCTAGGTTAGCAAATCTTCTTAAAATCTCTAGAGATCTTGTTATACTACGGAATTGTTGTAATGAATGTTACACATCATAATTATCAAGTGGAAATTGACATCTTATCTTTTGGTGATGTAGAATACAAGTCAAACAAGCAGTCTCATTTCTTCAAGGGCTTCTCTCACGGTCTCCTCTGAAGTGCAAGCAACCTCGGTTTGAACAGGCCATGGAGGAAGCAAAAATGCAAGTTCTCTTGCTTTTGACTGGCATTCTAGATGTTTTAATTTGCTAATCTAGTGTAGTTGCTAACAAATAGACCATTTATTTCCCGATGTTATTCGAACATGTCCCCATGCTTATGCCTGTGCTAATTGTCTGTAATTGACCTCACCCAGGTACCTAAAAGAATTCAAGCTTCCAGGAAGGATGGATCAACTTCAAAAAGTTGCTGATACTGATTGTTCGGAAAGGACTAATAGTGGAGAAGAGGACAGCTCAAACTCTAGTGATGATTACACAAAACATGGAGAAGTCTGGTTGCGACCAGTGGAACATGGAGATTCTTTGCTTACAATTGGAGATCTGCAGATAATAAATCTTGGTATTGTATGAAACTTATAAGTATGTTATATCATCCTTGGTTGGAATGCACTCTGCTCATTATGCATAGGCGTGTATCAATTATCTTCCAGGAAGAATCGTGACAGACTCTGAGTTTTTCAAGGATAGTCATCATACTTGGCCTGAAGGGTATACAGCTATGAGAAAGTTCACATCACTCAAAGGTCAATTATTTACCAGTTTTTGTGCCTTTATATAATAAGTAGGCAGTTTCTGTCTATGGTTGATTGATTTAGTTCGTCAATATGCGATTTCTTGCTTTGACTTGAAGCAGATCCTGGCACATCTGCCATGTACAAGATGGAAGTGCTTAGAGATGCCGAGTCAAAGATTCGCCCTGTTTTCAGAGTTACAACGAATAGCGGTGAGCAGGTTAGTCTTCTAGGTGGAAGGCTTGTGTAAGAAAGTTTGTTATAGCTATGTGTTACATTAATACTTTATTTTTTGACAGTTCAAAGGAGACACTCCATCTGCCTGCTGGAATAAAATATATAATAGGATTAAAAAGATCCAGAGTGCTTCTGATAGTCCTGATATATTGGGTGAAGGACTACATCAATCTGGTGCACATATGTTTGGCTTCTCCAACCCAGAAGTCGATAAACTTGTACAGGTATTTAGTCTTGAATCTCAAATTATTTGTGGTGGTTTTAAATATGTCTGCTTCTACTACTTCATTTACCGGACTCCCTGAAGTTTTCGCTAGGTTCTCTGTTGTACACATTTCCTTGACCCTGAAAATTCTGCGGGTCACTGCCTTCTGTTTTGCACTTAACACACATAATTAGGAATCCTTTATGTTTAGTATGTAGTTTTAGATTTTTAAGCTACGTACATTGAATCTTTCTTCTTATCTATTTGCACTTAAGTTTCTTAGTTAAATTTTGACTATTTCCCACTTGATGCCCAATGATAAGCCTTGACGTAACTGGCAGGGGCTATTACAATCCAGACCAATTTCCAAGGTTTCTCAGCGCAAAAATAGTTCGGGGAAGTATCAAGATCAACCTACTGGTTACCGACCTGTGCGGGTTGACTGGAAAGATCTCGATAAGTGCAATGTCTGCCACATGGATGAGGTTAAGTGATTCTGTCTAGATGACACGTTTTGTACTTGTCTTAATCTTATACGCTTACATAAGTTAATTCTGACTTTAATTTTCTTGTCTGCAGGAATATGAGAACAATCTGTTCCTGCAATGTGATAAATGTAGAATGATGGTACTATTCTCTCTCTGAGTTGTTTACATTATTTATATATCATTTTCGATCTGTACTCTGTAGTCTATAGTGGCTGGATCATTTTTTTTTAAGATGATGCTCAGTTCAAAATTTTTGATGGTGTACTAGGTCCATACTAGATGCTATGGGCAGCTGGAACCCCGTGATGGTGTTCTGTGGTTATGCAACTTGTGTCGTCCTGGTGCTCTTGATTTTCCTCCACGATGTTGTCTTTGTCCTGTAGTTGGTAATTTGACCAAACCCTTTCGATATGGAGTCTTTATATGTTTTCAATAGTGACCAACAAAAAATCTTTCAGGTGGCGCTATGAAGCCGACAACTGATGGGCGCTGGGCTCATCTGGCTTGTGCCATATGGATCCCAGGTTCAATCTTGACCATTTGCTATGTTATTCTGCATGCGTCGCTTTCTACTATGTGTTTAGGAGGCTTTACTATTATTATGCAAGATGTGTGAGTAACTCTTGTGATATTATTCAGAAACATGCTTATTGGATATCAAGAAAATGGAACCCATTGATGGGGTTAATAAAGTCAATAAGGTTTGAGATTTTATATTTTTTCAGTTTCCTATCTTTTCTCTACTAGAGTCAGTGACCTTTACAGCATAGTCCGATTTGTAGTGGCCACATGATGTTTGATTAGTTGTCTTCTTTTCTTAACACTTCATTATAGGATCGTTGGAAGTTAATGTGCAGCATCTGTGGGGTATCTTATGGAGCTTGTATCCAAGTAAGAATTCTTTTGATGACAAGAAAAGCTGATTCATTGTGTACCCTTCACGTAACAATATTTTCTAGCAGATACTTGCCATGGAAATTAAGCATTCAGAAGAAAAATAGTAATGAGCTGCATAGGAGCATAATATTTCTATTGCTTCCCATGCTTATATTTCTACATAAATATCAGTAACTGAATAAAGCATTTAACTAGAAACAATGATGCACATTTTCAGTGTTCAAACAGTTCTTGTCGAGTGGCATATCATCCACTATGCGCTCGAGCTGCTGGTCTCTGTGTTGAGGTACTTCCATATCCTACAGGGGATCATAAGATTCTGCATTCATTCATATACGTTTACTCAACCACTCAGAAATCACAAAAGAGATAGTTCTACATATGATAGCATGCTTGTACTGTTGTTGTAGCTTGCGGATGAGGATAGGCTTTTCCTTCTATCAATGGATGATGATGAAGCAGATCAGTGCATCCGCCTGCTTTCATTTTGCAAGAGGCATCGGCAAACATCAAATGACCACCTAGAGACAGAGTACATTATCAAACCTGCTCATAATACTTCCAAGTATCTTCCACCTCCTAACCCATCTGGCTGTGCTCGTACTGGTATGTAGTTGCATTGATCAATACCTGCTAGAAATAAAGTGTAGAACTTTTTTGGCTAGTTATTCTCTTACCATGTTGCAATGTTTTTCTTTTGTTTATCTTTAGTGATCTTACATTATTCTCTTGGACTTTTAGAAATTATTCTCAGAGATCTAATAATGTGTTTGTCACGTTTTGCATGTTTGCATTCATGTTCACATCTAAGGACTGTAAATGTCAGTTTATAGCTTTATCTTGCAGAATTTTTGAACATGTTTTTTATCTGTTTCTGGTAGAGCCTTATAATTATCTTGGAAGAAGAGGACGAAAGGAACCCGAAGCTCTTGCTGGTGCTTCGTCAAAACGATTATTTGTTGAGAATCGGCCGTATATTGTTGGTGGTTACTCTCGACATGACTTTTCAACCTACGAACGCATTTATGGATCAAAGGTGTCACAGATAATTACTCCAAGCAATATTCTATCTATGGCCGAGAAATATAGATACATGAAGGAAACATACAGGAAGAGATTAGCATTCGGTAAGCCTTTAATCAGCAATAGTAAAAGATGTTATCACTCCTTCAAAATTTCTGCTATGTTGCCGCAAATTTCATATTTTTTGGGTGCGGTGGGGGGTGGTTTTGAAGATCAAATTAGTGGAATTTCTGTTAGAAGACAAAAATGGTAGGATTTTTGTTTTGTTTTTCTTGAATTCTTGGCATGCGTAGTGCATATCTGTGATGTGTCTCTGTTTATAGTAATCGTTGTTACTGCTTATGGATTAGATGGAAACGTTTCCCATTAGGCCTACCGTATCTCTCAAAACTATAATTTTCTCTGATACTTTTTCTCCTTGAAATTGGTTTACTTCCCTTTACAGGGAAATCAGGAATTCATGGTTTTGGTATCTTCGCAAAGCTTCCGCACAGGGCAGGAGATATGGTTTGCATTCTTAACTCGAACTGTCCATTCTTGTATGGTAAAGTGTCAGTCATGAGAATATCATGAATTGGGTGGGTGCAGGTGATTGAATACACTGGCGAACTCGTTAGGCCTTCAATAGCTGACAAGAGAGAACATCTGATATACAACTCAATGGTGGTGCGCATCTGACCTTGTACATTTTATACTCTTGAATAATGTTGGACCTAAGTATCAGCATATTGATCTGTGCCTCTTATCCAATAGAGCCACATTGATTGTGGTTTTGCTTGAGCACTGGAACATTCCAGTAGCATTCCCTTAACTCAACTGTGTTGTTAGTATCCACACATCTTCCCAGCTTTCACTCACTGATATTTAGGCTCTGATGTTTTTTGGTCCAGTAAAGAATTGTAAGATGTCGGTTTTGCAAAATAATATATTTTATGATATAGGGTGCCGGGACCTACATGTTTAGAATTGATAATGAGCGGGTCATCGATGCTACAAGGATAGGAAGCATTGCCCATCTGATTAATCACTCATGTGAGGTATGGTCAAGTAGTTTTTGAATATTTTTGTATTTGACCAAGTTAGCACCTGCAATATAATCACATTACTTATGGATTCGCTTCTGAACAGCCAAATTGCTATTCAAGAGTTATTAGTGTTAATGATGATGACCATATTATCATATTTGCAAAAAGGGATGTCGCAAAATGGGAAGAGCTGACCTATGATTATAGGTTTATATCTTCGTGCCCTTTATTTCTCAGGTGCTTTTTACCATTATCATTTTACTGATTTTTAACTTGCAGGTTCTTTTCAATTGATGAGCGCCTTGCATGTTACTGTGGTTTCCCAAGATGCCGTGGTGTTGTTAATGACACAGAAGCCGAAGAACGACATGCAAATATTCATGCTTCTCGCTGTGAGTTAAAAGAGTGGACAGAGGCCTGAGAGGTATGCTATATCTTTTAATATGTTAACTTGGGAAGGATTTGTTCTTTGTAGCTCTTATGAAAGCTACTTCTCAGGTTAGTAGATGTCTTATCCCCATTGAAGATGACGAGATATTTTATGCGTCTTGATCTCTTCGGATGACGGACTAATTTTATGGCGAGGCCAGCCATTTGTATTGGAAAAAAAATTACACTAGACACAAAGTAAAAACATTTATCTGAATAGATGTCTAATTTACAAGATCCTTTTTTGTAGTAATCCATTTCTTGTACAGATACTAATTAGTAGTTAAACCACAGCAACCTTCTTTTTTAATATAACAAGAGACACATTATAATCTTGGTTAAATGAAAAAAAAAAGCTGCACTCTCTTCTTCGTCCAGACTCAGATGGGCCCGAATCTGCTGTTTCTCTGATTTATTAGGGTTATACATGATGCCATCCGTTTATATCCATATTATGCTACAAAAGAATGGATTTCAGATTTTGTAACTGGCAAGCAGTGTGATTCTAGATTTCAACAAGGGATTGAGTTTCGAGTTAGAAATAAGAGGTGCATAGTTTTCTTCAGTCTGACACACACCATGTGAAGAAATCCTTATCACTCCTTTAGTCCTTTGTAGTGTTAACTTTATTTCCCACCTTTTTTTGGTTCTCTGTGCATGTGACCATTATTGGTCGTATCCCTTGACCCATTCTCTGTCTCACACACACGCACAAGCACAAACGCGTGTATGTATGTTTGTCTATGTGTGTGTATATATACTCAGGTTTGGAGTTTTAATGCTTCTGTAGTTCTGTTTACTTGTGTCCAAATGCCAATATCTCTCAAGTTCCTTCTTTGGTCATCTCTTGCTCTCTTGCTTCTTCAATCAGGTAACTTGAAACATTTTTTACAACTACTGTAACTGTGGGTATATATGCATAGACACATGAATGGAGTTGTATCATGTATGTATAGGATTTGGAGAAAAATGTGAGAGCAAAAGCAGCGAACCAACGGTGAGGCAGACGCAGGTGAAGTGGAGAGAAGGAAAGAAGTTCAGAGTGGAGGTAATGAACAAATGTCCAATGTGTCCAATCATCAACCTTCGTCTGAAATGTCAAGGATTTCCTCAGTCGCTTGTGGACCCCACGCTCCTCCGTGTTCTCTCCTCTTCTGCCGGAAACTGCGTCATTAACGACGGCTTGCCATTGAGTCCAATGCAGACTCTCTCTTTCAACTACTCCAACTCGCACCAGTTTGCTCTGCGTCCTCTTTCTTGGTCTTTTCAGTGCGAATAAATTAGTAAAAATAAGTTAAAATCAATAAAAACATATCTCTTTGTTCATCAATCTGCTGGTTTTTCTTTGTATTATCTATATTCAGACCACCTTTTTTTTTACCATATGAGGGATATGTTGAATCTATGTACAAAAGAGAAACTATAAGGAGTCTGTCTACTAAAGGAAGAAAAGAGTAACGAGGAAAAGTAACGAAAGTAAAAGCAAAGAGGCATCTAAAGGACATGTAGAAGAGATATAATGTGAGCCTACTAGATGAACTGTCCCTGTTCCTTCATCTTTTACTTTTATGCTTGATGAGCCTGCACAAAAGAGACAGGACAAAGATGAATTGTTTCAAATTTAAAATCTAATCACAATCACTACGAGACACGAATCCTGATCTAACACTTACAGTTGTACTCAGTCCACCCGATGAGCTGATTTTCTAGATCGTAGAGAACAAGCTTGTTTGAAAGAACCAAATCTGCAAAGGGAGTGAATATATTGTGGGTATTGGGCTGAATCAAAAAAAACATGATGCATTGTCACTGAGCGCAAGAAAACACAATGACTTTTCTAGGAGCTTTGTAACTGAGTCATGTTTTTGTGATGATTGCAAGCTATGTATCTATTTTTGCAATGGTGGTAGAGATAACAACACAAGATCTAGAGCTAGCTATTGCAGGGATACCCTGGTCAAACAATAATGGAAAGCAGGGTCAGATGAAGAAAGGTTCGTGAGTATTCTCAAGGTACCTCCCAAAAGTGTCATGTTTCTCCTATCTCTAGATTGCATTCCGCTATTTTGCCAACCAATGCACCACATTCCTTCCTGTGAAAAAAATGGTTTCATGAGTACGGGATGAAAATTGGTAGCCCTTGATGCGAAAAATCAACCAGAAAGGCTGAAGTGAAGATGCTTACATAAGGGAACAGATAGTCATGAGGATAGACCCTGAGGAAAACTGAGTTTTCGAAATGGAAAGTAACATTCGGAAACCCCTCATCAACTCTACAGCAAAAGTAACATGTGGTTTCGTAAGAAGACCATTGTGTGATCAGAGCATTTCACGATTCAAGACGTAAAACTAACCTTCCAGAGTACTGAAAGCATTTGTAATCTTTATCCACTATGTGAACTTTCAGAGCAGGCTCCTGCGAGGTTATCTGAAAAAAGATCCAGAGTTATGAGAACATATATCTGCATTAAGAGTTTCTTTGAGAGATTGCAATTTTTCTTGCAGTGTACCTTCTTCACCAATGGTTCATAGATTATCTCTGGGAGATAGGCCAAGGTTGTACCACTGTCAATTATTGCTCCTTTTCTGTCTCCCGCTTCGAATAAATCGGCTGGAATATCTAGAAACTCCTGACCAACTTGAACTGCTGTCATATTGACATTGTAATGTGGTCTGCGAATAAAAACAACAGGAAATTTGTTAACGGAAAAAAAAAAAATAGAGAACGAATATATTCACCACTTCAGTAACATATACTAGTTTTATTTCCTCCCTCCATACAGGAAACGGAATAAGATTCAGCTATTCCAACAGAGAAAGCATCATATCTCAGCGAGCGAGCGTATAATATTATTATTAGTCTAAAGCAAGACTGTAATAAACAATCTTTGACATACTGATTGGGTACCAATGGTGTCATGTTTACTTTTGGTTGCACAACACGTCCAATCGCAAATATGCCACCACCATTTCTTCCATCTAAGCAATGAGCAAATATCTTTTTCACTCTCCCTGAAGAGGCCAGCTGTGAAATCATTGAGGAATTAGCTTTTCCAAATCCAAGTATTCCGTCAAGCGCTTCTTCATTAGAACCGTCAAGATCTCCTGACTGCCTAGCACCACACCTTCAGGATCATATTAAAAACACTAATATGAAAGAAATGAAATGAGCTGTGCTCAGAAAGACATCTAACCAAAAATAAGCAAATCAATCAATTATCATAATCAAAAGCATCTGGTTCATCTGTGATACTTCACTCCATGAGAATATCACCAGACATGATAGGGAACTAATTCACAACTTTTTAAAAAAGAAGAATAGATGCCATAATGCATTTGTTCTCTAACCAATCAAACTTTAACTGTTTGGCCTTTGTGTGTGCTTTAAAAATTGTTTGCCAATTCATCAACTTTACAGCCTCTACCATGTATTTTTTTGTATGTTCACTTTACAAACTAAAACCGAGACCACAACCAAGGATGCTCTTTTCAATGAGAAGAGAGAGATTCTAACAAAGCTGCAAGCTTTATGTTGCAGCAGCGTTGCTAGTTTAGAGAGAAGAAAAGTAAAGCGAGTTACCCAAATATGACACTCCCGTTGGCTGTTTTAGTCTTGAGATCCCCAGCAACACTGTCATACTGCACAACATCTTGTACAAAATAACCCGCAGTGGAGCTCCCATCTCCATATATCTCAAGATAAGGACATGACATATTAGCCTTGCAGCCTGAGAGAGGACCATGACTAATCTGATAGCAAAAGTCTTCATCACAAGAAACCAACTTTCCACTTTTGGATTCCTCAATGTTGTAGAGTGTTAGCTCGATCTGCATAGGAAAGGAGAGCCTGTAAGAAATGTGGCACACCAATTTGAATATAGGAGTCTCGAAAAGGCAATAAGAGGCTTACACCAAGAGTGCTTCTCCTGGGACATTGTTTGCACTGGATGCAGTTTACCCACATAAGGTCACTCCCTGTGTCGACTTGAACATAATAGCTCTTTGCAGGAGTTCCAATTTCAATTCTTGCATAGTACAGCCTTCAAATGGATGAGAAAATAGAAAGAGAGGGCACACACAGATCAATGGGACGCATAAATGCCTGAATTCCAACTGCAAAGTTTATCTTTAAAAATTCAAACTTTTGAAACCGCAGATTACGAGATTCCCATAAATTCCAGTGAAACAATAAGTTTGGGTTTCATGTTTTACTCCACGGAGTGAATCTGAAAGTGAGAGAGATGCCTAGGAAAAATCAGAGAGAGAAACGAACCCGAGGATATCAGGGCGACCGGTTCCACCGAGAGGTAGATCGATTCCGGCGAGAATTGTGAGCTGACGCCGGTCATCGTGCTCCTTTAGGGCACTCAGGGAGCCTTGAAGCCTGGGATAGCGGTACTTAACGTTGAACACTCCGGGATTAGAAGAGACGGAGATGGCGAAAACGAGCGTGAGCAACGAAATCAGTGCGAATCTTGTCGGAGGAGCGGAGATGAGGGAAGAAACCATTGATGAGGTCATCTTCCTTCCGTCTCCTTCGCGCCTGATTTTTTCTGGCGTCTGTCGTCTCCGCGGAGGAGTTGACAGGACCCACCGGACCGGCGAAGACGACGACGACGAGGGAGCGGAAGAAGTTGAGAAATTTCAGAGTTTATTGGTCACTTGTTCGACCAATACAGCCTTTTCGTATTTTATTACTTTTTATTTCCTGCGTGGACTTTTCAATTTCCTTAAATCTTCACAAATTTTATGACTTTCTTTAAATCGGAATGTCCTTCTGGAATTTATATAGTAATCAAATTTAAAATATTTCTTATTGTTTTCCTAAAAAGATTTCTTATTTTTTCCAAATACAAATTAATCATAGAAATGCAAATAAAGAAAGAAAAACAAAAAGAGCTACATATTTATTTATTTCCAACAAAGAAATACACAACAATATCTATTTTAATTGTAGAGACAGCCTTTTTGACTTTGACCAAATGAACACAATTTGAAAATGTGGATCAACATATATATTCTCAAAGGAAAGAAAATTGTTGATACAAAAATAGAATCAAGCCTGCTTCGAGGTCCCGGGTTTCAACTAATGAAAGAAATTCAATAAAAAAACCTTAAACAAAACAAATAATGGGATCCACAGATAATAGCTCCAAAACTGCTACGAAGCAAATTATGTACGTACAATACTATACTATATATTATGAAAACTCGTGAATAAACGAATAGAAACATCATAGTAGACCTCAGTAATGTTTCCTAGCTTTCTCTATTTTACACACATTCTCCAAATACAATAATTCAATATGGTTTACATACAGAAAAATATAAATGCATAAGTTCTACACAGGGCCAAGCCCTATACCCAAAAAAAAAAAGCACACATTTCTTTTTACCACAATCAATTTCACTTATTACGTAGCACTTCTCGAGTGAAGCAAGATAGACTTGAGAACGACGGCGATACAGAGACTTAGGAAGAGGAAGAGGAAGGTGCAGTTGAAGGGTTGAATGCTTTCTGCTCGGCGCAGCTGAGCTCGTCGCTTGGTCCGGCGTCTTCTCTTCCAAGACCCAAGAGGTCGAGGAAGTATAGGTAGTGCGAGATTATGTTGTTCATTGGATCGATGTCACCTTGACCACATGTGTACTCTCCGTACAGAACGTTCATGGTGCTTCCAAAAGTCGGGCCACGTTTGGACAAAGTGTCGTTCTTTGATGGTTTCCAGTTTCCAACAAAGATGTCGTGAGCCGAGGGCTGAGATTTCTTGATTGGTGTCATCCACCTCCAGATTGCAGCTTGGAAGGCAAGAGTCGCGTTCTGCTCGATGTACTCCGGGTGGTTCAAGAGATCAGCTTTCAGGGCTTTTCCTGCTGCACCGTAGTTGAAGTTCCTTCGAATAAAAAAAGCACAAGTGAAATGGATGAGCTTTGAAATCGAGTACGCAAGTGTTTGAGCTTCAAAATGATGTGTACCAGTAAATGGGCAAGGCACCACGTCCGTAGTATTCAGCTCCAGGGCTGCAAGGGTAATCGACCTCCCAGGTTTTGTCACAGTAAGATTGGCTTGGGCTCATTTCTCTGTTGTAGCACAGTCCCCAAGCTAAAGGCCCTCCTGTTGCGACTCCATAGCCACCTGTAAAGACATGATCACAGTAACACTCATGCTAGTGCAATGCTGAATAGTGTGAACCAAATCTTAAAAGAGTATTGAAGAAAAACTCACAGGAGGTTTTGCTGGCGACATGACCGAGAAACGCAGCCATTTCTTTCTGTCCCATGAGCTTTCCACCAGTGGTACCAAACCCTAGAGGCTCATAGAGAGCAGCAGCGGTAATGAAGGACTGGTAGTCCCAGAAGCCAACGGCGTGAGCCACGGGAGTGTTTCTTTTGGCAAAGAGCTGCTCAAACTGATACACCTGAAAGTAATCTGATATCGTCTGGTTACAGCAGTATTCCGACCACCAGCTGCATTCCCATCCCTGCGTGCACAACTTCTTTCCCCTCACCTTCTTCACTTTAATCGTCTTGTCTTCCCCATTTGCGACCAAGGCCAGGAATGATACAGCCAGCAGAACCAGAATTACGATTGAACCACTCCGGATTGACACCATAGCTTACAACTAGGGAGCAAGTATCAGCTACAAGATCATAGAACAATAGTTGGACAGGCTTCTTGTTCGAATTTGTCTCTAAATTTAGAAACTTTTTTCATCCTTCCTAACATACTATCAAGAAATGCCCTACAAATTGTTTTTTTTTAACCAGGAGATAAGTAACACATATTTAAATTCTGACCTTAAAGATCTATGCTCAAACCAAAAACACCAAATCCGACAAGCCAGAAGCTGGAAAATTCGAATTAAACATCGGAAAGATTGGAATCAGCAAAGAAAGAACCAAAATTAGTAACAAACCAAAGACACGGCTGACTCCTAATTCTAAGAACTAACAACACTTGTGACTTTGGCTGACCCCTAATAGCTGTAGATTGAACGATATCATACCAAAATTGGAAATGCTGATGTAAGTGAGACTAGAATCTAAAGTGTAGAACTTCAAAATGTGAATTTGGATCAGAGATTGTCAGATCACAAAATCAATGAGGAATCAGCAAAACCAAGATTAGCTGTAAATCGTCGTCACAAGCGCTTACCTGCAATGCTGATCAGCTATAGATCCAATGAGATCGAGAAAACTAGTTGTGCTTCAACGCGGGACAAAAAAGCTATATTTTTTGTTTTGCTTCGTTGCCGAGAACACGAGAGATTCTCAGGGAAGAGAGAAGGGATTAAACTAAAGGCAGGTGACGGATCAGCGGTCTCTATCAACCGTTCGATTGGAGTACAATCAACGGCTAAGATTGCGTTTGGTGCGATGAATGTGTCGGTATGAGAAGACAGGCTGGTAGGTGTTGTGGGCCCTACTAAAGTGATGTGGAGCCTTCCACCGACAGCCGCGCACAGCAGACCTGAGAGTCTCCCCGGCTGGTTTAACCAACCGATTCGATACGGTTTAATTCGATTCGAGTTAGTTTTCGATTTTTCTAGACTTTCGGTTTATGTTGTGTAACTAAAAGGGTATATAGCCCAATGGGCCTTTATTTATCGTCAATACTAAAAACAACCGATCCAGAAAAAACAATTTTTGTCAAGTTTCCTTCCCGAAAGCAATTGTTCTCTCCTCCTCCACTCTCGTGTCTCCCATTCTCTTTCTCTCTCCAACTGTGACAATGGCGTCTGCTTCGAAGCAAAATCCATCGTCTTCCAAACCCCCAAGGCATCCTTTTCCCATCGCTGCCTCAATCCCCACAAAATCCGGTGTCACGGAAGAATCCCAGTTTCGAAACCCTAATAACCCTAGCACAAGCGTCTTACCGTCGACGTCGAATTCACCGATTTCTATGGCAGTGGAGGATCAGATCCTCGGACGCTCCACTCACCTCACACGCCCGGAGCTTCTCCGACGCCGATCGCACCACCTGAAGCAGCTCTCTAAATGCTATAGAGACCATTACTGGGCTCTAATGGAGGACCTCAAGGCGCAACACAGAGAGTATTACTGGAAGTATGGTGTTAGTCCTTTCAAAGAGGATAATCATCAGCAAAACAAGAGACGAAAGGTTGGGATTGACGGACAGAGTGGGGATGAAATCGCCGTTGAAGGCAGCGGAGACAACGATAACAACAATGGTGGAAGTAATGGCGTTAAGGCTGATCTCAGCATGAAAGGCAATTGTGTGGCTTGTGGGAATGGATGCAAATCCAAGGCCATGCCACTCACCAATTACTGTCAGCTTCATATCCTCTCCGATAAAAAACAGAAGCTTTACACGTCTTGTACTTACGTCAACAAAAGGTTCGTTCCAATTTCGCTATCCCCTAAGTTCTTAACTTTTGATTCACAGTTATGCTCTTGCTAGTTTTTGGTTGTTTAGCGTTAGGAAATAAAGGTTGGAATACCGAAGTTTTGATGATTTCGGCTGGTATAAACCATTTTATTGTAAGATAGGATTAGGATTGTGTGCATAATTCATTTGATCCTCCTGAAGTTCTTACTGTAAATAGACCAGATATCATCAGATGATATAACCTCTGTTGAACATTTGGTTTCTTATATTACAAAGAGCTGAAACTTTGTATTTTGAAGAGTAATTAACCAGCTCTATTCTAACTCTCACTGTTTTTGATACTTTGTATATGCAGAGCTCAGTCAAAAGCAATAACTTGTCCAAAACCAACACTTGCATCGACTGTTCCTGCCTTGTGTAGTGTGCACTTCCAGAAAGCCCAAAAGGACGTTGCTCGGGCTTTGAAGGATGCTGGTCATAATGTTTCTTCAACAAGCAAGCCTCCCCCAAAACTCCATGACATTGTAGCCGCGTTTGTGCATCATATTCAAGCTAAAAGAAGAGATCCGCGGAAAGAGGGCAAACTAAAAAGCTCTGTAAAAGAAGAAATCACAAGCTAACTCCAACAACAGTTTGAGACTTTGGTTGCAGAGAAATCATTTGTTTCCACGATTGTGCAAAAAAATGGAAGGTAAGGTAACTGGCGTACTATATCATCACAAGTGAAGTGAGGGAGATAGGAAGCTGATATTTGATTCACGATAGACCTAGATACGGTAGCCTGGTCATGAAGAAAGTTTATTTTTTTTAGTGTAGATCTTGGTTGCACAGAACATATTGGTAGATTTTTCTTTTTCTTTGTTAATCTTAGCAGATCAAAGCTACTGTTAGAATGATTAGCATCTAAGAGGTGCCCTGTGGTGTTCGATATACTTTGCCCTGAATGGAGCTGACAGTCACTGCCAATAAGTTGCTTAAAATGATTTACCATTTTATGTTGTTGCGTAGAATATACAGCGGGTTGTGTGATTTGTCGTATTAGTCTTAATCTTGAAGAGTTGTAGTCATCTTGTGTATTGCTGAATGTTGGTTAGGTGGACCTGAACACAGTACCTTTGTTAAGCATTGGAAGCAACCGTTGAACCACATGGCAGTGCGTAACATATAGATCCATAGCCTCTATTCAAGCAATGCATGTAGGTGTTGGCTTCTGCCACGATATTGACAGATTTTAGATGCAAAGTGCCTCTACAAAGGTTACAACTTGCTTCAGCCATGAGAGGGGCAACACTGACACAGAGGTTTAGTTAAAAATCTAGTTTGACGATGAGGATATCGTTAGATTTTTAACACTTATATAACCCCAAGAAAAACTTACAGATTGAAATTCTACACAATGAGAATTTACGTGTTAAAAAGTCAGGTCTAGAGATTATTCCATTGATTTACAGATTGGTATCATAGATGAGATGAAATCCTAAACGAGCCAGATACAGATACAGGGTGAATACTGAGTCAGATTCTTTATTCGTTGATACTATCACAATCTCCAAGAGATTTTAATCATCAACAGATTCAATTGCAATTCACTACAGAGATGGAGAGAGAGAGATCTTACCGGCGGAAACTCTCATAATGATATCATCATCATCCATCGTTTTACAACCGATCCAACGACGACACAACACACAAACTACGGGCTGCGGATGAGAGCGCGACGAGTTTGATAGAAAGCCAAACTATCAAAAGTTACAAGTTAGAATACAAAATATCAAAAATTAAAATTTAACAACCTAGAAAGACATGAGAAAGAAACTATTTATATAAAAGAAGAAAAATCTTAGAAAAAGGAAAAAAACAGAAATAAAATAAAATACTTAAAACTAATAACAAATACGTAAGGAAATGTGATAAACAGATAAAACTAAGTGTTTAGAGAAAATAAATAAATATAAAAGAAGCACTTAAAATGGTGTGGATCAATGAAGTACAAACAAATTTATATTGAGAAATTATGTTGATAAATTTATATTGACAAATTATGTTGACAAATGTATAATTTAATATTGAGGATCTATTTTTACTTTTATACAATTTTAATGTTGACAAATGTACTACTTTAATGCATACAACTTTATGTTGACATATTTCTATTAATAAATTATGTTAACAAATTTATGTTGACAAATGTATAATTTAATGTTGAGAATCTATTTTTATTTTTATACAACTTCAATGTTAACAATTTTATGTTAACAAATGTGCAACTTCAATGTATACAAAGTCATGTTGATAAATTTATGATGACAAATTATGTTAACAAATTAATGTTGACAAATGTATAATTTAATGTTTAGAATCTAGATTAATTTTTTCGTCCACGGATTGCCCGAATATTTCATAGGTGACGGCAAATGAGGCTTTCACACAGGAAATGATGAACTATGTGAATGAATTCGATGTTGATCGTGATATTGACTTCTTGAAGACTTCTGGATGGGATGTCCAAATGACATCATGGTTCTGGTTTGTGATTCTAACAAGTCTTTTGTCTCACACAATATGCGGGGAGGTTGGCTCCAATCCGAAGCCCAAAATAGCTTTACTTCTTAATATTTTCTGTTTTTATTTTTAGTGTTTTACTAAGATATTGGTCTGCACGCATGTGCGGACATGAACGATTTTAAAAATGTAATTATTTAAATACAATATTTAAATCTGTTTTAAATATTTTAATTTTTTGTAATATATGAAATTCAAAGTCAGTGTTTTGAATTATTAAACTTTAAATTAAATAGTAAAATATGATCTAATTTTAACTAAATATTTTGTTATAACCAAAAATTCATTTATATTTTGAGACAGACTTGAAAAATAATTATTAAATTTTGAAAACATAATAATTAATTTTCTATGATCAGGCTTATTTTAGATGGTCAAATGGGTCAAATCCGTAGATAGCTGTCTTCTTCGGATTTACGGATCAGGCTGCAAATTTTATCTTCTTCTCTGCCTTTTTTTTGAACAAACGTTTTTCATTTTCTTTATCTTTCTATAATATTCCTCGATTTAAAGCATTATTTCTTCAAGGATTCCGTCATTGTTGGTCTCGATCTACTCATATGTGCGATTTTTTTATTTATAATTTTATCAAGTAGACTCTACAAATAATTGCAAGATCATCTCCACTTAAGCATCAAGTGTTTCAATTAACCATATTGCAATACATGTTTCAACGAAGGTTGGATATAAAACTCTGTTTACTGTCATAATATCTTCAAAACATATTGGTCTTCTCTGAACATTTAGCAACATTTTAGATAGAAAAACTCACCATATTCTTCTGAGACTTCTGGAAGGCTAATATCGTAGGGAACATTGTTTTTTTTGTTGCGAGGGAGCCATTTCTTAAATCTTTTATGCCAAACTCATTTGTTTAGAAATTCAGTATAGCGATAAAACCTTGTTTCATTACACTCACGATTGGAGTGATCTATACAACCTTCAAGTTTCATTTTTGCCATATTTGATTCAACCATGTCACATTTAATTAGGATAGAGAAAAGATTTTAACCAATCAAATTAAAAAAAATCAACATTTTTCATTAAACTACATTCTCAATTAATAGGTAGAGGATTAGGGTTTGATTTGTTTAATACTCATGTGTGTTGTGATGTTTTCTTATATAGAGATCCAAGTATTTAACTTTTTCATTAGTTATTTGGGATGAACGTATGTTTATATGGATCTTTTTGGTTTTTATTAAATGGATATTAAACTTTTCAAATAATGTATAGGATAATGATTTAGGTTTTTCATTAGATGCACGTTGATTTTTTAGGATATTCAACGTTTGTTACGAAAAATAATGTAGAGGAATCGAAATCTTATATTTATATTTGTTATTATTTTTAAACTAAACTAATCTTTTTAAATTTTGAATGTTCTACAGAAGATCACAACAATATTTTATTCTATTATTATAATTTTGCCAACTAAAGTATGTGAAAACATATATGCACGTAAATAGAGCACGCATTTACAAAAAGTATGAATTATTTGGTAAATGATTTGATCAATGTGATTTTGTTATTATAATTTTGCCTATTGAAGTATATAAAAATATATGTGCATGTATTCCATATGAATATAGTATTATAATATATATATAGATATATGTGTATCTATATGGAAAGTCATAGTGGTCCATGACAGAGTTATAGTAAATTTAATAGATCCATAGTATTGTAATATATATATTTATATATGTGTATTAAAATCATCACGTTCAGCCCAAAATTCATCTATTATTATCTATATAAATGAATAATAATATATCAGGTCATTTGTAATGCATCTAGTGAATAATTCCAGATTTAGTTATTAGTATACTAAATTTTGTCATTTAATTAATTTTTTTATTAATGAAAATATCACAAAAATAATCTTTTTGTCATGTCATAAACCACATGTGTTAGTAAATGTCATGTCATAATTACATCATCATTACACATCATCATTTCCATGTCACATTTAATTAGGATAGAGAAAAGATTTTAACCAATCAAATTAAAACAAATCAACATTTTTCATTAAACTATATTCTCAATTAATAGGTAGAGGATATATGTTAGAAATGCTTTTTTCTTTGAAAAACAATCTAATATATAACTATTTGAACAATTAAGTTAGAAATGAGTTTATTAGAAATTCTTATTTCTTATTTGCTTTGGATAATGATAGTTTGGAATGACAAAAATCACATTTTCATGCATTCTAATTGCCCCATTTGCAATTTGAAATTCTTATTAATTTTTTTTTTTTTTATGATAATGGTCGAGAAATATATTCCTATAGATCTTCCCTCAATATTCCGAATTCAATTCGCTAAATATGTTCATTTTCTAAGAATTCAGTACATAGTTTTAATTATAAAACAAATTCTTCAGAAAAGATCGGAAATAGTATATCCTTAATATTTTGCATATCTGAATAATTTTTTAGAAAATAATAGTATTATATGAAAATTCCAGAATATTATGTCTTTTTTTTTTTTTGGTCTTAAATGGTTGGTGCTGTTAAGATTACGGTTTCATTAAGAATCTCCATTTTCTATCTTCAAACCCGTAACTATTTTTCTAATAGAGATTTACAGTAGTTTTGAAAAGAAAGAAAATGTGACACGACAATGCAATCTAATAGAAAAAGTTAATTTTGATTAGGATTCGTAAATGATTATCTCTATGCCCTTATTGTACTCATGTTCTTCATCTATTCCATCTCTCCTGTTTTTTGTCTCATTTTCGGTATACCTTGTGATTTGTGGTTGGTTTGCTATTTTGTCATTACATTATGTCGTCTAACTTGAGAACTTTAGGTTTTTTTTTCTTTGGATTCTTTATATATTCTCATCAATATTTTTCCATAAGTACGATCAAATCCGTTGTTAGAAATCTACCTTTTGAGTTTGTGTAAATTGAGAAAAAAATCACAATCCTCTTGTGAAATCTTGGGTTTATTCTTTAAAATTTCGGTTTAGTAAAGTACCGAACTTGGTTCATGATGTGGGGCTCCAATTCTAGCTCGAGCTGAACCCGTACCGGAAAAGAAAACTTATTTAATCAAACTGCAATTGAAATTCACCAAGGAAGAATATAGAATCGAATCTAACAACAATAAGTTCTCAGTTTACTTTGCGGCGACCAACGAGGAGTGCGAGTACCACCTAACCTTGAACGTTTGCGAAGGCAACTCGATTTGGTTAACGGACACTGGGTTTCTTCAGCAACAAGGCAACAATCACCTTCTTAAATTAGGGTTTTTATCAAATCATTGTACAAATAATTTGTAACAAGGCATCAACAAGTCACCGTCACTTCTATATATTTTATCATTAAGGATTTCTTTTCTTTACACCATATAAAATTGAAGCATCTACGAACCATCTCACCAGAAAGAGAATAAAAAAATTGATCGGAAGGGAGTTGTTATGGGCCTTTATCGTCCAAGAGCGAGCATATCCATGACTGATGCTATATTGTTGTTATATATACAAACATTCCAAACCAAAATCAAATCGATATTGATAAATTAACTTTGAAACATTTTAACCTTTATATAATCAGAATTTTAAAAATATAAACTAACTTTATAACATTAACCTTTATACAATCATATCGGGATTTTTTTAATTAGCATTTAATTATATATTTTCTTAAATTAAAAAGGTAATTACTTTTTCCCCTTTTTGTTATGTTAAAACTAACTTTGAAACAATAACAACTTTTATAGAATAAGATTTTTTTTCCTAAAAAAATATATTTAATTGTACATATTCCTACACTGAAGTTGATAATTTTTTTACTTTACTTTTTGAAGTAGAAGTATCTTTTTTTCTTCTTATTTTCCTTCTTAAAATTTGAGCTAATCATCAAACCCCTTATATATATAACATAAGATGCAGCCACTACTGTTACCATGTTACCATATATGAGTGAAGGTCAAAGTCCAGGGCGTCCATGGCGGTGAGTCCACGACCATACTTAATTCATGACATTGTCATGAGTTCACTCTTGATTGTCTTGAATGTTGCAATGTTTTGCTATGTAAGACACCACAGGATTCACATACATGATGTCACATTAACCGTGTTTTACTTGGTTATGCACTGCTCAACATTCATATTTGGCGTTGCTGCATGGGTCTACTTCTGCACCCACCACGACTTGGGTGAAGATTTCAAAGGCGGAGGCGGCTTGATGGGTATGAGTCATCTCTTTGCCTTTATTTTACTCATGTCATTCATCCATTCCATCTCTCCCGTTTTTCGTCTCTCTTTCGGTATACCTTGTGCTTTCACAGCTTTGTGGTTGGTTTGCTATTTTGTCATTACATTCTGTCGTTTAACTTAGGTTTTTTTTTTTCTTTGGATTCTTTATATATTTTCATAAATATTTTTTCCATAATTACGATCAAATCAGTTGTTAGGTTTTTATAAGTTTGTGTTATTTGAGAAAGAAATCTTCATAACTTTATTGGCAGTACATATATACTTAGGAAACGAAAGTGGGATTCTAAAACGAGATTTGACCGAACCAATCTACCTTTTGAGTTTGTGTAAATCGAGAAAGAGAAGTCACAATCCTCTTGTGAAATCTTGGGTTTATTCTTTGAAATTCGGTTTAATGAAGTACCGGAACTTTGGGGCTGCAATTCTAGCTCGAGCTGAACCCGTACCACAGGATCTTTTCCCGGTTATTGCTTCTAAGACCAAAACACCAAAGCTGTGCACGTGTCTCTTTTCAATCAAAAGTCCTGTATTCAGGAGCAACATACCTGCAACACTCAAACAACAACCATGGCTCAGCAATTCATTTCACTTTTTTATTTTCTTGGTAGCAAAGTTGTCGTAATTACACAAACGTTCCCATCACTCTAGTGGTCACATGGCCTTTCCCATCTCCAAGCAACTTGGCAAGGCCAAAAATCAGAAACCTTTGCGTTGAAATCTATCATCGATCAATATATTGCTCGACATGATGTCTCTGTGCTCGAAAAGATACAGGGTCATAAGAGATGACGAGATGCAAATAACAATAACAGAGAGGGATTACTAGAGCATAACGCAATGACACAATAACAGTAATGCATTTTAAGGGGACTATGGAAGACAAATTATGCAGATGAGTAATAAAAGTATTAATCTCTGCGATTATGGAAAACAGATAATCAACATTAAAAAAAAAACAGCAATACACTTCCCCATCATAAAGGCAGAGCAAGATATCTGGCAAATTCATCATCTGCTTCGGAACGCAGATATTTGTCGGATCGGGAGATAGGGGATCCACCATCCGCGAGGGTGGGCCAATCCCATACTCTTTCTCCAACATCAAGTAGCGGTCCTGTTGTGGTGGAAGGAGCCTGTGCTATGAGAATGTTGTATTGCCTATTCTTCAACTTGAAAAGAAACCTAGCCACGACATATATTTGTGGGATCTCTACCTTTCCCAATATGAGCAACACATTCCATCGCTCATGAAGGTGTTCAAACTCCCAGTTCATTAAGACTCTTAGAAGACATGGCCTTGCTTCTGCTCTGTCTTCTGAGTTGGGATCGACAATGGGATTGATTCCAGCGGCAAGTAGCTCTTCCTTGACCAGGCTCGCATCTCCATAAGCCATCATTGAGGTCCTACCAGTAAGGCCGCAGTCTCCAAGAGATTTTTTAATATTCTCCGCAACATCAACATAACTTTTACCATCAGGGAGCTTGCATTCGTCTATGTCCCAGATGACTGCTGTCTTTAACTCTGCAAGGATTTAGGAATGAACAATGCATTAAACAATCACCAACCCAAGAAAAACTTACAGATTCAATGAGAATCTGCGTGTTAATAACAAAGATAGATAAAGCGGTGAATACTGAGTCAGGTCTAGAGATTAATTATTCCATTGGTTAGTATCATAGATGAGATGAAATCCTAAAACAAGCCAGATACATAGATATACCCGTGAATACTGAGTCAGATCTAACAGCGCTTTTATTGGTTGATAAAACATCTCAATTCTCAACAAGAGTTTTTAATCGTCAACAGATTCAAAGAGCATCTAATCCAGATCTAACGCTTCAATTGCAATTCACTACAGAGACGGAGAGAGAGAGATCTTACCGGCGGAAAGTCTCACAAGGATACTTTCATCATTCATGGTTTTGAAACCGATCCAACGACAAAACTACAAATTACGGGATGCGGATGAGAGCGCGACGAGTTTGATAGAAAGGCTAGTTTTTATACGCGCGCCAGTTATACTATTTAGGGTTAGGGTTAACAAATAGCCTCTATTCACGCAATTGATGTACGTGTTGGCTTCTGCCACGACATTGACAGATTTTAGATGCAAAGTGCCTCTACAAAGGTTACAACTTACAAGGCGCTTCAGCCATGAGAGGGGCAACACTGACACAAAGGTTTATTTTTACATATCTTTAGATTTTTGTAAGAAACTTTGATATAGTTAACCAATTTGGAATTCCAAACACTTTGCTTTTGAATCTTGTCACAAACTTGATTCAGACATGGATATAGCAATTGACAATTTGTGTGTGTTTCGTAACCCGTTTTTGGACCTTTGGCATTCATTAGTGTAAACCAGTCTTCTCTGAAATTTAGGTGAAATATATGACATATATATATATGATTTGTTGCACTCTGAATCATGAGAGATTTAACGTAGTAATGAAGAAGGAAGGTAATGAAACACAGCATCTAAAATATCTGAAATCCATCGATCTTCTTCCCGCACGATTCTTCAGAAAGGTTAAGGAGGGTCACGAAAAATAAGTAACTTTCGCCACAAGATTGTAAGCTTCAACATACATTGACGAAGACAATGAGTCAGAGGATAATAGAAGATCCAGTTAGATTAGTTACCTCAGTAGGTCCATGACCAGTCAATAACGTGAAATGAATGCTCTTTAAAGAACAAACAAAAAGAGAAGGCTCACATCAGCTGCTGCAGAAAGGACAAGAATCGAGCTATTTAGATGTCAGATGTTAAGCTCTAGATGTTGAGAGTAGCAGGTGAAACGAGAAAGAATGTGATGTTTTTATTATTAACTGATACCTTTTATTTCCGTTGATAAAATCATTAGACTAGATACTAGACACTACACATACATGGAATTATAGTCAAGAATCTAGATGGTGTTCGGACCTTCAAATGCCTTTCAGAGATCTCCTCCTCAGCTAACAGTAGAGTACAGTACCAATTTGTTCATGTAACATAACATCTTCACTTAGAATTCCTGGTTCAGACATCAGACGTGACCATTGTCGTTAGTTCAGCTGCACAATTGGACAGTACAGGCAACGGCTTGTGCCCAGTACTTGAGCCTAGCTTTCACATCATCCGGATTATCACCTGAGATACAACCAAATGATAACTTTTTCAGACATCATATTATATATCCCAATGTCCTTTCCAATCTCAGAGTCAGATTTGTGTCCAGCTGTATCAATAACGAGATATCTCAATTCCTCAAGCAACAAATTATATATTTTTCAAAAAAGGAGATTTTAAAGACGGATCACTGAATCGATCGATGAAAAGAGTCATTATCGAAGAATTAGATAGTTACCGGGGCTAGATATCTTCCAATTGGCAACCGGAGGCGAGGGAGAATCGTCCACCGACGAACTTTCCGGTGACCTGTTGGTATTGCTCTGCTTATCGTCTAGGAATCTCTGGCTCATGGAATAGCATAGCTCTAAAGCAGGCAGAGTGTTGCAGAGCTCCGGGATCTCGTCGTAGCTGAAACCGAACCCTAGATCTAGACAGCCCTTGAGATCTTCGAGGTCGTCATCGGTCAAGCTCTTGGATCTCGTGAGATCGTCTTGGTTATCGAACGTGGCAAGAGTCTCCACGTAGCCCTCCACTAACACCTGGCTCTTCTTCCTCTCCAGTTTCTTCCAGCTCTCGCCGCCGGAGACAGATGATCGCCGGGTAGAGATCTCACCCCAAGCTTCGTGGATTCCGGCTTTGTCGACGCATTCCAAGGCATTGTCAGATGTTTCGGCTTGTTGAAAAGAAGAGTACTGCCGTTGATCTGATGATTTGCAGCTAACGCAATCCATCACTCACTCTCTCACTCACTATTCTTTGGATCCGAGTCTCTGTTTCTCTCTCTCACTCTGTTTCTCTCAGTCAGTTTTCCTCCTTATTATATGATGAACTCTGTGTTTGTCGGGAGAGAGAAGCAGAGCCGATTTGGTTACTTATAAAAGCCGCAATGAGCTGTACATCGATGGTGATTATTATAGGATGATGATGATGATGGATGCCATCTTCTCGCGTGACTATCGTCTCGTATGCAAATTTGTGGGGCCCGAACGTAAAGAGCCATTTAAGGAGGATTTTAATGAATTTATTTCAAATTGATTTGAAATTATGTGTTATTACTATTTGATTTATAATTTTCAAATTCAAAACTAAAATATGGGCGAAAAAAGATGTATGTAATCATATTACTCGATATAATATGCGGTAATCAGGATGTAGGATTGAGGATTGCATGTGTATGATATAATCATATAATTGTCACATATATATTTTACATTGTGTCTTTGCAAGGACTTGGTTGTGACACCAAAATATACAGTTGGTCTTGCTGATCTGAACACGTGGCTGACAACGAATGGATAGATCCTAGAGCGAAGATGAATATAGGCCAACAAACCCACGTGGACTGTCTTTGTCACTCAATAATTTAGCTGGTAGGAGAAGAATACAAAGTCACATCATTATTGTTGAGCTTACTATTTACTAATATACGGTCCAAATTTTATACATTTATTATGCCATCCATGGTGATTGTGAAATTTTCCGAAAATGTCATTTTAATTATATACTACATAATAAGTATCTATTTTTGTGGTGCGAATACCCTATTTTCTTTTCCTATTTTTTTGGCACACTTGCACTCGTGGTGCGAGGCTGCAAGCCACAACGGAGGCACTCGTGGGATCCACATGATCTAACGCTTTTGCCATTTCCCTTTAAGCTTTATTGTAGCCTTTGAAAAGGCTACACACGTCACTTTTACAAACAAAAATGAAAAAAAAAAATCGTAAAGAGACACACACAACCCAATGTTAATTTAAATTAAGTTTGTATGTAAGGAAAATATGAAGATCAAAGCATAGTTCTTCTTCTATCTATCGTATGACTTTTCTTGTTCTCACATCAAACGCACCACCGATTGATATTTGGTCTCTGCTTAAACAAAATCGGTAATAAATGATGCGCTCTGCATTCATATAATCATCATACCGGTAAATTACAGAATAACCACAGTCTGAATTCTTAGTCAACCGAGAGACGACCAATCCAACAATGATCAATTCTTCAGAAGTTGCGTCTATTCACAATGCCAGACTGTTGCTTTGAATGGGTCATAAGGGAAATAAAAGACAACGAATTATAAAAAAATGATATTGATCAAGGCTTGAGTTTGATTTTGTCTTTTAATTTACCCCTATACATATTTGTCTCTGGGAGGCTCTTTCTTGGAAGAAATGGCGAACATTCCCTGTAACTGCATGCGTGATTAAACACGTCTGACTTTTTCAATATCTAAAGACCTAATACGTATGATCTTTCTTGAAGACTTTTAGATTGATATATCAAGATTAGTCTTATATAGAAATGGTACGAAATTTACATTCTGTGAGTAGTGTATCTATATATATAAACCCTTTCCGCATCCGACAATTTCAAAGACAGACTTATATTTTCTTCCATTGACTTATTTAAAGAAGGTAAGAGTTCGTCAAACTTCACTTCTCATTTTTCTCTCCTATGGATGATCCCGTTGCCAGAAGGCTGGTTAAGCCCCATACCGAATCAGAGTCCGGCACACCTGGAGAAGATGATCGGACCGAAACATCAATCCAACAACAGAGTCATGTAACTGTTCTAACAGAAGAATATATTCGGGGGATGATGGAAAGGGATATTCAAAAGGTTTCCGACATTTGCTTCATCTCCGAAGCTGATGCCACACTTCTGCTACCAAAATTTCGCCGGTAAAAAAACTTTAGTTGATTTTGTAATATTGCTCTTGATTTTGTATGACTTCTGCTACAAGAAACCCTAATTTTGATCTCTCTGTTTCTTTGATTTACGATCAGGAGTGTTAGTAGATTCCATACGGAATGGTTTGATGATGCTAAAAGTGTTAGAAAAAGCGTTGGCTTATTGGAGAGACCACTTGATCAACCTTCTGATGACAAAGAAGTAATATCCAATTTTTTTTTTATTATACTCTGTTTTTTTTTTTTGGTCCTGAGTCAAAGTCAAAACAAGATCATCTAACTATAATGTTCGATGGTATAGTTCTTTTGCGGAGTCTGTTCCAAATTTCACCCACTTGAGAAGTCTGCATCGGTTTCTTGTGGCCATCGTGTATGCACTTGCTGCTGGACAAGTATGATCTCCTTAGAATCGAATCTTTATTCTAAATCTTTTTTCACTATAACCTATATATTGACCTGTAATTTTATAGGGCATATCAGCAATATCATCAACGAAGCTCCAGCTACTGAATGGGATTGGAGACTAAAATGTCCTTACTCTTGTCCAGCTTCTGTTGGTCGAGATATGATCGACAGGTTTGCTTCCGAGGAAGATAAGTCAAAGTACGATCGATATCTACTTAAATCCTACGTTGAAGACAGCAAAACGGTATAAAAGGGCATAAAGAGAAAGAAAATAAACAACACTACATACATCTTATCTTAGAGGTCACTAATATATGGATTTTTCTTTTTTTGGCATTAGATGATATTGTGTCCTCGTGTTGCCTCGGGCCGTAGCTGCGCAATTGATGTTAGTCCTGCCGATTCTGGAAAATCCGCTGTCTACTGTGTCTGCTTGCTTAGCTTCTGTTGGAATGTGAGTGTTCTTGGATTTGGCTTTTATTGTATTCAATCCAGTTTCGATTACTGTAGCTGAATCTTAGCTTCAGTGCAGCAAGGACGTTCACAGTCCTGTTGACTGTAAATCAGCTGCAAAATGGTTAGCAATGAACAGCTCCGAGTTTCAAGACCCGAACTGGTAAAACAAAAACCAAAGTTTAGGATTTTCGCTTAGCGCTTCTCTAAAGCTTGAATGTTTCACTCTTTTTTGGATCATCGCTTTAGGATTCTGGCCAATACAGTGTCTTGTCCTAAGTGTAAGCGAAGGATCGAAGAAGGTCAAGATTTTTCACTCAAGATGCAATGCTTACCACCTTGTAATTACGATTTCTGCTGGTATTTTACTGATATGCAATTTCTGATTTCTCCACTCATTATAATGTTTTTTTTTTTTTATAGATTAGTTGATTTCTCCATTTAATGAATTTCTTCGGCAGGCTCTGCCGTAGCGACTGGAGTGAACATGGGGAAGGAGCTTGTGACATTGATGCTGTCTCGGTACTTTATCTGATCTTGAAGATTTCATTTGATGGTTTTGTGTATCAACCAATACAATGCCTTTTCTTTTATCTTTACACCGTTATCTGATGTTTTTTGTTTGGTAGTATGAAGAGGCTGATCAACAGTGGAAAACGGCAGAACTTGCTGCAGATAGATACGCAGATTATTATGAAAATTGGAAGAGTAATGAATTGGTATATATGCACTTGTTTATGAACTTCATTTCCATGATTCGCTTATGAAAATGCAGACTAATTTCATTTGAATGGGGGTTTTGGGCAGTTAATGGAAAAGGCAAAAGCAGCCCTCCAGCAATCACACGCTGAACTTGTAAGAGAGATCTTTCTTGTCTCATTATTGTTCTGTTTCAATCTCTGTAGATTAAAAGTGAAATCATTTTTTTTTTCTTTTTCTTCTTCTTGATCGTTTTGCCAGATTCCGAATCTAAGTAACACACAGTTAGCAACTGTACCGCAGCTTCAGTTCATTGCAGAAGCTTGGTATCAGGTGAGCAAAACTACAACTAGTTCGAGAAAATCTTTGTATGCTGTTTTGGTTTCCGGGATAACTTAACTAGGTGAGATGCATACATACAATACAGATCATGGAATGTAGAAGGGTCCTGAAATGGACTTATGCTTATGGATATTACCTAAGAGAGGACGAGGTCGAAAAGCAAGATTTCTTGAAGCATAAGCAAGGTGGGTTTCGATTTCTTTTTTTTTTTTGAAACTGAAAAGACTTAACTAACAATTCTATGTTGATCAGTGGATGGGGAGATTCCTTTGGAAAAACTCTTTTACTATGCACAACATGAACTGCAGAAGTTTCTTGACGCCGAGGGGATATCAGAAGATTTTGCTCAATTCAAATTCACATTAACTAGACTAACTAGGTTTTACTATCTTCTATCGTGTCTCCTAGTTGCGTATATGCTTTATCCAACAACTAAACCCTAAACGTAAACTCTCTTTTTTGGGGTTCCTATTAACAGCATAACGCGAAATCACTACGAGAGACTGGTGAGGGAACTTGAGGATGGGTTGACTAATGTTGTCCCTGCTTCGAGGCCTCAAAGAGCATGTAGCGAGGATCATGCTAGTGGTTCGCCGTAATCAATGACGATTAGTCGCGGCTAATTGTTGATTATTCAAATAAAAAATTATTTAATTTGATGATTGCGGATTTCGGCTTAATTGTCACATGACGAGGCTGTTAAAACTTGATTATGATAAACTCGTCTGTACACACACTACATCTTTTTAGTGTTTGCATTCTCTAAATATAATCTTTTTAGTGTTTGCATTCTCTAAATATAATATTTTTAGTGTTTTCATAATAAGTGTCATTTAGAGAAAATGTATCTACATTATAACTGAATGTATCTGGATGTATTTTAAGTTTAATATATCTAAATATATTGCAGATACATTTTCTCCGAATAACACTTATTATGAACAGCAATATATAGAAAAGATATTAGGTGTAAGTTATGAACTGTCTTTTTTTTCTTTTTCTGTCAGCGAGTAATGAACTCTGTTTTATATACGTAACAGAATGTAGAAATTTTAGACGTGTAAATCTTTGTGGTAAAAATAAAAATAATTTGACCGTAATGGGGAGAAGTTGTTCACTTATGTCATCGATTAATCCAGAGCCTAAATTGTTAAAAACGGATTTTTATTAAAATTAGACAAATGATAAGAGCAGTTCATAAGACAAACAAGACGTAGACAATTAGAAGCACCGACAAGTTTTTGTAGACGTGATACGTACAAGAGTTTGATAGCTACTTCCAACAATCCAACTTCTTCTCTGTATACGTAGAAGAGTTTTGTTGTGCACATGGATCTTCATCTTTGGTAAAATATTAAATACTCAAAACTGAGAAAGTCAAGAGTCTTCATTTTAGATTTTAGAGATGTTAAGAGTTTTATCATATGTTTTCCACTTGCTTTTTATGAATAAAAAACACTTTGAGAAAATGAATCTATCACATCAACAATTCATTCACAAACACACCAAATGCAACACGTAACTTGTTTGAGTGAGAAGCTGAGACGTCAAAAAAGATGCATTCAAAGGTTCACAAAGAAAAAAGGAGCATTTGCAAGTTTTTTACCTACTGTATTAAGTTAAAAAAAATACTCTTTCTGTTTTAGATTTTTTTTCTTAGGTTCAGAAATTTAATTAAAGTTCCAAAACATATGTACATATTATTTGTTTTTTTAGTAAATGAAAAATTAAATATATTTCTACTAAAAATCAACTCAAGCCGATAGTGGTAGAAGTCCATTTACTCATTCTGAATCGCGAACCCAGCGATCCGGAATCTTACCTACAACTTCCCGATCAAGAACTATTGAAGCTCCATGTCCTTCCCTTGTTAAAGTTGTTTACTTTCCATTGCGAATCTCTCTCTCTCTCTCTCCTATAAAGCAGCAACCTTTCTTGCTATTGAAACCCAAACCCTACTTTGCCCAGCGACGAGGGAAGAGTGAGTTTCGTCTGATTGCGAGGAGAAGTTTGTCTTGGGATTTCGCCGATTATGGATTCTGAGGATGACATGCTCGATGCCCACGATATGGAATCGGGGGAGGATGACTTTTACAGCGGCGGGACCGATGATTACAACGATAGTGATGGTGACGAACCCGATTACGGGTTTGTCGAGGAAGACGTCGACGATTCCTCGTTGATCGCCTCGCATCGCTCTCAGGTGGGTTCAGTCACGGGTTCGTTGACGAAGACGATGTAGCTTCTTTGGATTATATTGTCTCTAGAACTTGTTAGGTGTTACTTTGCTTTTGCAACTGGCGAATGTTGTAGCTGCTTATTTTTGTTTCGTGTACGATAATAAATAGTCCATGGCTCTTTGTTGATTACTTCATTTGATAGTAAGCAATCTAGTGGTTGTTAAAGTTTGGAACTTGTTGCTGTTTTGAGCTTTACTCTAGTCTTTAGCAATTTAGTTTTCCCATGTGTTCTGGCTTGCAACGGGAATTGCTGAGCTTAAAGACGTTTTACTGGTTAGACTTTTCCTTTTTTCATTCATTGCGTAGTCTTCTAAGTGATGGAAAAGTAAATTCAAAGCTATCTAGTATTGTTGATGAAATTGCTTCGCTATTTTGTTTGTTGTTGTGTTAGTGTAGTAGCTTGATGGTAATTCGGTTATTGTTAGATTCCTTATGTACTCTTTTTGACTAACCTGGTTGCAAGCTCATTGCTTACTCCTTAGTGTTTTCAGTAACATAAATGAATTTTGACATCTGCTCTAATTTTACTGTGACCATTGACTCATTGTTGTTGTAATGATGCATGCTTCTAGATAAATTATACTGTTCTGAAGGAAGAAGATATTCGCAGGCATCAGAAGGATGATATTGGACGAGTTTCCATGGTCCTCTCCATAAGCGAGGTCGAAGCGAGCATTTTGCTTCTTCACTATCACTGGTAAATTCCCTTGACACGTACTGTGTGATTTTGTTATCAATCACGCTGTTTCCTCGATCTGAATAAAATAATTGGTTCAAAACGACTTTCGCTTCCTTGAGATTGTTTTGATCTGCTACATTATATGGAATCTATTAGGTTCTTTGAGAATGTATCAATGTCCATGCCTAATGCCTGGAAAATGTCTCATTTTAGGAGCGTTAGTAAAGTTCATGATGAATGGTTTGCGGATGAGGAGAGAGTTCGGAGAACTGTTGGCTTATTGGAGGGACCTGTTATTCCAAAACCTGATGGCGGAGAAGTAATTACATTGATTTCTCGACTCTGGAATTATTTTCTTTCTATATTTCTCACTTGGTAATTCACCTTCCACTGACGCATGATTTGATGTTTAGCTTACATGTGGAATATGCTTTGAATCCTTTCTTCCTGAAGAAATTGTATCGGTTGCTTGTGGTCATCCTTTCTGCACTACATGCTGGACTGGTATGTCATATTACTCTCCTTGTAGATGCTTACATCTGTAGATTTCTAATTCGTCTTGGGTTTATCTGAGTGTATATCTAGTTAGCATTTCGGCTACACAGTTTCAAAGATGGCCTATGAATGTAATTGTTAAGCTTAGTCTCTTTCATTCCTGATATGCATGGAGCATTTCTTTTTCTGATAACTTTCCTTTTATATTGTACGCTTATATAGGTTATATCAGCTCAACAATCAATGATGGCCCAGGATGCTTGATGCTAAAGTGTCCTGACCCTTCTTGTCCTGCTGCTGTTGGTCAAGATATGTTCGAAAAATTGGCTTCTAAGGAAGACAAGGAGAAGTATTATAGATATTTTCTTAGGTCTTATATTGAAGACAACAGAAAGGTAAGGTGTCCTAGATAACAACTATCTTCAATGCCGTCGCTTTGAGCGGACTATAGTACTTTGTCCTCTATATGTATGCCTATGGCGCTCGTCTTGGTTTGATGTCGCTCTCATTTGTTTGTTCTGCTTCAGATGAAGTGGTGCCCTGCCCCAGGATGTGAGCATGCTATAGATTTTGCTGCCGGGACTGGCAGTTATGACGTTTCTTGCTTGTGTTCGTATAGTTTTTGCTGGAATGTAAGTTCTTGGAGTCAAAGCCAACTAATCTGCTTTCCATTGACTATGTAATCATTTTGGTTTATTTGTTGAACTGTGATGTTCCAGTGCACTGAAGAGGCTCACCGTCCTGTGGATTGTGACACAGTTGCACTATGGATACGCAAGAACAGCGCTGAATCTGAAAATATGAATTGGTATTATTCGTGTTCATACTTCCTCAATCTTCTGATTATGTCTATCGTACATCTTGCATCAATATGTCTAATCACCACTGCAGCTACGCCATTTCTCTTGCATCTTCCATTTTATAATATTTCTTGCTAATGAATTTTTGCCTCCTCATACCCAGGATACTTGCCAATTCAAAGCCTTGTCCGAGGTGTAAGCGGCCAATTGAAAAGAATCATGGCTGCATGCATATGACATGCACACCGCCTTGTAAATTTGAATTTTGTTGGTAATGCCCTATCTCCATCTCTGAAGATGTGTATGTTTGGTTGTTTCTCTTTCTCTGCAATGTTGGATTGCAAGCTTGTTTGTCTCTGATGTCTTAGGATTTAATCTTGTGATGGAAGTGCAAGAGGTGCTAATGAATGTATCTTCTTATGAATCTTTAGGCTTTGCCTTAATGCATGGACCGAGCACGGGGAAAGAACTGGTGGTTTTTATGCCTGCAACCGGTATGAGGTGGCTAGGAAAGAAGGACTGGTAGGACCTCTTGTACTCGTTTGATAATTTACAGTGTCATTTTCTGCAGTCACTAATGGTTTAAGTATTGTTTTGTTGATATCAATTTTAACTTTTGTTTTAGTATGATGAAGCTGAAAAGAGGAGAGAGATGGCAAAAAATTCGCTAGAGAGATACACTCATTATTATGAACGCTGGGCAAGCAATCAAACGGTATGCACAATTTCTTATACTTCTTATGCCTTGAGACACTTGAAAGCTTGAATTGTTCTGTACGCTCTAATTTAGTTTCCATCATGAGACAGTGGTGAGCAAATCAATATTGCTGTTTGGAAGAAACGGAGAAATAGCATACTGATAATTAGCTGGACATGATTAAACAAAATTGTAGCTTCTGGGAGCGAACTTTGATTGTCAATTTGCGTTTTCCTGTTTGTGAGCCTTAGCTTTTATGAACATTGAAAATGTGAATCAGGTGAAGGTTATGGTTGAGTAATCGCTTTGCTAGTGTATAAGGCGACCCAAATTATATATCCATAATAATTGTAAAGTCACGTTTCTTACCTGGCTGCAATACTTACAAGACATTATATTGTACCCCTATGTTAAGAGGTTTCCGTCATCACATCATATATATATGTATTTACGTTTTTCTTGTTTGATTCGGCAGTCGAGGCAAAAAGCTATGGCGGATCTGCGGAGACTGCAATCGGAAAAGGTAAGAAATGTTATTTTTAGTATTCAATTTTATTTCCTTGTTGATTTTTTTATCGACCAAATGATACTTAATTCTTCTTTGGAGTGGAGAATGAGCGGGGCTATACCTATTCCCTTTGCTATTATTCACAATACATATGGGAAATTATATAGAACTTTGAACGTAAGAAGGTTTATGGCAGTTTCTCACATGCGGTTGTCAATCTTTTCTCATTGTTCTAGCTTGAGAAGCTTAGTGACATACAGCGCACACCAGAATCTCAGCTCAAGTTCATCACAGATGCGTGGCTTCAGGTTAGCTGCTGAAATATTCAATTAACTGCTGAAATATATGAACATCTCTCTGAATGTTGCCCATTTGATTCGTACCTTTACAGATCATTGAATGCAGACGGGTACTGAAATGGACATATGCATATGGGTACTATCTACCTGATCACGAGAAGCGACAGTTTTTCGAGTATTTGCAAGGTCAGAATTCCTCACTTGTAAGACTGGCTGGAACAGCTAGTTGTGTCAGCAAACCCTTTGGAGTCTGAAGTTTCTCTTGTTGATTTGATCAGGGGAGGCTGAGTCAGGTCTGGAGAGGCTCCACAAATGCGTAGAGAAGGAATTAGAGCCGTTTGAAACTACTGCTGGCACTCCACAAGAATTCAATCTTTTCCGGGCAAAATTAACTGGTTTGACCAGGTAATTGTTTTTTTCCTTTTCTTGTCTAAATCTATTTGGCTAGAACAAGAAATAAAAAGGCATCAGCTTTTCAGACAGATCAAGATAAGTCTCTGTGTCGACATTCAGATCGATTGTTGCATCTATAGTCAGATACTGTCTTAGGCTTGGCTGAACTTGTTGAGTCGTTGAACAACCATATGAATGCTAACCGCAGTGACTTGTATCGTGTATCAACAGCATAACGAAAACCTACTTTGAAAATCTGGTGAAAGCTTTGGAGAATGGTCTTGCCGATGTGGATACGCAAGCGGCTAGCAGCAAATCAATCAACTCTAAATCTAGCAAGCCAAAAGGCGGTGGGAAAGGTAAAGGAAGCTCCAAAAATGGCGGGTCCAGCATAAACCCAGATGAATATTGAGACTTCTCAGGCTTCAGTTCCGTGTCTATCTCTCTCTCTCTCTCTCTCTCTCTCTCTCTCTCTCTCTCTTGTGTGCGAAGCCCATCTCATTAAGAAGCTATTAACTTTATTACTTGGAAGAAAAAGAAAGGCTTTTTAAGAGTTGAGCAAACTGGAGCAATGTTTGTGTTTTTACAATCATCATATATATATATATAAAAGATTTCACCTTCCTAAAAACAGGATAATATTTAGTCTCCAATTGAACAAACCTATAAACCGGTTTCTTATATATAACATTTGATTCTAAAATCTTGTTATCTCTCAAATTCAAAAACAATCAAGAAGTGTATTGCGCTAATAATATATTGTCACAAGAAAGCGAAATTTGGCTGTTTTAGACAATGCTGATATGTCAGCCTGACATTGGTCAAAGAGAACGTTTTGTCCAATAAGCTACTCACTTAATTAGTATCTAAATATAATATTTTTGTTGTTGTTCAAGCCTCTGTAAAAGCGCGCGAAAGACAAATAAGAATTTTAGTTGAAAACAAACAAAAAGTCCTTCTCTGATCTCTCTGTAGGATTTGGGTATTCCGTATGCCTAATTCAAATCTCTCTCTCTGCGTATGTTCTTTATATACACTTTACACGGTCAAAGTCTATTGAAGAAGCAGAAGATTAAAGAGTAAACAAAATTTGTTAATTTGTCATTTAATGCATTGGTCAACTATTTTGTTTTGTACTTCTCTGAAGCTTATTTTGATTTGACTCTTTCAAATCCTCCAACAAGTTAGTGGTATGAGTGTCATTTTCGTCATTTGATTTAATTATGTAATGCTACTACATGCACTCGACTCAATCTGTAATCTCAATGTTTGTTACTGAAACGTCTCTCGTCTGATTTTTTTTTTTGTTTTCCACGGATCTTCAATGGGTTTCAGTGATGGTAAAGATGGATCTAAAGGATTTGTTAAGAGAGTGGCCTCATCTTTCTCCATGAGGAAGAAGAAGAATGCAACAAGTACAGGAGTCAGTGAACCAAAGCTGCTTCCAAGATCGAAATCAACAGGTTCTACTACTAACTACGAATCCATCAAGGTACCTGCAGGCGCAAAGAAGGTTTCAGATGTCACAATCAAAACAAGGATCAAATCATCAGCTGGTGTAATACCGTTACCAAGACGGGAAAAGATCGATGATCTTGGTGTGGGTGGGACGAAGAAGAACTTTGGAAAATGGAGAAGCTTTGATGACAGTGATTCGATATGGTTATCTTCAGATTGTGCATCTCCTACTTCTCTTCTTGAGGAACGCAGATTATCTGTTACGTTTCGTTTCTCTGTTGATGAGAGTGTCGTCTCTTGGTTATCAAACCTTGCTAATTCTTCCCTTTCTCTGAATCACCACCAAGAAGCAAGTTCCATTAAAGACCGTTGTAGAATCCCAAGGAACACCAAGGAGAATGCAGAGAGCATGCAGAAGAAATCTTTAAAGGAAGATTCACCTTGTTCCCCTCCAAATTCCAAAGTTCCTGATCCTTCTTCTACTCAGATTTCACAGGGCAAGAAAGTTAACTTTTCACCGATATCAGGTACGGAAGTTGAAACAGAGGATTCTTCTTCCTTGGCTCATGAGAAAAGTCTAGAGGTTTTGGATTCTACTAGGAACATTACTAAAGTTGATGAGCCGCTTTTCTGGCCGTATGAGCAAAGATTTGACTGGACACCAGAGGATATCTTGAAGCATTTCTCCATGTCACCTCGGAGAAAGAAGCTAATGAATGCGAAAATGTCTGCAGGCACCTCCCCAAGATCCATGAGAGCACAGCTTCTTCAGGCAAGAAAAGTCGATCTCAAAGACGGGTGTAAGAGAAAGCTTGTGTTCAACGGTCCTGTTACAAACGCATCCAAGATCCCAGAGCTCAAACGAACAATCAGCAACAAGAAAAATGACAGCATCAAGAACGAGCCCATCAGGAACTGCGTGAAGAGGAACAAGAGTTTGCCGTCGAGGTTGAGAAAATCTAGCAAAACATCGTCAAAGGTTGTACCTATAGAAGTGGCTGAAGAAGCGATTGCAGCAGAAAGAGCTCAAGTGGAGATAACAGCTAGGAAGCTCATGAACCGCAGAAGCAAGACTATGCTGGAAGACGATTTCGCATTGATGAGTGATTTCTCAATAGAAAACGCAGTGGGGCTTGGCGAGTTCAAGGGTCGAGAGGGTATAGATTCAGACTTTAATTCTGACACTTTCTTGTTCGATGATTCTCTTTGAAACTAGAGAATACATCTTACTTACCAAAACAAAACAAAAAAACTGTCTTAGGCAACAAATTTTGTTCCTGGTTTTATCATTTTGCTCTTTATACTCAGTGGTTTAAAGATCAAAGATTCTCTCATTGAGTAGGAAAAAGGCTGTAAGAAAATGAAGATTCTCTCATTTGCGTGTAATTTTTTTGGGCTTTCATCGTTAGATTTTTAGTTTCGGCTTTTTCTATATACATACAATTTTTAATCTCATATTCCTGTGATTTGATCTGTTTACCAACAAATTAGGGAAAACTATATAGTAACTTATAAATAAAGCCTCGTTCTTCTTCCTTGATTATCTATCTCTCCTCGGGTTTCACAAAACAAAACCGAGGTAACTCATGAAGAGAAGACAGGAAGTGAAGAGTCACATGGCCATTCCTCCATGGCGGAAGGCACGGCTTCGTCACGGTGGAAGCTCCACCTCCACCAGAGGTATCGATATTCCTCTCGAGCTGACGGTGGATATATTAAAAAAACTCCCGGCGAAATCTCTAGTGAGGTTCCGATGCGTTTCGAAGCAATGGCTATCAATAATCAGCAGGAGAAGAGGCTTCATAGATTCAATCGTGACTCGGTCTTCGACTCAGCCACCTCGTGATGCGCATCTCATCTTCGAAAACATATTTTCACACAGAGACGTGGAATGTTGTATGGTCTTGTCGTCGTCTAGTAGGAGCCCTGAGGAAAAATCATTATTATCAATCCCCGAAGGAACGTATGATTACGTCCGCGGCTTGATTTTATCTTGGTCAGACTATCTCAACAGGGCAGTTATATATAACCCTACCACAAGGCAGTGTCTTAAGTTACCGGAGAAGGAAGTGCGGGGAGGGGGCTCTTGCTACTTGGGATACGATCCTCTCGAGAATGAATACAAAGTGTTGTTCATACCAATAGGCTCTATGGAGCAGGCTTGTCGAGTTTTCACATTGGGAGCAAAGCAGTGGAGGACCATCCAAGGCGTTGCGTCTCACGGTCCATTGTTTGGTGCAGTTTGCATCGACGGGTTTATCTACTACATAGCAAAGGCTCATGACTGTGAGTATGCGTTTTTGTACCAGTTGATGAGTTTTGACGTTAGATCGGAGAAGTTTTATCGCGTTGACGCTCCGGAAACACTCAAGGACCACGCTTCAGCTCTGATAGACTACCAAGGGAAGTTAGGGTTCGTATGCTGCAAGAAGGGCATGGAGATTTGGGTCGTGGATGACAAGCAAAGCAGCTGGTCCAGGCTCTTCTTTTATGAGATGAGGGGTTTTCAAGATTGGCGCGTCTCGGGGGTTACTCGTCGTGGTGAGATCGTTTTTACCAGTTGGATGTATGTATATCTTGACATCTTATGTGTCTTTTATTATGATCCAAAGCAAAACAGTGTGAGAGATGTTGACTTTGATCAAGGCACTTTCTCGGATGCTTCGAGGCGTAACAGCAGTGGTGTTTTTATCTGGACTCTACCGGATTATGTCGAAAACACTATGCTTTTATATTAGATGACTTGTGCTTCTTCTTCATTATTAATATGGTTAAAATTATTATTCTAGTCTAGGCCAAGATTTTGGGATTTTCTGGTGTTGGGTTTGTGCTTCTTCGAGTCCATATCGTTGCTTGGGATTTTCTGGAGTTTAATTCTAGTCCTCTGTTTTTTTTCAAAATTCGTATTAACAATGTATAAGCAAGTCGAAAGCATTACAAGGATAAGATAGGAAAATACAGAACCCAAAATGGTCATTAGATGAAAGTTTTACTTTTAGGGATTAATGATTCCTTAAGTTAGTGGAAATTTTGTTATTGGTTAACTGAGCTTGAAATGGAAGTACGAAAGTCAAAACTCAAAGCAATAATTTTAAGAGATCATCTGAATTTGAATGAAATACGAAAGTTGGCTCTATGATTCTCATTACCGCCGCTCGAGTTTTGAATGCTATGAATCGCCGAATGTACCCTACCAGATCGTCTTCGTCTGCCAAATCCATCTCCGCCGAATCCCTAAATCTTCGTTCCGATTCCAATTCAGGTCCAGTTTTGTAGGAAACTAATTTTGTATTCATTGCGTTACTGGTCGATCGTTTCTATCGATGCTTATTTTTTTTGTATCAGCAGTATCTCTAAGGAAGAAAAGGCTCAAGCAGGAAGAGTTGGAGCCTGTGGAGAAAGACTCCAGCAGAGGAATCAATGCCCTTAAAGTAGTAACATTTCTTCACTTTGCTTGCATTGTGGAATAGGTTTTTCGAAATTTAGGATTTTGTAGCCAATTTAGGTTTCTGGAAATGAGATTACTACTTTGGATTTAATTGAAGATATGCTTTGTTTACGTAATGATACAGGGGATGTGTGGGTTACCAGACATAGAAGACCTTTCTTACAAGACGGCAAAGGAATCTCCTTCATCTAGTAAGTTGAGATGTCTTATGGATTGAAAGTTATCAAGTGACTGCGCCTTTATCTTGTCCTCGCCACTATCCTCCAGCTCATATCAGAATTGATTGGTTCTGCAGGGACGTCACAAATGAACTTACATACAAAATCAACAGTAACGAGCACTGCCGCTTCGTCGATCCAAACAGCAGGTTATCTTTCACGAAACACTTACTACTCTTTGCGGTACGTTTACTCTTCATTGAAAACGAAATGTCCCTAATCTTATTTAGGCAGACCACCTGAAAACTGGGAAAAGGTGCTCGTGGGTATTCAAAAAATGACATCTTCAGAAGAAGCAAAAGTTGACCCTATAAATTGTGATCGAACCGGAAGCTTTCTACCTCCCAGGGTGAGAAATATCTTACTCGATATGCTCATTGCTTTCTCAAATATTACTTCCCTTTTGTTTTTCATTGTTACATGGTATCCTATGCATAGACTGGGAACCAAAGTTCGGAGTTTGTTTACCCCTAAACCTGTGTATGTTACTAGTAACAAATAATAGCTTACGCTTATTCTTGATTTTGTTTGCCTTTGTTGTTCTAAATTCGAACTAAGCTTTAAAGTAGAGAGGTTGATTGCCTTTCTTGTTTTTACTTCTGACTTTATCTCATTATTTATAGGAAAGGCGATTTTACGTCCTCATAGGAACACTTCTTTCAAGTCAGACCAAAGATCGCGTAACTGCTGGTGCGTTTTGAACTGCTTAGAGCCCTTGTGGAGAGAACGCTTTGTTTCACCATTCTAGTATTATCTCTGATATATCATCTGGATCTCCAAGTTTCGTGATTTTATATCCAGACACTTCTTCTAATATGCAGCGGCAGTAGAACGTCTTCGTCAAAATGGCCTTCTCACTCCCGAAGCCGTTGATAAAGCCGATGAATCAACCATAAAGGAATTGATCTACCCGGTACATTTTACCCCTTTGTCATCTTACTCCTTTTTATTTGACTTTGACATGAAGCCATGATATTGTTGTTTTCAGTTCAATTTCGACATGAAACTTACTAGCCCTTTACTTTTAGGTCGGGTTCTATACTAGAAAGGCTACTAATGTGAAGAAGGTTGCAGAAATTTGTCTAACGAAATATGACGGTGACATTCCAAGCTCTTTGGAAGAACTACTCTCACTTCCAGGAGTTGGTCCTAAGATTGCTCATCTGGTAAGACTGGCCATATTAATCAGTTTTGTAAGAGAGTTACATGTTTCAAAAGCTCTTAAAAGTCTCTTGTGGATGCCAATGCGATAGGTTTTGCATATAGCATGGAATGATGTTCAAGGGATATGTGTAGACACTCATGTGCATCGCATTTGCAATCGACTTGGCTGGGTGTCTAAACCAGGAACAAACCAGGTGCTTCTCAGTCTCTATGAGATGAGCTCTCAACATCGCATTCTGTCTGCTACTCTGCTCTTTGTCACCTATTTTCTAATTTGGTCTTGATCAGAAAACGTCGTCCCCTGAGGAAACTAGAGTAGCTCTGCAACAATGGCTTCCAAAAGAAGAATGGGTCGCTATCAACTTTCTTTTGGTGCGTAATCCTTAGAGATTCTAACTTGAAGGAATGCTTAACATACATAAAATAATGTAGTTCTGCGATTATTATAATGGTCCAAACGTATATCTACAGCATATAACTACATTTAATCTTTATCCATTCTACACACAGGTCGGTTTTGGACAAACGATATGCACACCGCTAAGACCACACTGTGGAACTTGTAGTATCAGTGAGCTTTGCCCTTCCGCCTTCAAGGAAACCCCAAGCTCATCTTCCAAATCGAAGAAATCTATCAGAAGCAAGAAGCTTTAATTGCCTTGGCTCTTGGTTCTCCATTTTCTAACCCATTTTGGTGATTAGTTCGCTGTAAAGGATAAATTGTACTTGGGGGCTGAGATTACTGAAAATTGTAAATCTGATACTACTAATTTCTCTATTTTTGTTAGCAACTAGTAAAATGTTTTAGTTTATAGCAACTGATATTCTTTGTTCAAAGATTATCAACAAATGAATTTTGAAGACCCTTAGTGATGGCTGATGGGTTAAATTGGGATTAAGAAATAATAATGGTGACTACAGTTTTATAAAAGTAAAGGTATTACTTCCGTAATTTATTAATAAGAATATCCACTAATGAAGTTATGGGGTTAATACATGATACAAGATAAACTCTGGGGAGCAGTCTCATAATAATTAAAACTTGTAAGAATATCCATGGACTAGGAGAGGTAGGGACAGAGATATCCTGACGTCCAAACAGGGAGTGGGGTAGAAAATTTTATTAAAGCAGCAGCCGAAAAAAAAAAAGAAGAAAAAAAAAAAACGCTCGAAGAAAGAAAAAGAGGGAGAAGAGCAACGAAGACGGACCTGCAAATTCTGCAGTCTCCACTGACACTTTCGATCTTTCTCTCTTTTCACCTTCTGCAATCTTCAGGTTTCGCGTCTTTATGTTATCATCTATCTGTTAGGCTTGCTCGATTTTGCATTATCTCCGTTCATCACTCAGTTGATTGTTTCGTCTGAGTTCTATGGCTAATGCAATCGGATAAACAGTCGGTACAGCTTTTGATAAGCAATAATCTCTTCTCCGTTCTTCCCATAATCTGTAGATTTAATTGAACTGATCATTTCCAGCTCCAGTTTCTAGGGTTTGGTGCGCAATTTTCATTGTTTTTACAGGTTTAGTGGCTTCCCCTTTGGGCTCTGTCTCTATGAATGCATGCCTATTAGGAGTTAGAATACCAAAGAAAGGCGTGGCTGTGAAAGAATATTAGCTGTGTTCATTCTGGGATTCTATTGAAATTTAATTACGTTTCTACTTATTTTCTAGGATGAGTGTTTGAATTCTACCGGTGTGATCCTATTAGATTATAGACTCGAAAGAAACGCAACCCTGAATTGTTCTTTTCTTAAATCTATATATCATTATATGCTGGCTACGGTGCAGAAATGTGATCTGTGAATCTTGTGTTTGTAGTTTATGGAAGGAGATAATCATCAGAGGTAGCATTTCCCAATGCATCCAAAGCGATCAAGTCAAGGAGATGAGTCACTTACTAAGCCAGTTAGAAGCAGCGATAGGCTTAGGAGGAGGCCCAAATTGTATGGTCGCTCATACTATTACTACTCACCAAACATATTACACAATAGGAAAAGAAACACAAAGACAAGAACGGCAGCCTCACAGATTGCAAAGATGCTGCATAAAGGGAACCATCCAGCACGGGCATCAAATGCCACGGTAAGCATCAAACACCATCATGTACCATTGGTTGTCGTTGAGTCTTTTAATGTTAATGAGTGTAGAGAGGAGTTACTGCTATTAAGTTGGGCGTCTGATCGTTTCTTAAAAAAGGCTGGGTACTTTAAAATCATATCCTTGGTTGTTATGTGATGCACCCTGACGATTGGTTAATATATGCATTTGAAAGTTTCTGTTTTATCAGTCCTTGGTTATTGAACATTTTCTTGAGAATGCTTGAGCCAGCTAAGCTCATTAAGAGCATTTATATTTCCCCCTGAGTTTTAAGTAGAGGCCAGCTTCTAGTTTAGGTGCCTATTATCTATGCGGAAGTTTCTTATCTACAAATTACCTTGGAGAAGATGATCATTATTGTCCAATGATAATGGGTTTTGTCTTATTAATTGCTTTGTAATGCATACCGTTTATCTTTAGTCTGATTAAACAAGAATGTTGATAACATTGCTAATGACGTACAGCCAATTGCATCCGACCTCCGGCGTTCCACAAGGAAGAGAAGAGTTTCTGTAAATCTTGAGGACTATACTGACAGTTCTGGAGCGGAGGATGAAGATATGATGGTCAGGATATTCTCCTCTTGCTTGAAAATGGCTCTTTGATTTCAAAACTTAAAGCTATTTTATAAGTACTGTGGTATGCCTTTTGAGAATAAGTTTCTGATCTTTTTCAGAGTCCAGCATATCGAACTCTGAGGAGTAGAGTCAATAATGGAGTTCATCGAAATTTCTCAACTTCAAAAGGTAGAAAGGCCATGGAAACTGAATCGGCACCACGACGTGAAGGTCTCCGTCCTCGCCGTTCAAAGATAATTGCTAATAAACGACTGAAAACAGAATCTGGCGCCAATCAAGATACATCAGAAGACAAAGACGGGCAAGATGAAACCGAGAATGGAAATGAATTAGATGACCCTGATGCTGAGGATGGTGAAAATGAGGTTGAGGCTGAAGACGAGGGCAATGGTGAAGATGAGGGTGATGGCGAAGATGATGATGAGGGTGATGGCGAAGATGATGGAGAAGAAGATGGTGATGATGATGAAGAGGGTGATGAAGAACAGGAAGGAAGAAAGAGATATGATCTGCGAAACCGTGCTGAAGTGCGTAGGATGCCTACAGAAGAAATTAACAAGCAACAACAACCTAGATCTCCTCGGAGAGTGTTGCATCAAGGCATGGGCACCAGGGTTGAGAGGAATGCTAGGAGAGGTGGGTCTCGGCCTCACAAGCGCCATCGCTTTACAAGAACAGATGATTCAGATGATTCTCTTCTAGTGGATGAGTTGGACCAGGGCCCTGCAATTCCCTGGGCTCGAGGTGGAAACAGATCTGGGCCACCTTGGTTATTTGGGGGTTTGGACACATACGGGTCAAGTTCATTGGGGTTGAATGTTGGAGCTTCTGGTTGGGGTCACCAGAGTGATGGTTTAGCTGCATTAACTTCTGGGGCTCAGACTGCTGGGCCAAGCTCTAAAGGAGGTGCAGATATTCAGCCACTGCAGATTAATGAGAATATTAATTTTGACGACATTGGTGGGCTGTCCGGCTACATTAATGATTTGAAAGAAATGGTTTTCTTTCCGTTGCTGTACCCAGAGTTCTTTGCAAGTTACAACATTACTCCTCCGAGAGGTGTACTGCTTTGTGGTCCTCCAGGCACGGGTAAAACACTGATTGCTAGAGCATTGGCATGTGCTGCTTCAAAAGCTGGACAGAAAGTTAGCTTTTATATGCGAAAGGGTGCTGATGTCCTTAGCAAGTGGGTTGGTGAGGCTGAGAGACAACTAAAGCTACTCTTTGAGGAGGCTCAGCGAAATCAGCCTTCAATAATCTTTTTTGATGAAATTGATGGTCTTGCTCCTGTAAGATCCAGCAAACAAGAACAAATACACAATTCTATTGTTTCAACTTTGCTGGCGCTGATGGATGGCCTTGATTCTCGTGGTCAAGTCGTTCTCATTGGAGCAACAAACAGGGTGGATGCAATAGATGGAGCACTACGCCGCCCTGGGAGATTCGATCGGGAGTTCAATTTTTCTTTACCAGGCTGCGAAGCACGAGCTGAAATATTGGATATTCACACTCGTAAATGGAAGAATCCTCCTACTAGGGAGCTGAAAGAGGAATTGGCAGCTAGTTGTGTAGGGTATTGTGGTGCTGATTTAAAGGCTTTGTGCACTGAAGCTGCCATTCGTGCCTTTCGTGAGAAGTATCCACAAGTTTATACCAGCGATGATAAATATGCCATAGATGTTGGATTGGTTAAGGTTGAGAAGAGCCACTTTGTGGAGGCAATGTCAGCTATCACTCCTGCTGCACATAGAGGGTCTGTTGTGCAGTCCAGACCACTATCTCCGGTTGTATTGCCATGTTTACATCGACACCTCCTTGAATCCATGAGTTTAATATCAGGTATTTTTCCCTCGTCAACCATGTCATCGGAGATGACCAAGCTGTCAATGCTTTCATTTGGATCCGCAATTCCTCTGGTTTATCGTCCTCGACTTCTGTTGCTTGGTGGTGAAGGAGTTGGACTGGTAATTGCTTGTCGTTTCTTGTGATTGTGTCAGAAGGCTTTATTATTATGAACTGAATTCACTTACTTGTTAGCCTAACAGGATCATCTTGGGCCTGCTATTTTACATGAGCTAGAAAAATTTCCTATTCATTCTCTGGGACTTCCATCTCTTCTTTCGGATCCTGGTGCAAAGACCCCGGAGGAGGCGCTAGTACATATATTTAGTGAAGCTAGGAGAACCACACCTTCAATACTTTATATACCGATGTTTAATAATTGGTGGGAAAATGTAAGTGTGTGTTTCTTTTTATCCAGTTTCATGTTTGCATGTTTGCTGAATATAATACACTAGGTTGTCCTGTTAAATTGTAGCAGGAACTGCCTTAAGTTTCTATTTGCCAGTCTAATGATCTTGATACTGATGACTGCAGGCGCATGAACAGCTTCGGGCTGTTTTTCTGACTTTGTTAGAAGAGTTGCCATCAAATCTGCCCATACTATTACTTGCTACATCTTATGGTGAATTGTCTGACATGGAAGAGCAGTCCGTATTTGACAATCGATCTGTGTAAGTTTATACTCTACTTGTAATATCTTAATCCAGTACCATAGTCTAGCTTTACTACTAGCTTGTGGTTTATTACTCAGTTTCTTAGATCGTGTACCTTTCCTTTCAGCTATATTGTGGACAAACCATCAAGCGAAGACAGGTCTCTGTTCTTTGACCGTTTGATTGAAGCTGCTCTCTCAGTCATCTCAGGCTTAAATGGCAAACCTGATGGACCACAACCCCCTCCAGAACTTCCCAAAGTTCCAAAAGCACCTACTGGTCCAAAACCCGCAGAAATAAAAGCCAAGGTGGAAGCAGAGCAGCATGCCCTTCGACGATTGCGTATGTGTCTCAGAGATGTTTGCAACAGGTATATGTGTATGGGCCTTCCCTTTATATAAACATCCAATCAAAGTTTGTGCTCGACCCATATTCTTTTGGTCATGAAAAGCCTACTGCTCACAAGTCCCAGATTTTCTCTTTATCTTATGTGGTAGAATAGTTGGTTTGTATGATTAGGTGCATTTGATTGAATTGCTGAGATAACCGGCTTTTGGAAATAGTCCCCTTTTTCGTCTAGATTTAATTTTATAATCTTTATTGCACTCTCTTTACTGTTGAGGATTTATTATTGTCGTCTTTATACTTAGATCAAGAAGGCCTTTTACCTTTTTTGACATCTGGAGGTCTAGACATCATCAATTTTGGATGTAACAGTACTTTTTCTTGCGCTCACATTGTACATTTTGTAGCCTTGCCAAGTCTATCATGTAGGGAGTTTTCTTGAGTATTCCAGATGAGCCCTGTTTTAATTGGATCTTATTGTTTTTTGCTGTGCAGGATACTATATGATAAAAGATTCAGTGCATTCCACTTCCCAGTTACTGACGAGGATGCTCCAAACTATCGCTCAATAATTCAAAATCCAATGGATACGGCTACTCTGCTGCAGCGTGTCGATGCTGGGCAATACCTCACATGTTCACCCTTCTTGCAAGATGTTGATCTCATTGTGAGAAATGCCAAGGTGCACTCCTATTTTACAAAACATCTCATTTTTACATGGCTATAAATCCTTGACAATTCAGAAAATGTGGTCTCATTTACGAGAGGTGATCTTATTTATCCAGGCATACAATGGAGATGATTACGCTGGAGCGAGAATTGTCAGCAGAGCCTATGAGCTTCGAGATGTAGTATGTTTGCAAGTCTCTTTTGACTGCATATATAGTTTTCCATGAGAAATTGCTCTAAGCATATCATCCGACAAAGCGTTTTCTCTGAAGCCGTAATTATCTTTTTTGATGTTTCAGGTGCATGGGATGCTGTCGCAGATGGACCCAGCACTGCTAACACATTGTGATAAGATCGCAGCTGAAGGTGGTCCTTCACAGATACCAGATGACCTGAGTGGATCTATCCTTGGTTTAGCTCCTGTGGTGCAGATGGGGACTGTTACTAGAGCCAGTGCCCGACTTCGAAATGTGCAGCCAGAGCTTATTTTAGATCGAGATTATGAAGGTCTTAAAAAGCCCAAGAAAACCGCTGATGCTCTCTGTACAGGTAATGCCACTATCACCGCAGATTGGGTTACGTTTGAAACTCAATACTTGGACAACCCTTGATAGTGAGACTTGTTAATACTTGTGGTGTGTCTTTAATTTGTGATGTAACAGATTCAGCTGCAGACAAATCACAACACCAAGATTTAGGCCAAGAGATGACATCTCCGGAGGCAGCCAACTCAAACTCATCAGCTCCTTGTTCAGCAGATGGTGGTGATAAGGAAGACCAAAGCGAGCCGCCGAGAAAAGAGGAGGCTTCAGGGGAAGAAGTGAGTGGTGATTGCTCCCGAGATTCTGTTAAGCCAGACGAAGAAATTTCGAGCGGGATAGAATCTGTGAAGGGAGTGCTAATGGAGCGTACTGAAGACTACAGCCTTCCGCAGATGGAGAGGGTTTATACTCGAATCATGAAAGGTGTTCTGGAGACTTTGGACAAAGGGCTTCGTGGTGATAAAAGCCCTAAGCATTCAATTTTGAGATTTTTATCGGAATTCGCTCAGCATGAGGCGAATTTTTGAGTCTTAACTTTCTCATAATCGGTCACTAGGTTAGAAAAGAATGAAAGTAACAATATAATTCTTTTTTGTTTTTATCCGGATTTTTCTTGGACGGAAAAAGTTGCAAGAACAAACAAAAAGTAGAAGTTACATCAGCAGGATCTTATTGTAAAGTGTTGAACTTGCACCTTTATATCTGAAACAGGCTTATAAGCCAACTAAAAACAATCAATCTTTAGGCTATGCTTTCTATATACCAATTAGACAGAAGAGGAACGATTATTCTGGTGTTAAACATCGATTAACTAATCATTTTTTCAAAATGTTATTTTTCTTCATCGTCTTCAAGGAGAAACAGAGGAACACAAGTCCAGCAAAAAAAAAAAAAAAACAGAGTACCGTAAGTGAAAAACAGAGCATGACAAAACTCATCAAATTTGAAGTGAATAAATCTTTGTTTAGAGTCTTTGTAGAGAAACCTGACTGGAAGCAAACCTGAATATCTATTTAACTCTTCTCTCTCTCTCCTCAACTTGAGTTTTCTGTTATGGCCGTTGGGATAAGTTTTTTAGCGCGAAAATTATCCTGACGCACTTACATCTTATCAACTCTTAAAAACCTTCTTTTGACGAATTTAAAGATTCAAGAGAGAAACAAAAGATTATCCCGCGTCTATATATTAGTCGGCACGATCTTCATCACCATTTTCTCTACCGCTCTCTCTCTCTCTCTCTCTCTCTCTCTCTCTCTCCAGTTCTTGTGATCTTCTTCTCTACGGTGCCTGAACAACTCTTTTGGCTACTTGAATCGTACAGATTAGGCAGAAGAGATGAGAAAGAATCAGTCTTTACCAGCGAATGCGTCGTTGAATCATCAAAGAGTCCCCAAGACTGCCGAAGAAGAAGAAGAAGAGACCATGAAGAGAATCTTCGACCTCGTCCCCAGAAGAAGAAGATCCCATCGAGGACCCAAAAAAGAAACTCCTGTTTTCTCAAGAGTCCCCATAAAGAAGAGAATTGCTGACACATACACGACGACGCCGAAATGGCTTCTCCGGTTGAAGAAAGAGATGAAGATAGCGGATGATCCGATGCTGATCCTAGAGAAGACTCTGGAGCTGGACGATGTCGACCCACGCGAAAACCGTCTCTTAGTCCCTTTCGAGAGCCTAAAACGATCCGATTTCCTGACGAGTGACGAGTTGAACATCCTTGGAGACGAAAGCATCAACAACGACGGGAGGATGGGCGTGGGAGCGTTTCTCGTGGATCAACGAACAAAGCAGTGGAGTGTGGTTTTGAAGAAGTGGGTTCTCACGACTGAAACAGGGGAAATCTCCAGGAGTCTTCTGTTGAGTGGCGAATGGAAAGATGTCATTGAGGCTAACGGGTTGAGAGACGACGATAACATCAGTCTCTGGTCTTTCAGGCGCCATGGAATCCTCTTCTTTGCCCTTGATTTCGCAGGTGACGCCATTGATTTCTTAGAGTAGTAGAAAGGTTCATGTTTCGGGGACTACTCTGGCTTTTCTAACGATAGTACTAGAGTTTTTGTACAAAATTGGGATCTTTTAATCTTGCTGGGCTTCTCTTCCTTTACTGCTCATAGATGAAAGTTCGTCAAGTCGTTGGCTTTATCGTTGAAAGGAGGTTGTCACCATACTCTGTTCATATGAATTGTATACTTTCGACATGACTATGGTTTGATGCTTGATCATAAATCAAATTTTCAGGTTGCTATTTACTTCTTTTTAAGGTTAACTTTTGATACTGAATATCTTTGATTTCTTGTGATGCATCATTGAAAAGTCTAAAACTGTGCAATTGTTTTGATACATTCCCTCCAAAATACTCGTACAAAAACAAAAACAGGGTTACTTTTTAACTAGAGCCTTTTGTACGCATGTGGAAGTTGTTAGTTTGGTTCATGAGAAGTTGGCTGTTGTGTTGTGGCGTAACCTAGTTAGCAAGCAAGCAGCCGCGGATTCCCTCGCTTCCTCAGCATCGGACTTCTCCTCTCCACACAATTTATACGCGAAATGACTCTCCTTTATTCTTACTTGAGCTTTAAATCCACCTTTTTGAACAAATCAATAACATCCACATCAAAATTTGAGTTATTAAAGGGCACTGAACTACGGATTTCACAACATATGATCTCAAGTCTCTACCATCTGATGGAGCGACACGATAGTTTGGTAGTACCCAATTGTTGTCGAGACATATTTCATCAAGTTTCTGCAGTAAAAAGGGCAATGAAGCTTTTACTTTGAGCATGAAATGATCAAGAAGACTCAAGCGTTACCAAAAAACTTACCTGACACGTACTTTTGGTAAAAGGTCGAGGTTCACAGAGCTTCACCCTCTTGTTGCTTTGACATGCTGACTTGTCAGGAGATTCTTGAAAGATACGGCTCGGGTATGCCTCGTTACAGCACTCAAGTACTGTTTCTAGTTGCAGCTCCCAATCACCTATAACACCCAACAAGAAGCATTCAATTTCATGCAAAAAACAAAGAGGGAAAGTATATACATACCTTTGATGCTCTTGATGCGCTTATCACATTTAGCAATCTCGTCTTCTATGCGCCGCTGCTGAAGAGTCTGCATCCAGAGAAGAAGAGATCAACTTTTACGCATAAGCTAAGAATCTATGCTATAGCCAATCAACTTCTTTACAGTATAGTGTATCTTTGATCAAATTCTACAGTTATTACCAGGCTATCTCGTTTGCAAAGAAGAACTTTTAGTGCAGTTTCGGATAGTGATGTTGCTCTAGAAACAAGAGTCGTCTGTAGCTCCCCAAGGTTTAGATTAGAGTTATGAGCAGAAACAGAAGCTGCAGTAAGCTTAAGAATGCTGTTAAGTTTGTCAGCAACAACTTTCTTCCTCTTGTTACTTCTTTCTCTGTGATCCTTTGAGTCAGACTCAACCTACACATTCGAAAAGGTGAATAAAGAATGCTTGAAGTCAGAACTGATAATATATAAAATTGTTAGTGTAGAGTTCGGACTTTACCTCCGAACCACCTCTCTCTCCATTGGAATAACTCTCCTTACAAGGACTCTTTCCATTATCTGCGTTCTTAGCCTTCAACGCAACTACTGTCTCCAACTGGGCATTGGGTTCCTTTGCAGCAGTGGTCCTTCCTCTCAAGTAACGATTTTGTAATATCTTCGGAGTCACTTTTTTTCTAGCTTTGGGAATGCCAAGTGGAGCTGCATCTTTCTTGGCCTGCAATTTAGATGCATACGTTACTTCTCTACAACCATTCTCCTTAGCACAACAACACAAGTAGTATCAATGCCAATACATACATTTGTATCACTACTTCTTTTCCAAGTAGTATATTCTCCTCTTCCAGGAATGTCGAAAACTTCCCAATCCCTTTCATTGCTTTCAAAATCATCACATACAGCTTCTGCCTCTTTCTCTATCACAAACTCAGTGTCTTCTCGCCTGGAAAAAAACTGAATCAATTTACATTGCTGCTCCTTAAAACTGATGCAAAGAATAACAACTTATAAAGACATAACGGTGCAAGTATACCTGGAAAACCAGTCTGCTATAAGGCTAGCATATGGAAGAACATGAAAGTATTCCACTATGTAATTTGTAGCCCATTCAGAGATGCCCTTCTCAAATAGAGGACCTTGCATGCTATTTATCAAGAGAAGAGCAAAAGAGAATGATTAGGAATATCGGTATCAATTTATCCTTACAAAAAGAGAAAAGATTATCATGCAACTAATGTGAAGCAAAGCGAGTTCAAGAGACCATCTTGCAAGATGTATGTGTCAATGTTTAATTATGCATCAATTTTGTAAGTGATTATAAGTTCCTTTGAAGCTGACATATTTATTGAAGCTAGAGCCTTGCCTTCCAATGCCAAAATCCACTTACCCATTAACTGCTTCTTCGACAGGGAAGTCTGCCGAAAATTTATCTTCTGAAGTGCACTTCATTATGTAAAAACGGGTCGCTGTCTTCTCTTCACTCAAAGAGTACACCAAGTGCCTCTCCAAGATCACAAAGTCATTGTGATTAACACCTGAAAATATTCCAAGTTGTATAAGCAATTTCCAGCAAGAATGCTACTACAGAAACCATATGATAAATCTGTACTTACTAACCTGTGGACTCCTTAATAGCTGCAAATGCAACTTTTTGAAAGATGGACTCTTCATTCTGATCTCCTGCAGCAGTTTTCTCTTTCTCGATGGTTTTCTCAAGTAGTGACCACACACCTTTTGTGATGTAACTGTGTTGAAGATAACAATGACTCTTCTTTGAGTCAACTAACAGAACTGCAACTTTCCTTATGGGCCACTTCTTCAAGACTGAAAAATCTGAAGACTCGTCCAGGCTCATGGATATACTACATGCATCCGCAATAACCTTCTCCAGCAATACAGTATGTTCTGAATCACCATATCGTTCAGCTTCGCTAGAGGCCTTGAAATGCGGCAGCAGAGCAGGTTTCATAGCCGTGGTCAAGCTACGGAATGACTCAAGAGTCAAACATTCCAGGTGAGGATGCTCTTTCCTGTGGTAATAGTTGTACAGCAACACAACAGCATGAACCTGAATCAACACCAATTTGAAATAAAGGTTTAAAACAAAATAAAGGGCAACTCTACGAGACGGACACAACATTGCAGTCAAAGATAATTAGAGATTTTGATTTAAGTAATCACCTGTTTCGCCACATCTTCCCGGGCAGACTTCAAAGGAAGCTCATTTGGAGCAGGTATCCATGGAAGCAAAGGGTCGACTAAGTTTTCTAACAAAGCTCGAATGGCGTCCTCTGTCGGACAAGCATCTGAGGTTTCCGCTGTGGTCTTTGTGACCGCTAAAGAGCAATCGACCTCCTCCATAATAATCTCAATCACCAACTGCAACTATTTTTTTTTTGACAAACGTAAGAAGAACCCAGAAATATATAGCAGAATCGAGACCTCGGAGAAACTGAAATTCACGGCATTTAACAAAGGGGCAAAACAGATTTACTGAAAGGTAAAGTGTCGCAGTCAACAATACCTCTCGAGGGAACTAAAGAAGACGCCGAATAGAATTGAAGGAGCGAAGAAACGAGAAGCAGCAATCAAAAGAGAAGATAAAGCTGAGATTTTTTTTTTATTTCGATGGTAACGAAGGAGAAAGTATGGAACTTTACCGGAAAAGGAAAACCCTAGCTTGGCTTTGCTCTGATAAATACCCAATTGCCGTTTTTGGTAAATGAGAAAGAGAGAAGAAAAAATTAGAAAAGTGTCAGTTTGTACCAAAGGAAGAGAGACAAGTAGAAGCCGAGGAGGAAGATCATTTCAATTTTCAGCTTCGTGTATAATATAATACTAGTAATTATTTTTGTTATTCTCTATAATAATGGAAATTCGAAAAGGCGCCAATCCTTTTGTTTGCCACGGGTTTACTGTAATATTGCCTCTCTTTTGAGGGTATTTGGGGGAATTTCTTCTTCAGTTGATCGATAGGACTTTCTACTTTACTTTTGAGTTTGCATTGGCACCAAAAGGTCAAAATCTATAAAAAAAATATCCAAAGTTTGGGTTTCAATTAAACGTAGTGAAACGCGTTCATCCAAAATGATTAATTCGATCAAAATGCTAAACCATGAATATATAAATTAATTGCTGAATATGTGTTGACAATATATGATTATATTTAAAAGATTGAAATGGGTACAAAGACATGTGAGTTTTCTTATAAAGATCATAACGAAGAACTCAAACATGTAATAAAAAGTTTAATTCTGCAATCTACTGAACATCCGAGTAGGCCATAGGAGTTAAGTTAAAAAGTGCAGCAAAAACCCCTTACAATTAATATTCAACAGAGCTCACAACGTACGTCGTATATCTCCGATCCATCTTATGCCTTCAAACTCAAAATGAAGCTTCTCCATGCCCATGCCCATATACCTACTCCACGGGCTCTTTCTTATTGCTTGCATGGTACTCGTTGAGCGTTGATTCTATTGTTTCCAACAACCGATCACCGTACTTGCTTACTTTGTCCCTGCAACGCAAGTTTGAAAAGATAATCAAACTCTTGATTGCTTTGTTGATGATTACAAGTAGAGGTTTTGGAAGCAAACATAACTTACTTGCCGAGGCCATTTATCTCGAGGAGTTCCTCTTTGGTTCTCGGGATTTTTTCGCTTATCTGCTGAAGCGTTGCATTGCTGCCACCACAAACACAAGAGGATTTTGTAGGGTTATGAATTAACATGACAATGATCAAGAACGGAACTTGGATGATCACAGAAAATGAGCAGCAACATGGTTGTTAGGGCTTACCCGAATATATGACTTGCCATGATACCGTCAGGGGATTCCTTTACAAGTAACAAGCGAAGCCTCCTCAAGGCTGTGTACATGTTGTCGGTGAGATTCTAAAGAAAAAAGATCAATGAAACAACCTCAGCAATTCAAAGTGGTAGATTACTTGAGACTATACTACAAAAGTACAAATCAAGGAGAGACATACCCCATCTGCTGTTTGAAGCGGAAGACTACTTTGCTTCTCCGATGTTAGCGCAGCTTCTGCTGAGGTTTCACCGGGTTTACTCACTTTGGACACAGCTTCATTCATATCACATTTCCTAGCATCATCTTCCACAAGATAGTTGGCTCTTGTGTTGTCTTGTAACTTAGTTAGCAAGCAAGCCGCCGCGGATTCCTTAGCTTCCTCAGCATCAGGCTTTTCCTCTCCACAGATTGTATACGCGAAATGAGTCTCATTTATTCTTACTTCAGCTTCAAATCCATCTTTTCAAGAAAAGCAACAACAACGACGTCAAATGAAAATATGTCTTAGGAAAGGAGCTCAAGTACAAATTTTGACATATGATCTCAAAACCTTACCTTCTGATAGAGACACATGATAGTGTGGTAAAACCCAGTTATTATCGAGGCAGATATCATCGAGTTTCTGCAATGAGAAAAGGATATATAAAGCCTTTTCTTTGAACGTCGTGAAATAATCAAGACTCAAGAGTTGCCAAAAACTTACCTGACACATAGTTTTGGTAGAAGGAAGAGGTTCACAGAGCTTCACCCTCTTGTTGCTTTGGCATGCTGACTTGTCAGGAGGTTCTTGGAGGATACGCCTCGGGTACGTCTCGTTACAGCTCTGGAGAACCGTTTCTAGTTGCAGCTCCCAATCACCTATAACACCCAACCCCCACGAGAAGCGTTCAACAAGTTCATGTAATGAGAGAGCTGTGGCAGAAAATGGAAAGTAAGTACCTTTGATATTCTTGATGCATTCATCGCATTTAGCAATCTCGTCTTCTATGTACCGCTGCTCAAGAGTCTGCACCCAAAAGAAAAACAGAGCAAACGCTTAGGCATAATAATAAGAATCTATGCTATTCTAGATTTCTAGAGTTATTACTAGTTTATCTCGTTTGCAAAGAAGAACTTTGAGTGCCGTTTTGGATAATGATGTTGCTTTAGAAACAAGTGTCGTCTTTAGCTCCTCAAGATTTAGGGCAGAGGCATTTTGAGTAGGAACAAGAGCTGTAATGCTAATCAGTTTGCCAGCAACAGCTTTCATCTTTCTCTGTGATCCCTTGACTCAGAGACTCAACATGCATTAACAATCTCAATCACCAAAAGCGAAAAGAATCACCGCACCAAAAGTTTTACAAAAAACGTAAGAAGAAACCAGAAATAGATTGCAGAATCTAGACCCCACAGAGCCGAATTTCACAGCATTCACAAAAATGGCAAAACCGCAATCGAAAATCGTAATGGAGGGAAGAACAAGAAAAAGCGAGCAAGGGAGTAAATAAAAAAGTAAAGATTTTTTTGTTCGATGGAAACGAAGGAGCGAAAGTGAGTTTTGTTCTGAATTTTTCTCAAATTCATAATGAGAAGAGAGAGTAGAAGAACATTTAAGAAATGTGTCAGTGAAAATACTGTAGGAAGAGAAAAGACGATTCAGATTTGTTTTTTTGTTTTTTCGTTTTGATAATAATGGAAATCCGAAAAGGCGCCAATCCTTTTTACCCTGGGTTTTACTGTAATATTGTGTCTCGTATGAGGGTATTTGAGGAGTTTCACATCCTTGGAATAATTTGCTCTCATCCTTGATTTTGAGTTTGACATTTGAAAACTTGATTGGGCTACATTTGGATTTCGTTTCAAATTTCCCTGATAGTCTTAAAGTTTTTCATTAACATTATTTATAAACACTGCAATTCTAGAGATTCAATCGTTCTTAGATCATCTAGTAGTGTTCTTAGTTTTCTTTGAAACTATTTTTTCATTCTTTCAAAAAGCTTCTGATTTATATACTCGCTTACGGAAAACCAATTTTATTTTCTACAAAATCTCCATCAAAAACTAATAATAACTCATTTATTTCGTTCTTACGTAAACACAATCCATCCATGTTTTGTCATTTTCAGGGGAAATCAGATAAAAAACATTGACTGAACCGGTCAGCCAGAGCCAGTACCAGTTCTGAACCACAAACCACCAGAAGAGTCTGGTTTCAACACAGACTCATACAGAGAACAAAACACACGCAGCTCATGAGACAAACGAAACAATAAACAACACTTCAAATCGTTGATGTTTCACACAAATAAAATGAATAAAAAAACAAACAAACAAGACAATCCGAGTTTCTTGCACGACTTTTCTCGCTGCTTTTGTTCTTCGAAGACAGGTCAGTCGGATTAAACAAATGCTTCCTTGATGATACTTATTAACTTTTTTTTTTTCACAATGGAGAAATGGAATGAATTAATCATAGTTGCTTCCAGAAAGAGCCAAGAGATAGACTAAAGAATGTATGAAGCACCAGATTACACGTGATAACATATATATTATGCCGTGTGAGTCTATAAATTATATATATATATATATATGCAATATATTGTAAGATGGTACCGGTTTAACATCCGGCTGCTTTCAAGAATTTATCGTAGGGGCTTGAAGGAGGTAACCGAAATGAATTGTGTTCCACTTCGTGTGAACAGAATCCGAGCTGGCCTTGAGGTTGAACTTCAGCCACAATCATTGCCTTCTCATCATCTTCACCAGCTTCTTCTGTCTGCAGCACTCAAAAGAAAAGAACATCTTTTAAGGTTGATGGGAGGACTAATTATTGTCAACAGAACAGAGAACAAACTCTCTCACCTCCTTGAGAAGAAAGAGTTCCTCTTTTTCATCCTCTTCTGAGAAAGTTACAGCTTTGGTTGCTTGGGGTTTGAAACTTCGAAGCACGGACATCTTTTGCTGCTTACCCGTCACAAGAGCTTCGCACTGATTCATCATTTGGTCGTAAGGTACAGGAGTGGAGGAAACAGGGAGACTTGCAACTTGCCGAGCAGTTTCTGATACCTACACATCATCACCAATTAAAAAATTACATGAAAATACAAGCCAATGTCAAAACAAAAATAGTATGAAATATTGAGTGTTAAGTAGTTTACCGATTCTAACAACTCATTGACACTCAGAACATCAACTGGGTTAGTGTTTGTGGACAATGATGTTCTGTGGCCAGACTGACTCCCACTAGCCCCCGGGGAAATTCCTTCGAACGCCACTATTGCTGAAAGCTCAACCTGAAGGATCCACACAGTTGCAATAAGAAACTCGCTCCTGAATCAAGTTTCTAACAAAGTCATTGTACCTCTTCAAAAGCTGGAAGTTCTATTTGATTAAGAGGAGAACTAGGTCCTGGTGTATCCACGAACAATGGTGCACCAAGAGGATGTGCATCATCTCGGGAAAAATCTGACTGAATTTCCTTTCTCAAATTTGATTGCTCCTCCTAAGAACATTGCACAGTAAACACATTTGTCAGAAAGAAAAAAAAGAATACTGCATGAAGAGGTTTGGGATGCTCTAGCGAGTTTATCCTACTTCATTTTGTCTCGCTATGAATACATATACTGACTAAACACTACATTAGGACAATATCTTGACTAAACACTAAAAGACAAGGTTTCTTTAATATCATGACAAAACACAACTTCCGCCAAAGATAACTTAACTATCATGAATGGATACACCATTTACAATGTTAAACTAGATAAGTACCTCGGATAAGGTCTGAAATTTCGATGTAAAATGAATGATAACGATTTCCTTCAGGAGACTATCGTTTGCGACAATCACTGAAGAATTGAGAGCAGCACTATCATCTTTCTCAGATCCATACGCTACCACTTCTTCTTGTGGAAACCCAGAACATGCAGCACGCAGTCTGATATCTCCTTCCAGTACAAGGTAAGGATCAACCTATTTCGGACATGACGAATTGCACATACAGATTAAAAACAGCTGACCACCCAAAAGCAAGAGATTTCGAAAACGGAAAACAAACAGATGCCATATTTAACAAAAGCTTACCATTCGGGCAGTTAAGGATTCTTTGACCATTGGAATTAGCTCCGGAATATCGGAAATCTTGGCACCGAAAATGAGCAAATATGATGCAAAAGTGAAGATCGATCTTCTACGAGAGAGCTGCAGACCTTTTTCAACATCATAGCAGAAATATATGTCAGAAACAAGCTCAATAGAATGGGGAGTTCAGGAGTCTCATTTATATTTACCACTAACAGATCACATTACTAAAATAACAAAACAGGCATGGCACAATCTAATGGAACTATATATACCATAGTAAATGCAAAGATATAAGATCCACTTATTATAGCTAAGCCAGCAAAGTAGGTAACTTCTGATTGAATGGAAAACCATTTATCACAGTCTTTAACTTACCATCTTGAATCAATGAGAGATTCCGAAGAGAGAATGCCAGCTGAAAACACCGCACTAGAGCCATGTGATTTGACCTCTGCCATTTGCAGTTACCAAATCAAAAAAAAAAAAAAATTACAAATTCAAACGAGCCATAGCCTCAAAATGACAAGTTGCATAGAGGGGATCCATCAGGTAAACAAGTTGCATCGACTAACCTTTGCTAGTGAAAACAAAACAGTGATATTATACGTGCTGGCCATAGCCTCAAAATTTGCAGGGGTATTCTCGGTAGAAGTTGCTTGGATCCATAGGGATGAAAGGAGCATATTCACTTGGTGACTACTCAGTCGGAGTGAACACAGCGACTGTAAAAGCATCAAATCACACTTTAGTCAGCTCACTATCAAATACACTCAGATCAATAAGAAAAGTGCCAATTGATATCATTGGCGGGGGATCCAAACAGGTTTAGAAAATTTATACCTTTATACCATCAACTACATCCTTAAGGCTATCCAAGGACTGACAACTAAGACTCGTATGTCGTGATACACCTGGATGAGATATGTGGTTTACATCTTTAGACAGTTCACTATTTAAGGATTCATCGACTTTATCTCTCTCGTCCTCCTGTAAACTGATACTCTGGCTCCTTACTGTACAAGTTCCATCAACTGACAATATCCCAGAAACACCTTCTGAGGTTTCCTTCTGTTGGTCTGACCAAGGTAAACGAAGAGTTCGGAGAAGCAGGATGGAGAAAATGTTGTGAGCATCGACTCTAGTCTCACAATCTGTGTGGGACATTGCAAGCAGCAGTTGGTGAAATAAGGCATCCGGAAATACCTGGCACAGACCACAGTAAATCTGTTAGAACAGAATCATTATTGCGATATTCAAATACAAAACAAAACTTGCAGTGAAAATTTTTACGTACTTTCTTGTGGTAAGAAACATTCGGGACCACTGATACTATATGTGCAGCACGTAGAGTGGCTGATGCTGTGGTCCTAGCAACAAGTACATTGGTGGATATCGTCTCAAGAACCACTGCCAACATATCCAATATGGGGCCTGCATCCCCAACCTTAAAGCAAAACAAAAAAATATGTTTTAGGGAGTGAAGAGGAATCAAAATAACAAACACAAAATACAAAATACAGGTAGAAGCTGCTTGGTTTCAAAAGTACAATGTTGTATACTTGTGGAGAGGATCGGACATTACAAAAATTCAAAAGGCCAGAAAACAGTCCAACTAACCTTATTTGAGAGCTCTGCGATGCAATTTTCTAATGCATGCTGGAGCTCAGAGTTCTGCTTCGTTTCATCGGCAGACAGATCTGATTCAGCTGCATTTTGCAGACATTTCCGCAAGTGCTTAATCAAGTCGGCTATCACAGCAGTCATCGCGCCTGAAGCCTGCTGCTTAGCATGTAGCACAAGGCATGTCGCTACATTAACCATGTTAACTTGAAGATCTTGATGCTTCATTACATTCTTATGATCCAAGTGCTTGACCAGAGAAGATACCAACACATGACAATTTTCTCCTGCTTGAGTACTTCTCTAGTCAGTCACCTCACAAATAAACTAAAAATCAGTAAAAATAGTAACTTACATATCATCCTGACCTGATTCTTCCAGACGAGACTGCAGAAACAATAAAACAGAAGAGGCAACGCCCTTCTGTGGAGACCAGTAATTTCCACTGTCAAAAGCATTTAAAAGCGGCTCCAGAACCCGACGAACAGTTGTAGATTCCTTTGCTAATTTGGCTATATTGCAAAGGCAAACCATAGACCAGTATGGGGGGCTCTTTGAAATATCCCTGTATAGATTTAATGAATAAAGTCAAATAACAAACAAATGAAGTTGATCAGAAAAACAGGTGATGATAATTTTCTTAGAAGCCTTACATGTTTTCCAACTTATAGTCAGTCACAGGGTTAGGTTTGAAAGAAACCTTTTTACTCATGTTAGGAATCTTCGATTCTGAATTTTGACCAACTTCATTGGCATATTCTTCGCCCTTCTCCAAGTCCATATAATTCTCCAGAATCACAGAAATAATCTAATTCAAGATGAAAAAAGGTTCAAAATCTAATACAACGCACCAGCACTTGTATATATAAACCTTGGATGTAACAGAACAGAAGTTGAAGTATCCAATAACTCACCATATCCAAGTCCATTGATAGTTGGGAATGCTCACCAATGAAAGATACCTGGCAATAAGTATTGGTTAGTAGCAAAAAGTTCCTAGCAGAATCAGTTGTGGAGGGTTTCAAGTACAAAGAAACTAACAACAGAATTCCCTAAAGGGAAACCAATAACTGTAATGGAATTAACAAAAAAAAAAACCTAAACCGATCGACCATAAACCCAAGACAAGCTAAAGAAGAACTAGCACCATTTTCAGTGTAAATCGTTAGCAATGTGAACTTCATCCATGCCTAAAACGTTAAGAGTTGCAAATTAAAATTACAAGTTCAAGCAAATAAAACCCATTCCACTAATAAAGATAGTGCAAAGCAGAAGTTCTGGCTATCTGCAATACGAAGAGAACATAATCCCGTAAGATGTACATATCCATTTTTATAGGATACGTTTTGCGTGAGAAATGTATAAATCTAAAGGACATGTTTTCTAAAGAAAACAACAAGTTAAAAAAACATTACCATAAATGCCAAAGCCTGCATTCCTGCTGAGCGTAATTGGAGTGATCTTTCATCATCCCCCATTTCTTGAGCAAGTTGACAAAGTTTAGGGATTAGACCTTCTAAGTTGAACATGTGCGAATTCTCAGTCTGTATGTAAGTAAATGTGTCACTATACGATTGAACAGAGACCAAAAGCGTTAAGGATTACTGGCAAAGCAGTGAACTTTATGTAGTGCAAGCTGGACAAGTAGCTTGCGAAAGAACATGTAAGAATACCTAAAATATTACTCAACGTACCTGTAAGCTTATAAAGTCAACAAGGGTATTGCAACCCAAGATCTGTACTTCTTCCTCTCTTGTTTGCTCCAAAAGAGTTCGGACAATGCTTAGCAAACTACACGAAAATAGAGGCCTACAAGAAAAAAAACTGCACTTTCAGCAAAAAAAAAAATGATCGAGCAAAAGAAGATCGAAGAAAACCAAAATATGATAAACAATTTCTAAGTAACCCGATAATGCCAGACCACATATAGGAACAACTACTTACATCTGCTCCTTACATGATGAAAGCAATCTCTTGTAAATGCATAAGACGACTTTAACAGATCCAATATTTCCATTCCGCAGTTCTTTGTAACATTTTTGCTCAAGATACTCTGTAATCTGTCAAAAGCCAAGACTGAGGATTAAACTGAGAGAAGTCAGCCTAAAGTTTAGGGAATAACAGAAGAGTAACTAACTAACTACCTTTGGGATTCGTAAAGGATTCCTTGACGCATACTCACAAAGCTTGCCAATTTTTCTATCATTTGGCTCAGCATCCTGCCAATCCAAAACACGTATCATTCTGTGTACCAAACCCCCAATAAACTTGCGACAGAAATTCAGAAGAATGGTATATAGAAGAGCAGAGATATTAGAAAAGAAAGAGGACCTGATTGCGAGGGAAAATCTCAGCGAGCATTTTCTTGTAGCGTTTAACGGGATGCCTTGACCTTGCCCTCAAGGAAGGACAGAAGAAACAGAGGTTACCACAGGCGGGCAAAACCCGTCTGGACATAACCCCCATTTTCTTCCTCTTCTTCTAAACCCTCTTCTTCCCTGCAATCCCCACCGTAAAACTAACAATCCATTGAAGAAGGCCAATAATCCCACAAACAGGAAGAGAATTGTTACCCAGCAGCAGCGCGATTCGATGGACCCCTAATTCAGTATGTAGCTACCGTGATCGCAATCCGGACCACCCTGAGACCACGCAAAAGTGGGCCAAAATTAAATTCGGCGACCCCATGAAGAAAAGGATTCAAATTTACAGAAACTAGATTTCCAATTTTACACAAGGTTGTGCAGGAATTAATCACAAGACACCAAAAAAAAAAAAAAAAAAAAAAAAAAAGAGAGAGATGTAATCAAGATGAGGAGAAAATAACCAGCACGATGGGAAACGCCGAGAGAGGCCGCTGGGGAGAAGGAAAAATCTAATCCCGCTCGCCTGCTCAGAGTTGGCATCGTCATCTCTCGTCCTTTTTAACATTATTAATTTCATAATTAAAATCACTAAAAGTTCTCTCTCTCTTTCCGCCATTAATGTCGGAAAGTGTCAGTCCGAAAAACTCCTTCAATTACCCATTTACCCTCTTGTCTGGATCTGCCAGAGCTTATCTTATTATGTGATCCGGGCGATATACAACATATACGGTCTGTTATTTTATTGAAGATGTAGAAGTAAATATTCTGGTTTGTTTTCGGCTTGTTTGGTTCAAAGAGACATTACACGATTTCAATTTCAACCGAAAGTTATTCGATCTGATATAAACACTTTCATCAGATACATGGAGTGATAACAACATTAATTCATTGTTGTGCCACTGGGCAATTGTTTGTGTTCACACTTCGTTCAAACTCCAATTATAGTTTTCTCAGTGATTATGCTGGAATAACGGTGAATGATCCATGGTCTAAAGCATTTACTAAAGTTGCAGGTTTTATGTTAAGTTCAGGGGCTTTCTTGTTTAGTTTCATGTTGATATATCTACTTTTTTTTGAATCGTGAGCAAGAGGAGGAGATCAAGATTAAACTAAAACACACACCATTGTCCTCTAGAATCAGTTCATGATCTCCATCACAGAGACAGGTCTCCCAAGTCCATGCAATACTAAAGAAGCACGCAATCTCGTGGAAGCACTCCTTGCGTGCCAAATTTGAAACAGCTAATAAGCTTTGTAGAAAATGAGGACTAGACACAGCAATGAGCATTGTCGAACGATCTTCATTAGGATTTAGAAAGGCTAAAAACACAAGCAGTTAAAAGCAAGTCAGGTCAACCAAAACAGGCACTGCACAAACTAGTCGAATCAAGAAGTTCTAAGCAAAATATCTCTCCTTTGCTCTTCTTCAGCATCTCCCAAACTATTTCACTTACGGGCACTTAGTTAAACTCCCTCAAGCTTCCTATCGTACCTAGGAAAGGTGGTGTCTCTCTAGCGATAAGGCAAAGACTTCATGTTGTAACGGCTAGCCAGCTTCTGAGCAACACCAGTGTTGATGAGTTTATCTATGATCTCAATCTTCTCATGGTGTGTTGTCACCGTCTCTGATTGCTGCTTAGCCAGCTTCTCTGCATCCTCAAGCTGTTTCTGAAACAGAAAATGAAAAATACATCAAAACACGTTCACAAGAGGAGAATAATACCAAGACCACAATCAGATTCCCCAATGCCACAGAAAGTGAGAAACGGAAAAAACATAGTCACCTTTGTAACAAAGGCAGCTTCAGCAGTGTGTTTCAGAACAAGTCGCTTGGCTTTCTTGGCCTTCTCGTACTCGGTAGAACTCGGGTCTATCCAGCGACATTGGATCCTCCTGCCTGGTTTCCTCGGTCGATCGCAGAACATCTCAGGCTTAGCAGTATTGGCTCTCACGGGTCTGGGCATTCCACCAACCATGAAAGGAAACTGTGAAACAGTCTCAATAACAGCCTTCGCCTTCTCTTCCGTCTCCATCTCGACCAGAGCCCCAATTGGAAGCTCCTTCGGACCCAAGTAGTTTGGCAAGAAGCGCACATCCTTCACCGTCCCAAACTGATTGAAAGCAGATTCCAAAACCGACTTTGGGGCGTGAGGAGTGAGTTCGTCTACATACACAGTACGACGGACTTTCTTGAGAAACTCATCATACTTTTCTTCTTCCCGATTAGCCATGCTGTAGAGAGAAAAGGAACGAATTAGTTGCAATAAAGAGCAAAATACTATGAACCAGGTAGCAGTGAGTCACTGGGCCGAAACCCTTTTTCAAAAATTAGAAATTTCTGAGACAAAGTCTAACACTGGCACACTAAGAAGACAACCTAATCAAAAGAATAAAAGACAGAGTTGCAACTAGGCATGTGAATGTGTCACTCAACAACTGAACGCAACATGTTACTTCCTCTAAGCCATTTACTCATGTGCCCAGAAGAGTCATAGACAGAGTTGCAACACCGAGAAACAACTGAATGTGAATCTCTCTTCATTTATAAAGTGTAACAAAAATCAAAACCATCTAAAATCTAACATGTTAAAGCAAAGCTAAGATAGTTCAGAACTCTCGGAGGGAGTAAAATCTAGCTCGTTTCAGTTGCAAAGCTGAGAAAAAAAAAAAATCCCATTTAGACATTTGATCAAACACATTGTCTACAGAATATTCCCCGTTATGTTTTGGCAAAAAAAAGACCAGTTTCAATCTCGGTAGCACCACGAATCAACAATACAAACTCTAAAATCAAACAATCTAGTGACCCAACAATCAAATTTCGCAATTTCAAAGGTCCAACTCTAAGCCGGGTACAGTACGAGAGGAACTCATGATCCTAATTTGCGATATGATCTCGAAATTACCTGGTTAGGTTTTGTGTAATTTCTGGAAGTTCAGACGCACCCCTTCCGAACTTGTACCAATGGAAAGTAAACGAAATTCCCGAAGATCCTCGAGTCGAAGAGAAGGCAAAGAATCTAATTAAGAAAACCCAGGAAAGCAAAATATAGCAAAACGGCGAGTAAGTTATTGATAATATATTTTTTATTTTATCACTTACAACAAAGCCCGTATAGCTCAGTGGTAGAGCGTCAGTCTTGTAAACTGAAGGTCCGTAGTTCGATCCTGCGTGTGGGCACTTTTTTAATTGAATCTTCAAAATACATTTTTTGCCTTTTCACAATATCATAAACAATATAAGTGGACAAAAATTAATTAAATAGTTCTAATGAAAATCCTATGCGACTTATTTTCTTTTGTAGATCAGTTTTTGAATTCTTTTATCAGAACAAAATCATTTCGGATACTTTCCTTTGGTCATAAGTCATAACTCATTAGTCGCACAGTTGTGTTAGTCCCCATAGTGGTTCACCACTCCATCGGTTTTTAGTTTTTTGGTAGCTGTCTTTCCTTAGATTAAGTTATAGTTTAGTCTAATAAATAAACCTTTTTAGCTAATTAGAAGGTTTAATTGTTTTAATACTAATGAAGTAGAAATGTCTGGACCCAAACGTGCAACCAATCTCCTCTAGGTGTGGAAACTGGAGAGGGTACTCCATAGTTGACAACCATTTACAATCTAATTGTTATTACTTCAAAGAATATATATGTGCTTTGCATAAATGTCTTATTTCAGAATTAACCAAATTACTCTTGATTAAGTGTGATTGGTTTCTAATTATTACAAATTAATTAGTTTGAAATATAAATCACTCAGATTCAAGAATATAAATCCTAACAAAAATATATGGTTAGTTAAATATATTTTTCCTAATATGTTTGTTGTTGTACCCATATGATACAAGGTGGCTCCCTCACAAAAATGGCAAATGCATTGTACACACATAGAGAGACATGGAGCCAATAACTCGAACGTCTTTAGAATATCAGATTACATCGCCCGCAAGAAGGTAACTATGAGAATATATCTTCAAAAGATACACAAATCTATTAGACTATTAATACTATATACTATATGAAAGTTGATTGAACTTTTCCCGTACTGTTCCTTGGTTTTCCGTAAAAACGAAAGACATAAAACAAAATTTAATAATATGAATATTTGATTCCAGAGAGTCATAGACTTCTCTATCCTTTTAAAAGCCTCCCAACGTTTTCTCTCTACCAATAATTCTATAATGATATCAACCAAAAGGCAAATCTTTTCTCTTCCTCTCTCCCTCCCTATTTTTGGCCAGTTATTGTATCTCATTGCATGTCTTTGAGTCTCTTGACTTCCTTTTCAATTTCTGAATTTTTCTGCCCTTATCGGGCGATTCATCGATCTCTAAGAAGCCAGGAAAGGGTAAAAGATCTTACCGGAAACCCTTTCTCGGCTTCTCGAAACCCTGGCCTCACCGATATCCTTTCTTCCTCCACACGCAACTCTACAAACTAAAGACATATTAATGGATCCAACAGAGCTAAAACGCGTGTTCCAAATGTTCGACAAGAACGGGGACGGGACGATCACGAGAAAAGAGCTGAGCGAGACGCTGCGAAACCTCGGGATTTACATCCCCGACAAGGAGTTGACTCAGATGATCGTGAAGATCGACGTGAATGGTGATGGGTGCGTGGACATAGACGAGTTTGGGGAGCTCTACAAGACGATAATGGACGAGGAAGACGCAGAGGAAGAGGACATGAAGGAAGCTTTCAATGTGTTTGATCAGAACGGAGATGGGTTTATAACGGTGGATGAATTAAAGGCGGTTTTATCTTCCTTAGGACTCAAGCAAGGTAAGACATTGGACGATTGTAAGAAGATGATTATGCAAGTGGATGTTGATGGTGATGGTAGGGTTAATTACAAGGAGTTCAGACAAATGATGAAAGGCGGTGGTTTTAGCGCTTTGAGCTAATGATCTTTTTTCCCCATTTTTGTGGTTTTTTCTTCTTCTTGATTTTATTCTATTGTTTGTTAGGAATGAAAACACACAAAAGAAAGAAAAAAAAAAGATGATCTTAGTTGACTGCATTCTTTATTGTTCCTGACATAGATTCCCTATAGTTTCTCCGGCATTATGGCATCTTCTTTGGAACCAATATTATCGTAAGAAAAATGTTCAACAATATGGATTAAAGTTTGTGTGCTCATTTGAATAGTGTAGATGGGGTTTGATTATGTGGCGAGATTTAGATATAAGAAAATCATGCCTAAACCGAACGTTTATTGCTCGGTCTATTAGATAGCCTCGACTCGGTTCAGGGTGTGGATTTACCCTAATAAACAAACATAGTACAGAGATATTTTATATGCCCTCATAAACTATCATATTACTCGATAAACGAACCCTGCATCCGACCAAATGGGGAATAACAAAACAACCCCACGACCTTTAAATTAAAGGCCAGCAATAGCTTGTCCACTACGGCACAGTCATCGAGCAACGGGACGATTAGTACATGTACTATCTAATTATTTGAATAACCTTTTACAATGATTTTTTTTTTATGTTTTATATAACTCGATAGCTTTGGAAATCTTAACAGTTTTTTTCATTTTTTATAATAAATTTGTGTGTACTTTCTATATACAACTTCTTTCAGTGATAACCAAACTTCTCAAGATTTCACTAAAAGAATCGCTTAATTTTAACAAATCACACATATACAATGGAAATATAAAACATGCGTTTTAAGGAGCTCATTAGATTTAACAAATATATAAATCTACATAATCTCGCGTTAAAATATAAATGTATACATAAGAGTAAGATTGAAAAAAACGATGAAGTCCTTTTCTTCAACGTTATTAAGGTGTAACAACCATTGGAAGTTTGGAAAATAAATCACCAATTTGGTTGACTTTAATAAGCAAATCAGTCATCATTATGTATCTAATCGGTCCAAAGCCAAACCAAACTTAAGAAAACATATTTATTTTACTTTTGATAAAGAGAAAACTTACTTCATTTAATAAGAAGAAGAAGCACCATTAGCAAATACCTTTTCCCCATGTTATTTAATTTATATCGGTGTTCTAGAGTTGATATAGTGATATTGCTTACTTAATCAGACTGGTCTAACATTTAAAAAAAATTGGATTAGTAGAGCTTATTATATCGGAGTAGTATTTGACAATTTGTTATTAATTTATAAACGCTTATGTTAATTTTTAAAAATAAAAAAATAATAAAATGAAAGACGTTAGTTTTGTTTATATCCGTTTTAATTATAAAGTACACAATTTTATAATATCAATGTGGGGGAATAATGAAGAAGGAAAAATCCTTATCTTATCTTTGCCAAAAATTACAAAACATTTAACAGCCAAATATTCAGGTGTGTGTGCATTTTCGCATAGGTTAAATAAAATAAAAACGAAAAAGCGATGACTGGGTCAATATATCATGTCTGAAACTTCTGAGTTGTCTCTCTTTCTCTCTCTCCTTATCTCCAAATCCCCAAAGTTTTAACAAGTATCGAGAATCTATCATTCTTCACCATGCTCTCTCTTCCGCCGCCGCCCACCTCCGCTTCTTACCGGAATTTCCCGCTGACCCTCATGTAGCGTTCTAATTCCCTACACCTGTAGATTTATATAGAGCTTTCTCTTGCTTCCAATGGCATCAACGCCGCCACACTGCTCGATCACCGCCACCAAACCTTATCAGAACAATCCTTACCCTCAAAATCAGCTTAAGAACCATCGCCAAAGCCTTCACCCACCCAGATACCACCGCCCATGGGCTCCTCAGCGTTTCGCTCCCTCTCCACTCGGCGGCGGAACCAAAGCCAGAGGCAGTGCAGCTTCGCCGTCTTCCTCCTCCGCCGCCGCCGCCGCTGCGACGACTGCTACCGGTCAATTATCGCAGACTCCTGCTCGTTTCCCTGCTTTATCTCCTCTGCAGACCCCGAAATCGGATCTCTCCCCTGATTTTGCCGGTCGTCGTTCGACCCGATTCGTCTCCAAGATGCACTTTGGCCGGCCCAAAACCGCCATGGCATCGCGTCACAGCTTGGTTGCAGAAGACGCGCTTCACCACGCCATCCAATTTTCCGGGAACGACGAAGGGCTTCAGAATCTACTATTGAGCTTCGAGTCTAAGCTTTGTGGCTCCGACGACTACACATACATACTCCGTGAGCTCGGAAATCGAGGTGAGTTCGAGAAAGCTGTTCGCTTCTACGAGTTTGCAGTGAAACGAGAGAGGAGGAAGAACGAGCAAGGTAAATTAGCAAGCGCCATGATAAGCACTCTCGGTAGATTAGGTAAAGTGAGCATCGCAAAGAGGATCTTCGAAACTGCTTTAGCTGGTGGGTATGGAAACACAGTCTACGCCTTCTCGGCTATAATCAGCGCTTATGGAAGAAGCGGGTATCACGAAGATGCCATAAATGTCTTCAGTTCCATGAAAGGTTACGGCTTGAGGCCAAATTTAGTTACTTACAACGCTGTGATCGATGCGTGTGGTAAAGGAGGGATGGAGTTCAAGCAAGTGGCTGAGTTTTTCGATGAAATGCAGAGAAACAGAGTGCAGCCTGATAGGATAACTTTCAACTCTTTGCTTGCTGTTTGTAGCCGAGGAGGCTCTTGGGAGGCAGCAAGAAACCTTTTTGACGAGATGTTGAATAGAGGGATCGAGCAAGATATATTTACGTACAACACTCTTTTGGATGCAATCTGCAAAGGAGGGCAGATGGATTTGGCCTTTGAGATCCTGGCTCAGATGCCTGCAAAGAATATCATGCCGAATGTTGTAACTTACAGCACTGTGATCGATGGCTATGCTAAGGCCGGTAGATTTAATGACGCTCTTGCTCTGTTCGGGGAGATGAAATATCTTGGTATCCCACTTGATAGAGTCTCGTACAACACATTGGTTTCGATCTATGCTAAGCTCGGTAGATTCGAAGAAGCTTTGGATATTGTTAGAGAAATGGCATCCGCTGGGATTAGGAAGGACGCTGTGACTTATAATGCTCTTCTGGGTGGGTATGGGAAGCATGAGAGATATGGTGAAGTGAAGTGTGTTTTCGCTGAGATGAAACAGGAGCGCGTGTTGCCTAATCTACTGACTTATTCGACCTTAATCGATGTGTACTCGAAAGGGGGCTTGTACAAAGAGGCAATGGAGATATTTAGGGAGTTTAAGAGTGCTGGTCTAAGAGCCGATGTTGTGTTGTATAGTGCGTTGATTGATGCCTTGTGCAAGAATGGGTTGGTGGAGTCGGCTGTTTCATTGCTAGATGAGATGACAAAAGAAGGAATCAGCCCAAATGTTGTAACTTACAATTCCATGATCGATGCCTTTGGTCGATCTGCAACTGCGGAATATTTAGCTGAGATTGACGAAGGTGGAGCCAATGGCGTAGAGGAAGATGAGTCTTTCTCTTCCTCTTCCGCTTCTCCGTCTGACTCCTTGTCTGTGGCTGTGGGAATTGACTCGCTATGTAAGTTGACTGAGACAGAGGATCATCGGATTGTAAAGATCTTTGGGCAGTTAGTCACTGAGGGAAATAACCAGATAAAGAAAGATTGTAAGCAGGGTGTGCAGGAGCTCTCCTGTATATTGGAAGTCTTTCGTAAAATGCACGAGCTGGAAATAAAGCCGAATGTAGTAACCTTCTCTGCTATTCTAAACGCCTGCAGGTTTGTCCCTCTCTCTGATCCTTTTCTGAAAGTTAGGGAATGAAATGTAACTCCAACTGTCAGGATTATCATAGACTAGCTTCCTTGGTCAGTTTGATTTGTAGAATATGATTCCTTGTGTCTACTTTACTTTCAGTGGTGTACTATAAAACGTTGGCATTCACATGGGTAGTTGGACATTGTAGAAAGTCCGTGAAGTTTCTTTTTCGAGTCTTATATGCAGGTCTTGCTGAAATTTGCTGATGGTTTTGTATATCTTGTTAAACCTGTTTGCATTGAGAGCAGTCGCTGCAACTCATTTGAAGAGGCTTCAATGCTGCTCGAAGAGCTCAGGCTGTTTGATAATAAGGTATATGGTGTTACTCACGGGCTTCTTATGGGCTATAAAGAGAATGTTTGGGTCCAAGCTCAGAGCTTATTTGATGAGGTTATGGCAATGGATGGATCAACCGCTTCTGCCTTCTACAATGCTCTAACCGACATGCTTTGGCACTTCGGTCAGGTACATGTGGATGCATTAGGGAGTCAAGTTTAGGAAGTATTCCTAAAATCCTAAACCAGAATTGACTGAATCGTGTGTTCTTTTGACAGAGACGAGGAGCGCAATCTGTGGTGCTTGAGGGAAGACGTAGAAAAGTTTGGGAGAATGTTTGGTCTGATTCTTGCTTGGACTTGCATCTCATGTCTTCTGGTGCAGCACGAGCAATGGTCCACGCGTGGCTTCTGAACATACGCTCCATTGTCTACGAAGGTCACGAGCTGCCAAAACTCTTGAGGTACATACAAACAACAACAACAAGAAGAATGTCCCTTGTTTAAACTCAATTTTGTCTGATTCTTTTTTGACATTTGTATCTTTTGGTTTCTGGTAGCATATTGACAGGCTGGGGAAAACACAGCAAAGTGATGGGAGATGGGACGCTGAGACCAGCAGTGGAGGCGCTATTGAGAGGCATGGGAGCTCCGTTCCATGTGGCTAAATGCAATGTGGGGCGGTTCGTATCGAGCGGTTCGTTGGTTGCAGCCTGGTTAAGAGAATCAGGCACACTCAAGGTCTTGGTCCTGCAAGATCACAAACATGAACAAACATCTCTTCCTCTTCCTTTGTAGCTGTTGTTGTGATCAGTTTCTGTTCTTTTGTGTTTGTTGCTAACAATGTACTGTAAGTTGGGGTCTGTAATATTTTTTGTAATACCCATTAACCAACAAATTATATAATAAGATATTTTGGATTGCTTTTTTGTTTATTCGAACCAAAACTGCAACTAAGGTGTAATTTTGCCGCACCATTTCAAGATTAAATCGGTAAAGTGATTTTAATTGAATAACCATTTCAAGATCCAAGCCCAATAGGGCGTGACATTTTTTATTTATGGGCTTTCAATGGTCAGTCCATTTGGACAATGATCCAAAATTTGACCATGCCCAATAAAGACCAAGTCCAGATGGGCATTTGGACCAACATTAGCCGAGAAGAAACATTTTTGTTGGTCTTTTTGTCTAAACGATGGGCTTAATGGGTCACATTACTAAGAGACTAAAACCTCCTTCAGAAGTTATATTTCGGCCCATACTCAGCCTTATATAGTGGTTAATTCGATTTTAATGTTAATACCGGTCTTGATAATCCGGTTATTTAATTAGATTTATTGTCTGATTAATCTCGCTTCCATTTATGCTTACCACGATTCCTCTTCACTTGTGTTGTGATCTCTGAGTCTGTCCATCACATTTCAATCTCTGGCTTGACTCTCCCTCCTGAAAACTTCATCGCTTTCAAGCTCCCTGGGTTTTTGAATCGGGAAAGGTACAGCTCTCTCTATAACTCTTCCCCTGATTTGTTTTTGTTTCTCTGAATCTGTTAAGGGGAACTACAGTAGCTCGATTTTGCGAATGTCGATATGCTCAACTTAAGCGTTCCCATTTTTGGAGTTCGCAAAAGTAGCAATCAGTTTTCGATTTCGTAAACTATCATCACCAATCACTTACAGTCTGTGAAAGTCGTTTAGCTGTATTGAGATTTAGGATTTGGCTTAAAATCTGGGTTTCGTATCAAGGGTTTGAGCAGCGAGACTTCTGGTTTTGTCTCAGAAGAGATAAATCAGCTTCTCGTTTATCTAAAATCATAGTTTTTGAGGCTCTAATGTGGTGGGATTACAGTCTCGCGAGATTTTCGTAATTGGTCTTGAGTATGTATTCATGCATGTGCATAAATGTGGGTGGAACTTGTGCAATCTTCAAAATTGTTATATAATCACGTTTAGCTTACTGCAGACTGATCTTGTTTCTAGGCTCTACTTTGTTTTCTTTCCCATTAGAGAGTAACAATGATGTCCTTGTTCTCACTGTTTTAGATAGAAATCGAAGAGGCAACCTCCAAACAATCCCCAGCTAGATTGAATGCTTTGTTCTTGTTTAGTTTTGGTTTCGGCTCAAGAAATTTGTTAACTTTTGTAGGTTCTGATCACTTACAGTAGTGTTAGTTTATCATTACTAAAATAGCTGAACGAATCTGTGATGCAGTGCTGCTTGGAAATGGGAAGAGAAAAGGGTCCTGGCTTGAAGATCCTCTGGGTTTGGACTCTCGGCACTGCTGCAAGTATGATTCTCTTTCTATCACTCTTACATGTTTGTGCGCGTTTGTACGGTTTATATACTCTTTATAGATAGTTAGATAGATCATGAGATCAAAATGTTATGTATCCATGTATCGTTGAACAATCTTTATACTTGTTTACAGTATTGGTGACGAGTGTTGTCCGCACAAGAATGAAGGACATGGAATCGATGATGAACCAGGAACAAGCACCGAAACAAAACCAGAACACAAGTGCGGGTGATTCCGTCTTGACGGATGAAACTGTTTTGCCTGAGTCAGATCGAGAGATTGCCAGACAACTCAAATGAGGAACAGCCTCGTTTTGCTGTTTTTTTTTTCCTCTTCCTTTTCAGTAGTATTCCATGAAGATAATCAAACAGGTCTTAAATGGTTTTGGTATCTGTAGTTTGCGACTATAATTAAAAGATTCTAGATGTTACTAGGAGAATAATTTGATAGGTGAATCAACCAAAAAGCTTGATGAAGAGTGCTTAGTAGTTCTTTTTTTCCTGTGTGAATATTATAAAGAAGCTACCCAATTTTGTTTTCTTATGTTGTGTTAATCAAGGCCAATATTTGAAAAAAATGAAAGTTTATCAAGGCTAATCTAGTAACGTGTGAGTTGATTTTTCTTACACAACTGAGTAATGGAAACCAATCCGAAATTCAGACTAGTTCTGAGGATCTGTAAAAAGTCATATATAATTATCATTTTAACTGACTAAATTGAAGTATTGAACCAAAGCGAAGTGTAAAGGCCAAGGAACTAAAAAGAACTGATGTATGTAAACGAAAGGGAAAACACACTAATACATATCACCAATTGCTTTCTTTGATAATTGTAAACGAAAGGGTTCTCTCCCATTGGCATTTTTAGCTTTAGTTCATGAGAAATGTTGTTGAGTCGACATTGTTCATATCTTTGGTATGAATCTTTTAGTATTTGACTTAAAATCCCTACTTTCTTTTTGGGTGAAAACACCTTAGAATGTAGATACACATGCATACGTCATGTAAAAGTGTCAGTGAGAATAGATTTAAGAGTGTTTTGTTCTTTCTTATCTATTTATCCTGAGTTTTAATTTCCATGAACAACCACACATAGAGATATCTATCATAACCATAAAAAAACGTTGAATTCATCCAACCTTGAAAGATCCTTGTGTTAGATTTTTCTTGCAAAAGGGGAAACACACCTTTTTGTTTACATGATCCGTATGATCCATGAACAGTGAAAGCTGTATAAACTACAATTATGGGAAAAAGGAAAATAAACTGGAACAAAAAATTTCTGCAGAAATGTTAAGAAATCTGTATAATATATTCCACATTTCAAACATATCTACAAGGGTCGTTGATGGTTATCTTCACTTCTCTTTTCTTTTATAACATAATTGCTAATTTCCTGACCAGAGTGAAATGACCTCATCAGAAGCTGTAAAACCTGTCTTCACTCTCGTAGACCCTTATATAAACTACTCCAAACTTCGTTCAATTTTCATACTCTCTACTGTTTTCTTTCTCCGATCTCTTGAACGCAAAATCGACCTCGCTCAAATGGCATCCAACGGAGAGAAAGGCCTCATCGTGAGCTTCGGCGAGATGCTCATTGACTTCGTCCCAACCGAATCCGGCGTCTCCCTCGCCGGATCCCCTGGATTTCTCAAAGCTCCCGGCGGTGCTCCGGCCAACGTCGCAATCGCTGTTTCACGTCTCGGAGGTCGCGCCGCCTTCGTCGGGAAGCTCGGTGATGATGAGTTCGGTCACATGCTTGCCGGAATCCTGAGGGAGAACGGCGTCGATGATAAGGGGGTCAATTTCGACAAGGGAGCGAGAACCGCACTCGCTTTCGTCACGCTCCGTTCCGACGGGGACCGAGAGTTCATGTTTTACCGGAACCCGAGCGCCGATATGCTTCTCCGTCCAGAGGAACTCAACCTCGAACTAATCAGATCCGTACGTAAACCATCTCATTCTCTCTGTTTTTGAAATATTTACATTTACATTTTGCTTAAAATATTTAGAGTTATTATTTATTTATATAAAGTTATTTGATGCATTTATTGCAGGCCAAAGTGTTCCACTATGGATCAATAAGTTTGATAACGGAGCCATGTAGGTCGGCTCACTTGAAGGCAATGGAAGTGGCGAAAGAAGCAGGAGCTCTTCTTTCCTACGACCCTAACCTCAGGGAACCTCTTTGGCCATCGCCCGAAGAAGCTCGGACACAGATCATGAGCATCTGGGACAAGGCTGAGATCATCAAGGTCAGTGACGTGGAGCTTGAGTTCCTTTCCGCAAACAAAACCATCGATGATGAGGCAGCAATGTCTTTGTGGCATCCCAACTTGAAGCTCTTGCTTGTTACTCTCGGCGAGAAGGGCTGTCGCTACTACACTAAGGTATTATTCATATCCCGCGTCTGTTTTATTTGATTGCTTGTTCATAAAGAAAGCTACTTTTGCTTATATCTTGCTTCTTGAGTCTCTCTTGAACAATTAACAAAAAAAAAAAAACATGTTTAGGATTTCCATGGAGCTGTTGAACCTTTCAATGTGAACGCGGTGGATACTACCGGAGCTGGAGATTCCTTCATCGGCGCGTTCCTAAGCCAGATTGTCGATGACCACTCTGTACTTGAGGTGACACATAACCCCAAACCTCTCAATGATCTTGTGTGTACTCTACTCATTGTCGAACAAATGTGATTTACTGATATCTTTGCTTTTTGTTTGATAGGAGGAAGAGAGGTTGAGGGAAGTGCTGAGGTTTGCAAACGCTTGTGGAGCCATCACGACGACCAAAAAGGGAGCCATTCCAGCTCTTCCTTCGGACTGTGAAGCTCACTGCTTTCTCAAGGACAAGTAGAGAGACGCGCAAAAGGATCCGAATTCTTTTTGATATTCGGATCCTTGCTGATGATTCTGATTTGAAATTCCAATGTTTTTCCTTTTCTGTTTTTCTCTTTATTATGTCTCTTCTTCTTCAATGTATTGTTTTAGAGAAACTTGTGTTTCTGAGCATCTCTTGCTAATAATAAAAGTAAACCTTTTTCTTCTTCTCTGAGACGTAAATTGTTCCTTAATCCTTTGGAAGTGCAAAAGAAAACTTGATCTTAATTACGGTTACTTGTGATTCGTTAGACGCTCAAGTCTCTCCTTGATTATGTTTGTTTCCACGAATTTTCTGAGAACAGAGCTTCGACACATAACGACACCTGAAGTTGACTTAAGAGAACACCTTTCGTATTGGCCACGTTAGCTGCCTTTTACGCCGACTCAAACAATTTCAGAAACTCTGTTTCTTAGTCTCAAGGGCTAGGGTTATCGATAGAGTAAGGAAATACGATACAGAGAAACGCAAGAGATAAGTAGCAAAGCAAGATTTCTTTTATTCGAGTTTAGATTAGAGTTTGTAGCACCAAGCATATAGCAAATACCATGTTCAAGAGGTATATGAACACACTCAAACACAAACATCTCATCAGAGATTCGGACAAAAAAGAGAGGAAATGTGTAATAAGCCCTTAACATATAGCTTACTCAACGTAGACGAAACTAAAGATATGACATTGGCTCCACGCATCATCCATATGCAGATAGGTTTCTTTATCTTTCTTCTTACTTTTCCATTGAGGAATGTCTACACATAGCTTTTAGCCTAGATCAGGGACAATGAAGTGCTCCTCGTCATCATCATCATCTCTGATCTTCCCTAGCCTCGGCTTCTTGTATGAAACATTCGACTTTATCGGTTTGTATGAATGAACATGACCTAAATGCGACACAGAAAGCTCAGGAACTTCAGCTGCAGGAAGAGTCTCCTGATTAATCTGATCACCGAAGAAACCCATGTCTGAAAACCAATCTAACTCCCCAAGCTCAAGCTGTCCTTTCTGCTCAATTCGAGACAAGAAGAATGTCAATACAAACTAGCTACGATACAAAATGATAACTGACAAGGATCAACATAAGATCTCAATCTCATTTCTAACCTTATCGGTGAATTCAGGATCAGAGAAGTGGAAGAAATCGTCAACAGCCCACGGGAGAGAAGTAGCAGAGTCAGGTTGTTGCTGGCTTGGGGCTTTAGCTGGAATCTGATTAGCTTTCTGTTGTTTGTTGGAAGGCTCGGACTGATTCTTCTCGGTTTCTTTACTGCAACTACTCGAGCTCAGAGCAACTTTGATCCCAGTGGCTAAGAACCTCTGGTGATTAGCAGAGCGAGAATTAGCAACGTGGATCGATTCATCGCAGTCTCTGCAAAGCAGAGCTCTATCCTCTACGCAGAAAATGAAAGCTGCCTTCTCCTACAAGTCACAAGCAGAGTAACAACATGATGAGCATACGAATCCTCTGCAGTTGCTATAAGATCTAAAGATCGGAACTTTGCAACAGAATATAGATCCAGACTTACGAATCTGTCGGCTACTAGACAAGATCTAATCAAATACCGAGAGAAAAAAGAAACAGATCTACAAGCTTACTTGGCAGATGTCGCAACGAGGGAATTTGGTGGAGAGAGAATTGAGATGAAGGCGTTGGTGCTTGCTAGCGAGTTTGTTAGCGGCGTGAATCTCGACGTCGCATTTAGGGCACAGAGCTGCTTCGTCGGCACAACATATCACCGTCGCCGGAGCTTTCTCACAGACATCACACTGTATCTTCATCTGTGGTTTTTTCCAGTTACTGTTTCTCTCTTTCTTGATCCTGGTTTTAAATCAAGAATGTCTGCCTTTTTTGTTCGGTTGGTTTCTTGCTTTGCTGGATCGTTCTGAGAGTAGCTTAGCAGAAATGTAGGTGAAGAGAAAGGGTTTAGAGAATAAGTAACAGAAATGGAGAAAAGGGAAGAAGAATAAAGAGCAAATTGTATTTCTGGGGACAAGTTGTTGGGGAGCAATTGGTGGTGAAGGAGAGAGAGAGAGAGAGAGGAAGAAGATAAGAGATTTTTGACGAATCTGCGTATCAAAAGGAAACACTATGCTGCTTACAGCAAGGTCCCCTGGGTCCCACTCTCCTTCTGTGGCTCTCCTTTCTCCTTTCGTTATCTTTCCCCATTTGGATATTATTATTATATTCACACTTCTTTTTTGTTTTTTTGTTTTCTTTTCTAGAAGAGATTTGTTGTGTCCCTTATTAATTTTAAAAATCTCTTTTCAAGTCAAAGACCAAAGCGAATTTGATCTGTAAAATCGGCTACACTCCTTTTTGTGGTAAGTTCGAATTTCAAGTTTTGTGAACTCAAGAAAGATTTGTAATACACCAAAGGGCTGCATGAATAAAGAGTTAGGTATCAATCAAATATCACAGAGTAGAAAAAAGTGTGACTCTCTTTCAAGAAGTGGAATATTACACGACTCCACGTAACCTGGAAAATGACATTTGAATTGATTCTCTGGAATGACGACATATTGTGTAATATGTACCAGTCGATGAGATATTTATTTTTTTTTGGTTCTTTCGACAATTGACATGGTTGGTCACTATCTAGTTAAAATATCACGCAAGGGGATCATAATCCATTTTAAGAAAAAAATATTCCAAATTAGTAAAACAATCTATACATTTTGCAGTTAATAAGAAATGATAAATAAAAAAATATTTGTTGGCTTTTGGTAAAGAAATCGAAAAAATACAAAAGAATTGTGAAGTAACTCCCAAAACCAAAACACTTACTGCTTATTTACATTTTCATCCTTGTGGTTAATCCCAGGAGAAGTATTGTTAACGTTGGCTGTATCTTGATTAAGTAGATTAGAGAATCCATTCCCAATCGATTTCCACCAGCTCGACCGCTCTAACCCGTTATTACTGGCGCTCGAGGACAGTTCGACCGACATGGCTGAGTCGGTCTGAAGCTCTGAGAATCTCACAGCTCCTAGTAGCTTTTCCGGAAGCTCTGCCTCGGTTTGGCTCTCAATGAGGAATGCAAGATCAACAGTCAACGTTGTAATGTAGCCAAACGCGAGATGAACAATGGCACTAGCGACCATTGAAGATCCGATATCCACATCAATCTCCACAAAGTTTTCTCCCGAAACATATTTGCAAGTCAGTGCACGTCCAATCACACAGATGGCTTGCTCTCCAACAGCCTTTCTCACAATCCAAGGTCCCTTGACAATGTTTGCAATCAGTTTTAGCCTCGACTTCTTAAACCCATCATCTCCTTTCAGAAACCGATCCATCAGGGAGCCTTCGAGGATAGGCTCTGTGGCAACAAAGTAAGCCACAGCACTGTAGTTGTCTTTGTGGGGAAGCTGGAGATTGAATGCCCAAACAAAAGGCTTAGCTTCATCTGTTTGAAACTCCTCATCGATAACTTTCCTGATTCGGCTGCTTGGATAAGTTAGGATCTCAGAGAGCTTTGCAGGGCCTTTAATCCAATCGAAACCGAGAGGCTTTAGAAGGAAATCACCAGCAGGTACTTTCACCTTGTCAGAGATATACTGTGGTCCTCTAACCATAAACGTGTCCGGAGACGGTGTTGTCCAACAATTTTTGCAGTTGCCTGGCTTAAGACATGGAACAGCTCCCTCTGATTTCACTCTTTTGATCCATTCTGGCTCAGTTTCTTCACCAGAGCCAGCCATATTCTGTGGAAACCTGCAACACACAAGCACACACGCTTTAATCCTTGAGTAAATCTTAAGAGAGGAAATCAATCCCCATGTATTCAAGAACACGCCTTTAAGAAGACAAAAAGCATATGATATTATGATCTGAGAACAAAAGCAGAGAACACATAGCAAACAGAGGCCTATTAATACAGTGAATTGATTCGAACTGTATGCAAGGTTGTTTCAGATTATAAGCGCTAGTAAAATAAAATAGAAATCAAATTTTCTTGGCAGATTTTTCAGTAATCACATCAAATTTCAGCTCGATCACACTTGATTATGTGGCTCACTAGAAACCCTAATCCTTGATGATCTGAAATAACTAACATGCATGACTTTCAAAAGAAAAACACGGGCTCAGAATCGAAGATGCAGTATTTGATTGTGTCCATTCATCTACAACACACGAAATCACCAGAAAAGTTGTCCACCTTCTTTTGATACGAGAGAAACAGAGCAATGGAAACCCAGAAATCGAAAAACAAATTTCAGAAGTTTACCAAGAATCGGCGACAATATAATCAGACGCAAATTACAAAGAGGAATAGTCCAACTTCATAGACAATTAACAAAGGATATATTAATCAAATGATAAGGAGGTAACCGCAAACCTTTTCAGCCGAAGAAGAGACGTATTCTCCAAAAACCCTAATTCAGATTTGCCAACTATATTCACAAGAAGAAGAAAGAAGAAAATACAATTTGCTATTTTTTATTTTTTTGTTTGATTTTCCTTTATTGTTTGGATTACGTTTGAAATGGAAGCTGCGTTTTTTATATATTGTAATCCTTTTTAGCGATAACGCTTTGGTTCAAATAATATATAATCCCACTTGTAATTATTAAGATAAGAACTAAAAATAAATCAAATGAATTGAATATTACGAAAACATACACAATAAAAAAAAAGTTAATATTGCTAGCAGAAAGGTTTTGTATTAAGAACAAAAAAAATCAAAATATAATACATTGTTTATTATTTTTCAAATAGAAAAGAGTTTTTATCTACATTTATTTTTGTGAACAAAGAAATTTATCTTCAAAACAGTTCTTAATTATTTCTAGTAGAAAGGAGTTTTACTCTTTTTTTTAACTGAGAAAAGAGTTTTAACTTAAATTTATCGACAGTAAAGAAAAAAGGTAAAAATTCCAATTTGCAAGCCCATTTTTTTTTTTCTTTTCTAAACTTTTGTTTTCTCTTTCCCCATCATCATAATATTCGGCCTCTCTCCGGTCTCACACCTCACCGTATTGGCAATCTCCTCTCGCTTCCTCCAGGCATCGGAGAATCATACTTTGATTCTTGCGCCGTCGCCGAGTGGGTTTACTGGAGCATTACTCGGATCGCCTGCATAAATATGGATCCTCGTCAATTCGAACACATCGTAAGTTATTCTAACTTCCTCTCTGCGTGAAATGTTTATGACTTCTCTCGAGATTTCATAACTGGAATGCCGATCCTCTTCCAGGGTGATCGTATCGCTTTCATTCGATTGGGTTATGGATTATTCTTTGCTTTGTGTTAAGTCTCTGCAGCATATCAATGGCTTTCATCTATGGGTTTGCATTGTTTGTCGTCTTGTGTATTGGTGTTTCATCTATGGGTTTGCATTTTATGGTCTTCTCGAACTTAAAATGATTGCTTAGACTTTGGCGGCGGTGGAATCTGAGCTTAGCAATTCGAAGCAAATTCGTAGTTTCACTAGAAGTTTAGAGGGAAAGAATCAACTGTCGCTTATTCAAGTATCGGTTATGCTGTAAACGTTTTGCACATAAGTTATCAAGTACAAAAGAAATCAAATCTTGTTTTCGTAAATGGCCATGGAGGTTATGTTGAGTATTTCTTTGATTTTCGGGAGGAAATGGCGGATGTTTGATACCATGGAGATGCCTTATTAACAATGCCTTTGGATATTGTATGCTTTTCTTCCACTGAGTTTCGGAGATCGGACATCTCAATATTGGTACAAGTCATTAACTTTAACTGGTATATTTTCGGGGTAGGAAAGAAAATGTTATCCTTTGTATCCAGAGTTGGAACTTGTACACTGCTCTCCATAGTACCGTAATCGGAATTTGGAAAGTGTGTTTTGATAGCTCTCAATAATTTTCTGTGTTAATCAGGTTGTCGGTGATAATGATGTTCAGAGCATTGTAATGTCATATCTTTTGCACAACTGCTTCAACGAAACGGCGGACTCACTTGCGTCTTGTACTGGAATGAAGCAACCCGCAATCGATCGTGATAACATGGAGAGAAGAAAACGTGAGTACATCCACTCTTTCATCCTTTTGATCTGCTGTTAAATGATGCTTATTAGGCCTAATGCTTATGCACTCTGTGATTGTAACTTTTCATTGGTTGTTCAGAAATAATACATTTTATACTGGAGAGGAAGGCGCTGAAGGCTGTCGAACTAACTGAACAACTAGCACAAGACTTGCTTGAGAAAAACAAGGATTTGCACTTCGATCTACTATGCCTTCATTTTGTGGAGCTAGTCTGTGTTGGGAAGTGGTGAGAAGTTATGATTGATTTCTTCATAAAGAACTCAGGTTTTTCAGTGCCTTGAATCTCAAAACGTTTCTCTGCATGTGCAGCACAGAAGCTCTTGAATTTGCTCAGACAAGATTGGCTCCTTTTGGGAAGGTCCAAAAATATGTAGAAAAGCTTGAAGTAAGTCTGAATCGCTCTGTTTAATCCTCTGTTATATCCGTTCTTGACGTATTGGCAGATTAGGTTTCCTGTTCTTCAAAATGATGGGAGAGTTATCTAAACCCAGTTTGTTACCCTGAGGCAGGACGTAATGGCTTTGCTGGCTTATGAAGACCCTGAGAAATCCCCAATGTTCCATCTTTTGAGCTCTGAATACCGACAACAGGTTGCCGATAATCTGAACCGCACAATTCTTGGTGAGTTCTTTGATCTCTTCTAAGAAAATCTGTGGCCTTTGCAAATTACAAGTTTTAACTCTTTTTCTCACATCGTCCAGAACACGCAAACCATCCAAGCTACACACCAATGGAAAGGCTCATACAACAGATGACAGTCACGAGACAGTACTTGACGGAGGAGAATGGCAAAGTAATCATAAATATTTCAGTATCTACTCATATATCTTCTTTTTCACTGTATAATCCCTGGGAATAGTGCCTGTGTTAAACCGCTATTTCGTGTCTTATGAATTATGATAGGATGCGTTTCCTCCATTCTCTTTGAAAGATTCTCTCAAAGGCTAAGGTCGCGGGACGACTCCAAAGTTTGCCAGGAGGAGGATATGCTAAGAATTGTCATGTAAATACAAAACGGCTTGCCTCTCAATTTCATCTCCAATGTTTACAAACATGGAGAAAAGGTTAGTCTTACATGGCCACAGAATGGGTTTCTGTTTGCTCTTGCAGGGGATAAAGACCGGTTCCGTTTGGTTTGTTTCTTTAGTTTGCGAGCTTAGTCTTTTGTAATTATCGTTTATGTTTTGAAATAGTAGAACTCATGAGTTCAAGATTCTTTGCAGACTTCACAAACTTCAAAGCCCAAAACTAAATAAAACTTTTCAGATAACCAAAAATAACAAAACTCAGTGAATTTGAATATGTTAAAAAAAACACTACAGCATGGATTCAAAAACCCAGTTCTAAGCAAATCCAATAACTTTCTAAGAGCTCGGGATCATACAAAGAGAAGTTTGTAAACTACCAACATACCACGAACAAAGGCGTCACTAACCAACTCTAAACACGTAACTTCTAAGTTGTCTTGTTCTTAACTTTAGAATGCAATGAATCCCAAATCCATGAGCCTCCGATGAATGTGCACCAGAAACGCCACCAGCTCTGTGATTGGAATGAGGAAGGAAACTTTCCAAGAGTACCTCGCTAAATTGGACACTAACACGGTCTACACTCTTCAGTCTTTCGCCGAGTGAGCCTCACGATCAGGCGATTTCACATTATCTTTCTGAGCCGAAGAAGACATGGGCCCTCTCAGCTCCACGACACCACTTTGTTGTTCCTGCTGTTGAATCCGCTGCTGAAGCTGAAGCTGATAAAGTTGCTGCTGCTGAAACTGAAACTGCTGCTGCTGCTGCTGCTGCTGTTGTTGTTGTTGCTGTTTCTGCGAATGGATTTGGAGCTGCTGGAACTGTTGTGCGGCTATCATAGTGTGCATCGACTGATTATTGGGATAAAATTGCTGGTTTGATCCAAAAGAACCATAGTTCATCACTGATGCACCGTTGGAAACACCTTGCCCCGTTAATACCTTAAGATGTTGGACTTCCTCCTTCAGTGCGTCATTTAGTGCTGCCAAATAAATGAAATTCAGTCAATCAAGTAGCAGCATGCACAACTAAGTGCAGCGAAAATCACTAGTGGGACAAATAATTATCCAGTCTTTTTTAACTAGAGAAATGTCAACGACTCTTGAGTGTGAATATACAAATTCACAACTTCCTAGAGGTTTGGAAAAAGCTTCAAATATGCTCAACACGAGAACACATTATATAACACACGCTTTGATGAATGCAGCAAAAAATTCCGACTTCATATGACCAGATGCAATCAATTCCTTCATGTGCTTGGGCACACAATTCTACACTCACAGATCCAGAATGTTGCATGGCATATACATACAACTTCGAGACTCGTGGACAATTTTTATTTGCATCCAGGTAGTAAGGAGATGAATAAAATGATACGAATAAGTTTGTAAGACAGTGTTTAGGAGAAAAGGTCCTCACCATCCTGCAGGTGAACTTGTTGCTCCATTGTTTGTACTCGGAGTTTCAGCTCATTATTTTCAACACTCAGGCCATTTGTATCTCTCTGAAGAGCAGAAAGAAAAGTTAACAAGATTTTAATACTATAAACTTGCAATATATTCAACACGCATCATAACTCTGGAGTTAAATTTGGTCCTACATACTGTTTTCAACCAACCTGTAACAGAGTCAACTGCGCGGAGAGAGACGTAGCCTCTGTTTGTAAAGTCTGTACTTTTCGCTCGAGCTCTGCTATGTATCTCATCTTCCTTTCTTTTGACCTAGCAGCAGACTGCCTGTTTGCCCATATCCTATCAAATTATACAACAGGAACAGGTCATGCATCTTCTCCAGTAAAGAAGGAACATCAACAATTATACGATACAGGATACAGATTAAAAGGGAACAGAACAAGGAAAAGTATGAACAGTGTCAAGAAACATGAAGAGTTTGTGACTGGTAGTGCAGCTAAAGGTAACCTAAGACCTGTTCTCTCGCATGATAAAAAAAACGCTGACAAGGAACCTTGAAACCGACGAATAAGCTTAATGAAAAACATAAACCACAAACTTCTTTCTTTGTCGACAAACTTATAACTAATAGGGTAGCAACAATGTGATCATGTTTCATCAAAACTATGTAGAAGGAAAACTAATTTAAACCTAAAAAAATACCTCTTAGCACGTTTTGGATCAATGAGAGCAAGCTCAGAAAGTTTAGCAGCAGAGATGGCTTTCTTAGAGTCAACTCCAGACAAATCTTCATTCCCTGACATAAGCATCTCAGGCTTGATAGTTGTTGAACCGTCCATCGATTGGCTGTGTTGGTGCCTGATTCTCGGCCTTTCACTAGAGCTACCAGGCGTACTCTGAAGGTTAGGAGTGGAGCCTAATTCATTCCTCCAAGCCAGTTCTGATGGCTCACCCATTTGAGAAGAGGACGACGCCGAAGAGTTGAATTTATCCATATCAAGATACATAGAAAGCAAGTCCTCATCCGTATCATCAGAGAAAGAAGGTCCATCGGCAGCACCAACCACACCAAGATCACTATCAAAGCTCAAGTCATCAGGAAGAGTAAGGATCTCTGAGTGAGCGCGGCGATGGCCTAGATTCTTAGGTGGGTTATCTGGCATTCGGCTTATATCATGGCTGAATCGGTTAGCATCTGAGCTGCTCCCACTTGGAGTCAGGTGAGGAAACGATGATTCAGCTTTCATTGCAAAGCCACTTCCATTGGGCGAAAACGGAGAGTAACGACCTGATGGAGGAGGAAGACCTCCACTAGGAGGAGGTGCAGGAGCTTTCTCCTTGTCCATATCCAGAATTCGACCTAACCCACTACTCTGCATACCATCGTTTCCAGAAACCAGATTAGTATTCCACACTAGATTAGGGTTTCTTTAGTAAACTTTAAGCTATCATATTGTTCATAGCCACACGCTCATGAGAATACAACAGGTAAAAAAAAACCCTAGGAAAGTCGCATGCTTTACCTCAGCCCTAAATCAAAACGGAAACCTTAAAATACATTAAAAGATAGGGTCTTCTCAAGCACTTACAGAGATTTAATCAGCTGGAAAAGCCTTCAGAAACCCAAAAGAGATATCGTTCAGACACGAAAGAAAAGGTGTGTAGAGTAAATTATCTGGGAAAGCTGATAGAATTTCAAGCAAAATTGAGAGTAATGAGAGCGTAAGAAGGTAAAATCAGAGAGATCCGAGGAGAGAGGAGGAGGAAGACGAAAACGAACATTCTCTCTCCATTAAAGGATTCTTCGAACTAGTACTGTGCATCAGAAGATTTACTCCTTAGTAAAACGATGTCGTTTTGACGTATTTGGTTTATCTCTTATTCTCATGAGCGTGTTACTGACCGTTAGATCTGAAGATGATCATATGTCTGGATAATTGTATGAACACGGTGACAATTATGTGTGTTTATTATGTTCGTCAAATTGGTTCACGTGGTTGTTAATATTTGGTTGGGCCTTCGGTGCTGCGAATATACATATATTTTGTTTCGATGACTTTCTCATTTTTAAACACGAAAATACTAACCAGGAAGTTGAAACCATGTGATATGGTTTCATATAATTTTAATGATGCTGACGTACCATTTTTCAATTATAAGAAATATAATAATATTTTAAAAGACAAGTTGAAAATGAAAGAGTTTGAAGAAGTATAATGGTCGAAGTCGTCGACTAGAAAAATAAAACCATCCCGATTATTTGTTAACTAGATGAAGATTAATTTTCGTGAAAAGGTTAATCGCCACAAAAGCTCACAGATTAATTATTAATCAAAAAAAAAAACCTAGCATACCAATTATATCATACTAAGCCCTTTAACAAAAAAAAAAAAAAAAAAAAAAAAAAATTATATCATACCACTTAAGCTTTGCAAATATTAAGTACACGAATGTTAAGGAGGAGGATGGACGGATGGATAAATGGACTGGACTTCTCTGAAAACATGTTGGAGTGGACCCATCAGTTATGGGCCATTTGGTAAAAAGTTAAGGCCCATAGTACCACATAATCTCATTCACACACATTGAGAGAATTGAATGGACGCATTTACTCTTCCTCTCAAGTCTCAACTACCTCCTTGTGACATACTTCAATTCATGTACTAATTATGGGATACCCATAATCTTCATTACAGTATGTGTTTTCCCTGTTACCTTCAAATCTTTTTGAGTAAATTCAATTTTGCAGCTTTAATTTTATAGCAAATTCCTTAATCATATAGAACCATGTGAGAGACATATGTCTATTTCTCACGTGATCTTGTTGCTCTGAAATTATATATTGTTTTGCTAAAACAAAAATAAAAAGAGAAACAAAATTACCTATTATTACATATCACATGATAAGCCCTTACGTATATGAATTATTATATGATATGATTAGGCTTGGGTACACATCCTAGGTAAATTGCATCCGCACGAACCAGGTGTGGTGACCAGTCTGAAGAGGCAAGGCAAGTATACATAAAACAAAATCTAAAAGCATTCTCTGCGTTTAGGCCAACGGCAGAAAAAAGTATCCGTAAAATATAATTGATTTTGAATTGTAGCATATTTACAAAAAAAGAAAAGAAATCGGAAACAATATTAGCTCTAAGCAAGTGACATAACATTTTTCCTCGCGACACGACAAAAAAAAAAGATACAAGAAAACATGTTTGTTCTAGCTAAATAAAACAAAACTTGGACTCATCCTTATAAATCAATTCTACTTGTATAGGAGAGTAGTATAGGTTTCTACAAAGATGGGTCTTACTGCACATTCTTAGGGTTTGGTATCGCCCTCCATTGTTAGGGGTTGGCTTGCCCTTTTTTACTTGGAGAATTAAGTGTACGTACATACAAGTTATAACTCGCTTTCATTTTTAATAACTCTAAATAAGTACTTACTGATTTCTAGTTGACAAGGATATAAAACAGATTCTGCTTTGTATACTGTTTCATATATGTTTGCAATAGTAATAAAAAAATGTTCGAGCAACAATTAATGATACAGACAAAAAAAATGAAACAGAATGAATTATATGCAACTATATAACAAACGAACGTAAATCAAGAGTTATGCGTCTCACAAAGTAATTGAATTATTGTATCCTCTTCATGAGTATGGAATCGATCAGTGAGCTCACAAATCTGTATTCATTAATCTCAATTAAAAGTTAAGCGTTAGGCCAAGTTTCCTTAGTTCCAAACGAGCTATTTTACTTCTGACATCATGGTTTTTCGGACAACCGATTAATCCTCCGGTTCTTCATTGAGTCAGAAACTGTTGTAAGAAAATATTTTTGAATTCTTTTCATTAAATTTATGAAAAAAAAATGGTAGCAAAATATCTTCTGTGTTTTCATTTTTTTAATATATTTTTATTGTCCAGTAGAACAGTGACAGAGCAGACTCGAATCAATGGCGAGGCATGGCCTTGAATGGGTGGCAAATCAGATAGAGCCGGATTGGACACCGACCTGTATCAGATTGTCATTAGAATCCCAGAAATAGAGGAAGCCTCACATTTTTTTTTTTTTTATTGAGATCTATTTATGATTCTTCATTTACTCTTTTATGTAATAACCTATGAGACCTAAAGGTTACAACGAAATAACATAAAATGAAAACTGTGTTACTTAAACTTCTGGTGAACGGTAGTTATAGAGAAACAATGGGTCTGCCCCTTGTGGTGCTTGCAGGTGCATCATTGACTTTCTTGGCCCCAAATCTAATTAATGTCTTTTGTAGTTATGATGCTGAATCTATGGCACTGTGGCCTGTGGGTACTCTTCAAATCCTTTATCTACTACAATTATTATATTGCCCGTAGTTTATACAGTCTATGTGCAGTTGTGGTTTTAAATGTGTTTCCAACTCTTAATTTCTTTCCAAATTTCCTATCTCACTAGGTGAATTCAGGATCTGTTTGGCTTATAACCTTTTTTGGAATAAATTTTGAACCGAATGATTTCTCTCAAACTAAAGATCATAATGCACACGTAAATGATCACAAACGTGCATGGATAGTTAAGCTGCTTAATTAGTGGTAGTGTTCAGTATTATGTCACCCGATTTCGAGTATATTGTTATATTTAAAAAGAAAAAAGAATACAAACGTTTCATGGAACCGTCCTAATATCAGAAAAAACAATGATCATCACAAAAATATTATAGGAGTTAAAGAACATCCATATACAACTTAACTGAGATAGAAAAAAAAAAATTAACTGAGATAGATAGTTTTTGCTATTTTACTTAAAACACGTCGTGTGAATAAGTTTTGTATATAAATTTCGCATTTAACAAGAACTCATATTTTTATTATATTTTTAAAGCTGTGTAATTAATGTTTTCGTTGTTACGATGTTGAAACTACGTACGAAGGTATGGATGGGTATCACGAAGCACTTACATTATGATGAATATAATGGGTAGTGGCTACATTCTATGTATGTTTCCATGGATCAACAAGTCATTTTTTCAAAACTTTCGTTTGTCTATTCATATTTTTATTGAGATGAAGATGACTTCAAACTTTTATACATGCTGATGGCGATGGATAATGCACAAATAAAAATAAGCCAGTTTTTTTATAGACTCATAATATATGTGGATATATCCGTTATCTATATTTTTCTTTGGTTATTTAGTTGGATAGATAATGAATTATGATGTTCAAACAATGGAAGGTATGGGTATATCATTTTTTTTGTTTTTTTTGTTCAATGAGGGTATGGGATGGGTAGTGATGACTATATTCTATGTACAATTGTGGAAATGGACCATTTATTAATCTCCTCTCCTACTATCTTCTTCTGTTTACGTTCACACGAGTATTGTTCATTTTTAAAGAGAATCGAACCCGGGAGTGGGGACTCACTCACTTGCCACTTGGCACAATTTCGTAGGCACTCATATCAAGTTCAAAATTTATTATAGGAGTTCCGTTACAAAAAATATCGTATAAGAAATTTCTATAGTAAGCTTGTATGATTCATGCATTTGCAATTTTGCAGTATATATTACTATCTGCTTCTTATTTTCTCCTGTATATATTACTACGTTTTTCGTTGTTATTTAGGTTCCTGGCTTAAATTGATTTCACAGAATCTATGCATTGAACCAGCATCAATAAAGTTATAAGAAATACTACTAAAATAGTGGAGTACATTGAACCAACATTTAAGAAATGGTAAAAATTGGAACAAGGGCCTGTAGTAAAAAAAAGGATAAAGTGCATGTTAGTATAAACTAAACGAAGTCAATATCGAGCTCCGTGCCAGCTTTATGCTTACATGCATCATCTATGGCTTCCAATAATAATAATATTACTACAGCAAGTAAATGAATTAGTGTCATGACTTATGACGCCCTAACGTCCCAACTGCAACAATTTACAGATACGATGAACCAATTGGAAAATTACTCTAAAATAAATCTATCATGTATCTCAATTATAAAGAAAATTTGTAGCAGCCGAAAGTCTCACATTGCAAAATAGCCATTATAAATCGTGTATTTATTTGTCTTTATTTAATTGTTATTATAGAAAGATCGGACTTGAGATGCAAATCCTAACAATTAAAGTTTTCATGTATTCCTTATTTTGTAGGTTAGATGGTTGATAAGCAATTACATGATTTCTCCCAGATTCAAGAAGAACCCGTTAATCATCTTCAGAATATACGCACGTCGTTTCCGTTTTTTCCTCGTTTTGGAGATTAGATGGTTGCTATATTTGCTAAGGTTACGTGAATTGATTTCTTCCTCAATAAAAAAAAAAGAAGCCGATCGTAGTCTTTTTAGGGATATATATGCATGTGCTCTGCATATATTTCTTAGTTTAGAGATGGTTGCTAAACAATTACATGAATCGGTTTCTTCCAGATCTAAGAAAGAATCATTGGTTTTCTTTGGGTATATGCATGTTCAATCCATATCTTTCTTACTTTTGGAGATCGATTAGATATATACTTGCTAAGCGAGATTACATGAATTATGAAAAAAAAAAGAGAGATTACGTGAATTAATTCCTTCTGTGTTAAAGAAAGAGCTAGTGATTAGTTTTTTATATATAGATATATGCATGTGCCTTCCATATCTTCCTTAATTTCCAAGATGTAGATGGTGTCTAAGCAATCGTGCACACACAAAAAAAAGATGGTGTCTAAGCAATTAGGTGTATTTATTTCTTCAAGACTCAAATGAGATTCGTAAAATTTCTCTGAGATATCGGAGTCCTGATGTTGCTTTGGTCCATATACACATATATAAGTTTTATATTAAGAGATACTGATTTGAAATAACATCAAAGACTCCTTCTAACAAGAATTAGAATCAAAAGGTAAGCAAAATGATTTTTTAACATTGTAAAACCATACTATTAATTTTTATTGTTTACATTCGATTGACCAATTTGAACATTAAGGGTCAGTTTTTATAGGAACGAAAAAAGAATCAGAAAATAGACCCTTAATTTCTACTCTTTCTCGTTGTATATTGATCTATCTAGATGTATGCATCGAATCAGCATCCAGAAAAAAATAGTTACAAATTAGAAGAATATCAATACTAAACCAATACGAGGTCTGTGTCAGCTTTATGCTTACATAGTTACATGCATCTGTCTATAGATTCTACAATTTTTTTTTTATTATTATAAACGCAGTAAATTAATGTAGTATTAACGGCTACGGCCCAACTGCAACAATTTACAGATAGATAAAACAAAAAAAAGGGAGCATGCATTATAGAATAATTTACGGCGTCCGTTAATAATTAAGTCAGCCCACTGTATTTAATCACTCCCCTCCATGTTACTACTATAAATTACAACGATACTCATTCACAAGCATACCCAAAAGCCTCCTTAACACTCTTTGTGCAAACTTCAAATGTCCAAGAGTCTTTTTTAATTTCATCGACTTATAGTAGACTGTAGACACTAGTTGTTTTTCAACAAAATGTCAATGTCATCGTCGGAGGAAGAGAATCACCGGAAATCGGTGGAGGACAAGGCTGAGATTGGGAGGAGAAAGAGGGCAATTTGGGAAAGAAAGTGGAAGAGATTGGACATTGTGAAAGCTTTTGCTTCTCTCTTTGTGCATTTCCTCTGTCTCTTAGCTCCTTTCAATTTCACTTGGCCAGCTTTACGGGTCGCACTCCTTGTCTATACGGTGGGTGGGCTCGGTATCACCGTCTCTTACCACCGTAACTTGGCTCACCGGAGTTTCAAAGTCCCTAAATGGCTCGAGTATTTATTTGCTTATTGCGGTCTTCTTGCCATTCAGGTTCGCTCTCTTTATTTTATTTTATTTTTATATTCCACTTTTTAGTTTAATATATGTTTCTTTATCAACAACATGCGTTAACATTATTAAGTTACCAATGTCTTTTAGTTTATTGCCCAAAACAGCAAAGTTTCGAACCTCGTCGTATACATATCTTTTCGTAATATCTTAACATTTATACCCAAAAATAAAGATATATATATATATATATATCTTTTCGTAATTCCATACACCATATACTCAACAGTCAAAGCGATAATATACCAAAAGAAGTCTCTTCATATTTTGGCATGTACCGTTTGTTAATATTGAAGCTCATAAAACGAGTATATATATCTTTTCGTAATTCCATACACCATATACCCAACAGAGACAGTAAATTGCACCTATAGACAGAGACAGAGCAAAGAAATCTAAGATCGTGTCTGAAATTGTTGGTTGTGGTGTTGAATAAGTTGGTACTATTATTTACTCAAGAGTTAAGAGTTGGAACAAGTGGTTGAAAAAAAGTTTGAAAATCAGTATTATTTATGCTTTTTTGTGTGCAAAAGTACTATTTATGCTTTGTAACTAGTTTAAAAAACATATATATATATATATATGTGTGAATTATTGGACCACCCACAAATCCTTATAGTCTATTATATTTAATCTTTTTATATATATTTTTTAATTCTATCATAAACCCTGAACATAAATTTTGATTGTTATTGTAACAGGGAGACCCGATCGATTGGGTGAGCACACATCGATACCATCACCAGTTTACAGATTCGGATAGGGACCCACATAGTCCTAATGAAGGCTTTTGGTTCAGCCATCTCCTATGGCTGTTTGATACAGGTTATCTTGTAGAAAAGGTAATTAAATATTGGGATTACTAGAATAGTTTACTTTAATCACGATTAAACTGTAGCATAATATATTAAAATGGCGCAGTGTGGGAGAAAGACAAATGTGGAGGATTTAAAGAGGCAGTGGTACTATAAATTCCTTCAGAGAACGGTCCTCTACCACATTCTAGCATTTGGTTTCCTCCTCTATTACTTGGGTGGTTTGTCTTTTCTTACTTGGGGAATGGTAATATTTACGCTCTCTTCTTTTGTCCTTTTGTATTTTAGTTTACTTGCCAACAAAATATATGGTGAAAACAACTATACCTATTGCGTTTGTCTATTAATAGTAACAATAACTACAGATAGTAGTAAATGAGAAAGAACTCAAGAATTGTAATATTGGTGGGTGTAGGGTATTGGGGTAGCAATGGAGCATCATGTGACTTGCCTCATCAACTCTCTTTGCCATATTTGGGGAAGCCGAACTTGGAAGACCAATGACACTTCTCGTAACGTTTGGTACGTATATTAATAATCTTTCACCATGCATGCATGAATTTTCATTTGGTATACACAAATTCTTCCTTCAGTCTCTGTTTCAAATTATAAAAAAGTTAAATATATATATATATATATATATATATATTTTTCGCTAGAGATATTTTATATATTTTGAATATGATGCTTGAGTTGGTGAATCTCAAGATGTCTCAACCAACCACCGTTTTTTTTAAAGGTCGATGAGATATTAAAATCGTAGCACATTCTCCAAGAAAACGTTCAATTTTAAAAACAAATTGACTTGGCTAAGCTGGAAAAACAACATCATTGTCATCGAATATATACAGATGAATACAAATTCGTCTGAAATTGAAACTCAATTGGACCAATGCCGGAGGCATTTAGTTCACCATCCATAAACCTGACACAGAGAGAGAGAGCTTTCGACTTCCCTTTCTTTTTGTGTGGTCCATTTTCACTACTACTTAATTACATGTTCAAATTCGAACTTTTTTATATGTTTTCTTTTTAAACGCAATTTTAATTTTTTTTTTGCATTTAAAGTTTAGAAAACATATTATAATATTAATTAAATTATATAGTCGCGTATATATCTTTTTATCAAAAAAATTAAACCCAAATGTTTTCACCTTTTTATTCAATCAAAAGTCATTGTCTAAAAAATATCTGATATCATTTTGTAACACAGCCAGCGGACAAGCCCATAATTTTTTCAAAATAATAAATATTTACATATATAAATGTGGGCATGCATGTATGTTTTCAAAATAATATGTTTTCATGTTTTCTGAATCATATAAATACAGTATGATTTTTATCCGCATCAGATAAATAAGTTGGAAGAAAGTAACCAAGTGGTTGAAAATGGCAAATAGGTGGCTATCGGTATTCTCATTCGGAGAGAGCTGGCACAACAATCACCACGCGTTTGAGTCGTCGGCAAGACAAGGCTTGGAATGGTGGCAGATCGACATCTCTTGGTACATCGTCCGCTTTCTCGAGATTATCGGTTTGGCTACTGACGTAAAGCTGCCTTCAGAGAGTCAACGACGTCGTATGGCATTGGTTCGTTGAAGATGGAGGATAATATTCGACTTCTCCTCTTTATTACGTATTTGGTTAATGTCAACGTACGTTATAAAGTTCTTGGTAAACGTAAAACTTGTGGCTTGTGCTATTATATATGCGGTGTTGTGTTATTATGTCATGTATGGTGTTATAACCAACTTGCTTTATCAAGATATATATACGTTCGTTTTTGTATGAACCAAATTCTAATCTCCGTAATGAAATTAATCAAGGTCAAAAAAAAAAAAAAATTAATCAAGGTCCGTTTTTATTTTTTTTTTCCATCATGACGCACACATTTCAGATTTTTAAAAGTCACATCATCACATGACAGTAGTACAAACTCCTCAATTATAAAATTTTCCATCTTTACAATTTTTTTTTTGTTCTTAAATTTATTATTGGCTTGTTTATAGATATATAATATTTTTCCATGGTAAGGGTTTATAGTGAACAGCTGAACATGCAAGAATATTAAATTGAAGTAACAAGAGACAGAAAGAAGCGGTTTGAACAGAAGCGGCGGTGAAAAATGCTAGTTGCTACTTTGGTGAAGAACAACAATAGGCCGCAATTTTCTCTCTCTCTCCCCCCCTTTTGACAACTTTTTGACTTTTACGTAAAATGATTTTACTATGTATTGGAGTTTGGAAAGAAAAAAAAAAGGTAAAAAACTATGATTGAGAGAAGTATTAGTTAGTGATAATTCGGTTAAAGTACCGAACCTAAAATGCAGTGCTTTATCCCAATTTGTTTACAGGCTCCAAATCTTCCATAGCGATTATGTCTACTCCAAAACTTTAATATGTAAAAAAACGAAAAAAATATTCACTAACGCCCTAAACTGTAGTTCCTGCATAGAGAGGTGATAGACATCTTAGACTAATTAATCTCAATGAAAATTTTTATGTGTCTAAACAAATATTTTTAATAATAAAATTAAATAAAAAATAGTTTATAGTGTTTTATATTTTAGATCAGTATCTAAATTAAGATACTAATATCTGAATTAAGAATGCACGTGTAGCAAGTTGGGAGTCAATGATAGAAAATTCCAATTTCTATATTGCATTTATGTTTTTATATATTATATTTTTAAAAATGTATTATGTTTTAAAAGTTATTAACAAAATTTTTTACTTAATATATATATATATATATATATTTTAAGACAATTCGAAAGAAAAGACTTACTATAACTCTTTTAGTAGAAACCACATTGGTTGCCCTCAATGTTCAGCTAACTCCGATGGTTCACTTGAATTTACTTACGCCGGCTGCTGTACTTTATTGGATAATGCGTTTCAGACTACATTTCAGGCTCTGACCAATGCCGTTTAGTTTTTATTTTTATTTTTAATTTGTATTGGTTTGTTTATTTTGTCGCTTAATGATATATTTTGCACTCTATAACAAAGAATTTCCTTAATTATTCAATAAATTACTAATTAAATTGCTAAAACAAAACAAACTGGCGTACTATTTTTGGTGTTCACTCGGTAAATTTCAGTAAATACATGTGGTATTCTTAGGGATCGTCTCAACCCGAGATGTATAACCGAGACTACAATCCAACCATGACCAGTTATTGTTGGTTTGTTATTTTGGGTTAGCATTATTTTACTTCAGTCACCGTGCTAAAAGTATCAAACAGTGTGAGAATCTCGCATCAACTATCAGAAGGTGGTACAATTGTTTACCCTTCATCAAAACCGAATCTATTGCTTGTTACTTTGTACGGAGCCATTTAGTGGCATACATTATATATAAGTATAACTCTATACAATCTGAGATAGTTAATAAATCACAAATATTATAGAGGAAACATATTTTAACGTGGGGCGGGGATTTATACTAGTCGTACATTTGTAGATAACAATTCTAAAAACCTTAAACGTTAAGAGGTGTCAAAATGCGTGTTATTTATGACGTAAAAGCATTCGTTAAACTATTCATTAAAATAGTAAAAAAATGTGCAAGTTTGTACATGTGCCTAATATGCTTAACTCTTAATTCTCGGAGTAACCAAACCAATGAATCGGGGTCGCTACGCAAAACATTAATGAATATTCAAAAAGAAGAAAGTTGGCCAACCAAATGACTTTATTCTTTTCCTAACTAAAAATCTTCTTCATTTGGAGACAAGGCAAAATACGAGGTTAAGTGTACAAGTTCATTATTTCGTTGTTAACTAGTGAAGTTTACTCAAATCCACCGTTACGATCCTTAATCCCCACAACATTAACCCTCAATGCACCCAACATCCTCCCCTATGTATATATATACATATAATCAAACCTTTGCTCCATCATATAACTCATACCCATTAGTCATCGATGGGTGACACCACCAAGGAGGTTGGCTCCGGCTCTAGCCTAAAAGCGGTGCGTAAGGGAAAGCGAGCGTATTTTTTTAGAAAATGGACACGGGTCGATGTATTGAGAGCTTCGGCTGTTGGGGCCGTGCATCTGTTGTGTGTCTTGGCTCCTTTTAACTACAAATGGGAAGCTCTCCTGTTCGGTGTGATTCTCGCCGTGGTGACTAACCTCAGCATTACGTTCTCGTACCATAGAAACTTGACTCACCGGAGCTTTAAGCTACCTAAATGGCTTGAATATCCATTCGCTTACTCTGCCCTTTTCGCTCTTCAGGTAACTATCGTTTTAGCCAAAATTAGAAAAGAATCTAAAATACATCCAACTAAATATACGTATCCTCAGAAATGTTATTTCATTTTTCTTTGCAGGGTCATCCAATAGATTGGGTGAGCACACATAGGTTCCACCACCAGTTCACAGATTCGGACCGTGACCCACATAGCCCTATGGAAGGGTTCTGGTTCAGTCATGTCTTGTGGATATTCGACACCAGTTACATCAGAGAAAAGGTAAAACGCAACGCTTTATAAACTCTAACAAGCCCGACGTATGTGATATTGTCTATCTTAACTTGTGATAAACTGACGTGCCAAAAATGTAACAGTGTGGAAAACGTAACAACGTGATGGACTTGAAGCAACAATGGTTCTATAGGTTTCTTCAACACACAATTGGTCTCCACATCTTAACTTTCTGGACCCTCGTCTATTACCTGGGTGGTCTACCTTACCTAACTTGCGGCGTGGTGAGATCTCTATATATCAAACTAAAATTTGTTTTGACGCCTTCACAATTTGAAATATATGATTCCGAGAAAAAAAAAGTTATTCAACAATCATGTGCATAAAATTCTATTGGGAACAGGGTGTTGGAGGAGTAATCGGTTACCACGGGACATGGCTCATAAATTCAGCATGCCATATTTGGGGCTCACAGGCATGGAACAGCAAGGACACCTCTCGTAACGTTTGGTATTTTACCCACCCTACTCTAGTCTTCATGTGGATAAACCAAACATATGAAAAAAAAACATTCAGTTTTCATTTGACTTTTGTACCAATAGAACCGAAACTGTGGAATGATGGTGATGTGTAGGTGGCTAGGGCTGTTCACGATGGGAGAGAGCTGGCATAACAACCACCATGCCTTTGAGGCGTCGGCTAGGCACGGACTAGAATGGTATCAGGTGGACATAACTTGGTACCTCATTCGCTTTTTCCAGGCTCTCGGTTTAGCCACCGATGTCAAACTGCCTTCCGATGCTCAGAAACGCAAGATGGCTTTCCCTCGCTAATCTCATCTCTCTTTTACTCTTTATATACTCATCAACCACGATCACTCTCTTGTTATTTATGTATAACACTAATTCAGAATAATCTCTTCTCATGAAATTGTAAAACTAGTCGATCCAAACATTCAAGTACATTGCACGCTGTATGTATGTATCAAACGAAAACTGACATTACGCATTATCCTTCAAAGAGTAACAGACCTTGTCCCAGATGAGAGTTTAGAAGATGTAGTCCGGTAACTTGAGAGGGAACTCTGCGACTTTCACTTCGAATTCACTCCCTTTTGGAACTTTCAAACTATCAAAAAAAATTAAAGAACAAAAATTCAAGATTCCAACTCAATTTCAAGTTTTTCTTTTATCATAGCTACAACATCCTCGTCCATGAAAAGCATACCTTCCAGGTACAAAGGTGAAAGATCCCTCAATGGATCCACTAGTTGTTGGAGAACCTGAACAACTCTGGTACACAAACTCTTCCTCACCGGACTTTAAGAGCGGGTACTACAAAACACAGAGCAAAACGCATTAGAAAAGAAGCTCATACTCATGGTTGGTCCAACATTTATGAACTCTCGGATAGAGTTGCTATACCTGTCCTATCACAGCTTCTCCATTAACATTATCTATCACCGCACCATCAGCTCGGATAACCCAATGCCTCCAATACAGCTGGCAAGAGCTATGGTGTGTCCCATTCAAGAAGCATCCTTCTGGCGCGAGAGACATGCGGATGGAATATGCATACCAGTAATCCGGCGGCCGCTGCCGGAGATTAGATATTTCCGGGGCAAACACAGCCGAAGCACGAACCTGCATCATCAACGCACAGAGCTTCTCGATCTACAGCTCACAAACATCAACATCGGTAGCTTTAGTAACCTATTATTTCTTACCTGCACACCATTGGTCACAGCGACAGAGCACGAGGGAGGAAGCTCCGGGAACAAGCTGATACCTTTAACGTTTCCCTCTTCACGGACTTTTAAAGTGCCGCTTTGTAACCGCCTGCCATGCTCTTCCAACCAAAGCAGCATGGCGTCCTGTTGCTCGTCGCCGCCGTTGATATCATGAACCGATCTAACCAAAGATTCGGGTACACAAGGAAGCATTTGGCCCGTCGATGTCCCAGTATAGAGCTGCCCGCTTGTGCAGTCCAGGAAAAACAGTTTCAGACTTGTCAATGCGGATAGAGCCACAACGACAAGGTTCAACCTGCTCGCGTTACCGAGTTTGCGCAAGGTGTCGTTTGTCACGTTTATCACTTCCTTAAGAGGCAGCAAGTAGACATTGACTGCGTGAGAGTAGATAGAATAGCCACCTATAACCCCCAGAGACCCAACAAACCCACTGGAGGAAGAAGGCTCTTGGCCATCGACGAAACGGTAGAGGAGCCTTGTTGGAAGAGGAAGTTTCACTCCGAGAGCAGCCTCGAATTCTTCAAGATCGTCCTCTGTGGCACCTTTTCTCAGCGTTGCCTTCGATTCAGGGAAGTTTAAGCTGAGCCATAGTTTGAGGTTGTCCCAACAACGTCTCACTCGTTTAACGAGGCTCCAAGGATACATTCTAAAGGACTCCCTCCATAGCTGATATGCTGTCTGAAGAATAAAGACAGAAACTTTAATGAATAGGAAGGAACCCCCAAGGAGGAATAAAAGAACAAGTATACTTAAAGGCAGTCTCAGCGATCAAAACCTAAACTTTACAGTTTCAAAAAGATCGAAGAACGAAACTCATCAAAGAGAACAAAAAAAGACTCAGAATTGATCAAATTTCAGAAAAATTCAAACGGTGTCAAACACTCAAAAACCTAGAAAAAAGTGGAAAAGGAGAAAAGGAGTGAAATTGACCTTGAAGGAAGGAGCAGGGTCGCCATTCGGATCGAGAGGAGTAGAGATGTTAAGATCAATAGAACAGAAAATCGACCAGAGGGATTCCTCGGAGGCGGAGCCCTTAAGGCGTTTGCTGACACAAGCCACTCTCGCCGTGCTCTCAGGACCGATTTTGGATAATATGATGTGGAGAACCAAATCTCCAGCGTCCTCGAGCGCCATGGCTTTTCGACAAACCTCTGTTGCTTTCTCTCTCTCTCAGGTTCCGCTGCTTGTCGGCTATGTTTCAGTTGTTGGGGAACGTTGTCTGAGTCAGATGAAAGGAAGCATTTTGACCTCTAATTTGGTGTGAGATAATAAAACAAACATCACTTTCCCTAAACAAACTTCTTGAAATGTAATTTACAAGGGGATTAAGTGGAGTTAACCAGTATTACTTTAGGGTCTCAATCAAATTAAAAACAGAATTCCAGGGCACGCCAAAGAAACTTCCAATACGGTTTGGATCGGTTTAGCTCATCTAGGATCGATTTGGATAGGTTTAGCTCAACAAATCTTCTGATGAATTCGACAACAGTGCAACTTATCTAGCAAAAAAAAAACGGGAGAAAAGAAAATTCGGAAGAAGAAAAATTGTAGTTTCAGTTCTAACATTCAACAAGAGATGTCACTGCGAAAACACCTTATTGAGCCAAATTATTCATCATCTGATCTGTACAGAGGAACCATTACTGTAATGTTTTAAGCTTAAGCTTTGAAATTGTCCTTTGCTCTTCTTATGATGCCCAAGGCTTCTGCTTCATCTGCAGCCTCTGCAATACCTAAAGCCCGACGAATATCCGCATTCCCAGTGCGGAGGAACGGGTTACACGCTTTCTCCATCTTCATCGTTGTTGGAATCTGAGATTTCAAGACTCAGTGTGTGTCTAGCAGTGACAATGACTCTGAAGAAGTTTCTGAAATGAAAAGAAATATTACCGTCGGTAACTTCTTGTCACGTTGCTCTGCAACGTAGGCGGCGTAAGACTGGAGAACCTCGTTAGTTGGTTCTATAGATAACGCAAACTTGGAATTACTCTGCCAAGTCCAAAATAATCATAAAGTCAGATGAAAACTCCACGTGTGTGGTGATTGTATTATGAAAACCCGCAATATATTGATCACAAACCAGTGTATATTCATGGCCACAGTATACGCTTGTGTCATCTGGCAAAGATACTATCCTCTGAAGCGAAGCTAGCATCTGCAGATAGTTGAAAACCCAATTCAAACAGGGTTAAGACAAACAACAATTTACACTTGAAGAGGCAAGTTCAGAGAGAAAAATTAGTAATGATGCGTGAATGTTATACCTGCTCTGGAGTACCTTCGAAGAGCTTACCACATGATAAGCTAAACAATGTGTCCCCAGTGAAAATTGCTCTTGCCCCTGGAAAGTAGAAACTAATATGGCCTACAAGCAGAAATGAGCAGTTAGAGAAGCCTGAAACCTCAACATATCCTTTAGCAGAAGAGACAAATGAATGATCTCATACGGCAAGATAAGCCACAAAAAGAGGACACAGTTTCTACATTGACGCAGTCTGAGAAGATGTAATAAACCAATACCAAAATTTCATAACTTGGACTTCATGGGGGAACCAACCTATAGTGTGGCCAGGAGTGTCCAAAACATGGACTTCATGCCCAGCAAACACCCATTTGTCACCATCTTTCAGCGCTATGTCTATTCCAGGAATCCGTTCCCTATCTACAGCTGACCCGATCACCTAAGTACATGCCAACATTTGCAATTAATTACTAAAAAAGAGTTATCTTTGGAACAGTATGGACAGAGAGAGAGAAGAAAGAGATGTTACATCCGCCTACCTTTGCACCGTACCTGTCTTTCAATTCCAGATTGCCACCAGTGTGATCATAATGGTGATGCGTGTTCAATATATATGCCAGATTTCGACCATTCTTCTGCAACGCATCCATCACAGGTACAGCTTCAGATGGGTCAACCACACCAACTGTACCAGTTTCCTCATCGTGTAATATATAAGCATAGTTGTCCGCTAGACATGGCACCTGAACAGAAAAAAGAAATGTGGACAAGGAACAAAGGTAAGCAAAGAGCAAGTATCAACACAACTAACGAAAACCAAGGCACACACACCAGTTCGATTTGCAACGAGGAAGAGACATTGGAGACACTGCAGAATCTTGACACGGGAGCAGATTTACCAGCACCGCACAAAGTCTTAAGAGGCGAGGAGAACAACTTCATCACTCCACATACATAGCCTTTTCTGAGGTTAAGCTGTCTCACGCAGGGGCTCACATATGGCTGACTTGTTAGCTTCTTTTAAACAAACACACAAAAAAAAACAGAGGCTAATCAATAGAAATGAACAACAAGAATGAATACATTCATACAAATTTGTGAAATGACCTCTGCAAGAAAGCATTTGCCAAAATAAAACAAAAATTCCCAACTCACTACTTCACTAAAACCATAATAGCTAGTTCTATAAGAGTTTTCCACTGAGAACACACTGAGGTGTAATTAACTGATAAAGAATAAAGTAACTTCAATAATTACAATCAATAAGACATCGAATTTAATAAAATTTAGTGAACAGAACACTCAAGAGTATCCAGTTTCTTCACAAGAGAGAAACAGGAGAAGGAGTAAACCCTAAAAATGGTGAGTAGTCGGAACACTGAAACAAAGATTGTAGGAACTATCCAGAACGAATGAAAGAAAAAAAAATACATACCCTTGAACATCGCAAGAAGGAGGCTGCAGAAGAAACTTTCGAGATGGCTTGCATCTCTATCTCACTCTCTCTGTTGTGTCTCTCACACAGAGCTATCTATTTGCTCGATGGATTACACAATAGTCGACGCGATTTCAACAGAGACACAGACCCCACAAAGTGCGTGAGATTTTTATTCTTCGTGAAAGTTCTAACAACATAAACCGGCCCAACTCACTAAACCAAACCAAACCAATAATCAGGTTACTGTGGTTTAATAGACACCCCTATTTGGGAAACCGTATTGGTATTTTCAATACATACCGATACGTCAAAATTTAGTTTTGTTCTTTTTTTTTTAAATGAAAATTTAGTTTTATTCAAGAAAAATTAACCAAATCACGTTCATTATCATATAAACAAGTCTGGCTACAAAATTCATGTATAAGGCAGTCTGTAGATTTTAGAGACTTGTTAAATTGTTTTATTAAAAGATATATGAACAGACAAAACAAAATAAGTGATGTACAAATTGAAGAAAATTCCTAAGCTCATACAAATCACACTCGTTATAACAGACTTCGAAGGCATGCCTTTTATTGTGGTCAACAAAACATAAATTACTCATCCTTAAACGTACACTAGTATTCGCATATGAATCAAATAAGGTCGAAACAGTATTCTTTGACATTTTTGAACTTACTAAACTATAAGAAAATGAAATTTCTATTAAAAATAAAGTTTACATTGAACTATATATATATATATTAACTTGACTTTACACATTCACCTAGTTTTTTCCATGAACTTTCCAATTCGGTGTACCGATACGCGCGCAAAGGCACGCATATATGTAGGCAGGCACGTACGCACTTACTCTATTAGACCCATCGTTATAGTTCGTAATGTTTCATGCGTTTGACTAAAGACGTAACTTTTTTACTTGTCCATCTCTTTTCTATAATCAGTCACCATGCCAAAAAAAAGGGCTTATCTTAAAATTTCATGTTTAAATGTTAAAAAGAAGAACACTGAACACAATCTAATATGAACAAACAAAAAACAAGAACAGAGACAAAGTTGTCTAAGATGGACCAAACTTAAACCGAAATTGTATTCTGTTTTTTTCGGTTATAGTCTTTCGGTGCTGGTGGTGTAAGGCGAAAGTACGATCGAGGCGTAGTAGTAACTTGTTTGATCAAGTTTGAAGGTTCAAATGTCATGAATCCCAAGTAAAGTCAAGCCTCAAGAATTTCTTGCGAGACCATTTGGCCTCTCCATCCAAGTCAACCCAACAAGCCTTGTTACTGTACAGTATGTTATGACATTTGTACGCGAAATTATGACATTAAAACGTTATACAGCCAATCAAAATTAACAACAAAATGTGCGACTATTACAGAGATTTGACATTAAAGCATAACATAATTTTTGCTTCTCATTACATAATTCACATTAATCAGAATTCAGAACGAACTGACCACTTTCTAATGGGATGCCAAAACAAAATTGGGGTTATATATACGGTTCCTAATTTCCTAGGCAAAATCCGAACGTCAGTCATATTGGTAACCATTTCGATCAGACCCGCTAACCGGGTATTCAAATTCGGTTTTGTTTTGAGTGTATTGAAATTTTCACGTGCTATTTGTTTCTGGGAGTTGTCTAATGCAAACCGTGTCATAGTATAACTCGTTTGATCAATTCCTACGTTTTTTTAATCATAAGTTGAACACCATTTCTTTTTGTAGCTGATATAGTCAAAGTCAAAGATGGTATATATATTATATGAGCTAGTGAGGAAAAAACCCAAAGAAAGCCAACCATAAACTATATATATAAGTCATAAGTGTCTTTATCGGATTGAAAGAATTATTATGAGATTGGGGGACAAAGATACGAGTCTTTCACTGCGAATCCTCGTACGTTTAAAATGTAAATTTTGCAATTTGAAGTATACCGTTTTGTTGATATTCCTTGTCCTATGCTATGCATGAGAAAAGTAACTCTTGTCCGTTATTTCACCAAAATCTTATTTGTGAAATCTTAATAATTTATCTGCCGGAAATACCACTCGATCTGTTTCTTTAGTAAAAAAGCCTATCCTCATATGTTTTCTTTTTATTACGGCTGGTATCATGAGCAGACAAAAATGCTTAAAAATCAAAGATAATAATGATAAAAACATTAATAAAGTTTATTTTTGTTAATATAAACCAAAAATTACATGTTTAAAGTTCAAAAACAAATAAAAGAATAACTATATAATCTCATCAACTAGCTTGCAGCTTTTACAAAGTTATCGAATACATACATTTTCTTTCGTTATTGCTAGGAGTACTGCACCATCAAAATAGAATCAATACACAAAACTATATATATTGTGTTTATTACATTAATCTTCAAAAAAAAAATAATGAATTATATTCAGGATGTATAATCAGACTCACGTGACGGCTCAGCCGTGGCACGTGCCCGAACCTCCTGGGATGTTGGTACAACCGTTTGGACCTGACGGTGGCACCGTACCTCTTTGCAGGAACTGGAACACGAATCTGATCTCACCGTCGGCTCGAAACGGCCTAGCCGCTTCCACTTGTGTGGTGTCCAAGAAAATTACGAAGAGTCCGAGCAAAACCACTCCAAGTATCAACTGTTTCTTCATCATCATTTCTCTCTCTTGTTAATTTTTCTTTTGTGTATTCAAAGTAAGATAGGATTTTTTTGCACAGAAAAGTTGTTGTATGGCTTTTACTCTTTGTTTGCTCTGTATCACAATTAGTTTGATAATGACCTATTTATATAAGGTTTTCGATTCTGGTGTTTGGTTGATTGTTAAATTGGTATATTCGTCTGACTTTGGAGCTTTTGGTCTTACTTAGATATTCTTGTGGCTTGACTTTTACTAGGAACGACTTGGTTTTTCAGCATTTGAACCCAAACAATAGGAATTGATCAAACAAGTTAAGACATGACACGGTTCTTGCCTTGGACCGCAATGTATGTCACAAGTAAACCTACAAAAAGGTGATAACTAATAAGCCAACCGGTTAACGTTAATTAATTAGATTCCGGTCTAGTATAGAATAGAAAAACTACTGTTGTAGACTGGTACTTGTGACGAGTCTTGTAAAAGTTGGCTAACCAGATAGCAACCGGTTTAACTGAAGATTTGTGGTTAAACCAATCGGTTTATAAACTTGTAAGTATTATTTTTTATATTTTCAATCTTTAAACGTTTCATGACGAAAATTCACATCGGGCGGAAATTGGAGGTCAGGATACATGATAGCACGTAAAAACCGAAACCACTAAGCAAAAGAACTTGGAAATTTTCAAATGTCTCATAAAGCGAAAATAATTAAAATAAAAAAAAAATCAAGTCGCAAGTTTGATTCAGTCTTAACTCTTAACTCTCAAAGCCGCGACCAAATAAACGAAGACATGCATTGGTAGGTACATACGCACGTATGTAAAATTTAAGGCAGTGCAATCCAGAAATTTCACGGAAATTCTTACACTGGGACAATGTAAAGCATAAAGGCACGTGTTTTGATTGAATTAAACTATTAATTATTAAAGCCAAATATACAAACTGAAGTAAACTGTGTTTTGGCGCGGGAAACATATATTTTGACTTCTCTTGTGGCGGCGCTCTTAACCGTCGATGTTTCCGGTGAACAGAAGCAATGCTCTTTTATCGATCCTGAGCCAAACCAAAGCACTGCACCATGCTCAACAGGTTCACGCCAAGGTTATAGTTCATGGATTCGAGGAACAAGTTGTTCTCGGATCGAGTGTCACTAACGCTTATATCCAATCGAATCGTCTCGATTTCGCTGCTGCTTCTTTCGATCGGATCCCTTCCTGGAAGAGGAATCGGTATTCATGGAATACGATTCTCTCTGGTTACTCCAAATACAAAGGTTATGATGAAACCTTAGGTCTTTACAACCACATGAGGAGGAATTGTGATGGCGTCGACAGTTTCAATTTGGTGTTTGCGATCAAAGCTTGTGTGGGTTTAAGGCTTTTAGAAAATGGGATGCTGATTCATGGCTTGGCGATGAAGTATGGGTTGGATAAGGATGATTATGTTGCTCCGTCCTTGGTTGAGATGTACGCACAGTTCGGTACTATGGAAAGCGCGCAGAAAGTGTTCGACGAAATTCCGGTGAGAAACTCTGTTCTTTGGGGAGTTCTGATGAAAGGATATTTAAAATTTTCAAAGGACCCAGAAGTATTTCGTTTGTTCTATCACATGAGAGAGACAGGTTCAGCTCTCGATGCGCTTACGTTGATATGTTTGGTAAAGGCTTGTGGGAATATTTTTGCTGGTAAAGAAGGGAGATCAGTGCATGGATTATCCATTAGAAGGAGCTTTATAGATCAGAGTGGTTATTTACAAGCTTCCATCGTAGATATGTATGTGAAATGCAGATTGTTTGACGATGCCCGAAAACTATTTGAAACAAGTGCTGACAGGAATGTAGTAATGTGGACTACGCTGATTTCTGGGTTTGCAAAGTGTGAGAGAGCTGCTGAAGCGTTTGATCTGTTCAGGCAGATGCTAAGAGAATCGATTCTTCCAAATCAATGTACTTTGGGGGCACTTCTTGTTTCTTGCTCGAGCTTGGGATCTCCAAGGCACGGGAAAAGTGTTCATGGATACATGATAAGGAAGGAGATTGAAATGGATGATGTAAATTTTACATCTTTCATCGACATGTATGCCAGATGCGGGAATATCCAAATGGCTAGGAAGGTTTTCGTTGTGATGCCAGAGAGAAATGTGATATCTTGGAGCTCGATGATCAATGCTTTTGGGGTAAACGGTCTGCTGGAGGAAGCTCTGGATTGTTTTGATCAAATGAAGTCACAGAAGCTAGTTCCAAACACTGTGACATTTGTTTCGCTTTTGTCGGCCTGTAGCCACTCGGGAAACGTCAAGGAAGGATGGAGGCAGTTTGAATCGATGACAAGAGACTATGGGATTACACCAGAGGAAGAACATTATGCGTGTATGGTAGATTTGCTAGGTCGAGCTGGTGAAATCGGGGAAGCTAAGTCTTTTATTGAGAACATGCCTGTGAAACCAATGGCCAGTGCTTTGGGAGCTCTTCTGAATGCTTGTAGAATCCATAAAGAAGTCGAGTTAGCAGAAGAAATCGCGGAGAAGCTCTTATCCATGGAACCCGACAAATCGAGCGTCTATGTCTTGCTTTCTAACATATATGCTGATGCTGGGATGTGGGAGATGGTGAATTGTGTGAGACAGAAAATGGGCACTAAAGGATTTAGAAAACCCATGGGACTATCTGCTACAACTGAAATGGGCTAGAAATTTAGCTATTGATCACTGCAGCATGATTTTGATGAAGACCGTATGAAATATGAAGCACCAAGATCAAAAGATGGAGATTTGAAGGCTCTATGATCAACCGGAAAAGAAAACCCATGATGAAGATGAGGATTGATGAGAGGTTGGAGTTGTACGAGCTGGTGGCTGCTGCAGTCAAAGCTGCAGTCATGAGATTGCGGTGATACTCTTAAAACAACTGAAGAGGTTATCTCTCTCTCTCTTACAAGGATCTTCGCTTATCCAAAGCTAACTGCAAGCTGGATTTTTCACACACACACTAGCAATTTGGAAAGTTGTTAGAAAGTTAGAAAATTTGGTTGGATTTTGGAAAGATGTAAGACTTTTATTTGTTCTCAGAATAAAAGTTCAATTCTTTTCTTAGTTGGTATTTGGAATTTTGGGAGAAACGATACCAACAAATTATATATTTGGTTTCTTGCTCCAGTTTAGGAATCATAAGCATACTAAATTGACTGAGTAAGAGTGATGTTGTGCACAAGCTCTGAACTGAAGAAACTGAAAACAGGGTATGGACTTTACAAAACTCTATGACGAGCACTGATGATAAGCTTTAGTAACTCTTAGTATACACTCTCCGTTTGCTGCACATACCCAGCTAATCCCATCTGTTCATATATCTCATCAAGCAACAAGTGAACATCATCTGAAGCAGCGTGGGATTTATCAGCTGCAGCAAACTGATGGACTCGTTTATCTAACTCAATCTTACTTATCCCAGGACATATCTTTTCAATACCCAGCTCTCTCATCCTTCCCCTAACCTCTGCAACATCTCTCCACCTGTTTTCTCCTGCATACATGCTAACCATAAGGGAATGATACCCACTATTCCTTGGCTCCAAAACCATCAGTTTCTTAAACGCAATCTCAGCTATCTCTAAGTTCTTGTGAAGTCTGCACCCGTCAAGCAACGCTCCCCAGATAATCGCATTCGGTTTAAATTCCATACTTCCAATCAGTTCCAGAGCCTCATGAATCAACCCAGCTTTGCTGAATAAATCAACCATGCATCCGAAATGTTCGATATCAGAGGCAATGGAATACTCATCAATCATGCTACGATATAACTTCCGGCCTTCTTCTACAAGACCTGCGTGAGTACACGCGGTTAGTATACTCACGAAAGTGACTGCGTTAGGTTTGACCGACTCCATCTCCATCTTGGCAAACATTTTCAATGCTTCTTGAGCATAACCATGAGCCGCGAGCCCTTCAATGATTGAATTCCAGCAAAAGAGATTCTTTTTCGGCAAATTGAAGAATACCAGAAGCGCTCGATTCAGACTACCGCATTTGGAGTACATATCTACAAGTGCAGAGCCAATGTAGACATCGAGAAGAAACCCGTTCTGCACCGTGTACATATGAACCTCCTTGCCTACATCCAGCACGCCGAGATGCGCGCAAGCTGAAATAACAGTTGACATAGTCACTTCATCAGGAACAATCTCTTCCTCTGTCATTTTGTAGAACACCGAGATTGCTTCTCTATATCTCTTGTTGTGCGAGTAGCCGTTGATCATAGTCGTCCATGAGATTATGTCCTTCGCTGGCATCTGATTGAACAATGACTCAGCTAGTTCCACATTGCCTAGTTTCGTGTATCCATCAATCAAACAGTTCCACGTAGCGACGTTCTTTTCCGGCATTTGGTTAGCTAAGCAGATGGCGGAGTCCATATCCAAGACCTGGCGATAAGCAGAAACCATTGCGCTCCAAGTAACATAATCTCTTTCAGGCATTTCGTCGAACACTTTCCTGGCTTCCCTGATTCTACCCAATGCCGAGTAAAACCCAATGAGAGTCGTCTGAATTTGAACATGGAAACAAAATCCAAATTTACAGATGTGCGCCTGAACCGATTCCCCAAGCACAGAATCGAAAGCAGAGGCCTTTACGAGTGAAGAGTATGTGTAGCTTGATGGAGAAACAGAGTCCCTGAGCATACGGACATAGAACTCCAGAGATCGGGTCGGGTAAGAACAAGTAACGAAGCCTAAAATCAACGCATTGTAGACGAAAACATTAGGTCCCTGCATCTGGGTCATCGAGGAAACCGCGAGATCAAGGCGATTAAAGGAAGTGCAGGCAGTGATGAATTGGTTCATTAAGAAACAGTCTTGATTTTGGCTGGACTTGATCATGGCGGCTAAAGCAGACTCTAGAAGCTTAGGGCTCGACCGTTGCTTGATTAACTGTAAAGTTGAGCAACCTTGCACCCGAAGACTACGCACGTTGGCCAAAGCATTCATGTAAGAAATCGAGGTTGATAAAGAGAGGGTGACTTTGAAATCTCGCGTCAGATTAAGTAACAAGGCATAGAGAAGAAACTCTGGGGCAGGCAGAAGGTTTCGGATCATAAAACAATTTAATATTAAAAAATAGTTGGACAATAAATTCTAGAATTAAAAAAATTAACTTTTTTCTCAAGTATTTTTATCGTTCTATCTCTTCGTTTATATATTAACATTCGAAATTCTGATGTGTCATTTCATCGTTCAATATAGGGATGGCTGAATTTTTTGGCATGCACCGTCGTCTCATCCCTAAATTATTGCTAGTGGCATCGGACGATGAACAGAGAGCGTTAAATAGAGATTTTTAATTTGGCAATGTTTCACGATAACTTTTTTTTTTTATTAATATACACTTTTCACTTATATATTAATCTATATATGGGCAAAAAAAAAAGAAACAAGCTTTCAGTTTTTCTCGTGTGTGACGACTAAATCATGCCCAAATTAATAGACACGTGCTGGAATTGAAGATGCATGCACTTTCTTGCTTTCCAAATGACGGATAAAAGCCCAGCATGCAGAGAAGATTCTATATTTTGCCTAATCAATTTGTTATTATTCTGTGAAGTTTTGATTTAAGACTTTATCATCATAGATATTAAAATTAAGATGTTATTTTAAACTTTGATTACTTTACGTTATCTATAGAAGAAAACCGATAACTCAAATTTCAATCAAAACACTTTTATTTTACACACTCGGATCTTTCAAACTTAACTATATAAAAAATAAAATAAAAATTGAAGATGTGGATTTTCGAGCATAGGTGCATGCTTTCTTAAGTTTATAGAGATTAGAGTATTGCTGATTTTGGAAAATAAACCTTTAAGGCTTGCAAAAAATAAAACAAAAATTTCGGTAAAAAAATCAGTAAAGCCAAAAAAAAAAAAAAATCAATAGGTTCCAAAACACCACAGATCTTTTTAGATAAAAATAAAAGCCTCAATCTTTTTTTCCCCCTTTAACAAGTTGAACCATTATTATATAAGTATGATTATTTCCAACTACTAGATTTGCTGAAATTTAATAATTTCCCAATCAAACAATTTACTCTGTTTTTTAATCATAGTTATTATCAACGAGTAGGGACATTGAATAGCATGCATGTCTGGGTTTTCTTAGTCGTGAGGAAAAAAAAAAAAGTTTCTGACCTACAATTTAAAATTACCAAAATAATTGGGTTTACATTTGACCGTAGCTAACTAGCAGGCCCGGACAAAAAGTGAATTTACAAAGATTACAAAACAAATGAAAAGAGTTGAGTGTTCATGCACCCGTCTCTCTTTGCTACATTGTATTCGCAAGTTGCACGATATAAGCCAATTATAATAATATTTCAGTGGTCCACTACTATGCTCATCCCACTCAATGAATCTTTTTTTAAACCTAAATCTTGATATAACCACTTTATTAGTTTGGTATATCCTCTTAAACTATTTTTGATTACCTCCCTAAGCTTTTCAACTATGCCCATCCTAACTCCTAAGTACTTTTTTATGAGTATCTCATATCCAGTTGCCAAAATGTCTTATAAATCCTGGAATAATTGAATTCGAATATACCTTCATACAAAAGTTTAAGCTCATTGTTGTTATTGGACCAGAGCTCTAGCCTTTAGACCAATTACGATATCTTATTTCCAAATAGAACCCTGGTTGTATTAAATAACTTGTCTGAAAACTATTTTTAAGTGAAGAAATATTGTTTCTATGAAACTATTTTTAAAGTCCAATTATAATATTGTTTAAATACATGGTACACAGTTGTCACATGTGTAGAAGAGAAGAAATTCTTCAACATATATATATATATATATATACAATGAAAAGAGTTTTCTATGTGGCAAAATATGCTTCTTTTTTTTGTTTATATAGTTCAAGTGGGCAGCGTCAAGATCCCATGACTAGCTATTATGTTTGTGTTGTATCTTATTTCTCCACCTCGTATGCATTTTAGTAAAATTTTCCGAAAACGAATTAGAAAAAAAAACACAGTGAAAACATTTTTATCGAAGAAATTAAAACTAGTCAACTTTGGCCTTCTGTTATTTTATTTAAACGAAAATCATTTAAAATATATATATATATATATATATATATAAACTATCGACTACGCAAAATATATTCATGTTATGTGTTTCAATAAATATAAAAACAGATATATTGTGAGCATAGTTCCAACAGAATTTCGGAATTTGTTTGGTGATAATGATATGACATTGTATGAAGGGGTATTGCACTTGGACACTGGAGTCAAAATCAATATGCTTCGGAGTACCTTAGATTTTTGGTTCAATAACGGACATATATTTATTGGGTAATTAATCGTTATAACGGTCGTTTAATGTCCGGTACAACACCCGCTCTCACAAAATATTCGTACTATTGGAATCCAACCATCCAAAATACATGACCATAAATATTCAACTATATAGAAAAAAAACAAAAAAATGGACAATAAAGCAAGTCTATCTGAGATCTTTTTTTTTTTGTTAAAGAAGTTGCGCCTCTCTGCGTTTATCTTTTAATTATTAGATACTTAAAGTCACGAGAATGCATATACATATCCCCTTGGATGAATTTTGCAATCTTCTAGATCAAATGAAGACAAACAAAAGCTATTAGTCGCCGAGACCAAGCCGGATATCACATAGCTTAAATTTGGTAAATACGCAATTCATCATTCATGTTAAGTAACGTTACACTCTTGCATGCGCGCTGAAACTTCCAAAGAATATATATTTGAAAAGAAAAAAAAAACAAACTTGCAAAGAATCTGAAGAAAGTTGTCACCGAGTGGTCCAATGATCATTTGTAGGCTTCGAATTCGAACCTTCTCCTCTACTGTCAATTTATTGGAGTTTCAAGTTGCAGCCTAGCGACCCCTCATCCAGTCTAATCAATCTCTCTTCTAATTATATGGGGGTATACCTCATTTATAGTGAACGTAGAGAACTGTCTACTATGTAAATTTATCATGCATTTAATGTAATATTTGCTTTAAATAATTTCTCACCATTAAAACTCCCGAGTAATGTAATACTGGCCAAATACTTTATAGGAATCCAAAAATTATGGTCATATTTCCTTTATTTATAGCTGAAATTTAAACGAGCTATCTTATTCATACTTAAATTTTATTCGTAAAATATGTAGATGTTCCTATAAAAAATTTTATTATAATCTTTAGTTCTTAATATACCTTAATACATGTTAAACTTGCATACTGAATGAGTAAAATCTGTAGATATTCCTATAAAAGTTACATGCCTGCCATGCCCAGGTCTCGTAATATGCTTACTCGGCCTACGAAAGACATGCCTAATCGACTCTATAAACAGTAAGTGATATTAGTTCAGCATAAACACGCAAACAATTGTGGAGGAGATTTTTTGCCTTACAGCTAAAACCATTATGACTTTTTCAAAAATAATCAATTTTTTTTTTGGTTATATGTTAGTACACCAATTGAAGATGTTGAGTTGGACTATTCTTAATTTCTTATTATAGTTATTTTCGTAGAAGAGTATTTTGATTCATATCATAGGTGATAATGCATGGAGAGTACATGTGTGGACTGAAGGATAGGATAAAGGGACAAGTCAAATCAGTGTTGAAAATACTTTTCTACGACCAATCAAAGTGTTTCACAGAAGCTTTGGCCTTGGCTTCTATACAGTATTTATATACGTAAATGTAGAACTAACGAAGTCTCCAGTTATAGAGGGGGCGGCGACGAAACCTCGGCCAATTGAACTTATTGATTTCGTAAGAAGAAATAAAAGTCACCAAGTCAATTTCGTGAAGCGAATACTATTATGTGGCAGTCAATCTTTATACCCCGACAAGACTGCCCTCCGACACATTTTTGGACCAACGTATTCGGAATATGATATTCCTCATTTTGCATTTCTGTTATTGTTAGTTTGAGATTACTTCACCTCTTGAAATGAAAATTTTATTTTGATTATATTTAATAGTATTTATTAAGATGACAGTTTATCTCGATGATTATTATATACTATATATATATTTAATCATACTATCATTCAATAAATGTTTCAAAAAGTTGTGTTAACGTAAATTTATGTACGCCATTTCATGAATATTATTCGGAGCACGTGAAAAACATAATAAATACCCTTTAGCACAAAAAAGGGGCATGCATACATATCAACTACTAATATACATATGCACATAAGTTAATTTGCATTATAAGACGTTGAAAAACCGAAAAAATCTGATTGTTCTCGGCTTTTTGTCGCATGTTTGACTCACTTAGCCCCATATTTGTAATCATTATATTGTCAGTAAAAAAGATACAAAGGATTTAAATTTATATATCTTCTCGTTTGATGCTAGCTGTAAGCCTAAAAATCTCTAAAAATCTGAGAATGAGAAACAATCTAACCTTTCACCCCCCCCCCCAAAAACTTCATTTTTATACTCTCGGGTCCTGGCCAAGCGATTCGTCAAGTTTGTCATTCATCTCCGCCTACTTCTAATGCTGTTCATGAAAACTTCATTTATACTTTTTTTGGTAATAATGTTAACTTCATTTATACTTGGTTCAAGTTCTTCCAAAGGTCTTAAGTTTCTCAACCCAGGTGTTATTCTTCTATTCAATTGCTTCTCACAACTTTCCTAGTTTTAATTTACTTTTGTCTTGTTGTATTGTATTGTATCGCTTCACCTTTCCATTGTATCTGTAATTTCAAACAATATCCCGTATAGGAGGTAACAAAGTAAGTTTAAAAAAAAAAAAAAAAAAAAACACCAAAAACACTCATAAAATTGCGACCCCTAAATATCAACATATATATTAGGCTCATGGATTTTATGACCATGCAATGATTACGGCTCATATAAAAAACTGCCACCCTAAATATTATTGCCAATTATACTCTAAAAATTCGACGGTTAATATATTAAGAAAAAATTCAAAAAAACTCTACTGACGTACGACCGAGATCAGATGCTCTCCGGAAACAAACGCCAACGTGGCAAATAAGCTGCCATGTCAGAAAACCGTGAGCTCATGTATTTTGTCGGGAAGACGCCGCCGTACGTCATTCCCTCAAATCTGGTCTTGTCCCACGTGGAACAATTCACCCACTTCTGTGTTATCATATTAGAGATAGATCCTATTTACGTATTACCTCCTCCTTTTTTCTTTCCTATTATATTATTATTCAGTACCAATTATCTTTTTGGATGGCCCCATATTCCGTTTTTGAAATAAATGATTACTGAGTTTTTGGAGGCAGCCTTGTTGTTAATTGGACCCAATGAAATACAATATATATTAAACTATTCATATTTTATATAATACCCCCTAATTCAAAAATCTAAAACCGTTCTATGTCTCTCTATATATATGCTATATGTATCCCAAACTTATATGCCAGCCACTTAAGAAAGACATTGTAAAAAGAAAACCGTTAAGCAAAGAAAAAAAAGAAAAAGAAAAATGGAGTCTCAAATTACCTTCTTTTCTGAAAACCAAAGTCAAGAGTTTTCCGAGTTTTCCCCGGAGAACTCTTCTTCAACAAGCTCATGGAGCTCACAAGAATCATTCTTGTGGGAAGAGAGTTTCTTACATCAATCATTCGATCAGTCCTTCCTCTCATTTAGCCCTTCTTACTACTCTGATGACTTCTTCACATTTGGATCATCAACCATCAAAGACGAAGAAGAAGCCACCGTAGAGGAAAGGTCATACAGAGGAGTGAGGAAGAGGCCGTGGGGGAAATACGCAGCCGAGATAAGAGACTCGACGAGGAAAGGGATAAGAGTGTGGCTCGGGACTTTCGATACTGCGGAAGAGGCTGCTCTCGCTTACGATCAGGCGGCTTTCTCTTTGAAAGGAAGCCTCGCGGTACTCAACTTCCCCGTGGAAGTCGTAAAAGAGTCTCTCCGGAAGATGGAGAATGTGAATCTCAACGATGGAGAGTCTCCTGTCATAGCCTTGAAGAGAAAACACTCCATGAGAAACCGGCCTAGAGGAAAGAAGAAGTCTTCTTCTTCTTCTTCTTCTTCTTCTTCCTCATACTCGTCTTCTTCATCTTCATCTTTGTCGTCAAGAACTAGAAAACAGAGTGTCGTTATGAAGCAAGAAAGTAGTACGACGCTAGTGGTTCTTGAGGATTTGGGTGCTGAATACTTAGAAGAGCTTATGAGATCATGTTCGTGATCATCTCTGCTTCTACAATTTCATGTAATTTAAGTGAGCTCTGTTTTTTTTTTCCTTCATAAAATATAGTTCAATTGGTTATCCGATGAAAAGTTTTGGAGGAGTGTATAGACGTATGCTGTTTCGTTTTTATTGGAAAGCATGTACTTTGTAATATGTAAATCTCTCTACCTTAGTACTTATTTGATTAATATTTTGTTTTTCATAAGTTCTATATAACTGAACCGAGGATTTTAAATTATTAATCCAACTTTATAACTTGATATATGATCATCCGAGAAAACTAATAATTAAATGAAACCTAGATCGAGTAAAACTATAGAAATACTTTCTATTACTAAACTTTAATTAAAGACTACACGCTCTGCATCCATTTTTTCTTGGTTATTCGATGGGCTAATAATATTTTATTTTCGTGATTTTAAATAAACCGATGCTGTGAGTTAAATTCGTTGCGGGCTGCATTCCAACGGGCTATCAGCCGACCTGTAGAATACTCCATAAGATCGATTAAAAAATAATTCATAAGATCGATAAAAAAAACATAATGATGTTATTATTATATTACATGTCATAGTTAATTTCAAAATTATATACTACTATACATTTTAGAAATATATTTCATCATATTTTTTTTTAAGGATTCATTTCTTTACAACATATAAAATTGAATCATCTACGAAACCCTCTCACCTGGAAAAAGAAAGAAATGATCGCAAGGGAGAGTTGGATATGTTATGGGCCTTTATGGCTTACATGTCCATGAACGAGCATACCCATGACTGATGCTATTTTCTCTATATATAAATGTAATTTCATATTTGGTGGAGGAACAATGTTCTAGCTTTTATAAGCAAAGTTCTAGCTTCGATAGCTGTCTAGTGTCTAGCCATATCATAGATTTTTTTTTGTTGTTGTTGTCAAATCCATATCATAGATTAAGACGAGTTATCCACCTTGGCACACTCGAGGATTGGATGTAAAAAGTACGATCCAATCATATTGTTTTTTATATCTAAGAATGTAGCGATCATATTAAATTATATACACGTCACTGATGATGTTTTCGTTGCCATGATTAATATTTTTTTTTTTTGTCAACGAGATTATTTATATTTATTACTCTATTCCTATATGTCTTTGACTAGTAACTTTATACATAACATAGGTTGTCGACATTCATAGGAATCCAACATAAAATAAAAATCAACTCTTTTTACATTAGATCCATGCATAAACAAGTATCAAATCAAATCACAGTATAACAGCCAATTTTATAGCAATCGTTCAAGCTCAATGATCACAGTCACATCAACAATCGTTTATACTCTTTTTGTTTTTTGATGTACAAATTGTATTCGTAGCTTTATTAATATCTTTTTGTTGCTCTTGCAATTTTAGCTACTAAATTTAGATTTAAAACAGTGTTTACTTCACGGAATCATTTGGATTTGACATCGAGATAGTTCGAGATCATCAAACTTTCGAAATGTTTTAATCATAGATTAAAAGGAAAAGATGGAACTCTCACATATAAGAATATTCGAAGAGAATTCGTTGGAAATGATTGGAAATTTGGAAGATGTCAAACCCCAAAAAAAGGCGTATACAAGCCCAAACAACGAAACGTGACTAATGTGATTATTATTAATCATCCATAATGAAAGTCATTATTCATTACTAGCTGGAAGAAAACGCACTAATCACTGGAGTAGCAATTGTAGCCATTATTCGTCGAAAGAGCTTCCATGTAATGTTTCTCCAGCACTTCCATAACTCTGTCTGCTATCGCGCTTGCATAAACACTAGATCCTTCACAAATCTGTTCATAATCACTATTAATTCAGTCCTATACGAATTTTGCGAGTGTAGAGATTAAGGATTAAAATTGACATGAATTTGAAATTTTATGACAAACCTTGGTGTTAAACAAGAAGCTGTGGTGCTCTCCGATCTGTGCACCAGCTACATGGTGAAGATCAAGCTGAAGCTGATCAATCACTTTGGAGACGAACAACAAACAATTGATTTTCTTCTTCTGCACGATCTTGATCGTAACTTCATCGTCAACGATACGTACATCGACTTCAGTGTATTTCGATTTCCTCTTCAGCCACGAACATCTCAAGGAATTGTTCTTCTTATTGATCAAACACTGTTCCACTACTTCGCTTTGCGCCCTGTAGCTCTCATCAACGACATCATCTCCTTCTTCTTCGATTCTGCGTCTCTTGTTCCGATGTTTTACGATTCTTTTCTTCTCCACCAGCATCTTGAATTCTTCGATCGTCCTTAACAACTCCTTGATGTAGTCTATCGCTTCTCCTACGATTGATGCCCTATCATTCTACAGAGACAGCAAACAAAACAAGCAATTGAAAAACAGGGTTTAGTTCGTAAAGTTGATTACTTGAAGAAGAAGTTAGCGTATAAGTGTAAGTAAAGTAACCTTGGTGGGATTTGGAATAAGATTCTTTAAGTCACCGAACCGGTCTTTGAAGTGAACTCTTCTCTCGCGCTCGGTAGGGAAAACTTTCCGCTTCCTCGATCCTCTGCCTTTACGGTTCAGACCATCCTCGAGGTTGTTGTTCTCTTCAGCATATATCAAATGGTGATTCACTCCATTTGACTGATCAGTATGATCCTCAGCTCCTAGTGGACTCCCATTAGGAGGCTGCAAAGGGAAGTTCAAATGGAAGAGAGGGTCGAAGGCGGCAGAGACAGAGGACGATGTCATGATAATGTCTTGAAGGCTATGGTTTGCGAAAGGTGGAAGTGAGGATCTAGGCAATTGCAAGAGACTGAGTAGGTCAGGAGTTGTGTGACTAGGACCCAAATTCACAAAATCTTGGTAACCATTGTCCCAATTGTTAGACTGTGGCGCGTATGATGGATCTTGAAGGGTTTGGTGCATTAAGTTCTGGAATTGGTGGTGATCGCAATTAGGAGTAGCATTGATGTGAAGCTGATGAACGGAAGCTGCTGCTGCTGCTGCGGCGGCTAAAGAACAGTCTTGTGGGCTGAGGTGAAACTCAGAGAGATCTTCTAGGCTGCAGTTGCTGTTGCTCGTGCTACCGCCGACCGTGACCGGCGGTGGTGGATTCGCCGGAGAAAAACTGCTCTCCACCGTCATTTCTGCCGGAGCATTTGGATCAAAACACCCAATCTCTTCAAACATGTTTCCACCTTCCATGAAACCGGTTTAAATGGCTAAAATGGTCTCAAAATCTGCAAAAACGAACATCAGGGTTTAGACAATTTTGATTTCCGGGAACTTAAAAAGCCAGTTTATATATTGAAAATTGGAACCTAATCTAGAACAAATTTGCTCTAACCATCTTAGAGATCGGCTTGTCTAAGCTAAATTCGATTAGCAGCTATTGGAAAATGAAATAATAAGAGGAGGTATATTGTTACCGTCGACGGCTGATTCCTGGAGGAATGTTTCCGACTAAAGCATCCAAATTCACGCCGAGAAGAGACTTACATTAACAACTCTCTCTCTTTTTGAAAAGAGCCTATACGTTTGCAATTTGAGAGTAACAATAAAAAGAGAGGAAGATGACAAACTATTTTTTAAAAATAAAATAAAATAAATACTTCTGATATTTATTTGTGGTCGATCGGGGGACAAAAATGTTATGTTAGAAACAAACTTACTAAATTATGTCTTCTTTGTATCATGACTATGTATCTTTTCACAGTATATAAATAATAAATCTAATTTAAAGTCGGAAAACTCAATAATTGAATACTAATTAATTTAAATATAGTAGACAAATTATTTGTGCGACTCCCCGGTTATAAAAGCTCAGTTTTTCCGGCCATCTAGTTTGAAAAAAAAAAAGTTTACATCTTTTAGATAGAAAGTTACGTTAATCGACTTGACTCCCCAAACAGAAAACTATATAACAAAATTATAAAATTACATAAATATGATTAGAGCCTTGTTATATATACAGCACGATACATACACAAATACAAAATACACACACATATATATATATGTATATATAGTTCGTACTTGCTGAGTTGCGGTGTTACGAGTGTTTTAGTTGGATCATGTAATTTCCCTTAGGGTGGTGGTCAATACAGGCCGGTTAGTTACAGTCTGTAAGTTTCATGACGTGTCTCTCTTCGCGTGGGTCCCAGAACGATTCTCTCGTCAGGGGCAGTTTCGTCTATAAATTATTTTTTTCCTGAGTAATGCGATGCCATGTTTGGTTGGACTCATACATTTATTAAAAATATGGTTCTAGTTTATATAACTTATGGCCATAATTAACTCTAAGGACAACTTCGCATAAAAAAAGCTTTATGGTAAAATCAGGAGCTTTTATTTTTTAAATATACTAAAAACTGCTTATAGGTTTCAGCGTCTGCCTCTCTATTAGGAGTCAATCAAGATTCAAACTTTTGTACATTTGTCTAGTCCGTATATACAACAGCCGATGATATTAATAAAAGTTTTATTTCTAACATAAATAATAATTTAAATTTAAATTTAAATTTAATTTCCTTGTTTGTTGAGTCATGCAATTTCTGCTTTCAAGGCAAAGGTAGCGGATTGTTTTTAAGTAGAAGAGATGGGACCCACGCATGAGGAAATTGAAACAAAATCTATTCGGGAAGGGTGTTTTCGTAAATCCGAACAAAATTGGTCTGAACCGAACCAAATAAACCATCCAGTAACCCGAAATTGAACCTGACCAAGGATAAAAATCAAACCGCCCTCTCTTTTGTGTAGGAAAAGACATATTTGATTAACACACTAACAATCAGTTTTAACAATTTTGTACATAATCCATGGTTGTAAGTTGTAACCGGTTCGGATGAATAAAATTTGAATTTACCTTGTCAAAAATATCATGGTTGTCTCTGCAGTCTGGTGATAATTATGGTTACTTTATGTGGGCCCTTTCTGGACCAAAGAAAGAAAAATTGGTGGCCAATCTTAGATTGGGCCTATTAAGAGCAAAACAATCAATGAAATAAAATATCCATCATTTGATAAGGAGAACGGGAGAAGCAGGCGTCTAACACGTTCCTTCATCCAGTGCCAGACATGACCGGGCCTGAACCCGAGTCCGATAGCTCAACTATCCGGACCCGATCAAATATCACAGCGTTTGATTCTTACATCAAACTGGAAGCAAACATATTACGATATGGAACCGACTATCAATCCATCTGAATCTCACTTTTCAATGTTGTCATGGATCATGGAAATGTGTTGACGATGACTTTGTTAGTTTAATTGATCTCTCGTGATAATTATGTTTCACGTGGATAATTCTTGAAATGATGGTCCGTTCTTTGATAACTAATACAAATAGTTATATATATCTCATGGGACACTCACATTAGTGCGATAACTTTTTAAAATCATTTTAGCAAGAAAACGTTTAATCAAAAGTTAGGACTGATATCTATATTTGCTGGTGCATTATGTATCGTAGGGGACTCACAATACAATAGTCTTATACTGAGACGAGCTTTACGTACAGCTTAACAAAAAAAAAACAAATCATTTTACAAAACCAATTAACACTTTCGATAATCTCATACCATTACTAGTTAACCCATATGCAAACTTTAATCTTTTTTTCAAAACAAGTCATCAACAATAGTTGAATTTTTTTTTGGCCTTTCTTTCCTCAGTGAAAGACGTTAGAAAATGAAAAACGAAATGTAACTATTCTTTGAAAAGAAAGTAAAGGAAATGAAGTTGGAAACTTTGGACTTTGTGTACCAAAAGTAGAAAATATTTTCCAACTTGTCCTTTTCCTACGGTCGCATTATATATTTAGATATTAACACACTTAGCCATCGCACACTTGCTTCAAACATCTGGCTTCCTTTGCTTTCGTAAACACAAAACTTTTTTTTTTTTTCCCTGTGTTAAAATAAACACAAAACCTTCTGCGTCCACTTCTTTCTCCTTAATTTTGTCTTTGGTTCTTACGAAGTTTTTTGTTTTCTTTTGAGAAGACAAAAAAAGAAGAAAAAGATGGGGAGAAGACCATGCTGTGAGAAAATGGGATTGAAGAAAGGGCCATGGAGTGCTGAAGAAGATCGAATCTTGATCAATTATATTCGTCTCAACGGCCATCCCAATTGGAGAGCTCTTCCTAAATTAGCCGGTAAGTACTCCATTTATATATAATTAATTGCTAATAGATCTTCAGTCTTCACCAAAGAGAAAAAATTTATCCTGATGAGTATTCTTGTGTGTGTGTGTGTGTGAAGTTTTTAATTGTGTGTTGTGAAAATGATTAGGGCTACTTCGGTGCGGCAAAAGTTGCAGGCTTCGTTGGATTAATTATTTGAGACCAGACATCAAACGTGGCAATTTCACTCCTCAAGAAGAAGAAACTATCATCAACTTGCATCAAATCTTAGGCAACAGGTTCCTCTCTTCTTTTTTTTTTCTTTATTATTTACAAAATTATAGATTTCTGGTCCCTATAATTATTTATGGGACCATAAACTAACAAACATGTGAGATATAAATACAGGTATTAGTTTTTACTTGAATTGACTAACTCTTAACTATGTTTAGATATCATTTCTTGAATTTGATTAATTCTTATTATAGTATAGAATTTGATTATTAGGATAAATTTTGTTTCCAAAACATATATTTTGCGACATCTTATTGTGGAAAAAGTAGCAGCACTTTGGAGATGTTACTAGAGATTACTTCACAATCTTTGTGAATGATTTTCTCCTTACATTTTGCCTTTCGTCAATATGCCACATATTATAACTGTGGGGCTAACGACTGCGAAGATTCCAACCCGTGATTGCCTTTGTCCACACACCTAAACATTAAATTATTTCAGTTTTCACTTTCGTAATTATTAATATACTATTTTATCTTCGAAACAGTTTTCACTACTAGACGAAATAGGCACTTTTATCAGTGTAAGACATGTGCAAATTTTTTTAACCATAGCTTTTACTTTGTTTTACTCGCTTTTTGTTCTCATAAATTATTCATTTTACGTGACAATTTGCTTAATATTTCTTTTTTTTTTTGGTAGATGGTCTGCTATAGCTGCAAAATTGCCGGGAAGAACAGACAACGAAATAAAAAATGTTTGGCACACTCATTTAAAGAAAAGACTCCAGCAAAATCAAGATCCAACAGATAACAGCGAAACGATTTTCGACAGTGACGAGAAAATCGTCCCCACTATAGCTGCTGCAAAGAGGCCACTGTCTCCGCAACAACAATCTAGCAGTAGTACAAACATTTCAGCGGTTACAACATCGGGAAACAATAACGACACATCCAATAACAACAACAAAGACTCTGCGACGTCATCTGAAGATGTTCTTGCGTTGATAGATGAGAGCTTTTGGTCAGAAGTCGTATCGATGGATTGCAACATTTCGGAAGATGAGAATAAAGACCAAAAGGTAGAGAATTGGGAGGGATCATCGTTAGATAGAAACGATGAGGTTTATAACTATTGGAAATTGTATAACCATGACACGGAGCATTGGTTTGATCTTCGTATAGTTGGAGAAATTTCCGACATTTCTTCTGAGTTTTGAATTTTGTTTTTGTAAGCTAGTTAAGACTTAAAATCTTCGTTTGTGACCCACTTGAATAAAAAGTCTTTTACGTTTCCTTTATTATCCGTTTTCTTGTTTGTTCAAAAGCTTTAAACATAGCCTATATGTTTGGCTTAAGGTTATAGATATCAAGAAATCGCCCAGTAATGATATCTTTACTACAGGATACTTTCTGAAGAGCTCACACCAAGCTAAACATACGACGTACTGTTTGTATTTTTCTTTTGACGTCTTTTATTATAATTGCTTTTTGTACTGTACCTAGAAATAAACATGCTAAGTGAATGACTAGATTAAAGAAAAGTCTATATTGCTGTTCTATAATGATGGTAGAGAACTAAAAGATACTTTTTTTTAAAGCATATTCTCTTTTTCGATGCACAATAAGATACATAATCCCATTTTAAATTCTTGTAGTTTTTTACTAAAAGTAATGGCTAACCAACAAAAAAGGTTCACGTATTCTAATAAGCCATTTTATTACGCTACAGATTTTTCCTTAATAGATTTGGAGTTATCAAGACATTATGTAATGTATGTTTGTGTTAATATGCGAAGCGCGCAATTGCACAAAACGTTAATATGCTTACCTTTATTAGGGTTTTTAAAAAATCATCATTACCCAAGAAGCACCATCATTATACAGATGATCCAGCGATGACTCCATTAAAACAACTATGTCACAATCAACTAAATTAAGCCATCTGATAATGCTTTAAGAAAAACATAAAACTAATGATCGATACGTAGTCTTAAGAGTTTGTGCTAATGTGTCGTTGTGCCATATTTAAATCCGGATATTACATACCAAAAAAAAAATACGAATGAGAAGCAGACAATGATAAAAACGTGGTGACAACCAGAAAGTGATGATGATAATTTTTTTATATGAGCAGACTCCAATATCATTTTTGATAACTTTCCGAACCAAAGAAAGGGTAGTGGATACTAGATAATCTTACTCTAAATACTCAACTCAAGACTCTTTCAGTAAATTTGATTGCAGTCTCAAATCTCTAAAATTTAATATATTATGACTCTGGTCTGATTATCCATATATCCATACAAGAATGGCCGTTTGTTTGATCCATGTTTTCTCCAAGCTTCATTTCTTCCAAGTCAAAGTTGAACCTGTCTGCTAACAAATTTATATGTGTTTGATACCTTAAAAAATCGAAAAAACAAAATCCTAGCAAATAAAAACATCACATACAGTATTTTCAGACAAAAAAAAACACACACATCAGAGACACTGAAAATAACTCATTAACATTGTCATTTATTGGATATCTTTCACCGTCAAATCAGCTGCTAGTACGACCAAGCAAATCCACGAGTTCGGCTTTTTTCATCTTCGAAAACCCTTTTAGTCCCCTGGATTTTGCTATGCCTCTCAGTTCCATCACCTTCAATGAACTCAAGTCTTCGTCTTTCACAACTTCCTCCTCAGCTTCATCAACCTCTTCATCAGTATCATCCAGAGACTCATCATCATCTGATAGCCCATCTAAAGTAACATCATCCTCCTCCTCCTCCTCTTGGTAAAATGATGATGACTCTGACTTCAGCTCTGACTCTGGTTCAAGAATAGCTGTCACATGCCCAGGTTCTGACTCATATTCAGGTTCATCTTCGTACTCAGGCTCAAGCTCAGGCTCAGCCTCAGGTTCGTCTTCAGGCTCATCATGCGACTCTGCTCTATCCTTCTTATGGGTCCAGGTCACGCTGTAACTCGATGCCTCATCAAAAGTCGCCTCACTAGAATAAGTTGGAGGCGATTTAGATCTTGGTACTGGCGACTTTCTTCTGAAGCTTGATGTTGGCCTTGTAAAGGATGATGCACTGTGATCTCTGTTTCGTGAATCGGCAAGATTTCCGCTGCGATCTTGCCTCTCCACAGGATCTCCTGGTCGCGGGTAAGAATTGTCTCCCTGGCTGCTAAAACTGTTAACTTTCTTGCTTTGCTCTCCCGAGTGCTTCCTTAGTAGCTTAAGAAGGGAGTCAACAGTTTCACTTTCTTTCCCCTGTCCTTTAGAAGCCTCTTCTATCTTTTTGTCTTCTCTCTTCGCCGCTGCTCGAGCTCGGAGCTGAGCCTGAACCTTTCTGAAAAGCTCCACTATCTCTTTTTCTCTTGGCCCAGGGGATGAAGTAGCTTGGAACTTGGGGGAGTTAGAGAGAGAGTGTAAAGACCCGTTTCTAGAAGATAACGCTTCAGAGTTCTCGACATCAAAATCGTCTCTCTCTTCGCTTTGCCTGTTCCTTCCCCGGAAACCATGCTTATTAAGTCTTGAGAAATCAGGATTTCTCCTATAGCCACCAGAACTCGCTCGACACACAAAAGAACTACTATTGGGGGCACAACATTTCAAGCGTCCATTCGCCAAGCGTAGTTTCTGATCCGAACAGGAAGAGCATGGTAGTATAGCTAGTGGTCTTCTCGAAACAGCAGAGTTAGAGAAGCACCTACTGTCTGTTAGTGTGCAACCTGCGTAACCAAGCAAATACAGCATGGAGTAAGCAGATTACTAGATGCAAAACTCACACTCAACATTTGGTGCAGAAAACCATAAAATTTAGATTCAGAATGCATAGATAGTAACCACACTTCAATTAAACTGCATAACACAGAAAACTGTGCAGAAGAACAAATATTCTCCAACTTTTGTTGTATAATCTTAATACAATCTTCGAATACGACACGTAAACAATCGACACAAATAAGTCGGAAGTGTATAACACTAAAACTAAAAGATAAGCATTTCATCGAACAGTTGGTGGACAACAAAACAAAAAGTCATTTCTCGTTTCACACGTGCCGTTTCCAGTCACCGTAATTCACTATAGTGAAAGAAAAGCAATACAGTGGGCGCTCAGAGAAAAAACACAGACAAATTTTCCCGGTAAACAAATAGAGACAAAAACATGGATGGATACCTTAACAATTACCAACGATATGTAAGAGAAAGAGAGGATAGTATAAAGTACCAGGGACGTAATCAGAAGTCGAATGGAAAGTTCCCGACATCGCCATGAACAGCTTCGGAGATAGGGGAGAGATTAAGCTTCTTCGTCTTGCATTGCCTCTTCTTCGACACTCGTCGTCTTCTCTGGCTCGTCTTGGTAACACAAAAGGAGACTTGAGATTGAGCTTATTCCAATTAGATTGCTTCTATTCCTAAATGGGCTTTGTCATAGTTCAGTTATACAAATGGGCTTTGTAAGTCAGGGGAAAAGCCGTTTTGAGCACTTCCGAGACCAACCGAACCGTAAATTAATTCGGTTTAATGTCGGTCACGTTTTTCCAAACCCTAGACCTTATCAATTAAACTGAATGCCACGCGCCTAGTTACTAGTGGCAGTTTCAGCTACGATTCCGTGAGTGACACAAAGCAAATAAATTTAGTTAACCAAATCAAAATCAGATCCAAAATCAGATTATGTTTTACGGTACAGTCTTGTTCGGTTCGGTTTAAAATCATGGTTTGGATTCTCTAGAGAAATGGTTGTTTATAGAAAGGAAGCAGCAAATGAACCATTTCCTCAACACTCAACAGGATACGTACGAAGCTTAGAGAAGCAACGGCCAACATTTGGCACAAACATCCCCAATGACATCTTCTAAATTGGAGTTTAGAACGGAAACAAAGGGATACAAAGAGTCGGTGAAATGGTGCAACAAGGTTCCTTACTACTCGGCCTTGTGGTCTTTAGCCATTTCATCCACGTCAAGTTCTACCGCCAGGATTGGAGAATCCTCTTCCATGGCGAATTCACTGATAAAGAGCAAATGTTTCCAGGATTTTATTACTTTGTTCATAAGTAAGAGAAAAAACAATAAAAAGATGTACTAAGAAGAAAACGTTTGAGCTAATAGGAGAGACGATATCCTAGTCTTACCTGTTACTTACTGGGCCATGATCCACGGCTGTCCTCAGACAATATATAGCTCTTCCTACTATGTCCGTCATTGATACCGGACCAAATGTTCGACTATCGTATGCTTCCTATTATAATAACACATCAGGCGATCAAATCAGACAACTAATATACCATATCATATAGTGATTCATTTTTTTTTACTTATGTAACTAATAGCGACCTTACTAGAGCGCAACAATGACGGGTTAGAAAAAAAACTGTACCTTAGATTTCATCTCTTGGTTCTCAGCAACGACCCAGCACTGATCCTTTTCGAGAACAAAAGGCTCGTCTTTCTCATCACTTGATACCATTTCGGCTCCTTCTATCGCTGCTAATCTTCTGACTAGATACTTACTGGTTTCATTCGGGTCCTTCAAGACAACAGCATCTCCAATAGAAACATACCTAGACAAAACAACAAAATACAGATGGACAAGACTGAGAAACCAGGGTATTCAACACATGTTCAGATACAAGACACCAATACTGATCATGGCATAAACCATGTCTAGATACCCGAAGACCAAGACCATAGGTCTCAACGAGCATCAACTAGTTAATGAGGGGAAGGGGGCGCGCAGTTTTAGAGAAGGGAGGACCGAACAATATGACAGGGCAACAGAAACTGAAACACAGAATTTACATTTTGAATGCGCTCATCGGAGTTAAATTTTAAATAGTTACTTACTATGCCAACCAAATCAATTCCGTCCAATTCAATCCGCATCAAAGTAAGTCCACTATACACTTTTTTTGTAAGCAAGCAAAACAACAAAAACTCTTACACTTTTCGGTTTACTACATAAGTGGAACTAAAGGACGAAGGGTAAACGCAAAGAAAATACCTGGTATCAACAACTGGTAGCTTACGGACAAGTAACGTGTTGTCATGTGTTCCCATGGTTGGAGCCATCTCTGGTCCCTTACCCGTGTGTAAGTAGGTTATCCTTCCATACAATAGATTCTTCACGACTACACCAATGAGTTCCCGTTCACTGAGTTTCTCTCTAGTATATTTCTGAGAAATAGAAAAACTCAAGGATGGTAGGTAAAACATATTCTACATGCACACTTTTGAACAGCTCAATGAGCTGAAAAGAAAAATGGATTCAGAAGAAAAGAACAAGCATCTGCGGCAAAAAGAAAATGACCAGGACCAGAACAATCATGACGGCTTTTATCGTGTGACAGGATTTAAACTGATCGCCTGAATGAATGATTTTGAAATCATATCCACAAAGTTACTTACATACACAATACAATCACAAATACAATAGCTAAGACTATATGAACTTGTTTTAAATGATTCACGAATCAGAACTACTGATCCCTTAGCATCAAGTCCTATCCTATTTCTTGTTTTTAACATCAAAGTGTGCCCTTTTATTACCAACTACGAACATATTGAGTCCGAATGCAAAATGTCTTTAGCAATGGCGCTCTATAGAGGCACTTTCCCCAAGCTACGGATAGAAGCAAATCATAATTGGATGGGGAAGATAAATCAGAAATCTCAGCCAATTTAATCATTTCTAAAACCAATTGCATAGATCATAAAGAGAGAACCAGAAGAGTAAAACCCATAAATCCTGTAGCTAGAGATAAAGCAAGTCAGAGAGAGAGAGGGAGAGAATTATAGTAACCTTGAGGCTGAGAGTGAGGGAGTACTCCAGCTTGTGAGCCATGTATCGGACCCAATTGGAGACATAAGCCATCTTTGAATCCCTAAAGAGAGGTTCGTTTTCGAGAAGCTCAGAAAAGGAACTCTTCGCCGCGTCGGTTTGCTCAGCCTCGTCGCCGCCGTTGTCGAACTGTTGGTCTTTATGGGTTCGTTCATAAGAATCTCGTGAATTCCAAATTGCCAAATTAGCCCCTCGGAACTATTTTCTAGTTTCGATACTCATCCTGTATTATAAATTTTGGACAGATTAGCCCCCACGAGGAGCTCCTGACCAAAAAAACAGGCTTTGCTGAGTTCAAAGTATTGGACTTTCTCAACATGCCACGTGTTCAACAATCCTTCTTCTCGTGTCTCCCTTTCTCTGCTGAACATATTGGTCCGACAGATTTGCAGATTCAAAGACAACTACTAAACAAGACAAAATTTTCGAGAAGATTCTGATCGTCTGAAAGGAACTGCATCTCAGGTTCTCTCTTCATTTTCGTTTTCATGTTATCCTCTGATTTAAAGGATTAGCACATTTGATAGATCCGACTTATTGTAATTTCATCTTCTCTGATCTGTGTTATTTATAATTCTAAAAGATTTGGTTGATTCATTTCCATTCGAATTTTGCGATTGTGTACTGTTTAACATTATAGACCGGTGGTAACTTTAAATTGAATCGGAATCGATTTTAGGGTATTGTTTAGGGATTCGTAAATTTAGGTAAAGTTTGTGTTTTGAAAGCAGGTGGAATCACAAGAAAAATGGACAAACTGAAGATAGCTGAATGGGGAGAGAAGCTGAAGACCGGAGGAGCTCAAATGAGCCGGATGGTGAGCGGGAAAGTGAAAGAGATGCTTCAAGCTCCGACCTTGGAATCGAAAATGGTGGACGAAGCTACTCTAGAGACGTTGGAGGAGCCCAACTGGGGAATGAACATGAGGATTTGCGCTCAGATCAACAACGAGGAGTTTGACGGCACCGAGATTGTTAGAGCCATCAAGAGGAAGATCTCTGGTAAGAGCCCCGTGAGCCAAAGGCTGAGCCTTGAGCTTCTGGAGGCTTGCGCTATGAACTGCGAGAGGATCTTCTCTGAAGTTGCTTCTGAGAAAGTTCTTGATGAGATGGTTTGGTTGATCAAGAACGGAGAAGCTGATTCCGAGAACAGAAGCCGAGCTTTTCAGCTTCTTAGAGCTTGGGGACAATCCCAAGAGCTTGCTTACCTTCCTGTATTCCAGCAGACTTATATGGTAAATCTCTCTGGATATGATTTGCTTATTGCAAGGACGTTTCCTTTATTTGTTAAATATGTGTAACCTTCGGCTTTTCCTTTTCTCTAGAGCTTAGAAGGAGAAAGCGGTTTAAACGCTCGTGGTGAGGATAATCCATTGTCGGGACAAAGTTCTCTGGAGTCTCTTATGCAACGTCCTGTTCCAGTTCCTCCACCTGGTAGCTATCCGGTTCCTAATCAAGAACAGGCTCGTGGAGACGATGATGGTCTTGACTATAACTTTGGAAACTTATCTATCAAGGATAAGAAAGAACAGATTGAGATTACACGGAACAGCCTTGAATTGCTCTCTAGCTTGTTGAACACCGAAGGAGAGCAGAACCACACAGAGGTAATTAATATCATTGCGTGATTTGCTCATTAAGGTTTCCAAGAAGCATAACTCTTTGCAGCTTCGTGTGATTTTGTGTACAGGATGATCTAACGGTAAGCCTGATGGAGAAGTGCAAGCAATCACAGCCGTTAATTCAAATGATCATAGAGAGCACAACAGACGACGAGGGAGTTCTTTTTGAGGCGCTGCATCTGAACGATGAACTCCAACGAGTTTTATCTATTTACAAGAAGCCTGATGAAGCAGAGAAGAAAGCATCCATGGTGGTGGAACAAGAATCATCGGGAAGCAAAGATGCTGGTCCGAAGCCAACAGAGGAAGAACAACCTGTGAAGAAAAAGGAAGATGATGATGATGGCACAATACATTCACAAGCATCAGGATCCTCCAACAAAAATGTCGTAGAAGATAAGCAGGTGAAAATAGAGCTCGGGTTATCGAGTGATGAAGATGAGAAATGACCAAGTCTATGTTTGTCTTCTTACGACATGGATATCAGAATGCTGGGGAAGATCTGCCCTTTTGATGTTTGCTTCTGCATTGTCCTTCGACTATATATTTGTAGAACTTTCGTTTCTGAATTTGTCTCTTTTTTTTTTGACATTTTAAAACCGTAGGTGAATCTTCACCCGACACCGTATGGACCGTTTTCATATACGTGGTGTATTTATACGAGGTGTTTTTGGTTAAGCGTTTTTGCTTATGGACGCGTTTTGAGTACTAATCGTAATGAGGATATGCATTAGAGAAAATAAAATAAAACTTAACAATCCTGTAATTTTGTTCGTAGGTCTCCCAAACAAATTTTTAATTGAATTTAAGAAAAACAGAATTTTGTTTTTGTTGGGTTGTAAAATGCAGATTTTAATTGAAATATATATTCTCTAGTTTGAATTGGAAAACTTTCAATGTTTCTTGCCGGTGAAAAAAAAATGGAAAACTTTCAATGCTTTTTAAAAGAAAAAAGCGCCTGCTAAAACTCTTGTTGGTCTAGAGGCTTCTAAATCAAAACCTAACTCATAAAATCTCTCATTCCTTCAACGACGGCTCCATTCACCACCACAGTTCTCATCGTCTCGGGCGAACCCTTTCGCCGAGCAACCTTCGTCTTCTTCCTCTCACTGTCGACTGTTTTAGGCACCGCCTCTCTCTCCGCCCCTCGCTCTCTCCCAACCGGTTAGTCTTATCCCTCCTTACTTTGTCTCCAGTTCAGCTTAGCTTGAGGTTTCTGGTTGATTATAGCCTAGGGTTTTTGCGATTTTCTCAAGATCGGGTTGATTTTAGCCTAGGGTTTTGCTCTAATCCAAGCTAGCTCAACTTTCTAGTTGATTCTAGCCTAGGGTTTCACCTCCTTCGGTTCTCTTTATCATGTTTGTGTTTGCCATTACTCATTTATCACCGACTTTGTGCATAACTTTGTCTTCGTGATTTGATCTTCAGACTGTTGTGTTGTTGATCTCTCTGGTATTCCACTGGGTTTCATGTTTGCTGCTGCATTTAGTCCCTAGAATGTTTCCAGTCCTAGAATGGGTTTTCTTTTCTTATCAGGTGTTGAATGGTTGCTATAGTACAGGGTGCATAGTCATCACGTTGCAGCTTTAGATAGATTTAGTTTCTATCTATCGAAACCCTTATGTTGTGATGATGCTATAATTGAATTTGAGGTTATATTTCCGGTACTGTTATTCTGATTGCTTATGGGATTCTTTTTGACAGGTTTACATAAAGATGGATGATAGCTTGTATGATGAGTTTGGTAACTATATTGGACCTGAGATTGAGTCTGACAGAGAAAGTGATGATGAAATAGATGATGAGGAGCTCCAAGATAAGCAGCCTGAAATGGATGGATCTGATGGCGAGAATGGGCATGGGGGCTCAAATGGCTGGATTACAACTATCAACGACGTGGAGATGGAGAACCAGATTGTTCTCCCTGAGGATAAGAAGTATTATCCCACTGCAGAGGAGGTGTATGGGGAAGACGTGGAGACGCTGGTCATGGATGAAGACGAGCAACCTCTGGAGCAGCCCATAATAAAACCTGTGAGAGATGTCAGATTTGAGGTGGGAGTGAAGGATTCTTCAACGTACGTGTCTACACAGTTTCTTATCGGCCTCATGTCTAATCCAGCACTTATGAGGAATGTGGCTCTCGTGGGTCATCTACAACATGGGAAAACAGTTTTCATGGACATGCTGGTAGAGCAGACTCACCACATGTCTACGTTCAATGCCAAAAACGAGAAGCACCTGAAGTACACAGACACGAGAGTTGATGAGCAGGAGAGAAACATTTCAATAAAGTCTGTTCCTATGTCGCTTGTTCTTGAGGACAGCAGAACCAAATCTTACCTCTGCAATGTGATAGATACTCCTGGACATGTCAACTTCTCTGATGAGATGACTGCCTCTTTGAGGCTTTCTGATGGCGCGGTTCTAATTGTTGACGCTGCTGAAGGAGTGATGGTATGTGTTTGCTTCTTTCTAAGCCTGAAGTTTTTTTTTTGAAGTTTGCTATCTGTACTAACAGTATTGAACTTTTTCAGGTAAACACAGAGAGGGCTATAAGACATGCAATCCAGGACCATCTCCCTATTGTTGTTGTGATCAATAAGGTACATTTCCTGCTTCAGTGTGTAAATTGAGATACATTGTGTGAGATATATGTTTCTATAAGTTCTACATTTCTTGCTTCAGTGTGTAAATTGAGACCTTTGTAATATGTCAATTTTGCTTCCCCAACAGGTTGACAGACTCATAACCGAGCTCAAACTACCTCCAAGGGATGCTTACTACAAGCTGAGGCATACAATTGAAGTCATTAATAACCACATATCTGCTGCTTCAACAACTGCTGGAAACTTGCCCCTGATAGACCCTGCAGCTGGAAATGTTTGCTTTGCCAGTGGTACTGCCGGATGGTCCTTCACTCTGCAATCTTTTGCGAAACTGTATTCTAAGCTTCATGGGGTGGAAATGGACGTGGATAAGTTTGCATCTCGACTTTGGGGAGATATGTACTATCACCCTGATATTAGAGTATTCAAGAGAAATCCTCCAGTAGGTGGTGGAGAAAGATCATTTGTGCAGTTTATCCTGGAGCCTCTATACAAGATATATAGCCAAGTGATTGGTGAACATAAGAAGAGTGTAGAGACAACCCTTGCAGAATTAGGAGTGACTCTGAGTAATAGTGCATATAAGCTGAACGTCAGACCTTTACTTAGGTTAGCCTGTAGCTCAGTTTTTGGTTCTTCATCAGGTTTCACTGATATGTTGGTAAAGCACATTCCTTCCCCCAAAGAGGCTGCAGCTAGGAAAGTGGACCACGCATACACTGGACCCAAAGATTCTCCCATTTATGAATCAATGGTAGACTGCGATCCGTCTGGGCCTCTCATGGTTAATGTGACAAAGCTGTACCCCAAATCAGATACCAGTGTATTTGATGTTTTCGGAAGAGTTTATAGCGGTAGGCTTCAAACAGGGCAAAGCATACGCGTACTGGGGGAAGGCTATTCACCTGAGGATGAGGAAGACATGACTATAAAAGAAGTGACCAAGCTATGGATATATCAAGCTAGGTATAGAATACCTGTAAGCAGTGCCCCTCCCGGTTCGTGGGTTCTCATTGAAGGTGTTGATGCGTCCATCATGAAAACTGCAACTCTGTGCAATGCAAATTATGACGAAGATGTCTACATATTCCGGCCGCTCCAATTTAATACCCTCTCAGTTGTCAAGACTGCTACTGAGCCTTTGAATCCCAGTGAGCTGCCCAAAATGGTGGAAGGGCTTAGGAAGATTAGCAAAAGCTATCCCCTTGCTATTACCAAAGTTGAGGAGTCTGGGGAACATACTATTCTGGGCACTGGTGAGTTGTACTTGGATTCTATCATGAAGGACCTCAGGGAGCTCTATTCAGAGGTCGAAGTAAAGGTAACCTAATTGTATCTCTAATTTGAATCTATGACTGTGATCTGCTCTACAAGAAATCGCTGATTTGAATGTTTGATCTTTAAATCCATTCACTTTCTTAAATTTGCAGGTCGCAGATCCAGTGGTCTCCTTCTGTGAGACAGTGGTGGAATCTTCATCGATGAAGTGTTTTGCTGAGACACCTAACAAAAAGAATAAAATAACTATGGTAAGTGATCTGCCTTTTTTCTCTCTCTTATCCCTTATATATATATGGTACTGAAATGTTTGGTATGGTGCTTAAGCATACTTTGTGACTAATCTGATATTTTTTTCATGCCAAAGATCGCAGAGCCATTGGATAGAGGACTTGCAGAGGACATTGAGAATGGTGTCGTAAGCATTGACTGGAACAGAAAACAACTCGGCGACTTCTTCAAGACGAAATATGACTGGGATTTACTTGCAGCGCGTTCCATTTGGGCTTTTGGCCCTGACAAACAGGTAAAACGCATTATTTGTTTTCTTAAAAGCCTGCAATCCGAGCGTTCTCTTTATCTTTATGATTACTTTGTGGTATGTCTGGCTCTAGCAAGTATATCGTGTGTTGATTGTTGATTTGTAACTTTGCAGGGGCCAAATATATTACTGGATGACACTCTCCCAACTGAGGTTGACAAGAACTTGATGATCGCAGTGAAAGACTCCATTGTTCAAGGGTAATCATCAGTCTTGTATTACACTTTCCTTTGGCTCCACTTAGTCGGCTGTGGCTGAATAGCTTTGTTTTAATGTTTTTGCAGGTTCCAGTGGGGTGCCCGAGAAGGACCCCTGTGTGATGAGCCCATCAGAAATGTAAAGTTCAAGATTGTTGATGCACGGATAGCACCAGAGCCGTTGCATAGAGGTTCCGGTCAGATGATTCCAACAGCACGTCGTGTTGCTTACTCAGCCTTCCTTATGGCAACTCCAAGGCTAATGGAACCTGTCTACTATGTGGAGGTACGCTATCCCTTTCTAGACTCTTTACCGTACTTTTACTCTATACGTTTTTCCTCCTATAAACGATAGAGTTATGGTTGTGTTTCAGATACAAACACCAATCGACTGTGTAACTGCCATCTACACAGTTCTCTCTCGTAGACGTGGACATGTAACATCGGATGTTCCTCAGCCAGGCACTCCGGCTTATATCGTGAAGGTTGGTTTCTTTTTAATATGTTTTAACAAGTTTTCCATCATCTAACTGAGGATGATTTATTGATAGATTCTCTGTTTATGATGATGATTTCAGGCTTTTCTGCCAGTGATAGAATCATTTGGGTTCGAGACAGACCTTAGATACCACACACAGGGACAAGCCTTTTGCGTATCCGTGTTTGACCACTGGGCCATAGTGCCAGGAGACCCTCTCGACAAAGCCATCCTATTGCGCCCACTTGAGCCCGCCCCAATTCAGCATCTAGCTCGTGAATTCATGGTCAAGACCCGCCGTAGAAAGGTATTATTACTCTGCAAGATTAAAGTGTATTATTTGCTTCATCGGGTTTGATCTATATTGTGTTGGTTTTGTAGGGAATGAGTGAGGACGTAAGCGGGAACAAGTTCTTCGATGAAGCCATGATGGTGGAGCTTGCGCAGCAGACTGGTGATCTGCACTTGCAAATGATGTGATCGTCTCTTCTTATCTTAAAACCGTGAGCTTATCAGGACCTGTAGTTAACTTCGACTTTCGATCTTTTGTATGATCTGTTAAATTTACGTTTAAAGTTTAGAGGTTTTAATGGACAAAATTGTCAGACACACCTCTCAGTACTTGTTGGGATTTTGAAGATGAAGCTCTGACTAATAAGCAATGAAAGGTGGATCTCTCGACAGCAATTTATACATACGCCTCCTTTTATTTTTTCATGTAGTTTACAATCTGTCATGAGTAATTAGTTTAGTACTGCGTGTGATTAAAAGGAAAAGGAAATTAAAAGTTACTGACTTCGTTTATCATATTTTCTACATACAGAGATCGAGTCTTTGTATAGCATTGTGTTCGTTTCTCAAACTTTCGGGAAACATAACGATGTACTTGAAAATCCTGTGGGATTTGTATCATTTTATTTTCTTTCTGCAAGTGGTATTTGTATCATATTTTCTTTTTATTGTACAAAATACAAGTTTGATTAAAAGAAGATAATGTTTATAAATAATTTTTAGTTAAGTATCTAGAATATTTAAAACACTGAAATAATATTAAATTTCCAATAGAAAATAAATATTAATATGATGATAGCTTTTAATAATGTATTTTTTTTTGTTGATTTGTTTTAGGCCCAACCCTAAAAAAGCTTCGGGTCGGGTAAACGAGCAAAATCAAACGCTGGTTGTTGTTCTTCCTCTCTCTGCGGCGCCTTCTCTCTCCCAAACTCGAAGGTAAGCTTCCTTCAAGATCAATATTAATTTCGCAGACCTTCCCCTGGTTTCGTTTCTCGACGTATTCTTTCTCCTTTTTTTCAAGGTTTGTGTCGATCTCAAAGCACAGGGATTTGAATGACCTAGTTGTCTCCCGTCTCATCAAAAAACCTGACTCAAATTACTCTGTTGATTCAGTCGGCATCTACTTCTTGCGTCGAATTGATCTGTGGCGCAGAAACCCTAATTTCGTGGGCCTTGTGCAGTCTCAAAGTTTGCACACTCTCTGAATCGAACGAAGGTTCCGTCCGGAAATTAGGGTTTCTCTGGCGTTCATGGTGGATTTTATATGTCCCGTCTAATTTGGGGGATTTCTGTCAGTTTTAAGAGGGAGAAGTGAAGAACGGCATCAATCGAGAACAAGCCAAGCGTGAAATTAGGGTTTTTGAAGTACATGTATGGCTTCGGAGCCTGTTAACGGAGAGGGAATCGATGGAGCCAGAAAGAAGCCAAGCATTAAAGTTTATACGAGGAAAGGCAAAGGTCAGAGGAAACATACACCATTCGTTGCCATCGCGGGTATTGGTGCCACCGACGACCGCGAGAAGCCAGAGGGGAAATCAGAAAGCGAGAAAGAAGAGAATCATTTGAATCCCCCTGAAAGTCTAGCTCGAGAGCCTGCGGATCCTATCGCTGTGGTGGAGAAATCTGTCGAAGAGGCTACCCTCGAGTCCAATTCCCAGGAAGACGTTGGGGCTAGTGTAGCCAAAAACTCACCCGAAGCACCTTCTGAAAACCTCCCTGGTGATGATTCTGACAAAGTGATTGACAAGCCTCTTGTTGAAGCATTTCCTCAAGCTGAATCTCATGATGATATCAATTCGGCAGCTCTGGATAAGAACGTTATCCAACCTCTCCCAGGTCCTTTGGGTCAGGATGATGTGAACACTATTGTAGGCGAGAAGTCTGTAGAAGTGCCCTCTGAAAGCCACACAACTCAAGATGTTGTCAATACAGTTGTTGTTGATGAGAACTCTATCAAGGAACCTCCTAAAAGCCTTGCCCAAGATGATGTTACTACCGTGGTTGTTGACAAGAACCCTATTGAAGCGCCTTCTCAAACCTTGTCCGTGGAAGATGTCAATACTGTTGTTGTTGACAAGAATCCCATTGAAGTGTCTTCTGAGGAGTATGTCCACGTGGTAGACGCAGACAACATGATAAAAGAAGCTCATCCTGAAAACCTTGTGGAAAGAGATGCCTCTAATGCCCAACAGCCAGAAGGACCTACCTCTGATTCTGCTCAGGACATACATGCTACTGCTTCAGAAAGCACGCCTATGGAGGAGGACGTAGATGGACGTATAAGGATACGTGTAGCCTCCAAATCGAAGCAACAGAAAGAGGAGATCAGGAAGAAGCTTGAAGATCAGCTTAACGTGGTCAGAGGTCTGGTAAAGAAGATTGAGGACAAAGAGGGAGAGATTGGTGCATATAACGACCCTCGAGTTTTGGTCAACACCGGTCTTAATAACGGAGGAGGAAGGATTCTATCAGGGTTCGCCTCAGCTGGGCTTCCTCGTGAGGTCACCAGAGCACCAAGGCCTCTTAATCAGCTAAGTATATCAGTGTTGGAGAATACTCAGGGAGTCAATGAGCATGTGGAAAAAGAGAAACGAACACCCAAGGCAAATCAGTTTTATAGAACTTCGGAGTTTTTACTTGGTGACAAGTTGCCACCCGCAGAGAGTAACAAGAAATCAAAATCAAGTGCAAAGAAGCATGGAGGGGAGGTTGGGCATGGTTTTGGTGCTGGCTCTAAAGTTTTCAAGAATTGCAGTGCTCTACTTGAAAGGCTGATGAAGCATAAGCATGGTTGGGTGTTCAATGCTCCTGTAGATGTGAAGGGTCTAGGTTTGCATGATTACTTTACCATTATCGAGCACCCTATGGATTTGGGAACTGTCAAGGCTGCGTTGACAAAGAATCTGTACAAGTCACCAAGAGAATTTGCAGAGGATGTTAGACTTACTTTCCACAACGCCATGACTTACAACCCAGCAGGACAAGATGTCCATGTCATGGCGGAAGTGCTATTACAGATGTTTGAGGAGAGATGGGCTGTCATAGAGGCAGATTATAATCGCGAAATGAGATTTGTCACTGGTTATGAGATGAATCTTCCAACTCATACAATGAGGTCTAGGCTTGGTCCTACAATGCCACCACCGCCTATTAATGTGAGGAATACAATGGATAGAGCAGACTGGAGTAGTCGCCCTGCTGACTTGCAGCATCCAAAACCAACTACAACGCCTGGCAGAACACCAACCAGTACAACACCTTCTGGAAGGACACCTGCTCTGAAGAAGCCGAAGGCAAATGAACCAAATAAAAGAGATATGACGTATGAGGAGAAGCAGAAGCTTAGTGGCCACTTGCAGAATTTGCCTCCAGATAAACTAGATGCAATTGTACAAATTGTTAACAAGAGGAACACTGCTGTGAAGCTACGGGATGAAGAAATTGAAGTCGATATTGATAGTGTTGATCCAGAGACCCTGTGGGAGTTGGACAGATTTGTAACCAACTACAAAAAGGGATTGAGCAAGAAAAAGAGAAAGGCTGAGCTAGCTATCCAAGCCAGAGCAGAAGCCGAGAGGAATAGCCAACAACAGATGGTACTTGCACCTCTCCTGAGAATTCCAATCCTTTTTTCTTTTCCCAATTTACCTTAATTTTTATGCTCATCTTCCTTTTTTTTTTTTTTGTTGCAGCCTCCAGCACCAGTGGCACGTGAGTTTTCTAGGGAGGGTGGAAACACAGGTAATTTTGCAGGGATATCTCGTGATTACCATTTCACTCTGCTTGGTGTGAACTACTTAGTGATAATAATTGTATCTGCTTTTTATTTATCAGCTAAAAAAACACTCCCTACACCATTGCCTTCTCAAGTGGAGAAGCAAAACCAGGAGACAAGCAGATCGAGTAGTTCAAGCAGCTCTTCCAGTGGTTCCAGCTCTTCTAGTGGTACATGCTCCTCTTTGAGTTATCCAACTAATATAATGCCTTGGTGCTGCTATTGGTTTTTGGTTCTAAACGCGTCTGTGTTTGGTCTGCAGATTCGGACAGCGATAGCTCTTCGTCATCTGGATCAGATCAGACCTAGAGACTACTGTACAAGAGGATTGGCGTTGACAAATATGTAAGGTAATCTATCACTTTCATATATCGTTAATCTGTTGGTAAGAAGGTTTTGTTGACTGTTTGCTAAATAGCACATGTGTTAGTGAAATCCTTTTGATGACATCATCACTGTCTCTGTTTTGTATGTGATTGGTCTTTTGTTCACATCTGGTCCATATTCCTAGTAGTCTGTTTCTAATTATGGATGGGCTAACATTTATGCGCTAGGGTTTCTGATTATATAACCAAAGTTTGATGCTTTATGGTGAAACAGGGCGTTTAAAAGATGAAGGGTAGAGTTAGAAGAGCATTTGGGAGGTTAAGGATGATGTGACGTACAGGCGTGAGGCAGAAATATTACAGAGTGGTTTTATGGGAAATGGAAGAAAGATTGTATTATATTGATCACTGTTAGAGAGTAAAAAAGGCAAAAAATCTATTCTTATTTTTTTGTTTCTTTTTGACTTGGTAGGAATTCTCTGTCTGTCTACTTTTAGATGTAACCGTAGGGTTGGCTTGCTCTGCCTCGGCAACTTTTGTATATCTCTCTGCCTCTCCCTCTCCCTCTCTTCCTCTGGTCTTTAGCGGTTTAGTTGGTTGACTGTTTCAGGTTTTAGTTAGGGCTTTTGAATCAGTGAAAGATTCTGGATTCTTGATGACTTGTATTGTAAGCTTGTGAGTTTGTGACACCCTTGTAGCTTTGATTTCTCCTCGCTTCCAAAATTGCCTTCTTCGTCTTTCTGATTCGATCTACCTTAAGAATTGAGCACTGGATTGATAAGGTAAAATTACAGAAGGAACGAAAAAAAAAAAACAATCTTGTGGACTTTTCGATGACGTTGCCAATAATTATAATATCTGTTTGTAATTTTGAAAGATTACATCACCAAAATATGGTCGATTCAAACTCTAAACTAAAGGTCAGGTTTGTTTTGGCGAAAATCTATAGTTTTGGGGTTTCGTTGCAATATTCTCACGATTAAGAGTGGGCGTGGGTGTGGTGAAGCATCGAGCAAGAATGGTCAGAATGTTGTTGATCCATCTCCGTCCCTTTCCAACCAATTCTTTGTCACCTCGTGCTCTCTCTTCTTCTTCTTCTTCTTCTTCTTCTTCTTCAACGACTCAACACAAGCTTTGGTCTGGTCTTGAGGATTGGAGAAAGAGTCCTGTCAATGACCTCCGTGTATGGGGACCTACGGGTCCTCTCCTCCCTACTTCTTCTTCTTCTGATTCCTGCTCTTACGGTCTGGTCTCGGCGGCGTCTTCTCTCGCCGATCTCGGAGCTCTCGTTCTCTCAACCTCCGACCCTCTCTCCAAATCACATATCTCCCATTTAGCTTTCTCCCGCTGGCGCCGTGAGAACCTCCCTGTTGGCTCTGTCTCTCATCTCCCTTCTTCTCCCGCTCGCCCTCCCAAACCCCTCCTCGTAATATATGTTCCTCAATGTCCCTCCTTTCTCCCTCTCAATTCTGATTTAAGGGATTGAGTGTGTCAACCAAAACGTTGTTGTTGTTGTTCATGATGTATGCAGGTTCCCACCAACGAAGTTCCAAGTCCGAAAGACTCAAAGCTCCCTCTCAATGCTCATATGCTTCATAACCTTGCCCACGTCGAGCTGAATGCAATTGATTTAGCTTGGGACACTGTCGCTCGCTTCTCCCCTTTCTCCGACCTTCTGGGTCACAAGTTCTTCGATGACTTTGCTCATGTTGCTGATGATGAGAGTCGCCATTTCTTGTGGTGTTCCCAGAGACTCGCTGAGCTTGGTTTCAAGTCAGTCTGACTATAAAGTTTCAAACTTTGATTGCTATTCTTTCAAAACAACCCATTAATAAGTCTTATCATTGTCTCCTTCTTTAAGGTATGGAGATATACCGGCTAATAATCTGCTGATGAAGGAATGCGAGAAATCATCCAACAATGTCGCTGCTCGCTTGGCTGTTATTCCTCTTGTACAGGTACTGCCCCACTCACACCCAAAATCAGAAATGTACTTACTTTCCATGGATTCTGAGTCAAAATTTTCAGATTCATTAGAAGGTTATAGAAGTTTCAGGGCATATGGTTTCACTGGAGACAAATTTGTTTAAGCCGAATAATATAGCATGACCTTAATTCGTACCAATTTAGCTTTACAGGAGGCTAGAGGACTTGACGCTGGACCTAGGTTGGTGAAAAGGCTGATGGGATTCGGAGATCACAGGACATCAAAAATCGTGGCTAAGATCGCTGAGGAAGAAGTTGCACATGTAGCTGTTGGTGTAGACTGGTTCCTCTCCGTTTGTGGAAAGATGAACCGTGAGCCTTGCCCGACATTTAAAGGCATAAATAAACAAGTCTTCTCTTCCATGTTTTTTGTCTCATCATTTCCCCTTTCGTTTTATAACAAGATCATGTGCTGTGCAGATCTGATCAAAGAGTATGGTGTTGAGTTAAGGGGCCCTTTTAACCACTCTGCTCGGGAGGTTGCTGGCATTCCGCGAGGTTGGTAAGTAAACTCATCCCAACAACATGATGCTTGAAAACAACTCTAGTCAAATTCTGACTCATCCAAACACCTTTCTCTAGATCAATTTAGCGTAACAGATTGGATTAATTCATTTATCCTTAGGTATGATCCATCATGTGGCTCGGAAGTGGAGGAAGGCGGCAACAAACAGGGTGACAAGGAGCAACTTTCTGTGGTACGTTTCTTCTTTGTTCATGTCTCCATAGCTCTATGCTTGTGGTTGAGGACGCAAATTCTTGCTAAAGGTTTTTATGTTAAATTAATGTATGAACTTTATTGCCATTCGTCATGACAGGTTTACGATAGGCTCACTCACATTATCTCAATGGAGAGTGAGAATTCAAGTCTCGAAAGGCCAGCCAAATGAAAAGATGCGGCCGGAGTTTTGATTTAATGGCGTTATAACTGATGAATGAGTGTCATACGTAATATTTTCAAAAAGTAGTTAAGTACATATATATTAATGTTTTCTAATACCGACTAGCTCAAATCTAGCCTCGCCTTATGTTTTCACTCTCTCTCTGTCTTTCTGGTGATTTCTCAGGATTGATGTTAGCACGCTTATTTCTTCGTTGCTTGTGTGTAACTATAATATTCGAGATTTGCATTAGCGTTGATCCAGGCAACCAATTCATGTAATGGTCTTACTCACATCCAAGATACCTTGTTATTCTGTTCAATGAATATCACTATGTTCATCGTCTAAGTACACAAATAACTTACTTTGTCATTTTCAATTTGCTTGTCTTGTTGATCTTGGATTGCATTTCTATGGACTGAATGAGATTTGGCCCTTAGATTCTTTCTTCTTCTAAATGGTTTTTTTGTGTGTGTGTACAAACGTATTGTGCGGAACGTTTTAGAAGTTTTGTAACTAAACTTGTATAGGTAAGCTCTTGTTACTAGTTGGAGGAGTCAACATCATCGTCTTCAGCCTCATCATGATCTCTCCTGTGGACATCCAGCTTCCATGTGCCGTCATCCATTTGAACCATCCCTTTGTTTGCAAGGCACCTCCAGGTACTTGGCACTAAGTACTCGTCTTTCAGAGCATCTAATCCTTTATTGACCAATGCTACATCTCGACCAGTCTCCAGCTTGAATACTCCGGCTGCGTCTTGCATCCCTGCCACGCCGTGCAGGTATATCTCCAGGTTATGGTAGTTCCTAAAGTTTAGAGACCGTTTGAGATACGTCGAGTTCAGTGTGTTGATCTCGAGCACCTCGCCTACCTCTGAATACAGTAAGAGTGGATAGTGTGGTGCCACATCCGGAACATTTACTATTCTTAGGATGTTTAGCGGCTGGAGTGATTCGACGATCTTCGTGAAGTCTTTGTCCCCTATTCGAGGACTCCCGAAAGCAAAAACTGTGATAGGAACTTGCTTTTTTTGAAGACCTGTAGTGATCTTGCTGTTATTGCCATGGACAAGATCTGCAGCTGCTAGAGTTGACATTACCCCGCCCAAGCTATGGCCTGTGAAAGTGATGCTTACGTCTTCGTTCTTGTAAACTTCCAGCAACCTCTTGAGCTCTCCCTGTACCTGAATCCGGAGCCAAGATGCCATTAAGGAGAAAGTGCGAGAAATGGAAGTGAGACACAATGCACAGATAAAAGAAAGAGGTGAAGAAACCTGTTCACGCGCGCTAGTGGTGTCATAAGGGGAATTAGAGTCAGAAGCGGTGTAGACATCGAGCCAGCCACTTCCAACACGAGGCGCGTCTTTGGGATCGGCGACCGGGAAAACTGAGACAGCCGACTCAAGCGGAAAATCGAAGTCGTTGGCCCATTCATATGGCTGAAGAGTTCCTCTCCAAGCAACAACAATGTCTCTCCTCCCTAACATAGCCTTCCCCTCGTCTGTAGCAACCGCGATGTAACCCATCCAGTTAGTCTGCACGCGCGATGCTTCCTTTGACAAAGACTTGACGATGAAGCAGATTGGTAGCTTTATAGAAGCTGTTGCGTATATGTACTTTGTCACATTGTACCTGAGAACCAAAACCATTGATGCGGGTTTACATCGTCGAAACATGAGATGAAACGTTTTGGATTCATGGTAAGTACCTGAAAGGGTTGGCTTTGAGGTAGCCTGTTCGAGCAAAGATTTGTCTCTTTGAGTAATAACAGTCACCGGCGTATCTGGACTTGCGGTCCCAGTTAAAGGCGTCGTAGCCAACCTGAGCCATCTCGCCGTAGTGAATGATGTAGCGACGAAGATCCGGGTCAAGTGGATCAAGCAGGCCCTGCCATTTGTTTGCGCCGCTTAGCACCTTCCATCTCTTTGCTATACTCTCCAACATCTTTGCCTTAGTTTTTTCTTTTCACAAACCTTTTTCCCTCTTGTTGTTGCTTTTTGGATTGTAACATTGCTCCTTGTGTGCATGAATGCGTGAAGGAATTGGTCCTTAATTATCACATAAATAGTGCCGATTTTTGTTTTTGTTAAGTGTACGCATGTTACAATTCTTTTAGGATAACTCTGGAGGTATAAATTCGGTGAGGATGACGGTTAATCTACGCTTAAAACATGCATTGTTGGTTACATAGAAATTAAATTGATCAAGGACAATCCCTTCGGTTTAACCAAACCGGAAACATCTATCCAGAAAGGCAGAAACCGAAGCAGCGCCTAACGTCTCATAGTGGTTTGGAACCTGAAACTGCATTTCTCAAGAAATATTGTGACAGACTTATCTGAGGAAACAGAATTCACCATCAGCCCTACTGGTACGCTTTGTTCGATATCTGAATCCTGCCTCAAGACCCTTCATCTTCATTTTCCGACATTCTTCTCTGTAGATGAACCTTTCTGATACTAAAGGAGAATCATTGCATAATCCAAGCATCATCCACGGTGAACTGTTCTTCCTGCACAATAGTCATGGCTTCTTCCATGTTAATGATTTCCCTTTCAAGTCTTGAACCGCATCTGAGCAGTGTTTCTGACTGCCAGGAACTTGATTCTAAACATACATTCGCAATGTATAAACGATTTCAGTATTAAGTACCTGGACAACAATTTCTTCGAGCTTAGAGCACATGGCAGCCTCAAACTTCTACGTCGCATGTTTTTCCACAGATCAAGAAACCCAATCAGCACCAATGCTACAATGAGCACACTTCCTGCAAAATGTCGAAAGAAGAGGAAAATTTTAGTTTCCATAGGAAAAGTCGACCTTTTTAATATCATATATTCTTCATGTTTCGCCATTTGAGAAATAAAGAAGATTTTTATGTGCGTGAGCTTTTATTTTAGCTACGCTACTAGATTCCTCATGATTTCAGAATAGAAACCGTATCCGAAGATGAATAATAAAAAAAAAAAGATCCGTTATATCAAAAAGACAATGCAACTTTGTACCGTAACTAGACAAAAAGAAACCAAATTCTATGACTAACTCTTCAACCTACGTATCTCTGGATGAGACAGAACGAAACATGTTTCACTGGAACTGCAACAAAACGCAAAACCTGTGACCAAGAAAGCAGCCACGGTACTGAAGCTTATATACCAGAAACCATACTCATTCCCCAAACTCCAACTTCAAACAAACAAAAATGCTGAATGTACTTAAAAATTCTAACCTGACCCTTGTCGTTTTGACGTGCTTAGTCTTGATAGCTTCAAGGCTATGTACAGCCAATTCCTCTGTGTACGACCCACTCAGTACCCTGAAGAAGCGGTTCGAGAATTGGCTTCAAAGCCACGGAAAACTGTATGGAGGAAAAGAGGAGTGGATGCTAAGGTTTGGGATATACCAGTCTAACCTCCAGTTGATTGACTACATCAACTCCCTCCCCTTGCCCTTTAAGTTAGCGGATAACAGATTTGCGGACATGACCAATTCTGAGTTCAGGGCCCATTTTCTGGGGTTGAACGCGTCTTCCTCGAGACCACACAGGAACCATAGGCCGGTTCGTGACCCAACAGGCAATGTGTCGGCGGCTGTGGACTGGAGGAAACAAGGTGCTGTCACTCCTATTAGAAATCAAGGAAAATGCGGTAAGAGAAACTATGCTCTAAAGATAAAGACTTTGCAAATATTCATAACACAAACGATGACAATCTGATTGCGTTTTACTTTTTCTTCTTGTGCAGGAGGTTGCTGGGCTTTCGCTGCAGTGGCAGCTATTGAAGGCATCAACAAGATAAAAACAGGGAATTTAGTCTCTCTCTCAGAACAGCAACTCATAGATTGTGATGTCGGCACTTACAACAAAGGCTGTAGCGGAGGATTGATGGAAACAGCATATGCGTACCTCAAAACCAATGGTGGACTCACCACCCAGTCTGACTACCCATACACGGCCGCAGAGGGTACCTGCGACCAAGAAAAGGCCAAAAACAAGGTAGTTACGATACAAGGATACCAAAAGGTGCCCCAGAACGAGGCGAGCCTACAAACAGCTACTGCTCAACAGCCAGTATCAGTTGGAATCGACGCTGGTGGGTTCATTTTTCAGCTCTACTCTTCTGGTGTTTTCACAGGTTGGTGTGGAACAAATCTCAACCATGGAGTGACTGTTGTTGGATATGGAGAAGAAGGCGGTCAAAAGTACTGGATCGTAAAGAATTCATGGGGAACTGGTTGGGGTGAAGAAGGCTACATACGCATGGAACGTGGTTACAGTGAACAGACTGGTAAATGTGGTATTGCTATGCTCGCAAGCTATCCCACGCAGTGAGTCTTCACCAATATCCATAAGCTTTAGAGCCTTTTCCTTTTCCAAAACAGAAAAATCAATATGACAACTCTCTCCTCTGTATCACAAGCTGCAATAGCGCAGCCAAAATAACTACGATTGTGAAATAAAGTACTATTAGAGATAATTAAGAACAGGATTCTACACTTTTATTTGGGTACTTCACAGTTCACACTACAAATACTCAACAACAGCTTTCAGGGAGCTTGCAGATGGAGTGCACAATATAGACAAGAGACAAAAAAAAACGGATCACTGCTATAAAACAAAATCTTTTCGATACAAAACAACAAAGTATTCCCAAGTTTGGGGTATAAAATTTCATTCCATGATCGTAACTCCAGCTACTCTTACAAAATCTGATGAGTACTAAAAAAAAATACCTAAGACCTCAGTTCTGAAAGCCTTTGCCTAACAGTACAAGCAAGTTCCCATTCACCGATGCTAATAAGACGCTCGACCACTTTTTGCCTAACCTTGATATACGGTATGAACCCTCTATCAGTCATTGTCATCACCATCTTCCCTGCCAAAATGTATTCCCTCACCTCTAGGCAACCCTCGACTATTACCTCATAACACTCGAATTCCACAGGGTGATCTCGGCTCTCCACGAACTCGATCATCCCAATGGCTTTCCGAATTTCCCTGTTGGCTCTCAAAGCTGCTGCTACTTTCGTCAGCATCCCTTTCCGTGGAGATATCCCAGCTTTGCTCACCATCTCTTTCACCATCTTCACCACATCGCTGGTCTTTCTAGCTAAACACATTGAACTAATCACCGCACCGTAACTGTCCACATCAGGAATACAACCAGCTTCACCCATTTCCTCCACAACTTTAACCGCCTCGTCCAACTTATCAACAGCGCAGAGAGAGGACACCAAGTAATTGCAGGTTCCAGTATCAGGACTGTATCCAATCAGTTTCATCTCGTTAAGAACGTCTGCAACAGACTGTGATCCTCGTCGCCGTTGAAGCCAAGCATCAGAGAGAAGGAGGTGAGTCTGAGGGTTGGGAAGACAGCCAGAACGAAGAGTGCGTTGGAGGATTGCGAAGGACAAAGGAAGAGGATCGGAACTCTGAAGGCAGTAAGTAAGGAGGCTGGAGTAAACAATCTTGGGCAGAGAACGAGGTCTCACGGGAACAAAGCTTTGCAGGATTTCGTCAATGACTCGGATTCGATGATGGCGTTGGAAAGCAGAGAGAAAAGAGAACAGCTTTGAGTTTTGGTAGGGCTCTTTGAGTGAGACAACGAGATCAGGGATTTGAAGATACTCCTTCGTTTCAACTGCACCTTTTATAGCCTTCTCAACAGCTTCAAAGGAAGAGATTGGCCGAGAAAACGGAATGCAGGACCGAGAATAAGCAAGAGGTTTTCGCAGGTGTGTCAAGCGAGCAGCCATTCCCTAACACCCAGAGATCTGATTGACGATAAAGTCATCAACTTGACATCTGGGAAATGAACATACAATCATTCAACTAATCAAATCCAAAACTCTCAACGAACTGCTCAATTAGACCGTTAAAGGACCAGCCTTTTTTACTGGCAAAAGTATATTTTCTTACCTGAATGCGTTTAGACAAGCCCAAGCTAAACCCAGGTAGATTTTGCAGGTAACTGGAGAGAGAGCGAGGAGGAAAAACTGGACGGCAAGATGTGGAGAATTCGAGTGACTGACAATGGCTTGAGGTTTCGAAAATCGGATCAAACTGAGTAACAAATCATAATTTGAAAATGAGCTCGATCAAATTCGTCCTCCACAGATATGTAGCAGAAAGATGGTTTGAAGAAAGATGGAGAAGGGAGGAAGATGAAAAAAAAGAGAATTGAGAGTGTTGCGTTTTGATCTAAACGAAGTACCGTATCAGCAGCTTCTCTTTGTGTTTCGGGTTTTACGTAATTTTAAACCTAACCGGATATATATTCAATAGGTTTATGTTTAACCGGAAACTAGTCGGTTCAACCAATAAAAAGATTGACAATTTCCACACTTGTCTCTTTAACATTTCGTCATAAATGAATAACACAATCTCAATCAAAACAACAAAGAGGGAATGTCAATTTGTTTGATGAAGGTATAGACTATTTTGACAGTTTTTTCGTGGTTCTCAGGTTCTTGATGCATGTAATTTAAAGCGAAATCGATCTTTAATTAATCTGGTCTAGGAATACGTACACATATTACGGTTTTCCTACTTTTTATTCACCTAGAAAGAAGAAAACTATATATTATATAATTAAGCCATAAGCAACTAATGACAGGCTTTGTATCGATTAGAATTTAACAATGAAACATTAGAATTACTTAGAGTGGGAGATAATGTTGCTTAAACCCATTAATCACAGCATAACATTGTTGCCTTTGATCTTGCTTGAAATTTTCCCAGCCACCTTGCAAATTCCTCGATGTATATCCACCGTTAATAATCTCCCGATTTACACCAATACCGCTGCTGTTAACACCAATCCCTCCCGGACCCGGTCCACTCGAATTTATTGCTAACCCGTTTTTGTTGTATACGCGTTGATTATTGTCCCAACCAATGAGAGGTTGATTATGAACCAAGCTTTTGTACAGCTTGAGCTCTTCACTGATCCTCCTATACTCTCCGTATGAGCCAAGGACCGGATCTTTCTGTCTCCATAGAGCTTCCCATGTCAAAGACTCAGACAGCTTGGTACGGTCCTCTTCACGCACGGTGCGTACCATTTTCTGTACGTTACTAACACCAAACACTTTGTGAATGGCCTGAAATTCCTTGGTCTTCCGAGCCGGAAAATAAGGCGATAAGATGCATTCGTTGTTGCATTTCTTTCTTTGGTGTTTGCATGAAGCACAAGCTTGATGTGACGATGAGTTATTGGAGATGTTGTTGTTGTTGTTCGTGTTGTTGTTTGTGTTCCTTTGCATCATGTCATCTCCCTACGTAGTTGAAGAGTTATCGATCAGGTTGACACATTATATCAAAAGCTAAGAAGGACACCGACTAGATCATTAATCTAGAGTTTGATAAGTTATAATTATCAACTAATTCATCTTTTGGATATATGGTTTGAAATATTTTATATCCTATAATCATTCTTTTTGATTATTCAATATAAACTTTTAAGTATTTTTCTGGTAACTAATAAAATATGTAATATGACCTTTCAATAGTTTAAAATGCATTAAGAGAGAACCACGTACGTACTAAATAGTTAAAGGCATATATAACAAACGATTCATATAGTGCTATAGAATTATGGGGATCACATATACGTGTGTATATATATATCCATAAGAAGAATATAGAGTTTGAACATAAATTCGAAAGGGTCATACAAACCTCTTGCCTCTTTTATTTTCCTTCATATGTGGGTTAATACCAATTAGGGATATGGGTTTATATTAATAATAAGGGATAATGGTGCACAAAGAGTCTAATGAACATGAAAAGATTGTTTGGTTAAATGAAAGAAAAAGGTGTTTGGATGAAGTGTCGATTATGAGTTTTTAGGTTGCTCATGACAAAGGACAATAATAACTAGGAAATCAATAAATAAAACGATTTTTTGCTTTATATTTTGTTTTTAAATTATAGTGGGGAAAATGTAATTTCAGTAAGTTGTTATTATTTTTGCTTTATATTTTGTTTTTAAATTATATTGGGGAAAATATACCCGACAAGCCGGGTCGGGTAAAAATATCGGGTATCAAGCCCGTTGCTTTTGTATCGAGTATCAGATTGAGAAAGAGCCTCACATTCTGGGCCCAATAATTTAGCGGTGCAGATGGAAAATGAAAATAACCGATTCAAACCGTACCAGATTCATCAATCTAAAACCCGAACCAAAACTTATTAAAAACTTTCTCTAGTTACCTGAATTCTGAACTAATTCGGATTTTTTGCAACCAAACCGAATGATCTTCACTAAAATATTAATATTTCTTGATTAATTATATATAAAAATATACGCTACAATGTCTAATATTAGTTAAATATTTTTTTTATTATATTTGTTTATCCCAATCCAAACTAAATGCAAACAAAACCAAACTGTTTGGAAATAAAATGAGTTTCTGCTTAAAACGTATAATTTTTAAAATGGCTTCAATCATCTGATTATTTTCAATTGTCTATTTAATCAAAAAGATATATAGACTACCTTTTTCTTTTAGAAAATAATGATTAATAGAAAAAATCAATTCTCATTATAAATCTTATTTAATATGTGCTTATTTTACAGGAGTACCATGTTCTAACTAATGTATGCCACTGTATGTTTGCGATAGGAACTACAACAATAACCAATGGAAAGAATTTGCCCAAATGTTGAACATGCTAAACATATGTTAAATTGATTGATAGAATATTTGTTCCGATTCATACTTGTTTCAATTTGAATGATGATCGTAAGTTATATTGATTCTGATCTTTACTTAATGTTTGTTCATATTTCCATTTGAAACATTATCGTAGATTTTAGGAACCAAATAAAGAAGAATATTATGATCGTTATGAAGTTTAAGATTAGGAGGTCGGAGAAGTAGTGGTCGGAGCTGAAAGACCGTAATTTTGACAGAAGTAACGGGTATACCTATACAGTGGAAAAATGAGATCTGAAGCGTTGATGGCAAACAATACCACTTGCATTATCGCAGATGTAGAAGGCTCGTCTGGGTGGTTGATTACCCCATATAACGCCATCATTGTGAGGGAGGTTGCAGCTGAAGAAGAGTGCTAGCTGCTAGGGTTCTTAGAAAAGCTTTTGGTCTCCTGTCATTCAGCTCGTTAGAAGATTTTATTTAATTTGTACTTATTTTATAAGAATATCTTGTTTTAACTAAGGTATGCTACTGTATATTGGCAATACAAACTACCAATAACCAATGAATTTGCCTAAATGTTGAACATGCCAAACATATGTTAAATTGATTGATAGAATATTTGTTCGGATTTATACTTGTTTCAATTTAAATGATGATAGTAAGTTATATTGATTTTAATCTTACTTAATGTTTAATGTTTGTTTATATTTCCCTTTGAAACATTATCGTAGATTATATTAATAGTTTTATAGCATTATGTAGCAGTCATAATGGTCACTTCATCTAAAATTCTGAACCTTGGAAATTTGGGTAGTAGGAGACCGTCGAAGAAAGAAAAACAAAAAATATGAAAATTGCATATACTCATCTTGCTTTATAATGAATAGAGCCCATATTGTTATGGTGTGATTAGTTTGCATTATCTAATAACGATCTATTATTGTATGCATGGAAATATTTAATTAATTTAATAAAATGAAACAATTATTTCACCAACTTCTTAAAAACAGAAAATAAAACATATTTATACATTTTTTCAAAAACGAATAAAATGTCATCTTACTAAGTTATTGTTTATATCATTATCCAATTTGTCTGTATTTCAATAATTTCGTTTTATATTACTACCATTTAGAACTCTAATACATTGAGAAGTTAATTAATTCCGTAACTCACAGAGATCGGCTGTGACAGATAATCAAAATCCATTAAATTTGTTGGTTCATTTCGATCCACGCCGAATAAAAAGGTGAATGAATGAATCGATCAACGGCTGTGATCCAAATTTAATTAGTCAAATGGATCGATCAACGGCTGTGATCCAAACCTAACAGTCAAATGATAATTACAAATTGACAAAACCTTATCGAAATTAAATCCGTTCGTAGTTCCCGAGGAGAGAAGTTTATGGGTCCCCAAATCAAAACACAGTTAAAACACAATTTATTATATTTATACATAAATCAATTCTAATTGAACTTCTTCCTCGTCCTCCCCTTCTCTTTAATTCTCTGCATAATTTCTTGAAGGAACGTTGAAAAATTGGTGATCCTCGAGATGTCGGACAATCGCGCTCTCCAGCGAGCCCATGTTCTGGCCAATCACATACTCCGATCACCTCCTCTGCCGTCGAACCTCTCCCTCACGCGCGAGGTATGTTTGCAGTACTCCCCACCGGAGCTCAACGAGAGCTATGGATTCGAAGTCAAGGAGATGAGGAAATTGCTCGACGGACATAACGTGGAGGATCGGGATTGGCTCTACGGGCTCATGATGCAGAGCAATTTGTTTAATCGGAAGGAGAGGGGAGGTAAGATCTTCGTGTCGCCGGATTACAATCAGACGATGGAGCAACAGCGCGAGATCACTATGAAGCGGATCTGGCACCTGCTCGAGAGAGGGGTCTTCCAAGGATGGTTGACGGAGGCAGGTCCTGATGCTGAGCTCAAGAAATTAGCTCTGCTTGAGGTTTGCGGGATTTTTGATCACTCCCTCTCCATCAAACTCGGTGTTCATTTCTTCTTGTGGTATGTTTAAACTTACATGTTCTTCATACACATATATGATTAGTTTGTGATATATACAGTTATTGAAAAAGAAATCCTGAGGTAGTGAGGGAACAGTGTGTAAGTATATTTCTGGTGATACTCAGGGGTAATGCTGTGAAGTTCTTTGGAACAAGGCGTCACCACGAAAAGTGGCTGAAGAACACCGAAGATTATCTTGTCAAGGGCTGTTTTGCAATGACTGAGTTAGGCCATGGAAGTAATGTATGGATATTTCATTAGCCTTTTTTTGTCCATAAGCGAACTATACGTTTTGGTGATCTTCCACGCCTATATTGATTTCTATTTGTATAGGTACGAGGAATCGAAACAGTGACCACTTATGACTCAAGAACTGGGGAGTTTGTGATAAACACTCCTTGTGAATCTGCTCAGAAGTATTGGATCGGTGGGGCAGCTAAAGTAAGTAGTCATTGCACTTATCCTGAGTGTACCAAAATCCTCTTTTCTATTTTGTCATTTAGTTTCTCCACTGTTTTATATCATATACTGACTCTGTATTACTTTTGGTTGTTCAGCATGCAACCCACACAATTGTGTTTTCACAGCTTATTATAAACGGAACCAACCAGGGAGTTCATGCCTTCATTGCGCAAATAAGAGATCAAGATGGTAACATATGTCCAAACATCCGCATTGCCGACTGTGGACACAAGATTGGTCTAAATGGTGTTGACAATGGCCGAATATGGTATTTGTACACAACTCAATGTTATGAAATTTTTACCTTATACCAGGGGTGTGTCCTTCATTGAAGATTGCACTATTATTATAGGTTTGACAATCTTCGGATTCCAAGAGAGAATTTATTGAACTCAGTTGCTGATGTTTCGTCTGATGGACAGTATGTTAGCGCAATTAAAGATCCTGATCAGGTAAATGCCATTTATAAGATAAAACTTTATTATGGTTGTGGAGGTGCAGTGGCAATGCTTACAATTTTGTTTTCAGAGATTTGGAGCATTCATGGCCCCTTTGACCTCTGGCCGTGTCACGATTGCATCAAGTGCAATTTATTCTGCAAAGGTACAGAATATCAGTATTTGATCTCTTATATAAGTCTCTTGAGAGATTTGAACCTGACTGTTTCTGGAACAAATGTAATTGATTGAGATTTTTACTGTGGAAGGTCGGATTATCTATTGCTATTAGGTACTCACTTTCGAGAAGAGCCTTCTCTGTTACAGCCAATGGTCCTGAAGTCCTCCTTCTCGATTACCCAAGCCATCAAAGGCGACTGCTACCACTCCTAGCAAAGACGTAAGCATCTTTATGAATTATGACCATTATGATTTCCCTCTTGGTTGCTAAATTTGACCTGTTAATTAGTACATTGAGTAGCTTAATATTACTAGGCCCCTAATATACATTCTTCTAAAGTAAATACTGTTATTCTCTTTATCAGTAAATAGCATAGATATCAGTAGTTTTGTTGTTTTTTCCTCTCTTATTTCACAGGTTTTTCTTAAGATGGGTTGTCTTCTTTAACAGTTTTTCATATATCACAGATATGCTATGAGTTTTGCTGCAAATTACTTGAAGATGATTTACGTGAAGAGGACACCTGAAACCAACAAAGCCATCCATGTTGTTTCAAGTGGGCTCAAAGCTGTTCTCACCTGGCACAATATGCGAACACTTCAGGTTGGAACCAATATACTATACACATTTTTAAAATGTGAGAAAGCTTCTATGAGCCATACTGAGGCTTTGTTTTGTTCTTTCTAAGGAATGTCGCGAAGCTGTTGGGGGACAAGGTGTGAAAACAGAAAATCTAGTTGGTCAGTTGAAAGGTGAATTTGATGTGCAGACTACATTTGAGGGTGACAATAATGTATTGATGCAGCAGGTAGGCTAAGGCACATATTTGTGAACATGGTCTCCTTGTTTTGACAGTACAATGCGACTTATTCGATCTTTATGTGGAATTTAGGTGAGCAAAGCACTTTTTGCTGAATATGTCTCGTGTAAGAAGAGAAATAAACCTTTCAAAGGACTGGGATTGGAGCACATGAACAGTTCTCGTCCTGTATTGCCAGCGGAACTCACATCTTCTACCCTCAGATGCAGCCAGTTCCAGGTGAAGAATAATTTCCCTCCTATCATTTACATTGATGAATTCGACCTTTTTGTGAAACATATCTCATATTTTGTCTCTGCCAGAAAAATGTGTTCTGCTTAAGAGAGCGAGATCTTCTAGAACGATTTACCTCGGAAGTTGCACAGCTTCAAGGGAGGGGAGAAAGTCGAGAGCTGTCTTTCCTCGTGGTAAGCATATCTCTTCTCACTAACCTTTGTTTCGTCTCCAAACTTCAGCATTATTCAGTAATGATGTCCTGCTCCTTCTCTAATTTTCACCCGTGCTTGCAGAATCATCAACTTGCCGAAGACTTGGGTAAAGCTTTCACGGAGAAAGCAATACTGCAAACCATTTTGGATGCTGAAGCCAAACTAGCTGCTGGCTCAGTGAAGGTAAGCATATATGATTCTTGTTTGTAACGTTGTCAACCTTTTTGGTCGAATTATGGTTGTTCTTTGGACTGCTACTACACTAAGAGTGAAGACTAGAAGATGAACTAAACCAAACTAACTATCTGAATGTGTTTGATTGTAGGATGTGTTGGGTCTTGTAAGATCAATGTACGCATTGATCTGCTTGGAAGAAGATCCATCGTTCCTGAGATACGGTTACCTCTCAAGGGACAATATTGGAGATGTGAGGAGAGAGGTTTCTAAGTTGTGTGGAGAGCTTCGACCTCACGCGCTTGCACTCGTCACTTCCTTCGGGATTCCAGACGCCTTCTTGGCTCCGATTGCTTTCAACTGGGTCGAAGCCAACGCTTGGTCTTCGGTTTAGCGCCTAATCACTTTTAATAAACCACATCTTTTAAAAGCTATGTTTCCACCTTTTTTTTTTTTTTTGAAACTGTTGTTGTATGCTCTTGGTAATAAAACGGGCTATGTAATACGTATCCAGTGTTTAATCTTTTCTTGAACTAAGATATTTCATTTTTAATACTAGGGATATACAGTAATACTATTCAATATCCTAATTTATAAATTTGTCTTGAATTTTACTTAAAGATTTTCAACATTGAATTTGCGCAAAAAAAAGTGAATTAGACATTTGTCAACATTGAAATTGTATAAAAATTTGTATATATTAAAGAAGCTTATCAGAGTTAAACAAAACCTAATTTTTTGTTGTTGCCTACTTAGAAAGAGAAGAAAGATCTAGAAACTCAAGGTTCATGTTAAAGTCATTGCAGATTTCAGGTTTCTCTGAGTTTTTTTTGTTTGGCGCATTGAATTTTACTTAAATATTCTCAACATTAAATTTGCCCAAGCATTGACCAAAAAAAAAGTTTGTCAAAAAAGAGTTAATTATACAATAGAAACAACAAAATAATTTGTTAACATAAACATAAATGTGTCAAATGTAAATTTGTTAGGGTATTCTGTTTCGGAGATACTTTTTGGTATTTTGAAGTACTGTAAATACTCTGAAGTACTGTAAACTTTAAGAGATATAAAAACTCATTTTTGTTAGCAGGTTCCAGATTAAAGCTTTAGCGCATACTTATATAGAGAAGAAAGATAGCTTTTAAAGTTTCTTGCAAAGTTGGGTCTTGCCAAATTGCTTGTTCACTTGATGATTATTACAATGAATTTAAATTTGTTAAGAGTTTTTGTATGCTCATTAGCTTATACAATTGCAAATTATCATTTTGAATCTCATTTTGTAAATCTGTAAGAAAACTGTTATTAAAGCTTTGAAGATCTTCATGGTACCTTCGATCAAATGTAAGCATGATGATTACAAATAATGGTTGGACAAAATTCGAACAAAATATTGCAACATTCAAAACAATCAAGAGTGAGCTCATGACAATGTCATGAATCACGTATTTGTTTTACCTGCATCCACCCACCAAAACAAGAGAGAGGTCTAAGATGTTAGTAAAATAGACTATTTAGATGCTATGGTCGTGGACTCACCACCATGGATGCCGTGGACTCTAAAACTCATCGGCTATAGCAGGATTCATGGTAATAGTAGTCGATGTTAAGGCCTTTAATTACTCCTTATGTATTGAAACATTTTCCTGTTTAACTTCTACTTCTTGACCACATCTAATCTAATGTGTATATATATATATATATGTATATATAGGGTTTGATGATTAGGTCAAGTTTTAAGAAGGAAAAAAAGATACTTTCTATTTCTAAAAGGAAACCTTGATACTCCCTACGTAATGTTCAGTATAATTCTTCGTAGAGCTCGTTCTTAAAGCTTTAATTTTCCAAATTCATTGTTTTTATTACTTCTTCTTGCACCCAGAGGCGGATCCACTTGAACCAGGGTAAGTAGAAAACTAAGATTTGCAAACTTATGTACAAAGTTTACTTTAGCTAATTAGTCTACATGTTTGACCCTCCTATTCTCTGGTTCAAATACCATTTGATTTCTTATTTTAATAATTCAATATATATTATGATAACTCTAAATTATTTTTCTGGGATCGACACTGTTATAAACTTTGCATTTTTTATACTTTGGATCTACAGTAATCCTAATTTATAAAATTGTTAAAGGGAAGTAGAATAAAAATCTCAGCGGATGTTCCGGCCGAGGGATCAAAATAGTTCATTTTCTTGGACTGATGATGAAAGGAATCATTTTTAGAAGTCAACACTCAACAGCAATGAATTTTTTTTATAAATATTTAAATAATTCTCTCTCCCTCCCTCTTCTCTGAATGTTGTAAAATTCTCTCGGATTTCTTAGAAATGTCGGAACATCGCGCACTCCGGCGAGCCCATGTTCTCGCCAACCACATACTCCGTTCACCTCCTCTGCCGTCGAACCTCGCACTCACGCGCGAGTCATGTTTGCAGTACTCTCCACCGGAGCTCAACGAGAGCTATGGTTTCGACGTCAAGGAGATGAGGAAACTGCTCGACGGACACAGCTTGGAGGACCGAGACTGGCTTTATGGGCTCATGATGCAGAGCGATCTGTTTAATCGGAAGGAGAGAGGAGGCAAGGTTTTCGTTTCGCCGGATTACAACCAGACGACGGAGCAACAGCGCGATATCAGTGTGAAACGGATCCGGTACTTGCTCGAGAAAGGGGTCTTTCAAGGATGGTTAACGGAGACAGCTCCTGAGGCCGAGCTCAAGAAGTTTGCTATGTACGAGGTTTGCGGGATTTATGATTACTCCTTCTCCGCTAAACTCGGTGTTCATTTCTTGCTGTGGTATGTTCCAAAATTTTACATGTTTGTTTATTCACACCACCATCAAAGCAATTTTTCCTCTTGATTTTCTGGTTTCGAAGATGTGCTATTCGGTCTTTTAAGAGAGATATTGTCCTAGTCTGGTATTGAAAACTATGAAATTAGCGTTTGGGAAATTCATTATGGTATGATGAACTGCAGGGGCAATGCTGTTAAATTCTTTGGGACAAAGCGACACCATGACAAGTGGCTGAAAGACACCGAAGATTATGTTGTCAAGGGCTGCTTTGCAATGACTGAGTTGGGCCATGGAAGCAATGTAGGAACATTTCAGTATCATTTTTTTGCAAACTACATATGTATTGGTGATCTTCCACAACTGTATTGATTCCTTTTGATTTAACGCTTTCAGGTGAAGGGAATCGAAACAGTGACTACTTATGACCCAAGAACTGAGGAGTTTGTGATAAACACTCCTTGTGAATCTGCTCAGAAGTATTGGATCGGTGAGGCTGCCAACGTAAGTAGTTAGTATACTTAATCATGTTACTCTCCCCCTTGATATGCCATATACTGACTTTGTACTATACTTTTGGTTTGTTCAGAATGCAACCCATGCCATTGTGATTTCACAGCTTGATATAAACGGAACCAACCAGGGGGTTCATGTCTTTATCGCCCAAATCAGGGATCAAGATGGCAACATATGTCCAAACATCCGCATTGCCGACTGTGGACACAAGATTGGTCTAAATGGTGTTGACAATGGCCGGATTTGGTATTGTACACAACAACTCTATGTTATGTTATCGTACCTTATACCAAGGGTGTGTCCTTCATTGAAGACTGCTCACTATGATTATAGGTTTGACAATCTTCGAATTCCAAGGGAGAATTTATTGAACTCAGTTGCTGATGTTTCATCTGATGGACAGTATCTTAGCGCAATTAAAAACCCTGATCAGGTAACTGCTGAAGCCTAATTTTAAGATACAAACTTCATAATGTTTGTGACAACGTTTTTCATTTTGATTTCAGAGGTTCGGAGCATTCTTGGCCCCTTTGACCTCTGGTCGTGTCACGATTGCGTCAAGTGCAGTTTATTCTGCAAAGGTACAGATTCATTCTAGTAGCTTTGTATCATATCCTTGTATAGATCTTTTTGTGAGAAATCAACTTCACTATCTTAGGACTAAGTGATAGTATTGATTAAGATTCTTACTATGGCAGCTGGGATTAGCTGTTGCTATAAGGTACTCACTGTCGAGAAGAGCCTTCTCTGCTGTAAAAGATGGTCCTGAAGTGCTCCTTCTTGATTATCCAAGCCATCAAAGACGACTTTTGCCACTCCTAGCAAAGACGTAGGGATCTTTACGACCACTGCTATGCTTTCCCTCTGGGAAGATTATTATTTCTAACTGAAACTTATATATATATACCGTAGATATGCTATGAGCTTTGCTGCAAATCACTTGAAGAGGATTTACGTGAAGAGGACACCTGAGACCAACAAAGCCATCCATGTTCTTTCAAGTGGATTGAAAGCTGCTCTCACTTGGCACAATATGCGAACGCTTCAGGTATCTAACCAAATACTTTTTTATGCAATTTTTTATGTGAGAAAGCTCCTATGTGACATTCTGGTGTTTTCTTGGTCCGTTTCAAGGAATGTCGTGAAGCTTGTGGAGGGCAAGGTTTGAAAACAGAAAACCGAGTTGGTCATTTAAAAGGCGACTATGATGTGCAGACTACATTTGAGGGTGACAATAATGTTCTGATGCAACAAGTAGGCTAAGGAACTTTTGCTTCTTCTATATTTTTTACCATACAATGCGACTTATTCGATCTTTATGTGGAATTTAGGTGAGCAAAGCACTTTTTGCTGAATACGTGTCCTGTAAGAAGAGAAATAAACCTTTCAAAGGATTAGGATTGGAGCACATGAACAGTTCTCGTCCTGTATTGCCATCGGAACTCACATCTTCTACCCTCAGATGCAGCCAGTTCCAGGTCATTTGCCTCCTCAAGAATATTTTCTCTCTTTGATCATGTATTTAGATGAAATCAACTGTTTTGGTTTACATCTCATGTATGTTGTCCCTAGCAGAAAAATGTGTTCCGCTTAAGAGAGCGAGACCTTCTAGAAAGATTTACATCTGAAGTTGCACTGTTTCAAGGGAGGGGAGAAAGCAGAGAGTTCTCCTTCCTCCTGGTTAGCATATTTTCTCACATAACCTTTGGTTCCATTTCTAATACAGTAATGGTTTTCTACTCCGTTTGGACTTATCCTCTGTGCTTGCAGAATCATCAACTTTCTGAAGATCTAAGTAAAGCTTTCACAGAGAAAGCAATACTACAAACCGTTTTGGATGCTGAAGCCAAACTGCCTGCTGGCTCAATTAAGGTAAATATGATCATTGTTAGTTGAACCATTGTTTCTGCTCAAATCCTTTTTAGCCGAATTATGGTTGTTCTTTGGACTACTACTACACTAAGAGTGAAGACTAGAAGAGGAACAAAACTAAACTAACTACTTGAATGTGTTTGATGGTAGGATGTGTTGGGTCTTGTAAGATCAATGTACGCATTGATTTGCTTGGAAGAAGATCCATCGTTCCTGAGATACGGTTACCTCTCAAGGGACAATGTTGGAGATGTGAGGAGAGAGGTTTCTAAGCTGTGTGGAGAGCTTCGACCTCACACGCTTGCACTCGTCACTTCCTTTGGGATTCCAGACGCCTTCTTGGCTCCGATTGCTTTCAATTGGGTCGAAGCCAACGCTTGGTCTTCGGTTTAGCGCCTACTACTACTAATCTCTTTCAATAAACCACATCCTTTGAAACTTACGTTTCCACAATATTTTTTTGAACTTCTTGTATGCTATTGTATGCTCTTGGTAATAATATGTATCACTCACTATGCTACGGAGGCTTTTGACAAATCTCTTCCACATATTATTAATAGCTGCAAAAGACATTTTATTTTACAGATACCACACTGCCTATTTGACTCCAACGCATTGCCAATTTACCATAAACGATCAGAATTTTTTTTTTTGTTATACAATATCTGTTCTCACGCTAAAGATGCCAGATGTATTTACTGATATTTACAAGTTAACACTAAAAATAGTACGTCAGTTTGTTTTGTTTTAGCAAATTGATTAGTAATTTATTGAATAATTAAGGAAATTTTTCGTTATAGAGTGCAAATTATATCATTAAGCAACAAAATAAGAAAGCAATACAAATTTAAAATAAAAATAAAAATAACATCAACGGCAATCAATGTGGTTTCTACCAGGAGAGTTGTAGTAGGGTCTTCTGAATTGTTGAAGACGCCGAGAAAAGATAAAACGGTGAGGGCATTCGCAGCCGCATCCTAAATCTGCAATGAAAGCCTACCTAATATCAGTGTATTTTTTAGAAACCAACATAAAAAAACAGCATGATAATGGTCATGAGGTTTAAAAGAGCGTTTAGGCAGATGGAAGCTTTTTCATACTCCATAGGAGTGAGAAGGTGAGTGATAAGACCAAATGTCATGATTTTGTTTTCTTGTTGGTGTGATGTTTTTCTTTGTCAACATTGAAATTGTATCCAAATAAAAATAAATTCTCAATAAAAATATATTCTCAAAAGATATAATTATTTGTACAATGTTTGGGCAAAATAAAAATACGATAAGCTAGCTGCAATTAAACCATTTTAGTGACGATCAAACTATTACCAAATAATAAATCACAATAATCATGGCAAATAGCGTCGATGACACCAGAATTGGAGTTAACATTGATGGCTTTCATGACAGCTTCTATGATGGCGTAAGTAACATGATATTAGTACATTGAACAGTTTGATATTGCATCCATTTCGGTTTAGGCCATCAATATATTTTTTGCATTTTTGCTAAAGTAAATATTGTTATTCTCTTTATAAGTAAATAATTCGGAGTTGGGACCAAAACTCAAATAGAACAATGTAATTTGTATGCTTAAGTTAAGTTATTAGTTGTGATTTGTGATCTAATGATTTCCATTTATATTCATCAAGTTTTGTCTTCTTTAACGGTCTCTAATTTATCACAGATATGCTATGAGTATTGCTGCAAATGACTTATTTGAAGCTGTTGTAATGATGGAAGAGAGTAATTTGCTACTTATAATCTCTTCTATCATTTCAAAATAGTCTATTTGTTATGTATGCTCTTAAAATAAAATAAAATAAAAAGTGAAATGTATTACCAATATTTATCAGAGGATTAGTCTCAACTTTTGACACTTCACATTTGGGACTACACTAAGAATTATCTTCCTTTATGTGATTAGTTTGTATTGTAATTACCGGAATGAATCCAAAACATATGAATTATGGAATACATTGAGGGGTATTTCCGTCTTTTCGATGCCTAACAAACTCTCCATCGCTGTCGATTACATTGAGGGGTACTTCCGTCTTTTCGATGCATAACAAACTCTCCATCGCTGAGTTTGAACTTTCACACTAGAGTCTCTTTCAATTTCACCAACAAACATTCCCCAAGCACAGAGAGAGAGAGAGAGAGCATGAAAAAAGAGGGACGAAGCAGGATGAGGCCAGGAGGAGAGAAGAAGATTTCTCTGGAAGAATACGTTGACTTCTTCGCCTCTGGAAAGTCCATCGACTTCACCATCTCCTACCTCAATCAGGTTTCTCATACGATTATTTTCCTTTGCTGATATATCTGATTCTTCTCCTCAGTTTCTAACCTTCGACTTGGGCTTTTTTGTTTTCTTTGTAGATCGTTCATCTGCACGGTTTCCGAAAGCTGCACAAATCGAACAAGGTAACTATCGATACTCTCTTCAATCCCTGGTTGCATCCGTAGAAATTGAGAAACGGCTTTGGGAAATTCCATCCTTGTTCTTCTTTTTCCTCTCCGCGAGATTTTGGTTTAATCGATTTTGAAGCTTGGATAACTTGATTTCGTCGAGAGTTTCTGGGAATTTTCATCAACAATTTCTCTGCGATTCCGTCGATTTGGTTCTCATATTGAAATTTCTCCTACATCGATCGGATTTTACCAGAAAACTGTAGGTGAAGCCGTCGATGCGATCGATCTACTAGATCTCTCTCGCTCAACTCTGAACCAAAGCACCGTCTCGTCATCAGCTTCATTAACTCTCGACGAAGTGATAACCGACATTGAAGGTCTCAAATGGCAGGAGTGCTGTCTCACCTCACTCCAGATCATTAATTCCGTTGAAGCTACACGAGCAGTGGCCAAACCCAAACAGAAAGCAAACAAGAGAAAGATTGGAAAAGATGATAAGACGAAGAAGACGAAGAAGAAGAAGAAGAAGAACGAGAAGAGCATCAGATCCGTGAATGAAGTAGCAGCGAAAACCTCCTGCCTCGTAACCACTCTCTGACAATTTCCAATTAAGGTTTACTATTCCATAATCTTCCATAACTTTCCCTTTCAAACAGTTTTTATATTTCTTCTTTTTTTCTCATGACTTTGAGAGTTTCAAGAGTAGCTTTACTACAGATGCATGCTATTTATACATTGGATTTGGTGAATTTTCAGATACATTTGGTATTACGTTCAAATAGATTTGGAATATTATAAGAGTGCATATGACTAACAAAATGCTCAATATGACACGTAAGAAAGAACGATAGTAAGGGTGCATGAGTGAGACTTTGTACCTTAGTCTATGTTAGGATGATAAGAATCTAGTGCTCATTCATTGCTTTATTTGTCTGTGAGAGATCGATTAATTACGTTTCTTATATTAGGTGGTAAAAACAATTAAAAATTGGAAATTGTGTGTTGCTTGCAGTAATTACTCTATTCGGCTCGTTCAATTACCCTAATGCAAATTGAAACGGATGATTAAATCAACTGAACCTTAAAGCAGAATTAATTAAACCATTTGAGCTTAAACTGCATTGCATAAGCCCAAAAAAGGGAAGGAAAACATAGTTTGTTGGGGTTATGGAAGTTGCATACTTAAGCTACATAAAGTCATAAATAGTAAGCAAAAATATAATTTTTTTTAAAAAAACTCATCACATAATAGAACAAGCATTAGGATTCTCATCGCTAAACTTAGAACCAGTTTGGTGGCTGAAGATAGAGGCATGAACAGGATGGTGCTGGTAAGACGAATAGTCGTTGTTATCGTAACCATGCTTGTAATAATTGTATGAAGAAGTTGGGACCGGAGCGTGGTGGTTGATTGGGCCGTTGCAGTCGTGAGGGTTGTAGCTGCTTCCACCGCCGAGGAGAGAGTTGTGGTCAGGGTTGAAAGGAAGCTGCCATAGCTCAGCTCGCCGACCGGTTTTTCTAACTTTCTTCAGAACCTTCTTCTGGTCGGCGTAGCCAGTCACCGTCACTTTCTGCTGCAACATGTCGATTTCTACCTCATCCACTCCTGTTTTCATTCAACAAAGATAACATCTCTCTATTAGTGATTTTGATACCTTTAGTTATAAAGTCTTTATGTAAACATACAGGTATCGAATAAATAATGTTCATCCCTTTTCGTTGATTACTTGCTTTTTGTCGAATAGAAACTACAACTTTTAGTGTATTAATCAGAGATCATCTATAAATACTAAATGCAAAAGATAATTTTTTAATAAGAGACCCAAAAACGCACAAACGAAAATGTTCAAATATACTTTTTCTAAGTAAACGCAGCTCATAAACACACACGAAATTTTGTCTTTGAACAGCCAGATATATGCTAATATGATATCTTTGATTTATAATTATCTAAGGAAATCCGCCTGAGATCAAAGAGCTTTTACCTCTCATCTTTTGAAGGGCAGTTTTAACTCTGCTCTCGCATCCCACACAATCCATGTGAACTCTCATCTCAATAGTCTGAAGATGTATCAGAGTTTGTTAAATTCATATACAAGAAAAACAGGCTAATATATATATATATATATATATATATATAATATGTGAAGTGAATAACATTTATCATCTTTTAAACAAAACCAAAAGAATTTTTCTTACCGTCATGTTGAACCTTTATCGATGATTTTAGAATGTTAGTGGTCAGATCAAAATTTGAAGTTTGCGATGAATATTTGATCAATGAATGTCATTGACATGTGCAGTATATATAGTGTTCCTTGCTCTTCAAGCTTATGAACCTATTTTCTTGATTTAAAATTATAAGTTTTCTGTATTAGAATAATTTAACAAGTTGGGGACCATCCTAAGAAATAAGGTATTTTTTGCACCGACCTTTTGTTTGTAAAGCGTGTTGGGAACTGAGATGACGTTGCTTCATGTAGGCACCCACGACGGCAAGTTTCGATATGTATTTATCTCGGCATTGCATGTAGTTTTGAATTTCAGTAGTATTATATCAGAAAATAATATATATATATACTTGTCAAACTTTGGTTATCATTATATATAGTCACTCACTCAGTTGGTATCAGTATCGGGTGTTGGTTGTTGAGTGGTCTTATGGGAACGTCATGAAATAGCTTTATGGGGAGAAATGCTTTTAGACTACAACAATTTAAGAAAATGGAAATGATCGTTGACCCTTACTGGCTGTAAATGTGATGGATGAGAAAGCATAGTTGACATTTGGAATCAATTGAATGCAAACTTGAGAGCAAAGCATGGACGAATGACACTTGGTGCTCAGCGAGCGACACTGACGGATCTTGTCCATACGAGCCGACCAATAATGGTCACCATAATGTTCAAAATAATGATACTAATAATAATGATGTACACCATAATCAGTTTTTTTAGTGGTTAACCAAACCAGAGTTATTATTTATATGTTGAACCGGTTGAAATTCCGCTGAATTCGTGAAGGAATGTGGGCTTCGACTCAAATATCGTTAGGCTTCGAAGACGAAACTAGTGTATCCTTGAACCTTAGGCGGGAGAATAAGGTTTTTTGGGAATATTTTTTATTTTATTTCTTTAAAGTTGTTAAATTGCATAATTTCATTTCTAGACAATGTGATTAGTATATAAATGTGGTATCCGCTTTGATTCGTAAGTAGCTGCTATCAATCGATAAGGTTGGGGTCTCTCTTTGGAGGAGAAGTGGAAACATTTCATATTTTAACAGAAACGTAAACGTAAACGGCGTCTGTAAACTCCGTGATTAAACTAATGGCTCGATGTAACTCTACAATCGACTTTTCAAGGTTTATTGTGGAAGCCGTTTAAAGATTTTATTTGGACATCGAAGCAAAACTTGAATTTTTTTACCAAAGAGGCAAAAAAAAAAAAGAGAAGAAACAGAGCGACAATAAGATATCAACAAGAAACAGTCAAAGAACAAGAAGAATTAAACATGAAACAGTCAGAGAACAAGAAGAACAACTATATAAACCCTAATTTAAGAAGTTGATTGTTGCCTTGTTGCTGAAGAAACCCAGTGTCCGTTAACCAAATCGAGATGCCTTCGCAAAAGTCCAAGTGGGTACTCGCACTCCTCGTTGCTCTCCGAAAAGTAAACTGAGAACTTATTGCCTCGCCGGCCGGTGATGTATCCGACCCACCACGCGTCTGAGTCGAAAGCATCAACCTTGTCATGGAGGTGAAACGTCAACGGCTGAGATAATTTGGGAGGCAACGGACGGATTTCGTCGGCGGAGATGATTTCGATCAACGGGAGAGGATCTTCCCCCTCCGTCACAAGATTCTTGTACTTAACCTTGTAGAAGGATCCGCGAGGAAGCTTCGACAAGATCTTGGACTCCAAGTAAGACCCCAAGAAACCATCTTCTTTGCTGCATACTTCAACTAATTCACCTTTCACGAACTCATCCATTGTTAATAACTTTTGACGATTTCTCTGGTTTGTTGTTTTTATTTTTTGTGAGCAGGCGAAGAGAAGAACTGATGTACTTATAGGAGAGATTCATATCCAAAATTTTCCTTTTTTTCATTTGGGACTGTTGTTCCCCTTTTTGATTGTTTCCTTTTTTATTAAATCCGTTTATCTGAAATAACGTTTGCGGCCTATCCTATTCTTAAAAAAACGATCTTATGTTGGGCTAATTCTTCAGTGGTATTGGGCCTTTTATAAGCCCATAGTAATTAGGATAGCTGCTGACTTGTTAAAATTGTTAAAACTCTGCAGCTCTACTCTTTGGATGTTAATTTTTCAAAGTTTTGTTTTGCAAAGGTGAATCGTGAATCCCAATTGCTTCTTTTCTAAGGTCTTTGGTCCTCGGTTTCACCTGTGTGTTGGACCGTCTCGTGTACGGCTCATGGGTCATTGTGCCTCTCAACTTTCTCAAATTCATCATGAATTATGTTTCTCCATGTCGTCTGCTTAGGTTATGAATGGTACTGCCTGTGCTACCCATAGCTTTGATATTCTCTGGGTATACATCTGCTCAAATGGAAGCATCTGATTCATCATTAATCACTAGAAAGGAGCAAGCACCTCGAATGAACCATATGATCAAGTGGTCTCCTAGATTTAGACTTTCAGTCTTCTTTTTGCTTGCTACCAATATCCCGATGGCTCTATACATGAGTTTGTACCAACATCCCGATGGCACTACACACATTCCCAACTCTGACGTTATATTTTTGTTTTGTTTTTGCATTAATGGACTTGAAAAAACTGTTTTGTTCAGAAGATTTTTCCACACCCATTTCAAGGTTGATCGAGATGTTCAGTTCTCAGCGGTCATTTTTGCTACTAAAATAATTGAGTAGGTTTCTGCAACTGTTGTCTTGATTTCTTTTCCTATTCCAAAAAACACTATGATGTTTTCTGTATGACAACGTATTAACTACCTTCCGGAAAAAAAAAACAGCAATTCAAAACATTCGATTTTACTACATACTTTTATTAAAAAAATATTTTTTTTTTGAAGTTGACCATTTAGTAACATTCACTAGTAAAAGTTAAATTTAAAAACATCCAGAAAGTCAAGACATTAAATGTTTGCAGCCTTGGTCTATATTTTTTTCTAACGATATTTAATGTATACACTGGTCATTTATACCAAGCTGACATTATACAATAGCCTCAGCGAGATAATTTTGGAACGATGTACCCTAGTAAAAGTTAAAAAAAAGTATTTTTTGGTTGTCACATGTTAAGATTCTTGATATTGACAATAAGAGTTGTTCTATGTAGTAGAGTCATATTGCTAAAACGAGGCACAGGAAGAAGAAAAAAAAAAAAAAAAAAACAGTGACAGGCACACAGGTAACGGAAGTAAATGTCACCGTCAGGCTCTGAAACCTGTTGCATTTGAGCTATAAAATATTTAGTTTGACTGATTAATTTATGACAAATATATATGTACGATTAACGACGGACCACAAAAAAACGGTCTATATGAAAGGAAAATGGACTTTAACCCAAAAAAATAATATAGAAACAGGATATAGGACGCACGTGATTACGAGACATCACACGCATCTTAAAAATATTAATTTTTCGACTGATTTAAGCGGTTCGATCTTGTTCGTAGATTGCTAATACGCTTTGAGACTAATAAGATGTAAATATTCATTCAAAAACATATAATAGATTGATCATACAAAAATAGCCAAACATCTTTAGAATCAAGGAAATCAAATCAAGACAAAGAAAATCCTAGCCTTTATTTTCTGGATAACATGCATAAGTCTATTTATTCTCTCATTAATATTATGCCCTAATAGTTAACTCAGATTCATTCTCCTTATATATCTTCTCATCCAAATATATATTTTAGATCTCAAAATGAACATCCATCAACGAGGGATAGCCATCTTCTGTTTCTGAAACTCTGAAGGCAATTTGACATCAGTGGCTAATCCAAGAACCTCAAAAAGTCGAATGAGGTACCAAGTGATATCAATCTGCCACCACTCCAATCCTTGCCTTGCCGATGACTCAAATGCGTGATGGTTGTTGTGCCAACTCTCTCCCATTGTAAATAAGCTTAGCCACCTTCGATACGAAAATATCTTACTTTTTAAATACTAGACTAGATATTCGAATTTTCTTATACACATTAAAGAATATAAATATTACCAAACGTTACGAGATGTGTCTTTAGTCTTCCACGACCTCGAACCCCAAATATGGCATGCAGAGTTTACGAGCCATGTCACGTGGTACCCAATCACTCCTCCAACGCCCTGCCATGATATGAAATATATCGCTTTTCATATGGATAATCTTGTGCATATATATATATATATATATTAAAGCAATAAATAAACCAAAAATAAATAGATTTACCCCGCCGCATGTAAGGTAAGGTAGACCACCATAGAGATAGAGAACGATCCAAAACATTAAGACGTGGTAACCAATCGTCTTTCGTAGAAACCTATAGAACCATTGCTGTTTCAAGTCCATCACGTTGTTACGTCCTCCACACTGTTACATTTGTATTTTTATTTTGCATTATTTCAAACAGCATCATTTGACATATATAAAAGAAGATGTATATGAGAAATATTTATACGTTACGTTACCTTATATTTGATATAAAGGATGTCAAATATCCACAAGACATGGCTGAACCATAATCCTTCTTTAGGGCTATGTGGGTCGCGATCCGAGTCTGTGAACTGGTGATGAAACCTGTGTATGCTCACCCAGTCCATTGGATCACCCTGAAAATTATATATGTTCGAATCATACACCAAAACGGAAATATATATATATATATATATATATGTGTGTGTTTGTAATACTAATGAATATAGATTTTTAACCTGAAGAGCGAAAAGTGCAGAATAAGCAAAAGGATACTCAAGCCACTTGGGGAGTTTGAAACTCCGATGGGCCAAGTTCCTATGGTATGAGAATGTGATGCTGAGTTCAGTCAAGACGAAGAGCACCAGACCAAACCGTAAAGCTTCCCATGTGTAGTGAAACGGCGCCAAGAGACACAAAAAGTGGACGATCACCACGGTTAACATTCTTATTACATCGACCAAAAGCCATTTTCTGAGAAAGTAGGGTCTTTTTTCCTTGAGAACCACGCGGGTTTGGCTAGAGCCATCGTCTCTAGTGGGATCACACATATCAGAGTGTCGAGAGAATTGTGTTTGTTGTGACAGTGCTGTAGGTTTGAGTGAGCAACTTATGGGTATATATGGACTATAATGCCATTGCGTCAAGGCCCACACTGTTAAATGCAATTGCTCACTCTGCGTAAATGCTCTGGCTCTTCTCCTTTCATTTCCATCTCCTGGCAGCTGCACATGTTTCCACAGATCCCAAACAATTCAAATTAATTAGCTGCTTTTCAACCTCCTTTTTTCCATATGTATGATCATAAAAAAAAAAAAAAAAATCCATGCTGTCGCGAAAAATTATGGAATTGGTTGGGTGTATTTGAGAAATACTATGCATCTCTACTTAGCAGCTAGCAGTTGAGTTGATTAATTGGGTTGTCTCCGAACGAGGGTTTAGCTCAGAACGGCCAACACCAATTATTTAGTTATTGATATAATCTGGTTAGTCCAAAATTAATATTTACATAGGTGAAGAATTATTTTATTAAAGGCACGCATTTTTATGCTATCCGCATTTAATACCTTAGACATCCTGACCATCCCAGCATACTATGACCTTTTTTGATGAATTAGATATATTTCTTCATTTTTTTTTGGGTTAACCATGTGGTAGTGGGTTAGTAGTTTTTACTTGGAGAAGAATTGTCATGTTGGTATACGTCAGAGAGATCGATTCCCCTCATGATGGACGCACGTGACGTGATGCACATCGTCTCTAGTGGGATTACACATATCGGACCCTCGAAGAAGTGCACTTGAGTTAGCTATAACTTATATTTTGTGTCGAGACCCACCTTGTTAAATGCAATTTACCAAGCCGATCCTCTTAAATGTTATCTATCTACCTCTTTCATTTTCATCACAAAATCATTGTAGCAGCACATGTTTTCACTCATAGACTCTCTCTCTTTTTTTTTTTTTTTATAATCGTTTTTGAGGAAACCAAAAAAATATCTATATTTGGTGTATTTGAGTAATTGCTACATCTCTCTACTTACCACCAGCTAACAGATGAGGATATAACTAAGAAAGCCCTAACGACCAACGCCATTTTTCTTTGGCCGAACTTCTTAAGTCAAATATATATATCATTTAAATACGTAGCTAGTCCGACTAATCTGGTTACTAGCTAGTCCAAAAAATGAATGTTTACGTCATTATTAAAGCCACGCATTTTGATATAGCTTTCAAGTTCCAAGCCTTCTACATCATCTCAAGATGGTTAATACATATATAATGATCGTTTTTCGCCGACATAGATATTTTATTTATTTATTTCGTTTTGCTTTTTTTAGCAGAGAGTTCACAAACCATAGCTAAAAGAAAACTATTTGGAAAAGTAAATGTATATACGAACGGATCTATACGAGAAATCTTTTAACAGAGATTTCACAAGCCATAGCAATAAATGTTGGGGACAACTTGAATTTTTTCGGGACATTAACCACTTAAGGAAAGTCAGAGAAAATAAAAGTTAACGTTGTTGAAACGTCCTGGTCGATTCTAGAAACGCCGTTAAAACTTAAAATTACAAAAGGTAAAAAAACGCGCATCACAACATTTAACGCATAAAAATCACAAGAAAAAAGAAAAGAAAAAAATGCAATAATCATCTCTAAACCCTTTTTTGCTCAAAACCCTAATTTCGCAACGCAACGCAACCAAGGTTATTTGCGCCGTCTTTCGCTTCTCTCGTCGGAGAATGACTACTACGGCTGCTCCACCGCCGGCACACCAGTCGAAGGTTGACCCGAAGTCCGTTAACAGAGCCGTGAAGTCTCTACTAAAATGGTGGGACTCCAAATCCAAGCCCGAGAGCTCGGAGCCGCTGGAGAAGGACGGTTTCGTGTATCTAATCGTGACGATGAAGAAAATCCCTCAGATGGATCGGACGAACCCGGTGATGATCCCTATTCCTCATCCTCTCATCGATCTGGAGGAAGATTCGCGGGAGCTCTGTTTGATCATCGACGACAGACACAAGAACAAAATCACAAAGGAGGCGGCCCTGAAGAAGATCGAAGCAGAGAAGATTCCAATCAGCACCGTGATTAAGGTCTCCAAATTGAAGTCCGATTTACGCAAACTAGAGGAGGAGAAGCGATTCGAGCTGTATTTCGCGGAGAGGAGGCTGATGCCGATTTTGCCGAATCTACTGGGGAAAGAGTTCGTCAAGAAGAAGAAGATACCAATCGCGATCAACCTGAGACATGGAAAATGGAAAGAGCAGGTCGAAAAGGCGTGCGAATCGGCTCTGTTCTTCGTCGGGACGGGTACTTGCAGTGTTGTGAAGGTAGCGAAATTGTCAATGGGAAGGAAGGAGATTGCAGAGAATGTGATGGCGGCCATGAACGGGATTGCAGATTCGGTTCCTGGTAAATGGAGAAATGTTAAACTGTTTCATCTGAAGCTGCTCGAGAGCTTGGCATTGCCTGTTTATCAAGCAGCTCCTCCAGTTATGGAGCTCCGATGATTTGCTAAACTTTGTCCAAGAGTAAGAGCACGAAGCTAAGTTAGGGCAGTGTAGACAAAAAGAAAGAATGAAGAATGTGGAAGAGATTAACAAACACTAAGGTAATGATGATCTGGTTACAATTTTTGGTTAATTTGAGTGGAAGTTTCTCATATACAGTGGAACAAAACTGTCTTAAGAATGATTGGAATGCAAACAGTTGATTTGAATTATAATTTTTTTTTCCATAAGTTGGGTCTTTGATCTGTTCGAAAACTCAATCCAAGAGATGTGCGCACAATTAAAAACTTGTTCTCAGACTCGGATTCGTTTCTTTCCTACCAATACTAACCCAAAGTTCCGATTAGTACTAACCTCATTTATAATCTCAACTTTGTAATTAGAGCTTCAAAATCAGAGATCAGAGAGCCTGTATTTTCTCATACCAAATCCAATTCTAAACCGACCTGCAATCGCGATGAAACCTCTTTAACAACTATACCGAATAAATTATTTCAATTTTTTTTTTATACCGAATAAACATAAGTATGTGACATTGTCACTCAACAAAAAAAAAGAAGAAGGAAATAACTTGTGGTAACAAGAAAACTTGGACATATTTTTGAGCCAATTTGCAACATAGGTTTTGTGAATGTGATTTGTAATTCGTCTGTGGGTTAGCTGAACAAATCTGTGTAGTTAAAAAGAATATATAATTTCCAACTCAATATCGTAGATTGTTTTCATCTAGAAAAAACACTTCATCAATGATGAAAGCAAAAGGAACCCATTTTCATAATATATAAATGCAAATTTCTCAAGTTAATCTTCATTACCCAAATTAGGAAACAAATGATTGATTGGAATTTGGAAGTATTCATATATTCGCTCCACTTAATTGCGTAATGAAGGGTGGTTTTAAAAGAATTTATCCGTGCTTATCAATTAAAAAAAGGTAGATGTATCACTGGAGCGTTAAATGCACGCGCTTTGAGGTCTCCCGGTGGGTCCTCCTTTTGTCTAAGATCCAATTTCTGAAATGTAGACGCAAAGGAAAAATAGTCTTTACTCTTCTTTGTTCGTTCAGTGGGTGAGAGAGAAAGTGTAAAGAGCAACAAAGAGCACATGGCCTCGTTACCATTGGGGCATCAGCCTCATATTCCTCCTCCTCCGCCGCCGCAGCCGCAGCTTCACGACGGGGACGCTTTGAATCGCCGCCCTGAAATGGATTCTGATAAGGTTTTCTTTTCCCTCGGAGCCCGGCTCTCTCTCCCTGTTTGTTCAGATTTTACGTCCGTGTTTGGTAAACAGTGCATTTGAAATTCTAGTTTGGTGGCTATTCTAGATCCACCTCCTCTATGATTTGTTCCATGTCTCAGTACAGTAGAATCGATTTGTATTCTCGCGCCTCATGTTTTTATCTGAGCTCTCCCAATGGTTTTTTCCTCTGAGAGGTGATTTCTGATAGGAGACTTGCAGTTTTCTCTTTATTCGTTTCCATGCAGTAACTAATGTACATTACTCATGGTTTTTTCCCAGCTACAACTTATTGTCTATACACTATTAACCTTCGAATCCTGTAGAAGTTTTTTTTTTTTTTTTTGTTTTGGATATTTGGATTATTTGTTTCAAAACTATTCACAATTTGCTTGTTTGGATATCTCTATTATTTATGTTCATTTTTCAAAGTACATTTTCCTTTGTAGATCTCTGAATTCTTTCTTGAAAGGTTTTGTGCTATTCCTGTAGTTATTGTTCTTGGCCCATTGCTTCTCTGTTGTCCCTTCTAGTTGCAGCCGACATTTATTCTGGATTATCTTTTCGGCTTGTCCTTCACTTTGGCAGAACTTATTTTCACTGATCTGTATATCTCTGATTTTGTGAACAATATCGAATGCCACCAACTGTTTAGCATCTAAACTCATGAACCTCCATCACTATTGTTTACCTCTGTTTTATTGAAATGGAAAGAGGCTGTAGTTGTTCACAATAGTTTAATGTCTATACTAATATGCGAGGTGCGGATTGCAGGAATTGTCTGCTGCTGTTATAGAGAGCAATGATGCCGTTACGGGTCATATCATCTCCACTACCATTGGAGGGAAAAATGGTGAACCGAAGCAGGTTGGATTCTAATGTAATGTTTTGTTTTTTTTTGTTTCGAGTCAAAATGATTCATGTCTCTCTTACATTACCTTCGTTCTGTCCCATACAGACCATTAGTTACATGGCTGAGCGGGTTGTTGGAACTGGATCATTCGGAATTGTTTTCCAGGTATATTGTCTACTTAATGATAGTGTAGGTAATATAATTCTCTCTTTCTCTCCCTGATGAATGCCAGTAAATTGCAATCTTAGGCCAAATGCTTGGAAACTGGAGAATCAGTAGCCATTAAAAAGGTCTTACAAGATCGACGCTACAAGAATCGTGAGTTGCAACTAATGAGACTTATGGATCATCCGAATGTCATCTCCTTGAAGCACTGTTTCTTCTCTACAACGAGTAGAGACGAGCTCTTCCTCAACCTCGTTATGGAGTATGTACCTGAGACTCTGTACCGGGTTTTGAGGCACTATGCTAGTTCAAATCAGAGGATGTCAATTTTCTATGTCAAACTTTACACATATCAAGTATGCACTGTTATTTGCTGTTTTTTTCTCACAAATGCTCTCATTTAATAGAGTTGACTCTGAAACTGATTGGAAAATATCTAATGCAGATCTTCAGAGGTTTGGCTTACATCCATACTGTTCCTGGAGTTTGCCACAGAGATGTGAAACCACAAAATCTTTTGGTACGTTATCTAGCACGGCATGTGTTTTGTAACCTTTCAATAATTTATATGTCTAACCTCCTGGTGCATACTGTAGGTTGATCCCTTAACCCATGAGGTTAAGCTGTGTGATTTTGGAAGTGCAAAAGCATTGGTAAGGTGTTATCCTTCTATCAACTTGATATTTCTTTTGTTTTCTGCTTACTTTATGCATGTAGTTCATTGAGCTATACCATTAGGTGTGAGTTTTACCAATTATACAGCTAACCCAATTTCTCAGTAGTCATATAGAGAAATATAGGCGCGATCTCTCAGCACACTAAAGCGTTCATTTCATGCATCTCTGTTCTGGTAAATCTTTAACAATCTCTGGCAATTCATATCAGGTCAAAGGTGAAGCAAACATATCATACATCTGCTCCCGTTACTATCGAGCTCCAGAACTCATCTTTGGAGCCACAGAGTATACATCATCCATAGATATATGGTCTGCTGGTTGTGTTTTGGCAGAGCTTCTTCTTGGCCAGGTTAGTGTGGATTTCTAAGTGTTAATTATATTGTTAAATGAAGTAGCTCTGCAAATAGAGCCCGCCCAATGTTCTATTATCTCAAAGCCCCTCTCTCTGTCTTTCTACAGCCGTTATTTCCAGGAGAAAATTCAGTTGATCAGCTTGTGGAGATCATAAAGGTGAGGTGTCCTTTATTAGACTACTAAAGCTTGGGCTTTTCTCTCTTTGGGGTACACGATACCTAGAATCTTGTAGATCTGTTATCAAAATACTTGCTGCCTTGGTTTAGGTTCTTGGTACTCCAACTCGTGAAGAAATTCGATGTATGAACCCAAACTACACAGATTTTAGATTCCCACAAATTAAAGCTCACCCTTGGCACAAGGTAAATTCATCTCACCTTTTTCTGTAATTCTTTTCTGATCAAACAATGATTTAACTTGCTAACTAAACAGTATTGGTAAAAGCAAAAGTAAATTAATATGTTTCTGATGTTTACACATAGCTCTCATTTGTAACACCATCAACCATATTATGTTTCCTTAACCTCCAGGTTTTTCATAAGCGGATGCCTCCAGAAGCCATTGACCTCGCTTCTAGGCTTCTTCAATATTCACCAAGCCTACGCTGCACTGCGGTCAGTATCTATTCTTTTTCTAATTAAAAATTTAAAATGTGGTTTATTAAGCAAAACAACTTTGTACATGAGAACGAAAGAAAAAGGGTATTTAGCCAAAAAATAGAAAGGGAGCCGTAAACACTCTGTTGTGATGGATTGTTTGACTTTTAGAGATGGATTCATGGAAGCTCGTTGTGATTCTCTATCAAGTGTTGGATGGAGCTGAGATATGTTTTTTTTTTGTTTCTCTATTTAATAGCTGGAAGCATGTGCTCATCCGTTTTTCAATGAACTCCGAGAGCCAAACGTCCGTCTTCCAAATGGTCGTCCATTACCGCCATTGTTCAACTTCAAACAAGAGGTAAAAATATCAATAGCAAAGAACTAAGCTCTAATTGCTTATTTTCTTCTTCTTGGAACTCCAATAATAACTCAATAAATTCAATTAAAATATGGATACAGTTAAGTGGAGCTTCACTGGAGCTGATCAACAGGCTAATACCTGAGCATGTGAGAAGACAGATGACCACAGGACCACAAAACAACTAGGAAACAAAAAACTCTGGGTGTCTGAAGAAAAAAAGGAGAAAGAAGATCTACTTCTATCTGATTTTAGGTAGAATCTACATTATATTAACCACGATTGGATCAAAGTCATATTCAGCTCCTTTGTGAAATCAGAAGCTTATAATTGCGTCTTCTTCTTTTTTTTTATTCCTCGACCTGGAAAGTGGAGAGAGTCACTGTTTCTCGTGTATTTTTGTATATGATTTTGTCCGTAAAACAATTCTGACAGATCCGTGGAAGTAAAAAAAAAAATATGAGGTGATGTAATCGAACCATGTCATGTCCAAGAGCTTATGGTTCAATTCCAAGAGCTTATGGTTCAATTAAAAATGTTTATGACTAAAACCCGGTGATTATCTTCTTAATAAAAAGTTGATAGATCTGTCTTCGAATAAAAACGTTACTTAGGGTGATGAAGACTTGCATTTGTTTGGTTTATCACAAATTTACACGTGGTGGGATTGTCCAAGACAATACCAAATCATGTACCTTAAATTTTAAAAGCCCGCTCTTACAGGCCAAAGTTATGATCTCAAAAGTCATTGTTTCTTATTTCTTTCTTTTTTTGATTGCAAGAGATAATCATTCACCCTAACAACACCAAACCGAATCTACAATCCCACTCTAGTTAGAGCAGCAACCCATTCTCTTAAGAACCGACCCGTCTTCTTTGACGTTTATCGTCTCCCCTTTCTTTGGCAGATCAGACGAAGATCCTGCTTCTCTGTTGGATCCATCCACGCTTCTTTTGCTCACAATCTTGTGAATCTGAGTGAGCACTTCAGTGAAGGCGTTTTCAACATTGGTTGCATCTAGAGCCGATGTCTCCATGAAGTAGAGAGATTCTCTCTCGGCGAAGGCTTTAGCATCCTCTGTCTTGACTGCCACTAAGTGGCGCAAATCGCACTTGTTCCCTATAATCATCACCACTATGTTTGGGTCGGTGTGTCCCCTTAGCTCCCTTAGCCATCTCGCTGCATTCTCAAACGTCGCTTGCCTTGTCACGTCGTAGACAAGTAAAGCCCCTACAGCTCCTCTGTAGTATGCACTTGTGATTGCTCGGTATCTATCAAATCATAAACAAAACACAGCATTTTTCAAAGATGTTAATAATAACTTCAGCGACAACATATTCATAGCTACACGCTGCGCCTAGACTATTTTCGGTAACCATTCTACCCATATCACAAATGTTTTTAGCAGCAATTCAACAATGGCAGAGTTAGTGGAAGAATCACACTGCAAATTTCAAAATTTATCTCCGTCTAGTATACAAGAGAAGACAGATGAGAAGAACTATGTGTTGTTCCCATCGAGTGTATTGGATAAAACTCACTAACAAAGAGCAACTGAAGGAAAAGTCAGAGATATCTATAAGCAGACCGATATATGACAAATACAAATCCATATGTCACAAGAATCCTGATAAGCACAATCCTCTTATGGAATTTGTTAAAGCTCATACATCATCAAAAACACAGAAACTACCAATAATTCTAACTGGTAAAACGGGAAACAAATCAGAAGAAATTCTCTGTAAACATGATCAACTTCACTTGGGGGGCCGAGATTTTCTTAGTTTGGACAAGCGCTTCCACTTTAATCTCTATGATAAACCAACTTTACAGCACAGAATCACTCTCAAACCACATGAATCAGATACGTAAATCAAACACCATGATTCCAGAACCCTAAGAGAGAAACCCCAGCGAATCGAACAACGAATTCCAGCTGATAAACCAAAAAGGGGGATGATTTCGATCAGCTAAGCAGGAAAAAAAAACAAGAAACGAGACATAATCGCACCTCTCTTGGCCAGCAGTATCCCAAATCTGAGCTTTGACGACTTTTCCTTCGACTTTGAGTGTCTTGGTAGCGAACTCGACGCCGATGGTGGACTTGGATTCGAGGTTGAACTCGTTCTTGGTGAACCTCGAGAGCAGATTCGACTTGCCGACACCAGAGTCGCCGATCAGGACGAGCTTGAAGAGGTAATCGTACTCTTCGTCGGCTTTGTAACTAGCCATGAGAGAGGATCGAAATTTGGGGATAATCTTTCTACTTTACTGTTTGTTTTTTTGATGATAAATGATTCAGATGATGACGATGCAAGCCTGCCTTTCTCGGCTTGGCTCACAATCGTTGATGCTTCTTTTTGAATTAAAAGTGTTTAACAGACAAAACCAGCAAATGAGTCGTTTATTTTAAAAATATGATTCCGCTAAATTAGTTGCATTTAACGATATCTTTTCGAAATATAGGAAGTTGTTAAGAACTTTCACTCAAAAAATATCATCTCTTTTTTTAACGTTTGATTGTGTGTGTCATTCGAAGTTTTAAAAAATCTTCTCGGATCAATATTTTCAAATTATGTGTTATTATGATTCAATTAATGTTAAAAAAACAAATCTTCTCCTAATTTTCTAATAGGAACAAAAAAATCTGGACAGTATTTGAAAATTCATACTAAAATCTTGGCTTTAAAGTAAAAATAAATCATATGGATTTACATTATTTTCTAAAATGTACTCTAATCAAATCTCTACGATTTCGTAGAATGTAAAGTAAAAAATAGATTACAAAAATACAAAAATTAAGCATGAAATTTCTTTGGTGGTTGAGTGAATGGTATAGGTTTAATGATTATATTATGAGATCGAAAGTTTGATTTTTCAGATCATCTAAATCATTTGCAAATTAATCAAGTAAGCTTATCGGAGTTCTACCAGACAGAGACGACTATGTTAATTGCAAGCCAAAAAGCAAATAACACGATTAGTTTTTATTTATCTAAACCAATTTTTTCTTTTAAAAGGGTTTCTACCAAAAAGTGTGGAATTTGACCTCTCTAATATGGTAGAGCATGCCATTACCAATGCAACTACATTGGGTTATTCAATATTCTTCGGAAATAATGGCTGCTAAACTATTAATAATAGTTAGTTATCTGGTTTATCGCATATCAGATTCCGTTGGCAAATCGTTCATTAAGACATGATGTGTATTACAAATAAAAATGTCCATCACATAATTGTTCTTAGAATATTTCATTGTGTAATTGTTAGTGCTGAAATTTATCTTATTTTAGCTGGTTTGTCAATATCTGATTCACACATCTACAATATAAAATTTAAACTACAAACTAAACATTGACAACAAAGAAATCAATAGTTGTAACTACAAGCCTACAACTAATCAATCATTAAAGAGTAAAGACAAATTAGACAAAGAGCAACCAACAATTAATTGACCAACTAGTTTCATTATTTTTTTTCTAATAGAAACCATTAAAAAAGAATCCCATATGACTGACTCCTATATATCTCTTCCACCACTAGATAGAAATGATATTAAAAAAAAACGTAAGAAACTTGGTCACTCTTGTTCACCACTCGCTGAAAAGTGTCCCTGTTTCGCCACGTGTCAGAGTGTCCAAAAATGAGGTTCTAGACACGTTTGGTAAGCGCAGAGAGAGAGAGCCCGAAGCACTACTTTGCTATAGTGTGGACCCCACCTATCGCATACGGCAGCAGCATCACGCGTCCTCACGTTGTTTCTCCATATCACGTGTCCGCCTCCACACGCGCTTCTCTGGCGCGTCACATAGTCAATTTTGCACAAACGCCAGCTGGCAATAGTGCGAGTCCGGCTGGCTTACTCGCCTTATCCAAATTTTCTAAACCAAGGATATGATACTACCACGGGGCTGTCACTTCTTTCTACGTCACCGTCCAATCCGATTGGTCGTCAAGTACGTTGTTAAAATGACATGTACTTACGGACAGCGAAGCAACGACTCGGTGACGGTCGTTCGAATTTTTTAAAATAATCACAGTGTAATTAAGCCCCTTCGATTTGACCAGTAATTTCGCAATAAACAAAAACTCAGAAAAAATAATATTCCCTTTGAGATTCATATCCAACAGCTTCCATATCACACACACGATGTACGACTGTTATACGTACCACTTTACGCTATCTATCATAATCCCACCTTTATTTCATAGCTCTTTAAAAATGTACCCCTATAGTTTAATAACATCATAGAAAAGCCTTATATTTTTTTTTCCTTATGATAAATAATTACCCAATATTCGTTCAATATTTAAATATTGTTTTCCATTTTTCTGTGATTATATCTGCCTTTTTCGCATCTTTATTTCTCATTTGTGAATATTTTTTTCTCAAAAAATCAAACGTTCATAAAGGTGGATATGACCAACTACTGTATTAATCAAAAAAATATATTTGGAATGATATATTATCAACTTACACATGTTAATAAGTAACTATCATGTCAGAAAAGTTGGAGTTAAAGGCTAACCTGTAAGTTTTTAAAATATAAAGCAAACGGTATCTCTTTTTGGTAAGAAACTTTTGACTTCTGAGGATAAATTTAGTGGTCAGAGTAGCTTCGTCTACAGAATAGAGGGGCATATATGATATTACTCAAAAATACACATATGAGGCTGGAAACAGAGATTTTTTTTTTTTTTTTTATTTTTTTTTTAGTTTTCCATATAAACCCTAGATTAAATTTCACGTTTCATTTTTGGGTTAGATAGAAGATCAGATTCTTCATTTGCCAAGGAACAAAAAAGGTGAGTCTCGATGCGTGACAATCCAAAGCGATTTTCGTTTCAGTCTTTTTTTTTTCTTTCATTTTCGGGGTCCTTGTTCGTGTTTGCTGAATTGGGGGGATCGGGTCGCCCCGATTTAGATTTTCGTGTATCGGAAGGTGAATCTTCCGTCCGTTTTGCTTAGCTTTTGGGTCGTAATTTCATGGATCTTGCTTTTGGATGATAGGAATGTGTCATTTGATTCTTTTCTTTTTTTTTTACGCGTAAAGCTCAGTTTTTTTTGTTTGTTCTTAAGTTAGTGATAGAAGAAAGAGGACTAGTAACGTTTGTTGATTTCGGCCAGATTTTCGGATATCTGGGTATTACTCAAGCTCTTGATTTGGCTTGATGGGTATTCAAATAACTGAAATATTGATTTTTTTTTTTTTTTGTATCTCTGTGCGTAGATCTTGTTGTGTTTGCGCGTGGAGATTATTCTTACTGCATTTTTTTTAATTTCTTATGATGCAGATTTGTTGAAGTAGTGTTTAATTTGAGGATTCTTTTGGCCATTGGAGACAGCGAAGATGATTTCGAGGTCGTACACAAATTTGTTAGACTTGGCGTCAGGGAATTTCCCTGTCATGGGAAGAGAGCATAGGCGGCTTCCTAGGGTAATGACAGTTCCTGGTAACGTGTCGGAGTTTGATGAAGATCAAGCATATAGTGTCTCTTCCGATAATCCCTCCTCGGTGTCCTGTGATCGGATGATCATTGTTGCTAATCGGCTTCCGTTGAAGGCGGAGAGACGAAATGGAAGCTGGAGTTTCAGTTGGGACCAAGATGCATTGTATTTGCAGCTCAAGGACGGGTTGCCAGAGGATATGGAGGTACTATATGTTGGATCTTTGAGCGTTGATGTTGACTCGCATGAACAAGACGACGTGGCGCAGGTACTGTTGGACAAATTCAAATGTGTCCCGACTTTCTTCCCACCTGATTTGCAATCGAAGTTCTATGACGGTTTTTGCAAGAGGCAGCTATGGCCACTCTTTCACTACATGCTTCCGTTTTCTGCTGATCATGGTGGAAGATTTGATAGGTCTCTCTGGGAGGCTTATGTCGCGACAAATAAGCTCTTCTTCCAGAAAGTCATCGAGATTATAAACCCGGATGATGATTATGTCTGGATCCATGACTACCATTTGATGGTCTTACCAACGTTTCTGAGAAGACGGTTCAACCGGATTAGGATGGGCTTTTTCCTCCACAGCCCATTCCCCTCATCCGAGATTTACAGGTCTCTCCCTGTTCGTGAAGAGATCCTTAAGGCGTTGCTAAACAGCGACCTTATTGGCTTCCACACATTCGACTATGCCCGTCACTTCCTTACTTGCTGCAGTCGGATGTTGGGTCTGGAGTATCAGTCTAAGAGAGGCTACATCGGCCTGGAGTATTACGGGAGGACTGTGGGAATCAAGATCATGCCTGTGGGGATCAACATGGGTCGGATTCAATCGGTGATGAGGTATTCAGAGGAGGAGGGTAAGGTGATGGAGCTCAGAAAGCGTTACGAAGGTAAGACGGTGTTGCTTGGCATTGATGACATGGATATTTTCAAGGGTATAAACCTGAAGCTTCTAGCAATGGAACAAATGCTTAAGCAGCACCCAAATTGGAGGGGAAGGGCTGTCCTGGTTCAGATTGTGAATCCTGCTAGGGGTAAAGGTATTGACATTGATGAGATACGTGGCGAGATCCAAGAAAGCTGCAGGAGGATCAATGAAGAGTTTGGGAAACCTGGATATCAACCCGTCGTATATATCGATACTCCGCTGTCGATATATGAAATCAATGCTTATTACCATATCGCTGAGTGTGTAGTCGTTACAGCTGTTAGAGATGGTATGAACCTTACTCCCTATGAATATATCGTATGTAGACAGGGTCTGCTGGGGTCTGAATCAGATTTTAGTGGCCCAAAGAAGAGCATGTTGGTTGCATCGGAGTTTATTGGATGTTCTCCTTCGCTTAGTGGGGCTATCCGGGTAAACCCATGGAACGTTGAAGCGACTGGAGAAGCGCTAAATGAGGCCCTCTCGATGGGTGATCCTGAGAAACAGCTGCGACATGAGAAACATTTCCGTTATGTCAGTACTCACGATGTTGCTTTTTGGTCGAGAAGTTTCTTGCAAGACCTAGAGAGGATATGTGTGGACCATTTCAAGAAAAGGTGTTGGGGGATGGGGATTAGTTTTGGTTTTAGAGTTGTGGCACTCGATCCTAACTTTAGAAAGCTTTCAATACCGATCATTGTGTCGGAATACAAAAGGGCAAAAAGCAGAGCTATACTGTTGGATTATGATGGCACTCTGATGCCTCAAAACTCCATCAACAAAGCTCCGAGCCAGGAAGTTCTTAACTTCTTAGACGCACTTTGTGAGGACAAGAAGAATTCAATTTTCATTGTCAGCGGAAGAGGAAGGGAAAGCTTAGGCAAGTGGTTTTCTCCGTGCAAAAACATTGGAATTGCAGCCGAGCATGGATACTTCCTAAAGTAATTTTCTTCTCTAGGTTCTTTTGTACGACTTGTTTAACTGTTTCATAATTTTCTCATCTATTAGTAACATGCCTTTTTTCTTTCTGTTTCTTAGGTGGTTAGGCAGTGAAGAATGGGAAACATGTGGCCAGAGCTCTGATTTTGGCTGGATGCAGATCGTGGAACCTGTAATGAAACAGTACACTGAATCCACCGATGGCTCTTCCATTGAAATTAAAGAGAGTGCTTTGGTATGGCAATATCGGGACGCGGATCCAGGCTTTGGTTCTTTGCAAGCAAAGGAAATGTTAGAGCATCTAGAGAGTGTTCTAGCTAATGAGCCTGTTGCAGTCAAGAGCGGTCACTACATCGTAGAAGTCAAGCCTCAGGTAAGTTACTTTCTTATGTTTGATTCAAGCGTCAATGTCTTCAAACATTTTCTAATTCCTGGCTATTGTGAGTATAGGGAGTGAGCAAAGGATCCGTGTCAGAAAAGATATTCTCATCAATGGCCGAAAAGGGAAAACCAGTTGATTTCGTGCTATGTATTGGAGATGACCGATCTGATGAAGACATGTTTGAAGCGATTGGTAATGCAATGTCGAAAAGATTACTCTGTGAAAATGCTCTCGTCTTTGCATGCACAGTTGGGCAAAAGCCAAGCAAGGCTAAATACTATTTGGACGACACTACTGAAGTGACAAGCATGCTGGAATCTCTAGCTGAAGCATCGGGTTCGGAGCCTTCAAACTTCTCTATGCGTGAACTTGATAATGCCCTTTGATATGAAACCAGAATCTTTGCCAGGTTTTGCACTCTTATGATTTCAATTCCAGTTGTTTTTGCTCTCTTTCTGCAACAATCTATGATCTTGTTCTCATAAACGTTATCAATGGAAAATATGCATAGATGGCTACACAGACAAAAGACAAGGAAAAAGCGAAGCTGGGAAGTTAGGTCTGTTGTGATTGAAAAGGAAGAAAGAAGAAAAGAGTAGTGAGAGTATTAATGGTTAAAAAGGAAAAAAATGGTGATGTGAATGAAGCTTTGTTCTTTTCAGATGTGTATTTGAAGAACAATCAAAAGGAGGAGGAAAAATAGATGTGTCTGGTTTTTTAAATCTTTGCAGGATGTTGAAGTAACAACAAGCCGAAGCTCTTTTCTGATCTTTTTTTTTTACTATTATTATTATTATTATTATTATTACTATATTGTCATTGTAATTTGGATGATCTTGAGAAACTATCAATTTGTTGGATTCGGCTGTTTATTGGATCTAAGAAAAACGAAACTGTGAAAAAAATTATGTAAAGATATGCCATTGTTGAGTTTTTTCAATATATATTATATTCTTTGCCATTTTGAATTTTTTGGGATATTTTTAATTCTTAATGTCGTACGTGCGTTTCTTGCTGTTTCTCACTAGTCAGTACAGTTCGAGAGCCCAATGGGCCTTACGGACTTTGTCGTTTGCTGTCCGATCGCTTTTCTAGTCTTTTTTAACTCTTTCCTCTCTAGCCTTTGATGATGATGCGCAAGAAGAAAGTTAATTTAATGGAGAAGAAAATTGATGGGAAGATGAAGAGTGTGGCGTCGATTCCGGCGAACTACGTCTCCATTCTCCAGCTTCAGGAGCGTTGGGTTAAGGAGAGAGAGCGGAAACAGAAGGAAAAGGACTTAGCAGAGAGTGGAGTGAAGCAGCAGGCGAATGGACAAGGATGGAGAGAGAAAATGAAGGTAGTAGTGGAGGCCGTAGAACCAAGAATGAAGCTCGAGAAAAAGGGTTTAGGCGGAGGTTTTCGTCCGAATCGTTTGGAAAAGGAACCAAATTGCGAGGAAGCAGAGGTCTCTGCGACTGTGAGCAACAAGGACGAAGATGGAGGAGATTCGCAACAGAGAAAGAAGAGATGGGGTAAGAAGATGAAGAAGAAAAAGAATCAAGATGGGTCTGTGGAGGAGGAGAGCTTCAAATCTGAATCAAAGGCGTGCATCCCGAGGGAGAGTAATCTGGTGAAAGAGGAGAGTCCCAGAGTTTACGTGGCCAAGGGAGATAAAATTGTTCAGAACAGAGAGAGGGATTCGATTGCTGTAGAAAGCCAATTTCAGGATCTGTGGACCGAGAAGAGAGTAGGAGAGGAAGCAAGCGATAGAGAGGTCAAGGGACCTGCGAGATTGAACAGCGGACACTCTAATTACCGAAACCGTAAACATGATTGGTCGTCTACACGTGTTATTAGGGCAACAGGGCCTACGGTCTGGGTGAAGAAGGGGAAGATCGATGGAGCGTCTGAATCTAACGGTTAAAGGTAGGGATTTGGATAATTTATTTGTTTTTTAGGGCTTTGGATTTGATTGAATTTAAACGGAATAATGGGTGAATTATTATGGTTTTCAGGTGTTTTGCTCAAAAGGAAGGAAGGACTAGGATGTGTAGGAGTAGACATCGAATCTTGGTAGTATTATTTAAGATTAAAAATTATTAGGTCTAACTCTAGGGTTTGATTCTTGTTCCTTCAAGGAAGCATTGTAGTAGTGTGTAGGTAAATGTAATTATGATCTTGAATCTTTGAGCATCATCACGGTACCAACTCCGTGACGTGTAAGGACTTTGAATCTCGGAGTATGTTCACGGGATTAATTCTATCAGCAAGTAAGATTATGGCTTAACAAATGCAAGTACTACGAATTTGTATATATACTCCAACTAGGTAAAATTAAGATTTACTTGTTACACAGTATGGGGAAGTATCTCAAGATATACACACAAAGGCCTCTTTACTCAGACTGAAGCTGGTGTTGGTGTTGCTGTTGAGGTTGAGGAAGCAACACGGTTTTCAGGTGGGATTTCCGTAAATTCAGACAGGATTGCTCGGAATTCATCGCCAGACATCGTCTCTTTCTCGAGAAGTACTTCAACAATCTTGTCCATGGCTTCACGATTGTTCCTTATGTGCCCCAAAGCTATCTCGTATGCCCTGTCTGATAGTGTCTTCACCGCTGAGTCGATATCGTTTGCAAGCTTCTCCGACATTGAGTTTCTTGCCATCATCCTCATAATCACGTCGCTTTGAGCCGACGAATCCATTAGCGACCATGGCCCGATTTCAGACATCCCAAATGTTGTCACCATCTGCAAGTAAATATCCATATACAACTACTATCAGCATCATTCACTAGTTTACGAGTCTTACAGAACAAAAAACTTAAGCTGGGAATGTCTGTAGTAGATACCTGCTTAGCCAAACCGGTGATCTGTTGCAAGTCACCAACTGCACCAGTAGTCACCTCGGGCTCACCGAAGATGACTTCTTCAGCGGCTCTACCACCGAGTCCACCAACAATTCTTGCAAAGAGCTGTTGTTTGGAGATTAGAGTTGGATCATCTGAGGGAATGAACCAAGTCAGACCTCTCGCTTGGCCTCTTGGTATCAATGTGACCTTTTGAACAGCATCATGTCCTGGAGTCAATGTTCTGCAAGAACAAACAGTGAACGTCAGACTAGCTCTTGATATCACACACATGCTTTGTAATCTGATTCTGACTCACCCACAGACGGCATGGCCAACTTCATGGTAAGCAACCAGACTTTTGCTCTTCCCATCAGTCATGACTGTTCCTTCCATGCCAGCTACAATTCTATCGATTGAGTCATCAATCTCTTTCGATGATATTGCTGTCTTTCCACGGCGTCCGGCCAATATGGCAGCCTCGTTCAAGAGGTTTGCAAGATCAGCTCCACTAAACCCAGGCGTTCTCATGGCTATCACTTCAAGTGAAACACCGCCCTCGAATTTCTTATTCCCCGAGTGAACCTTGAGTATATCTGTTCTTCCCTTGACGTCTGGAACGTCAACAGACACCTGCATTAAGAACAAGACACGTTAAGCAACCAGCAGTAGAAGATCAATGGAAATTCACAGAGCATTCGTATCATATATATGTATATACCTGCCGGTCAAAACGTCCTGGTCTCAGCAAGGCGGAGTCAAGAATATCTGCCCTGTTGGTTGCAGCAACTACGATAACGCCAGTGTTACCCTCAAAACCATCCATCTCAGTCAGGAGCTGATTCAGTGTCTGTTCTCTTTCATCATTACCTCCACCGATTCCGGTTCCTCTTTGCCTACCAACAGCATCTATTTCATCAACAAACACAATGCAAGGAGCATTCTCCTTGGCCTTTTTGAAAAGGTCGCGGACCCTTGAGGCACCAACACCGACAAACATCTCAACAAACTCAGAACCCGAGATCGAAAAGAAGGGCACACCGGCTTCACCAGCAATGGCTTTTGCCAACAGCGTTTTCCCAGTACCGGGAGGACCAACAAGGAGAACACCTTTCGGGATCCGAGCACCAACCGCAGTGAACCTCTCAGGCTTCTTCAGAAACTCCACCACTTCCATGAAATCTTGCTTGGCTTCATCGACTCCAGCAACATCATCAAACGTCACACCGGTGTTTGGCTCCATCTGGAACTTTGCCTTCGACTGACCAAGTTGAAGCGGGAAGCCGGGACCACCAGGGCCACCCATTCCACCGGAGGACCGTCTCGAGAGAAGGAACAAACCGCCAATGAGAATCACAGGGAACGCAAGATTCCCAATCAAGTTGAGTAATGGAGAGCCTTGGTCTTCCTGAGCATTATGTGCTGCAAAATCAATATTCTTTGCCCTCAACTTCTGGAGAAGCTCCTGGCTTAATCCTGGTAGCTGTACGCGTACACGCTGAATCCGGTTACCCAACTCAGGAGAAACAGCCTCCACTATAGCTATTGTCCCATTCTCATACAAATCTACTTTATCAACCCTTCCCTTGTCTAAATACTCGAGGAACCTAGAATATGACATCCTAGACGAAGAAACCTCTTGTTCATCTGCGTTTGCTTTTCCAGTTCCAAGCAAACCCACTCCAGCAGCTGCAGCGTTTCCAAGTAAAAGCTTGAAGAAACCCCTTCTTGCTTCGTGTTTCTTTACATCCAAAGAAGCCCTCAGAACAGTAACTTTAGATGTTCTATCAACTGAAACAAACGTTGAGGAGAGCCCAAGCTGTTTAGACCGCTGTTTGGTTGTGTGGATAGATAATCCGTTCCCTATAAGACAAGCCGATGAAGAAGCCATCTGCACTTTGTACACAAATTTAACAAGAACAGTGAACAATTTAGACGATTGTAAGCCATGGCGTGAACAAAAAAAAAAAACGAGATCCGAAAGAAAAACAGATTGAACATGAACATGCAAGTTTCTGGTAACCGTATAATCAACATGAGGTACTATTCGCGACACATAGGAACATTTCTATGCTCCAGAAATAAAATCTATCAAAATAGCCACTGAATGTACCATTAATGTCCATCTAATCAAATAAACTCGCCATTCCTCAGGTTAAATTAGGAGCAAAAATAAAAATTCTCAAATCGACGAGATCGAACTAGCCGAACAAAACCCAGGCAGTAAAATCATACACAAGAAGACCAAGGTTATACAGAGCAAAGAAAGCCGAAGAAAAAACTGATTGAGAATACAAAGATGAGCGAAGAGAGTGAATCGCACCTGTGAAATTTGGCAGACGAAGAAGAAGCTAGCGTGAATGAAGATTGTTTGGAGAAGAGAATTAAGAGTGGGATTTTTGAAGAGAAGAGATGTGGTTTCCCAGCATCATACGTGTCTTTTTCTCAGTGGCCTCCTGGCTTTTTCCTTAACGCCGGTATATTTTTATTATTTATTTTCAGTTGTTATTACACACTTTACACTTTAGGCTCATTTTAATATTTTCAACATTCTTCTTTAAAAGAAAAACGAATACACAAATCCTTAATTATATCTCTCTTTTTTTAATTATGCTATTTCAATAAATACATAATTTGTAATTTATTATAAGTTTACCTGGTAATAATAAACATTAAGGAAAATATTGCAACTAGAGATTTGTAACATGTAATTATCTTTCTAAAAGTCAAATAATCAAAAAGAACAAAAAAAGAGTTTTAGTAGCACAAGGAAAGCCACATGCAGCATTTAGGCACCAAGCAAAATCCAAAGAAACAAGACGTATTGAGTTTGGATGGTTTCTAACTTTCTGTCGACATAATATACAAAGTACACAGCAAAAACAGGATCAAAATTGCTTTAGGATATCAACATAACCAAAATATCTCTTATGCCTCAAGTCACTTGCTTTTTCCTGCTAAAACATAACACTGCTTGTGAGCAAGACATTTGATAAAATCGGGTCGGGATTAATTAGGCAAACGCCATAGAGAGATCACAGAGCTTATCTTGTACTCGCAGTGTTTCATACGCTTTACTGGATGTGATAACCAGCATATGGACAGTTGCATATCTCAGGCTAAAAAAGGACCAAGAACTCACAAGTTTATTCTTCCTCAGACATATGTGTGTCCCCTGACTCTGATAAAGCAGCATGGCGACCCAAGAGGACAAGATCAAGAAGCTTCCTCCTGGCGTCGTAGACTGGATTTGGTTCTATCAAACGCCCTCTCTCATAAGCCTCTCTGAGAAACACTGTGTGTCTTTTCCCTTTAGTTGACATATAAAACATGCCCGGATGATCCAAGAACAAATCCCTAATGTTCAAATCAATCCCAAAACATTTTCTGAAATGGCTGATCTTTTCCACCTCCACCATCTTCTCCACGGTCAGGCTGAGGAACTCGTGAGCCATCGCAACCGCTCTTTTCTCTACCCCCATCACACCGGACTTGTTCTTTTTCTTACCATCCATGTCCTCGTATGGACCCAGATAAGGCAGCCTCTGCCATTCCTTAACCCTGGCCTTGAAGTTCTTGCTCAGTCTCATTCCTGGCGGGTAACTATGTTTGAAACTAAACTGAATCTCGGTTCTATCGACACTGCAATCCTCCTTAGAACACTCGACCACCCTCCATTTCTCAACCGCGGCTTCAAAACTCAGGCTTTTCTCTTCTTCCTGAACGAGCTCTAAGATATGGGTGTGGGGTTCATGACCATCACTAAGCCTAAAAACATGAGGGTTCTTTGAGATCACAGAGTCCTCAAAATCATCAGGGAGCCCGAGTTCTCTCCATACCTTGAAAACCGCACGAAGCGGAACCGACTTCGACGTCGACATAGACAGGAGCCTAGCCAACCGGTCAACAACGAGAGACAGATCAGCAGCGGTAGCCAAAGCCTCTTGACGAGAAATCTCCATGGCTGCATCAGTTAACCTGCAAAAGGGCTGAGATTTCGCAGGATCATACAAGACGTGGAAAATGTGAGGGTACTTCCGCAGAAATGAAGCGGCGCCACGGTTGAGGTGGAGCCTCTGCGAGAGCCTTGAGAGAAACTCGATGGACACAGAAGGAGGATCGGCTGTTGGATTCGCGAGGATGAGGTCTTGAATTGCAACGACCTTGAGAAGGTTCTTGTATTTGTCCATGAGCTTCTCGAAAACAGGGTCTCTTGATCTGGAAGCCACATACTGAGCAGACGTCGTTGTTGATCGGACGGTGATGATGGAGCCACCACACGGGTGCATCAGTAGTGATCTCATGAGGCCAAACCTCATTTTCTATCTTAAGGAGCTAATCTTGGGTTTTCCTCGTTCCACAATGTTGTCATAAAAACACTCTCTGCGGAATTATGTCGAACAGTTTACGTGCAGAGCAAAAAATATCAAAATTCCTGTGTGGGTCAGGATGAAGAAAAGCAGACTCTATAAAACGAGCGGAAGACGGAAAGTACAAATACAATGTCGTCGTCTTTAACATGCAATATCTAATGGCTACTTCGCAAATTGCCTCAAATTTGTGGACCTATCCCGGTGTTTAATTATAGAATTTCCCGGTCAGAATCCCGGTGTGTATTTATCACTTTTTTTGTAAATTGCAAACGAACCTTCTAACTATCAATATTTTGCAGATCAACCACTCCACATAAAAAATATGTAAGATTACCATTCATCTAACTAAAAAGTAAGGGAAACTACCCGATAATGGTCAAAATTGCCCTTTTCTATGAAGGAAATTGAGTTCGAATCGTACCCTTTAGTTTATTTTTTCAACTGAAATTTGCCATTCATTCATAAGTTAGAAAAAGGAAATGAAAAAGATAATTTTGTAAAATCTAGTCTTATTATAAAAAAAGAAAAAAACAAACTTCCAAAATCTGAGTGGATTTAAAACAGCTCAGATACGAGATCAGGACGCACAACTCCCTCAGCGTTTTAATTAATTGGAGAGCAAGCTAATGCCTATGATAAGCTTCTTAATCAATTAAAACATCCGAGAAAAAAGGAAACTCAGGTACAGCGATTTAATTAAATAAATAAAAATAAAAGGAAAAGTAAAAAGGATATAATAGAAAGAGAGCTTATAAATGTGTGTTTTTCTAAGAACCCTAATGCTCACAATCAAACAGACTTATCGTATTCATGCCTCTTCCTTCTAAAAAAAAAAAAAGACCTAATTCTTGTCTTGTGCAGAACCCATGAGCGAGAATCCGCACTTGCGACCAGAACCGAGGACGACGAAAGTATGGAGGAAGAACGTCGATGAAGAGATGGTTCGATTGAAGGAATGCCTGAAGCGATACCCACTGATCGCTTTCGATACAGAGTACCCAGGGATAATTCACCGGACTTACATAGACTCCTCCGACGACGAAGCCTACTTTGCTATGAAATCAAACGTCGAATCGACGAAGCTGATCCAGTGTGGTATCACTCTGTTCAACGCCAAGGGAGACATCGGTGGCACTTGGGAGATCAACTTCTCCAATTTCGGCGACCCATCGGACACGCGCAACGAGATTTCGATCGAGTTCCTGAGGAGGCACGGTCTGGATTTGGAGAGGATCAGAAACGACGGAGTCGACATGTTCGGGTACGGGTTCTTCCCCAAGCTCCTGTCTGCGTTTCACTCTCAGAAACACGTCGAGTTCGTCACTTTCCAGGGAGCTTACGACTTCGCCTACTTCATGTGCATCCTCAACAACGGGAAGCTCCCAGAGACTCGCGGAGAGTTTGCGTCGGAGGTGGTGAAAGTCTTCGGCGATGTTTACGACTTGAAGGTCATGTCTGGGTTATGCCAGGGGCTCGGCGAACACCTCGGGCTAAGCAGACTAGCTCACCTGCTCAACATCGCACGTGTGGGCAGAGCACACCACGCTGGTTCAGACAGCTTAATAACTGCACTTGTCTACATCAAGCTGAAACAAGCCTACGAAGACTCCAGGTTTGCTAAAGGAATCCTCTACGGGGTCGGAAAGAGAATGATGGTTACAGCTACGACCACGCCTGAGCCAGCTTGTCTCCCTGTGACGTTCCAGCAGAATCTAGTTTCATATCCTTCTTCAGACGTCATGTACCACAATGGATATGTCCCAAACTATGAACATCCTCAGCCTCTCTACTTGAATCCTTCTGCTATCCCATGGATGTATGTGAATCAGCTTAATCAACATCTTCCTTCAGCCACATTCGCTTACCCGTCTGAGACACAATCATATGCAGCAGCTGATTACCTTGGTCCGATTCCCAATTACTACCATAAAAATCCTTGCGCTTAGTAGACTACCGTAGTTTTGAGATTTTTCAGCTTTAGGAGTTTTTTAGATGCAACTGAGATTTTTCCTTTTCTTTTCCTTTTCTTGGTTTTGGTAGTAATTTTTTTATTTATGGATTGTTTACATGGCTAACTCTATCAACAGAGCATGCCTGTCTGGAGTCTGTGATAAATAAATAGACCAAACTATTTTACATATCTATTGGTTTCTCTCTTCTTCCACACTAACAGCATATGGTATTATACACATTGTTTACCGTTTACGTATATGGTTCCAGAACGATGAACCCTCAAAGCTTTGGAATCACTACTCTCAGAATCCCATCCCTGCTCCAAATGCAATCATATACTGTGTGTTAGTAGTGCTCTCTATGAAATTTGACAAATTCTAGGTAATTAATTTTAGCTAGTGACTGGTTCTAAGAGTTTAAAAAAACTGGAATCTAAAACCACTAATCATAATGCTGAGTTGTAATGTTTCTACTTACATAAATTCAGCGGAAACATTATCCTTGTTCACGTTGCTGGGGAGTGGCCAAGAAACTTTGAATGGTCCTTGTAGTATTTCTTGTTTGTGGTATCCAAAGATTGAATCTTTGGTGCATGCATTAACTTTTTGACAGATAGATGTGCGCCGCCCTGTCACAGTCAAGCTGTAGCAGCACGGTAAGTAACTTTGTTAGACAATGCGTATAAGAAGTAACGTAAACAGATTGAAAACATGTGTCAGGATGCGTAATAATTACTTTTTGTTGTCAACCTCCACTCTTATATCATTGATACTGGCACCTGGTAGCTCTACTGCCACAACATAGTTGTGTTCGAATTCTGCAACATTCGATCTCGGAGACCAAACAGTCCCTGCTAAAAGAAAACAAAGTATCAGATTGTAGGACCAGAAAAGTAGTGTATCTCTGGTATCCTATATTTTGTATTCGTACCTAGATTGGCTAACTTAGGAAGGTCAGGCTTGTATGGCTTTTCCCAGTTTTCCTTTTGCTGAGTTAGTGAAGAATCAGAAGAAAAGACGAACTCTTGTTTTGCGGCGGCTTTGGAAAACTGTGGTGGGGCGTACTCAGGTTTGGAAAGTAACGGTTGTTGTGAAGAAGAAAGGAAGCCATTCGTTTTGGCAGCAGAGGAATTGGTGTCCTGTGGTATGCTCCTCTGCAACATTTTGAAACAATTTCCTTTTACAGAATGTAATAGGATCATTTAAAAAAAAAAAAAAAAAAAAAAAGAGAGTATAGGATCGTTTGCAATTTTTGTCACCATGACCAGACAAGATGAACTTAAATAAGGAGTACCTCATCAGTTGAAGCTTGCCTCATAAAAAAACCCTGTGCAGAAGATGCCTGCCGAGCAAAATACATCCTGTTGTCACCTCTTCTAACGACGGAGTTCTTCAAACTGATGCCGCCATTCTGAGGCTTCACAAGTGACAAAGGAGATATATATATGTAATGAATGAAGACAGCAGTGAAGAAAACTAATTGAGCATCTCAACTTCACAGACATAGCTGATTAAAATCAACAGGTTAATAACATGGGATTTGGGGTACCTCGTCGGTGGAAGCCTGCTTCATAAAAAAGCCCTGTTCAGAAGATGCTTGCCGGGCAAAAGAGAGTTTGTTGTCACATCTTCTGATGGCAGAATTCAAACTGCTGCTGCAGTTCTGAGGCATCACAAATGACAAACGAAAGAGAATTATTAAACGAAACCAACCAAACAATTTGAGACAGATCAACGAAAGAAAGCATATCATCTAATCCCATGAGCAGCACATAGCATAACTTTCAAGTGTTTTAGCATCAACAATTCTGTCTTTTGTTGCAACACCCTTTAAAATTAAATCAAGGTTTTAGGTCAAAGGAATGTTTTACTCCAGAGATTTTGCATTTGATCAAACTCTTGTAATCGGTCCATCTAATCCAATTTTGCAGGTAAATTGCTCGCGAAAGCTGCTCGCTGATTCACCGCTATATGTCGAATACACAAATATCGAGAGAGCACCAACAAAATTCAATTGGAACAACACCGTATACTTTTGGACAGCGAGATTCGAAATCGTTCAACATCCGAGATCAGGAACCAACATCTCACGAGTAAAGAAACTTGACGAAGTTCAAATCTAAGAGAAAGCCTAATTAGAAAATCGTGTGAATCTTAGAGAGAGAGGGAAGGAAATACCAAGGGGGCGAGAGATGCGGTGGAGACAGGATCGTTACTGGTTGCCGGAAAGTGAGCGGCGACGGTGGCGAGCCTGCGTCTAGCGGTGGTGGATTCAATCTCCATTTGAAACTCTCTCTGTCTGGTTTCTTCGATTTGTGGAGAGATAAGAGAGGGGATGAGCAATGAGTGGCTTAAACTTTGCGCGCCGGATTCGAAAATATCTTCTCACAAGGGTGGTGGTGGGGGATTTTGATTTTGATTAGTGATATTTTTTGTTCCGGGGAAAAAGACAAGAAACGTTACGACGACCCGTCTTTATGAAAAATATCTCAGCGGCTGCTTCCATTTGACATTTTGCTGTTTACACGTGTGACTGAGATCAGATATCAAATACTACCCTTTAAGGCCCAAATTCCGGTGTATCGGGCTTTTTAAAGCAATTATATAACAAAAATAAATTAGTAGTGGTTTTAGATTCGTTAGCTTTGTTGTGGTCATGTTATATAATCCCCATTTACATATGTGTGACTGTGTTAGAGAGTATGCGAATTGCAAACTGTAAAAGAAAATAACGATTATAATTGGTTTTTATATCTTGACCACTTGTATAAAAAACTTCTTTGAAAATGACTAGTAAATAACAACGATGAAATTAAATTTTGGAAAAATACAAAGAATTGGGAAAATGAAAACTAGAATTTGAAACCCTCGCAGAATGAACTGAATCGGAACATTAGTCAAAACTTTTTTAAAAATCCAATCAAACTTGGACTAATCAAAATATATCAAAGGAAATGATACTTGATTATAGTTTTTGTAGTTTTTTTTTAAATATTCCAAACTAGGTGAAACCAAACCAAAAATCCAATTAAAATTGTATATACACGAGATGACAAAATTCGGTTATCGTTTATATGAAAACTCCAAATCGAATAACCTGAAAGCCTGAAAGAAACAAAATCCCCCAAACAAAACTAAAACAGAATGAAGAGCACTGGAGAGTGTTATATATTTCGGAAAGTCAAATAAATAAATAATAATTAGTACAATAATGTCTCTGCAAAGGTAACGCAAGTTGCATTGCGCAGAATCGTAGCGGTAATGTTTTCGTAAAATTGCACCAAACTCCAACAACCAGCGGTTGCGACTCGAAATCAATCGAAACACAAAGTTTCAGCAGCTCCCACGCTCCGATCAGATCCAACTCGCCCATTTCTCTCCCTCCCTCCTCCTATAGGTCTCTCTCTCCCTCTCTCTTCCAAACATTTGATTTGCTCTGTTCGGATTATGCTTTCTTGTCCGCGTTCGCGAGCTTTGAATCTATGAATTTTGAGCTCACTCCCGATCCAGGTTGAGAGGAGTTCTCATTTCGTTAATGCCTTGATTTGATATGTTTGAGCTCTGAATCATTGAGCTTTTCCTGATTCGGACTCTAATCCCCGTTTCGCATTTCACCCGATTTCTTGAGCTGAATCGAAACTCAGATTCATTCGTGTTGGTTTCCTTTCTTCTATGCGTTTGTTTTTCTAGGATCTAGTGACTTAGATTTCTGTATCTTGTTATTACTTCATTAGTCTCTTCTTGAAGCAGCCTGCTATTTTTGTTACAGATTTGCCCAGTTTCGTTATTTGTTCCCTTGTTGATGCCACCAGAGTTTTCAAATTTCTCTTTCTGTAAAGTCTCTGGGTCTTATCAGAAAAAGTAAACCTTTTTCATTCGGTTTGAAACATGTTGAGTTTGAATCTTTGAATCAGCGTATTAGGGGCTTGCCTTGATTGAATGCTTTCCACTTACTCCTGAGGTCATTCCTATGTTGTCATAATGTAGATTCTCACAGTAATCTTGATTGGCTTAAGCTTCTGTTTGTGGATTCTAGGTCAAACGTCAAGTGATTCCAGAGAATTTGCATTGCTTCAACAAAAACTGAGGTTCCTCCCTTCTTTGAATTTCAGTTAATCTGCTGGGATATGCTAGAGAGAGTTGGACACGTAACCATTTGAACATATGAGTTTATCGTGCCCACTTGGTCAAAGATAATTTTTTCTTCCTTGAGATTCCAAGCCAGGGAATAAAAGGCTGTGCATCACAAGGGTACTCGTTGAATTTTTTTTCAAAATCCTGTTTAGTAAATAAAAGGCTGTGTTGCATGCTCTGTCAGAGTGGTCTGTATATGGGAGCCAAAAAGGTTAGCTGTTGATTTTAAATTAGTGATGGATCAAAGATTACAGCTACGCGGTGGTGGCACAGTGGAAGCTATATCCAATCATGGAGATGTAGACAGAGAACAGGTTTTAGAGCGGTTTGATATAGAAAATGAAACTAGGAAGGAGACGAACCGCTCCAGCAGTTTTGATGTTGGTTTCAGTTCCGGTGATAACCTCGAAACGTCGCCTAAAGTGTCAAAAGAGGCCATCTCTCCCGCTGACGTCCTAAAGACTCTGTTCTTTATACTTGTATGGTACACTTTCAGCACATTTTTGACGCTGTAAGTATCTCTTTTTGAGTATCCGTTATCCTTTTCTTGTTTTATTTCCTTACATCTAGCATTTAATTTTTGTGCTTTATTCCTAGGTACAACAAAACTCTCTTAGGCGATGATTTGGGGAAATTTCCTGCTCCCTTGTTAATGAATACCATTCACTTTTCTATCCAAGCTGTTTTATCAAAGATGATAACTTGGTACTGGTCGGGAAGATTTCAACCTGATGTTACCATATCATGGAGAGACTATTTCGTTAGAGGTAAACTAACTAAATCTATGTCATGAAGATTTCCTTTTGTTTTTACGTGCTAATGAGCATTCCCGTAGCCATTACTTTCTATGTCATTCTCACTATATATTATTGAGAGTTTTCTGCAACTTATCCAATGCATCGATCATCGTCAGTATCTAGTGACTACGAGAGATAGAACAATTTGGAGTATATAGGTTTTTCTTTTCAGTTTATTCAAGCTGATTATATTGAATTTCTATGAACTGATGATCCACATTGACTTTAATTCCACAGTTGTACCAACAGCACTTGGAACTGCAATGGATATAAACCTAAGTAATGAGTCACTTGTCTTCATATCGGTTACGTTTGCAACAATGGTTAGTTGTTTTATTTAGCATGGTAGGTCTATGCAACTTATTAGGAATTTGCGGGTGAAAGAAGGTGAGACTTTTCTAATGAAATTCACGTTTTATTTTTCTTTTGCAGTGCAAATCTGCAGCCCCAATATTTCTTCTTCTATTTGCTTTTGCCTTCAGGTGCTTTATCCATAACTAATTTTTTTATGTACTTTGATCTTACAACCATGCATGAGGGTGTGTACATAACAAATTTATCAATAATTGACTCTATAGCTCTACTTAAAAACCTATTAATACTCCCCTTTACATCATTCTCTTCCGATACACATATCAAAATCAATGATCACACTGATTTTATGCTGCATTTTCATAATGGAAAATTTCCATCATTTTTGTTTGTTGTGTTATTCTGACACAGTTTCTCTTGTAAGGCTGGAGTCTCCAAGCCTGAAACTTTTTGGCATTATTTCAGTCATCTCAGCAGGAGTGTTGTTAACAGGTATCTTTTTCTCCAAACATTTATAATGATTTACTCCGTTTTTCAACCTTACCCAGTTCTCTTCCTGTTTGCTACAATATCCATCTAAAATTCTTAGTTTTTAATCAAACTGCTAATTTGTATTTCATTTGCATCCAGTTGCAAAGGAGACGGAATTTGAGTTTTGGGGTTTCGTTTTTGTCATGCTTGCTGCTGTCATGTCTGGTTTCCGCTGGTGCATGACCCAAGTTCTTTTGCAGGTCTGTTATTTAACTCAGTTTCTAATTGCTGCTAAACCATGCATTGGATCTTTCTATATTAACACATGGTTTTTGTCTTCCAATATTGTGGGTGCATCCTGATGACGACATGATGTGTAGAAAGAAACCTATGGTGAGCTCTGCTCTTGGTGTTTTATTGTCTATAATTTTTTGTAATAATTTCTTAAAAGTCACAAGACATGAATTAACTTATACTTTCTGTTTACCTAGGCCTGAAAAATCCATTCACATTTATGAGTTACGTGGCACCAGTGATGGCTATAGTGACTGGTCTTCTTTCTCTCCTTCTGGATCCATGGAGTGAATTTAGAGACAACAAATACTTTGATAGTAGAGCGCATTTTGCTCGAACTTGTGTCTTGATGCTTTTTGGTGGAGCACTGGCTTTTTTCATGGTGAGCCTTTGCTAAACAATTTATAGTTATGTAAGAGTGAACATGTCTTGATATGTGGAGGTTGAAGCAGCTTTTGAAGATTCTTCCATGCTCACTAGTTAGTATTATGTTTCAGGTTTTAACAGAGTATGTTCTTGTTTCCGTGACTAGTGCTGTAACCGTCACAATAGCCGGAGTCGTTAAAGAGGCTGTCACCATAGTGGTAATTCCTATATTATTTACCTTGATATGATTATTTGTGCTACTGTCGAATATTTGATGAATGCTGGATCAAATTGGGGATGTAAAATCTTCATTCTTGTACTCGGTGCGTACAGGTTGCAGTGTTTTACTTCCATGACGAATTTACGTGGCTGAAAGGCTTTGGTCTGATGATTATCATGGTTGGTGTCAGTTTGTTCAACTGGTACAAGTAAGTAACTCTTGCTCTGAAGTAAGGAGCTTTGAATAACTTCTTTGTTAAACATCTGATATGTTGAATAGAATCTCATGTTGTATCATTGAAACTGGTATATATATGCTTTGTTGTCTTGTCAGATATGAGAAACTACAAAAGGGGCACAAAACAGAGGATGAGAAGCAGCTACAAGCTCCAAGTCAAACTGGGAAATATGTGATTCTTGATGAGATGGATGATCAAGAAGATGATCCCTAAGCATTTCTTTTGTTGCATTCACATTCTCTGGTAACTCTTTATATATTTTGTTGTCACATCACTATTAATACGGAAGCATGTGGGAGCTTCCTTGAGAGAAACACTATAAATACATTTCTAAGGCAGTTGAATTGAAAATTTTGATGTTTCCCTGCCTTAGAAAAAGATAGAAAGATCATAGTCATTTGAAGAGCTGAAATGCATTTTGTTCTTTCTCTTTTGTATGTCTGTGTTGGTACTTGGATTGTCCAGATTTGGTGTGTCTACATATAGTATAGTAAGAAATTGATCAAATTTGGTCCAGTGTACTCTTATGATTGTAAATCACAATCGAAACTAAGAAAATTCTATCTCCGTTTTATTCTGTAGAGCAGCTAATCGAAAGTTCAAGTTACATATAATTTTAATGTATAAAATGGAGACTAAAACTAAACGCCATAAGAGGAAAGGAAGAAGAAGAAGAAGTAAGGATCCAAAAGAATAATGAAGTTGAGAGAAAAAAGAAAGAAAATCAGATGTGGCATCCACAACAGAGGTAGAAGAAGCAGAGAGTCGAAACGACAACGACAGCTTCGACGACATACATTACTTTGAAAACTACTCCGTCCACTATCTCCGTCTGAAGTATCTCCACTGGCTTCCATTTAAACGACGACGTCGAGGAGGAGGAAGAAAAAGACGTTGAGAACAGATTCCTTATTCGCCGCCATGTCTGTGTTTCTTTCGCCGTCACTTGTTCCTCCACTTGGTGCTGCTTCTTCTTCTTCAGCGACGCCCACTTCTTCATCGCTCCCATTCTATCTCTTTCTCTGCGACGTAGTCATGTCACGGTGCGTTCTCTTATACTGCGTGTAGGAGACGGTGGCAATTTTGGTGAATAGGTTGAAAAGGAAGAGGGTATTATTGTCAAATGGGAGTAAGGAAGGAATGAGATCCCCCTTGACCTTTTTTCTTCGGAAAAGGAAGATTAGCTGGCGAAAGGTGGAACCTCGAAGAGAAAGAGGGGTATTTTAGGAATTTTCACAAGGCCTTTGTTATTTCTTTAGGCTTCTTCACAAGAACGGGTCCACCATTTTCGCTTTATCACTATTACAGAGCGATCCACTAACACAATGCAACGGTCCTTTGACACTTTTTAATTACAGGAAATTAAGAACCGTTATATATTATTCTATAGTTTATTCATGTAATTTTCAGATGGTATATAGATTTAGATTCTTAGCACGTCATGATGTAGTGTCGTATAGAATATATGTATTTGTTGTTTAGATGCAAGACAGCTAAATTTTATATGTCTACTTTATGAAAGGGAACCTAGTTATCAACAATTTGTGACATATATATTCAGAGCCGTTCTTTTAATCAATCGAAAGTTATGTAGTTCATTCATACTTGTTCTTCTCAGTTCTCATATGTGTAGTTTTAGGTTGGGATATGTTCATGTTTAAAAACACTAACATATATAAATTACATATATTTCTTAATTAACTTAGTATGTAACACATTTTTCCTTCAAACTGAGCTGAATGTGGAATCGATTTTGGGTTTCATGAGAAGATATTTAACCCTTTTTTTTTGTAAAAGTGTTAAACTTGTTGTTATTCCTAGAAAAATAATTGATTTATTACCACAAAATAGATAATTTAAGCGAACATTCATTTATAAAGTTACGAGGATAAAAGATATCAAATAATTTAGTAGTACTAACAAAAAGGCCCATTAGCTCAGTTGGTTAGAGCGTCGTGCTAATAACGCGAAGGTCGCAGGTTCGAAACCTGCATGGGCCAATTATTAAAATTTTATTACATTTTCGTCCCAAATTACCGTTATGAGAACAAAAACAAGCTATCTTCTGGTCGATTTAACCCATGGGCCCAAGCGGCTCGCAAAGCAATTATTTTCGTGTCGTTCTGGAAGAAATGTAACGGCACGTTGTCAATTGGTGAAAGCATAAAAACGTCACGTAGTCTAGATTCCGGTATAGCCGTTGCGTTGTCGTTACGACTTCTCCGAGAAGCAATTGTCCTCCAGAGTTTCCCAAGAAAGCAGAGAGACAAAAAAATGACGGAAAATCTCGTAAAGGGATTCGAGCTTGCAGCACAAAAACCTCGTTCTGGGTTTGCTTTCGTACTGATTTAGTGAAAAAAAGTCACAGCTAAAAAGCAAGGGGAAATGAATATTTTAGATTTATCTTTTGGCATTCTTTTCTTCCTCGTAGAGCAATCTCGTTTCCCTAAAACCCACTCAACGAATCACATCACTGTTTCCGGCATCTTTCACGTATATATCCACAAAAAGGAGGGGAAGAAGATGGGTATTTTGATAATCACCGAGGAACTGATATGGCGAGTACGAGCGGAGGAAGAGGCGAGGATGGGAGGCCGCCGCAGATGCAACCTGTTCGGTCTCTGTCTCGGAGGATGACGAGAGCTGGGACGATGATGATCGATCATCCTAACGAAGACGAGAGCGCCATTGACAGCGAGCTCGTGCCTTCTTCTCTCGCTGCTATTGCTCCCGTTCTTCGTGTAGCTAACGACATCGAACCCGATAACGCAAGAGTTGCTTACCTCTGTATGCTCTTCTCAACTTTTTTTTTCTTTTCTCTCAGTTGATTTTGAGAAGCATTGTGGTTTTTGGATAAGAATTATTCATCTTACCACTGTATACTCTCTGTCACAAGGTCGCTTCCACGCATTTGAGAAGGCTCATAGAATGGATCCAACATCAAGTGGACGAGGCGTACGTCAATTCAAAACCTACCTATTGCACAAATTAGAAAAGGTATACACATCACTTGCTGTAATATGCAGATAAACAATGCCATGTTTAAACGCACCTTAAAGAGATAGTATAGTTCTTGAATTTTTGCTTGTTGTGCAGGAGGAAGAGGTTACACAACCCATGTCGATCAACAGTCCCCCGAAAGAAATTCAGATGTACTATCAGAAGTTCTATGAGGATAACATACAAGATGGAGAAGGGAAAAAGACACCGTGAGATCTCTTCTTAATATTTCTGTAACCGTTATTACCATGAGATAAAATGGGTTTCTCCTTTAAACTCTTTTTCTTCGTATCGATCTTGTCATTATAGGGAGGAGATGGCCAAGCTTTACCAGATAGCGACTGTCTTGTATGATGTTCTAAAGACAGTGGTTCCTGCAACAAGAATAGACGAAAAGGTCTTGTTCCCGAGCATGAACAATGGGGGTTGCTTAGCAAATATCTTAACAATAAAAAATTATAAAAAGAGAGAAAGGAAGGAGAGAAGATAAGAATAGTTTCCTATTTAACATACTTTAGAAACTGTTCTTAGCATATCTTGCCACATGTCTATTGATTAATGGTTCTTTCATTTTGATTTCTTTTAATATTTTAAATTTTAAATATATAAGTAAATGATATTATTGTTATATTGATAAGATACCTTTCCAGCTTATACTACCGTTGCACATGGTCTTACATCCCTATATAGGACAGACTGTAGATTATATACCCTGAAGAGGGTGTAATTCTGACATTTTCTGTTGTTTGTTGGAATGTAGACCCGAAGGTATGCTCAAGAAATTGAAAGAAAGAAGGAACAGTATGAGCACTACAACATTCTTCCTCTGTACGCTGTAGGAGCTAAAACCGCAATAATGGAACTCCCTGAGGTTGCATTTGCATATTTTGCTTACCCTATAAGAAGCTGTCCATCGTTTTAGTCCTTACTGATGTTTTCTTTTTTTTTTCATTCAAATTTAGATCAAGGTGGCGATTCGTGCCGTCTGTAATGTGCAAAATCTTCCTCGGCCGAGATTTCATTCAGCCTCGACTAATCCAGACCAAGTGGAAAGGGAAAGAGCCCGTTCTTTTAATGATATTCTCGAGTGGCTTGCTTTGGTTTTTGGTTTTCAGGTATCTTTTCAAGGTCCTTTCTTGCCAATTTTTATTTCTTGAAAAGTGGCCATCATTAAGTAAATCTTGCTATCTTTTCATGGTGAAAGAGAGGGAATGTAGCTAACCAGAGGGAGCATCTCATACTCCTACTCGCCAACGTTGATGTGAGAAAGAGGAATCTCGAGAATTATGACGAGGTAAATTTCAGTTTTCTGTGTGCGATCACAAAGCTTGAAGGATATATTACATACAAATTATGTACTAACTTGAAGAAAATTCAGCTAAAGCCTAGCACCGTGAGGAAGTTGATGGACAAGTATTTCAAAAATTACAGGTCATGGTGCAAGTATTTGCGGTGTGATTCATATCTCAGGTAATCATGAATTATATTTTCCAAAACTTTTGTTCCCTTACATCTCTTCAACTCTAAAGATTATGTCTGATTGTTTTCCTGTTGGCAGGTTTCCTCCAGGCTGCGATGAACAACAGCTAAGCCTTCTTTACATTGGCCTTTATCTTCTCATATGGGGTGAAGCATCGAATGTTCGCTTCATGCCTGAATGTCTTTGCTACATATTCCACAACGTAGGCTCTTTTAGTTCGACGATCCTCCTTTCCTCTTGCGTTTCTGTGATAATGGAAAAGCCATTTGATTTGTTGTCATACTGTTATGCTGCAGTAACATTTTAAGTAACCCTGTTGTTTTGTTGAATCCTCTTGTGAAGATGGCCAATGACGTACATGGAATACTGTTTGGCAATGTGTACCCTGTGACTGGGGACACATATGAGGCAGGTGCACCTGGTGAAGAGGCATTCTTAAGGAATGTTATAACACCAATCTACCAAGTCTTACGCAAGGTATATATATATATATATATATATATATATATATATATATATGTAACTCTCTGTTCTAGCTTTTGTTTTTTTATCCTTACATATGAGTTCACTAAGTAGACCATCTTCTTTTGTGGAAAAAGGAAGTCAGGAGGAACAAAATGGGAAAGGCAAGCCATTCAAAATGGAGAAACTATGATGATCTGAATGAGTACTTTTGGTGAGTTAACTCAGCTTCATCTGCTTATTTATGTTTTTAGTCAATTTTTGTTATCTGAGCCCAATTCAATTCAACTTTCCAGGGATAAGAGGTGCTTCAGGCTGAAATGGCCAATGAACTTTAAGGCAGATTTCTTCATCCACTCTGATGAGATCTCACAAGTTCCCAATGAGGTCTTAATGATCTCTTATTTGTGCACTACACACTTTTGATCTATATGCTTTTGTTTTCTTTCCTGTATGAGAGGATTAACAATAAGTTTTTTATTAATTGCAGAGACATGACCAAGTCTCCCATGGCAAAAGGAAACCCAAAACTAATTTTGTTGAAGCTCGCACGTTTTGGAACCTCTATCGAAGTTTCGACCGGATGTGGATGTTCCTTGTCTTGTCTCTACAGGTAAGATCCTGAACTAAATTATTCTCACTCCAGTCTACACTTGTGCTCTTGTTTGATAAGTGATTCCATGATGTTTTCAGACTATGATAATAGTTGCATGGAGCCCTTCAGGATCTATTTTTGCCATTTTTTCTGAGGACGTTTTTAAAAATGTCTTGACCATTTTCATCACTTCAGCTTTTCTTAACCTTCTACAAGGTAACTTTCTAATTCCGTCTCATTTTGACATTATCATTAGTACCCTATTGCCAATAATCATACGTTTTTTTTTTTATGAAATGCAGCGACGTTGGATGTGATTCTTAGTTTTGGTGCTTGGAAGAGCCTAAAGTTTTCTCAAATTCTGCGGTACATCACAAAGTTTGTAATGGCAGCAATGTGGGCCATCGTGTTGCCAATAACTTACTCGAAGTCGGTGCAGAATCCAACCGGACTAATAAAGTTCTTCAGCAGCTGGGTTGGGAGCTGGCTTGAGCAAACGTTATACAACTATGCCATTGCATTATATGTCTTACCAAATATATTGGCTGCTGTGTTTTTCTTGATTCCACCTATACGGAGAATCATGGAGCGATCAAATATGCGGATTGTCACACTTATCATGTGGTGGGCTCAGCCAAAATTGTATGTTGGCAGAGGAATGCATGAAGAGATGTTTGCACTTTTCAAGTAAGAAAGATTCTGTCTTTTGTTCTCTACAACTTCGTTTATGCTTCCATGATTAATTCTGTCCAATTCATGTTGTTGTCTTAGGTATACATTCTTTTGGGTCATGCTGTTACTTAGCAAGCTCGCATTCAGCTACTATGTGGAGGTGAATTAGCTTCTTATGCTGACACTTTTAACTCATCTTTGTTTCTTCTTTGTACTAATGGATGTATACTCTCATGTTTATCATCCAAGACTTGCTATAAGTATCTTTTTGTTTTGTTTGTTGCAGTCATATGTTTAACATGTACTTTTATTGATGATTCATGTACAGATATTACCACTTGTCAAACCAACGAAGTTAATATGGGATATGCCTGTCGTAAATTATAAGTGGCATGAGTTCTTTCCAAATGGTAGTGATCCTTACTCATAGTATATTATTTACTGCTATTTGAGTTCTATACATTCTAAACTATATGTTGATATATTCATGCAGCCACTCATAACATTGGTGTAATCATCTCCATATGGGGTCCCATTGTCTTGGTAAGTAATTTGTATTGAACAGATCGGCAAGAATATTTTCTTATACGCTGAATTGATTCATGTTTAGGTTTATTTTATGGATACGCAAATATGGTATGCCATATTCTCCACTCTGTTTGGTGGGATTTATGGAGCTTTCAGCCATCTTGGGGAGGTAATTTTTGCAAAAAATCAGAAACATGTTAGGTTAAAGCTCAACATTCTGCAAAGTTTTCTTAGTGATTATATTTCCAATTTTTTTGTTATCTGCAGATACGAACACTTGGAATGTTGCGGTCCAGATTTAGATTTGTTCCTTCCGCTTTCTGTTCTAAACTTACACCATTACCTCAAGGCCATGCAAGGAGAAAGGCCTTGGTAAAAATTATACATAAAATTCTAAGTGATAAGAAAGTGTAGGCCAACAATTTTTCATTTTTATGGGTGAAAAATGTAACATTTGAGTAAATATTGCAGGACGAAACAGTGGACGAAAATGACATTGCGAGGTTCTCACAGATGTGGAATAAGTTCATATATACTATGCGGGATGAGGATCTGATCAGCGACAGGTTTTTGACAACATTTTCCTATAATATAGACTCAACCTCCTAAGTTCTGTTCATCATATATGTACTTGCCTTATTTGCTTCTTTGGTGTGCAGGGAAAGAGATTTGCTACTTGTACCTTCGTCTTCTGGAGATGTTTCTGTTGTACAATGGCCTCCTTTCTTGCTTGCTAGCAAAGTAAAAATACAGCTCTCTCTCTGTAACATCTCCGACCCATCCATTGTCTCTCTTCTTGATGAATTTTGTTCCCTTTTGGTGACAGATTCCCATAGCATTAGACATGGCTAAAGATTTCAAGGGCAAGGAGGACGCTGACTTATTCAAGAAGATTAAAAGTGAATACTATATGCATTATGCAGTGGTTGAAGCTTATGAAGCGGTGAGAGACGTGATATATGGTCTTCTTGAAGATGAATCTGATAAAAGGTGAGGCATATTCTGTTTTACTTTCATTATTGGATTTATGCATTCTGAATCCAGACTAGTGTACGTACTAACTATACTGCTGCTGTATCTATACAGGATTGTAAGAGAGATTTGCTATGAGATTGATGTTAGCATCCAACAACATAGATTTTTAAGTGAATTCCGGATGTCTGGTATGCCTTTGCTCAGTGATAAGCTAGAGAAGTTCTTAAGAATCCTGGTAACGTGTATATATATATATATTATAATGTCTATCCTTCAAAACAACATTACTTACTTTGTGTGTGTGTGTGTGTTTATTACTCATCTTTTCTAAAATGAATTCTGGTCGTGCTGACAGCTAATTGATTATGAGGAAGATGACACTTACAAGTCTCAGATCATCAATGTTCTTCAAGATATTATTGAAATCATCACGCAGGATGTTATGGTTAACGGCCACGAGTAAGTCTTGATAGTTCATATGTGAAAGTTTTGCCTCACTTTCTCTGCAAGAAAATCTCCTCTGTTTTTAACAATCCTTATTCATGAAACATGGCTTTGTCTTTTGACCTGTAGAATCCTTGAGAGGGCTCATTATCAGAGTGGTGATATTGAAAGCGACAAGAAAGAACAAAGGTTTGAAAAGATAAATCTTAGTTTGACTCAGAACGTATCTTGGAGGGAAAAGGTACGTACACAAGTTTTTGTTCTGTTATATGTGAACAACCGGTGTCTTCTGCTTTTGCATCTCATTAATTTTCTCTTACATTGTAGGTTGTAAGACTTTTGTTACTTGTGACTGTTAAAGAATCTGCAATAAATATCCCTCAAAATTTGGAAGCTCGTCGTCGTATGACATTCTTTGCAAATTCTCTGTTCATGAATATGCCGGATGCTCCTCGAGTTCGTGACATGCTATCATTTAGGTACATGTTTTAGCTTAATACATGAACGAAAATTACTATTTACTCACACCATTGTGCTAAATCACAGTGGCATTTTGTATATGTCTAGTGTCTTGACTCCTTATTACAAAGAAGATGTTCTGTATTCGGAGGACGAACTGAACAAAGAAAACGAAGATGGCATCACTATTTTGTTCTACCTGCAGAGAATTTATCCAGGTGAGCTTCACATCTGGTGATTTCCTTATGTACGTCTTTATAACAAATTTTTGAAGTTTACCGAATGAAAAATGGCTTGCTTAACAGAGGAATGGTCGAACTATTCCGAACGTGTGAATGATGCGAAACGGAATTTTTCTGATAAAGACAAGGCAGAGCAACTACGTCAATGGGTATCTTATAGAGGCCAGACCCTTTCAAGGACAGGTATGCTTTCAGAATGTTGCAGATTCTTACTTTTATGAATCACAATGCATTGAAAACATTTACTATTGCTCTGCTAGTTAGGGGAATGATGTACTACAGAATGGCTCTCGAACTTCAATGTTTCCAGGAATACACTGCAGAAAACGGTACGGTTTGTGTTTCCTCTCCATTCTCAGTATTGAATATCTCAAACTTTCAGATTTTATTGTTTGCCCCTGTATCAACTCTGTTTTCATCTTGCAGATACACATGGTGGCTACCATCCCTCAGAGTCAAATGAAGATGATCGAAAGGCTTTTCTTGACCGCGCACGAGCTCTTGCAGATCTGAAATTCACATATGTCGTGTCATGTCAGGTCTATGGGAACCAGAAAAAGTCTAGTGATAGCCGAGATCGAAGTTGTTACAATAATATTTTACAGCTCATGCTCAAGTAACAAGAAACTTCTCTCCTCTTTGAAATCAAATGCTTATTCTTATAGCTTTAGTTTTAATGATTACATTATTGTTAGGTATCCATCCTTGCGTGTTGCCTATATAGATGAGAGGGAGGAGACAGTTAATGGAAAATCACAGAAAGTATTCTACTCCGTGCTGCTCAAAGGCTGTGACAAATTAGATGAGGTATAAAGATCATGAAAGGTGTTATAGATCAAGAAAGAAAAATCTTGTTAAGTCTAAATTCTTGACATTCCCACATATGGCCCTGAACTCTGTTCTTGATTTATTAGGAAATATATCGAATCAAACTTCCAGGCAATCCTACTGAAATTGGGGAAGGAAAACCGGAGAATCAAAACCATGCCATAGTTTTCACTCGCGGTGAAGCACTTCAGACCATAGACATGAACCAGGTAGCTTTTGTCTCTATCCTTCAAACCAATTTTATTTATATTCCAACTATATATGTTCTCATTTTATGTTTCCACCCACTTCAGGACAACTACTTTGAAGAGTCTTTCAAAATGAGAAATGTGCTACAAGAATTCGATGAAGGTCGACGTGGCAAGAGGAATCCTACAATTTTGGGTCTTCGTGAACACATCTTTACTGGAAGGTATGAGACCGTTAGTGATGAAGCTACATATATATGTCTCCACATTTAGGGAACTTTAATCTTTATCGTCTGATTTTTTCTCTGAATCCACAGTGTTTCATCACTTGCTTGGTTCATGTCAAATCAAGAAACAAGTTTCGTTACCATTGGCCAACGTGTTCTAGCAAATCCTCTGAGGTATTCTCATTTCTTGTGACTGAAGGAAAGATCCTGCAAAAGTAACAGTCCCCGCAGCATCAAACCTAATAGATTATTTATACAACTTACGTTTTACAGGGTGCGTTTCCATTATGGGCATCCTGATATATTTGATAGAATCTTCCACATCACAAGGGGAGGCATTAGCAAGGCTTCAAAGATCATAAACTTAAGCGAAGATATTTTTGCAGGTAGAGAACGGTTCTTGGCAAATGTTAAATTTTCTTTCTTTCTTTTTTGTGATGGCTAATAATCATATGGTAACATTCAGGTTACAATTCAACTCTTCGTGGGGGTTACATCACACATCATGAGTATATCCAAGCAGGGAAAGGGCGTGATGTAGGGATGAACCAGATTTCGTTTTTTGAAGCCAAAGTTGCGAATGGTAATGGAGAACAAACTCTAAGCCGTGACGTTTACAGACTTGGACGCCGCTTTGATTTTTACAGGATGCTCTCATTCTACTTCACCACTGTTGGTTTCTATTTCAGTAGCATGGTACGCCCTAATTACTCTCATTCAGATTGTCATTTCCTCTTGTTTACGGTTGGAATCTTGAATTTTGTTCAGACAAGTAATAAACATGTCTTTGTATGTTTCAGATAACGGTTCTCACAGTATATGTGTTCCTGTATGGGCGTCTCTATCTGGTGTTGAGCGGTTTGGAAAAAGAGATCTTGCAAAGTGCAACTGTACATCAGTCCAAAGCCCTTGAGGAGGCATTAGCAGCACAATCTGTTTTCCAGTTAGGTTTTCTGATGGTTCTACCAATGGTTATGGAAATTGGGCTAGAGAAAGGGTTCCGCACGGCCTTGGGTGATTTCATCATAATGCAGCTTCAGCTTGCCTCTGTCTTCTTCACGTTTCAGCTTGGAACCAAAGCTCATTACTTTGGGAGGACGATTCTGCATGGAGGCTCCAAGTACAGAGCAACCGGTCGAGGATTTGTTGTCTTCCACGCCAAGTTTGCGGAAAACTACAGACTATACTCGCGAAGCCACTTTGTTAAGGGACTGGAGCTGGTGATACTGCTAGTAGTGTATCAAGTTTATGGAAGCTCGTACCGTAGCTCAAGTCTTTACATATACATTACGTTTTCGATGTGGTTCCTGGTGACTTCTTGGTTGTTTGCTCCATTCATATTCAACCCATCAGGGTTTGAGTGGCAAAAGACAGTGGACGACTGGACTGACTGGAAAAGATGGATGGGAAACCGCGGTGGCATAGGAATCGTGCTTGACAAAAGCTGGGAATCATGGTGGGATACAGAGCAAGAGCACCTCAAGCACACTAATTTGAGAGGAAGGGTTCTCGAGATACTTCTCGCACTGCGTTTCCTCCTTTACCAGTATGGGATTGTCTACCACCTCAACATCTCTCATCGCGACACAACACTTCTGGTTTATGGACTCTCTTGGGCAGTCTTGTTGTCAGTGCTCCTCGTCCTAAAGGTAAAGGCTTTGAAACAGATATGTGCTTTTTCACCCACTTTAAAACCAGAAAATATTCACATTGATGATTGTTTTTTGGGGTTGAATCATGTGACAGATGGTATCGATGGGTAGACGGAGATTCGGAACAGATTTTCAGGTTATGTTCAGGATTCTCAAGGCGCTTCTCTTCCTCGGTTTCTTGTCAATCATGACTGTACTGTTTGTAGTGTGCGGCCTCACCATCTCAGATCTATGTGCTTCCATCCTCGCTTTCTTGCCTACCGGCTGGGCCATTCTTCTTGTAAGTCCACACACACACTATACAACTTTCTTAGCTGCCCCCAAAGAATCTCTCTTCTTTGATTATGGGAATATTAATGTGCCGCTCTGTTTTGAAGATCGGGCAAGCGCTGCGAAGCGTGCTAAAGGGATTAGGATTCTGGGACTCGATTAAAGAGCTAGGGAGAGCGTACGAGTACATAATGGGGCTTTTGATATTCACACCCATTGCGGTCTTGTCGTGGTTCCCATTCGTGTCGGAGTTCCAAACCAGACTGCTGTTTAATCAAGCCTTCAGTCGCGGTCTCCAGATCTCTATGATCCTCGCCGGAAAGAAAGACAAAGAGGCTCCTTCCACCTACAAGCTGTGACTCAACCGCCTTTCTTTCTTCTTTATTCTTTCATCTTCATTCTTTTTCTGCCGTAGCTGCTGTTTTAATTGATTCAATCTTTGACATCGTAGAAAAAATGTTTAGAGCCATTACTCATACTTGTATGGTGTTTTTCAGACTAGGCCATTTGTGTCTTTTGTACTCTTTTTCTTAACAAACAGTAATACAGTATACAGAAAAGCATAAACTTTTCCATTTGTCTGTGTTACAAAAGTCATCGTCTGACTTTCTTATTATTAAAAAAACATACGTTTTTGGGTGGGGCCACGAAAATTACACTTTGGTCCTTTGCTCTGTATCTACATTCAGTCAAAAGAGCTAACTGTTGAATTAGAACACAAGAGAGACCAAACAAAGCTCCAACGAGATCTCCTTCCTTCTCTCGGTACGTACACGTAACTATTAGATACTTTTTTATGATCAGATTTGTTTACTCGGACTAATCTGACGATTTCTTTATCTTTTTCTACCGAAGGGAATGTTTTTATACTTCGTGTAATTGCCACAATTTGAAAATTGGAAAAGCTATGGCCTTTTCGGAAACTCATACGGATTGAGTCGTTTACAGAGACTGTCTGATTCCAGATTTAGTGCCCTGCAGATTGATTTCAGGAAGCGTTGAGTCCCTATGTCTTATTCTAGGGTTTTTCTTGTTGTTGTCTTCTTCCAAGATTCTGGGTCTTCTTCACAGTAATTGTGTTTGTGCTTCTGAAGATTTGTCAAACTCAAAAACGGAACCCTTTTTCACTATGCGGTTTTTAAATCTTCTTCTTTGATCTGTTGCTGGTCTTGTTCCACAAATTAGCCAATGGAGAAAACGAGTGCTTACTAGTAAGAAATAACCTTTTCGTGCCCTTTTGTTTCAGGTGTCTCTTGATCAAAGTGGTTCCTACTAACCTCATCCAAACCGGAGGATGAATTCGACGGTTCAGCACGGTGGAAACAAGAGTGGGAAGTCCAGTGTATGTGCTACCAACACTAATCTGGCGAAGACAGCGGCAGCTTTAGATGAGTTCAAATCTGGATTCCCGTCAAACGGTTTAGCAACTGTGTCAAACAAATGGTGGGGAAGGCCTGGTAAAGGCGGACGCCAAGATGCAGGAGCAGAGAATACGGAAGATGGAGATGCCAAGGACGATGCACCTTCTGATGACAAGCATAATTCTTTGCTAGCTGTTAGGAAAAAGATAGCGAAGGAAGGAAGAGAAGCTGTCCAGCTTGGCCTGCGTCAAGGATTTGGTTCAAAAAGACTAGATAAGAGAGATCAACATCTTCTGTCTCAGATCTTCATGTCTTCACTGCCAAAGGATTGGGTTACTGATTCTTCCTGAGTTCGTTTTATAGGTTTAGAACAGAGTTCCTTCTTGAACTATGCTCTGTTATTTGTAATCCGCAAAGTCCTGTTACTATGTACTATCTTATCATGTTTGTAATCGCAAGGATGGAGAACATTCTGTGGTATTGAAGAAGCATTCACTGGTCACAAAGAGTCAAAGACACCACAACCACTGTAAATACAAACACAAAGACTTGCGGTCTTACAAAGAATTATGTTCATACCAAAAACATGGGAACAAATGATACATAGACATGCCAACAGTCCTAGGTTATGCCCAACTTTGAAGGAAAATCAGATTCAGAGGTGATGCCGAAAAGGGAGGTGAAGCAGCATAAAGGTTTTGTTGGTATACGTCTCAGAAATTGAAACCAAACGCGAATGCTAGGTTCCAGGCTTTTCATGCTCTTCCATGCGAGAAACTAGACCTGCTTTTTATGTCAAATGCCTGCAATACAAGGATAAAAGAATGTACTTGAGCTGAAAGTGCAAATCGAAAATCATCAAGGAAGAGCCTCAGGTGCTTAGCCTAAGATAAAATACTGAATTCTATTGTGTTGAAGAATCAATTTCAAGAGAATTAGCTTCTTAAGATTCGGATAGCAAGCACCAGCTAATTCATCACGCAAACTAAAGACTTGTATCTCAAATCCACTCAACTCGTGGAAAGGACATATGATCTGAAGTACCTATCTCTGCCCCCAACTAATTGCATAAGAGGACCATATAAGAACATAAGATATGTTCCTACCAGAAACTATGACGACAAAAGCAAGGTTCTGAGATGCCTACATTAAGCGCTAAGCAAAAACTAAACAACCTTAAAGGTGTGCACAAAGGTTGATGAAGTTTTTACCTCTTGAAGAGTTCTGAAAAGTAGCGTGTACCGTTGTATACTACGAACCACATCAAGACTACCATCAAACCATCTGAAAAAGAGTTAAGGAAAGACAAAAGAGCCAAAGATGATGCAAGCAAAGATCTGATGTCCTTCTAAAATACCAAAATCTAACATTTCCCCACCAAACTATCAACTTAATCTCTCAACTGAGAGTATTTTATTCAGTAACAACTATGAACCAAAACTCTTCACATCATTCATTATAAGATTGAACATACACATTGCTTTAGAGGACAATACGAGTGGAAAGAAATTCAGTGCCATCATATATCACCAACGATATAAAAATCAAAACTTGCATCCTTCTAACTATCGAAGAGTATATATCGTTCTAAAATTTGAGAAGCAGGGATGAAAGAGAAAGGATACTGAAGAGGTATCGTTCCCACCAATCAAGCATGTAGAGCCCGAATGTGACATTGTAAAGGTAGATTTTTCGTTGAACCCAGTTCATATCTGATCGATTCCTACAACAAATATCGGCAAACAAAAGAAAACAAAGCAGAGATTACAAATCTGAATTCGATGATCCGAGAACACCTTATCCTAAGATTCAAAAGTTACCCGGTAAATCCGAGAGAAAACGTGGGGGGTAACAAAGCGCCCGGAGATTCGCGATCTACGAAATGATATCTAACTTCAGATTTAGAAGTGTCCAAGAGAGAAATCGAATTTGGACAGATACGTCAATGCTGGAAAAGTCTGTGTACACGCAACGCAATGACGAAGGTTCCGAGTTCCGACCACGGTTTTCTAAAGACCGGTTTAGTCGTAATACTGGTTTAAAGTAACCAGTAACGAATTTTCGGTTACGTGTAACTAACCGGGTTTTCATCCTAGATTTGGAGTAGCCGTCTCTCTCTAATCCACGTGTGCTTAGTAAGAAGACCAATGATGGTGACGACGAGCGTCGTCGGAGCTCCTTTGGTGATTGCTCGGTCCAGGCGGTTTCCGGCGAGCACGAGGTGCTTCTGCGCCGCCGAAAATTCCGAGCTTCTCCGTTCCCAGCTCGATCAGCTTCACGCGGAGGCCGAATCAACTCGTGCGAAAGGTCCAATTTTTAAATGCTAATTGGAATGAGTAGAGTGAATCAATGGTCGTTTCCTTGCTTCAGATACCCAAATCAATCTTACCAACTCTTATTGCATTTTTCAAATTTAGAATGAAAGTATTTAGTTTCATCCATTATGGTGTTTGAAGATGTGTGATGTGAAATTCTTAAAGACTGATTTTTTGGATGAGATGTTTCTTATTGTTAATTCAGTGATTGATGTCAATTTGGTTTATTCTTGTTGTTGTTGTTTTTGGTCCAGCAAACAGTAACAGGTTGAGACTTATGAGATTATCCGAGGCTGCAGAGAATCTACGGAAACAAGCAGCTGTAAATGTTCAGACAGGGAAAGAGAATGATGCTATAGAACTGCTTCTTCAGAAGAAAAAAGTCATGCAAGCTTTGGACAAGGCGAAAGCCAGGATCGAGTTGCTCGATACCCTTTCATCAAAACTTAACGAGGTAGAATGAGTTTCTTGTCTGTGAAAGATGTTATAGTTTTGGTTGTCCTTTTGTTTTCAGTTATTCCGAGAAATCTTTCTAATCATGTGTTGAGAAGCTTGGTTTGGTTTCAGGCAATATCTGTCAAGGAAACACAGCTGATTGGGAATATTTCTTTGGATCTCGAAGTAAATAGAGAAAATACTTCAGGTGGAGTTCACATTGTATCTCCAAAGCCCCAATCTTCTGAAGACGGGCGTGAGAATGATCCCACAGGCTTGGATTCTCAGGAAAGTAAACTTGTTGAAAACAACTTTGAGGAATACCTAGAAACTCTCGACACTGATAATCATGTACTAGAAGATGCTTTAACTGGTAGCATCTTCAAACAAGTATCCTCTTATGAATCTTTCTTGGAAAATTTGGACCAGAAACTTGGCAGAATCGAAGCAGAGCTAGTCACTGTTGTAAATGTTGCGTCATTGGTGCTTAGTCATGAAGATAAACCCAAGAATCTTAAGGTTCAGCAAACATCAGAAATTCTTGAAGAGATTCGTTGTGTGAGGGAAAGGTATTGAACTCAATGCATCTGCTAAGTTTTACCTCTAATAGCTGCGTTATTACTTGAGACTTTTGGCTTTGCTTGTGTAGAATTGCAAATATCATTTGCAAAGAAGCAAACATCAGTTAGTGGTTCAACCCGAGCTTCAATTACAGCGAAACCAGCGCACTAAACAAAAGAAATGAAACCATTCTCGGTATGAACAGTTTGGCATTTCTATAATCGTTCTGTCTTAGACAGGTATGTGGTCCTTTCCTTGATGTGAGTGTTAACATCTTGTAAGTTAGTACATTAAATTTTGATGTGATATGGGCGTTCACGTTACTGTTGTGAATGGATGTTAATTACTTGATGTGGTGGTCTATACATATACTTCAGAGCATGAACATTCATGACATATCATCTTCCTTTCATAAAGAATACCCTATTCTAATGCTTAAATTTAATGTTGATGCCAACTATGCAATCATTTCGGCTGTTCTAGCGATAAAATTGATGGCATTAAAGCGACGGGTTTAAATTATAGACTCTACAAATCAAGAAACAAAATTTTATATAAGCAAACATTTCAAATATATATCAATGATCCTGAGAAAGAAAAAGAAAGTAAGAAATAGAAATGATCCCCAATTACCAACGAATCACCATAAAGGATTAAAGTAAACATCTAAGTCCTGAAATAATAATGTTTAACTTCTTAAACAAACAAACAAAAAAACCCTAATGAAAATTCGGATCATTTTATCTGACAATGCCTTCATTTCCAGCAAGAGCCAAGTACTTATCCTTCCTTGTGAGATTAGTGCATTCGAATCCCAAAACTTTAGCAAGTTCTCCCTGAATGAAATTCGCAACTTCAAAGCTTGACTTACCTCCTGCACAAGTCATCTCTTTTGGCAACTTCTTCAAGACCTCGAGACAATAAACCGGCCTAGGGTTCATTAGAAAGAATATAGGGTCTAAACACTTTAGCCCACTCGCGGTTGTCCCGTAGAACATGCTCACTCGAGCATCCACAGCCACAGGAACAATGTCCTCGGTTAGCTCAGCAAACAGAGGACTAAATCTCAGTAGATAAGGCTCTCTACAAGTGGTTCCTTCAGGACAGACCACTAGATCTCCTTTGCTTAGCAGTCTCTGCATCGCCTCGCCGTCTTTCTTCCTGTCTCTCTTGAGGCTAACCGTCTTGAGAGGCGCTATGAGCTCGGAGAACTTGCTTAGGCTGTAGGTAACCGCGGTCAAGGGTTTCGCAAGCGACGTGGTGAGGAAAACAGGGTCAAGGAGGGTCCTATGGTTGCATACATACAAGACACCACTTTTACCTTTCTCAGGTCGTCCGTTATACAAATTGTGGGTCTTGAAAGTGATCCTAACACCGGACAGAGCAGCCAAGAAATTGGCTACTTGGTATGGAAGCAAGACTCCTATCAAGATCCTGAAGACAGCAAGGAAGAAGCCGATGGGGAGCCATGTGAACATAGCTAATGTTGCGGATGGTGTTGGCAAGAAAGCTAATCTCCCGTCGTGGAATATCAATGGCTTTGGGTATCTTTCTCTAGGCAATGTGTTGTTCTTGTTCATGGACTCTTCTTCATTCCATACATAAGCATCCTGTTGAAAGGGGCAATTTAGTTCCAAATTGAAAGTTAGTAACTTTAACATACTTTTGTGAATATAAACAAAATCGGAAGTTAATCTGTGTTTGTGAAACTGAGAAAATGGGGAAAAGGGAGTTACTTTGCAAACGGAGAGGAAGATGTGATCTTGGGGGCTTGAAGAGCATCCAATTCCAAGTGCAGGCTTCTTGTTGTTGTTATCACGAAAGTAGTCTTTGGCTGATTTATGTTTCACGACGAAACCAGACCCGGAAGCTAAGCCGGTGTAGAATCTCCTCCCCATAACTTCTATCTCTTTCAGTTTAGTCCCAACCACATCATCAGCGTTGAGGTAATCTCTGAGGAACCTCTCCACAATCACTTGCGGCAAGCTCGTGAACACGACTTTGGAGTACCCTGTACGAGCCCAGATGTCGTAAACTTGGAGATTCAAGTTCTCGAGGAAGAATTTGGGTAGAACCGACCTAGAAACGTTGTCCATGTCTTTGACTCTGAGACCAGAGAAGGTTATGAAAGATAGAACTTTGAGTTTGGTTTCTTGTGGGAGAGCCCAGAGGAAAGAACAAGAGAGCAAGAGAAAGATCGCTCTGATGATCGATCCTCCTTCGAAGGCCACGAGCATGAAGTAAGGAAAAAACGTGTGGAAGTGTTTGCTCGAGTGTTGTCTCAATAGAACACCATCGATGTCGCAGACCAAGGTGTGATGATGATGATCAGAAGAAACAGAGCATGCTCTGTTTTTGTCTACATGCTCTTGATACTTTGTAAGGCTTGGGAAGAGAGGGTTTAGAGAATCCTGAAGGTGCTGGTTTTGTTGATTTTGTTGCTGTTGATGATGATGCTGATGATGAGAATTGTTGTGTAGAGATTGTGATTTCGAGAGGTTTAGGAGATTTTTCAGTTGGAAGCCATAGCCTCTAAGCTTTCTAGCAGTTCTGTAACATGAATTAGCAAGAAGACGGTAAAGTACCCAATCTGCTAGAATCACTAGAAGCTCTGGGAATACCATAGTTATGGCTTAGAGAGAGAGAAAGAGAGAGAGAGAGAGAGAGAGGGAGAGAGAGAGAGAGAGAGAGGAGTTAATGTGTTGAAGAGGACGAAGAGATTGCAGAGGAGATTTATATAATGGGTGATGATAGGCGAGAGCAAAGGTGGTGTGAAGGTTGACCCTTTTTATTTATTTTGGTTTTTTGTTTTTAAATTTTGGTTAACCCACACATCTTGCATTAACTGTACGCCACAACGTATATGAAATATTTTTCTATATTTAAAAAAAAAAACTGGAATATGTTTGTCTTTGTTTCCAAGAAGTTATGGTTGATGATTCTACCTATTTGGCTATTTGCATTACAGTGTTGTTGCACTCGTCAACACATGATTCTCACTACAGCTGCTTTTCCCTTTCTACTTTCTGCTATTTGGCAGTTTTTTCTTAATTAGATGTCTCCATCGGTTCCTCTCTTTTTGTAAACCAAATCATTTTGATCGGAACATTTTGTAACTGCTGATGATTTTTTTTGAGAATTACATTTAACCAATAAACCAAAATAATAACAACTGTTGTATTATAGTCCAAGGTACTTATTATTTACTGTCATCTACAAGTTTGCAATTATGTTGTGAATATGAATGATGCAAGTGAACATTTCGGATAAAATGTTTGTCAAATCGTAACGAATCAGGGCACACTGTCCTACACTAAAAACACCGAAACTAGAAATCCAAAAAATGGGTTTTGCCAGAGTCTTGACGACAAAAGATTTTTAAAAATAAAATACACTTAAACGGAAAGATAGTATAATGTAGACTCAAGAAGTCAAGCGTTATCCACGTATAATAATTTGATTAACAAATATAACGTAGCATAAAAGTCAACCGATATCCACACCTATAATCTCAGTGGATAGCAGTTAATTTAATCCTAATGACTAATGAGAGAATATAAAACTAGAAAGCTCTAACCAAATGTCTTCAATAACATAACGTTGTGTGAACACGTACGCTTACTTAGAATTAAAGCGCATTTGATTTGTTTCCTAAGTTTCTAAGTATGCACTTTTTTCTGCCTAACTCCAACATATAGAAGGGCTTTAAACAAGTTAGGTTATGCAGTTGGTGACCGGTCCTTCCTTTTAACTAGCACATTTTTCAAAATTTTCCCTTTTTTAGTTAATCATTTTGTTGAAAAAATTATATATTGATGCATGGAAATGACCTGTTGAGGTAAGAATAACTAATGAAAGTGTCAGCGTTTACGTAACTGATAGTTTATAGCAAATCACATTTTATTATCTAAAATAATTAATTCTTATGAGAACGTTGAATGGTCTCAGTGAAATTAGACCAAACACACAATAGCATGCACATACATACACTCATATTGACATTGTTGTATTGAAAAGTTACTTAGCTGACTTTACTATAGAATCGCCACTATACATTGATCAGTATGGTTATGTTTTTATTTCGTCGGATACATCAAACTTTGTTAAAGCATTTTGACAAAAAAAAAAATGATAACCAGTTTATTCGCACGGATTTTAATCCACACACTACACAAGCTTGTAAGTCTTTTTAACATGTGCGTGAGGGCTAAAGGTATCTAAGGTAAAAACGTGTCTATCTCCAAATTTGTTCTTGTAGTTAAATATTTAAATTAGAAATAGAAATGTTTGTTTGTACTTGAAATCGGAAATGCAATCAACTTAACTTTGTAAATACTTTAGACAAAATACATGTTTTTTTTTTTAACCTAACAAAATACATGTTTGAAACAAAAAACGTCCAAACTTGTTTTCAGTACGATAATTGATTATAACCAAAAGACAAGAAACTTACGAATTGAATTATCTTAAGACAAGACACTACCGGACTCTAAAACTTAAAGCGAGAGACAACTTATGTCACCTCATGATATATGCAATGCAAGTACAATCAAATCTTAATAAATATAATAAGCCCAACCTTACCTATATATATGTCTAAATTAGACAGTGTAGTTACTTTCACTGACTAACTGGGCCAAACTTACTGAACAAGACATGAATGAATATGATAGTTTAAATTAGATGAATTATTTTTCACACTTCTCTCCGATGTACTCCGTCGGCAACCAAACCAATATTAAACTCTTCCATTGTACCATGCAACTCTCGTACGATTCGGATCATCTAAAAATTAACCGTTTTTTATATCTGTAATCAATAAATTTCTACATAAGGTGACACTAACAGTTAGGATTCAAATAATAATTACAAAAATAATTCGCTCAAGCCAAAACTTAACGTAGTCATTTGGAATTGCTACTTTCTAAATTTATCTCAAACAGCATATGCATTGCATGTCTTTCACATAATCTCTCAACAATAATAAAATTACAATAAGCAATAAATCATAATATTTTATTTTGAGAAACTTTCTTAATTAAATAATAATATTTATTATTTTATCATAATAAGAAATTTAATAAAAACCTAGTAATGCAGATGGTGTAAGGCTCTAATAGCAGATTGACTATACAATTTTAATCACGCTACACATGCTTCGGGGAAACCTTCAAAGATCAAAACCCTAGTCGATATATATCAATAAAATAAAAAGGCTGTCGGCACATGCATGAATAGAAAGAAAGAGCAAAAAGTCAAACAATAAATGTAGACAAAAGAGTAAATGAAATTGATGAAGCGTAGAGAAGTGTGAAGGAGGAAGAAAGAAGAAGTGTTAAGACTTAAGAATGAAGAGTTGATGCATAAACCGTGTTGTGAACATTCAAGAGGACGCAATATTCAATACCCTTCACCTTCGATGCCTTGAATATTGCGTCCTCACGTGAGTCTCTCTCTTTTGTTAGCTATCTCTCGACCAACTTTCAATTTTTTCGTGGACATTTTATTCTTCCAGTCAGTATATACCATTATTCTTTCTTTTTTTTCTACACATTCTAACTTTTCTTGATTCCTCGTTAGGCCGGTAAGGCCAACATAATCTCTTGAAGACTTAAAAGTCCACCTTCTCAAAAAACATTACTTTGTTGCCGGATTCGATCGGAAAGATTGCAATTAATAGGATTGTTAAAAATAAATTATAATCTTTGGAATTTATAAAATAATTTCGCATGATTTTGCAAAATTTTATGATAATTGGTTTTCCAAAAAGATTATGACATTGTAAAATTATTTTTTCATTCCCTATTTAATCTGTTCACCGATAATAGTTTTTTCTCATTGACGTAGAAAAAGAGAGAGAGCAAAAAAGACATGTACGTAGTTAGCCGGTAGTTACTATGAAAAGACAAATTCATGAAAAAATAAACAAAATATAGTAGTATAAAATTAGATAGAATGACAGGATATAACGAAAGAAAACTAAAATTTAGTAGTTGTGTTTTTTTTAGAACGGGCCTTCAATAAAATTTAGTTGTTGAACGGTCAAATGAAAAAGTACCCTTTATTTTAAGCTTCGATCAAATGATCATTAGAATGAAAATGATGGAGAAACGAAATATACGTCATGGTTTGCTTATAATATATTGGTTCGTTAGTTATACGCACCAAAGCCTAAAATCTCTAATCTCTTTTTAATAACAACAACAAAAAGCCTGGAATCTCTATCGACCGACAAAAAGCCTTAAATATCTATCGACCGATCGAGAGGGATACAAATATACAATACTGAGGTAGTCAGCTGCATAACTTGATGTTAAGGTTATCTGAATCGTAGAAGTGGATAACATCGTCACTGAAAAATAGATCCGTATTCGTTCGTTTACGCGAACACGTGACCAATACTTTTAAATTTATAAAAAAAAATCACATCGGTCCATACCTCTTCAATGTCTTCTCTTTTGGACTGCCTTTATTTTTGTTTTTTCCCACTAATGGAGGGATTTATATTACCATCGCTGCTGTTATACTGCCATTAATACAAATTCATGTACAAGTCATAAAGTATTTGCACCGGATTTTTCTTGTTCAGAGATATTTATATGAATAATCAATTAAAAACCTAGCTTGAATAGATCCTGCTCATCAATAATAACGTAAACTCCTACGCCACTAACTATTGAGTATTGAAGACATGCAACGACGTTATATAGCGTGTACACCAAAATCGGGAAAGATGCATGCATTGCATGCCATCGTCAAGACTCCACCCCAAAAAATAAAAGAAAATTAGGATAAACTAATTTGAAATCTCCCCATTTAATTTATATTATGGTTTCCAATCTATATGGCTTAATTACATTCATATATCATATATTAACTAGAGACAAAAGCCATCTCCGTCTTTGCATGTGTCTTCTTTTTCTAATTGAAGAATGTTCTTCGTCAACCAACAGAAAATATCTATCTTGGTATTTTACAATAATCAAAGATCCAAAAGTGAATGAATCAGTGCAGTTAGGTTGCAGTATATGTTTCCTTCCATACCATGTGATATGTCCGAAAATCGAACTAAAGATTAAAAAGAACACAACATTCGAGTCTCACTAATATTGTTGTGTAATTAAGTCAACTCGATAGTTATCGAAAAACGCGAAATAAATTGTTACCAATAGAAAAGCTACTGTGGTCCAATACTGCCAATGGAACACGACGTGTGACATCTCCACCAAAGCATAGAAATGAATACCACTTACTAACACCGGCCGGATCATTCAAATATTTGTTCCCATAAATGTTTAGTATCCGAACGTTTGACCAACTGTAGTTAGTCGTTCAAACTACACAAGTTAATACTTAATCCCTCGGTTCACATAAATGACTTTTTAACGTTTTTGCCGCCAAAATACAGAGAGAGAAACACAGAGTTTCCTCCTCAAACATTACGCAAAATATTAGTGAGACTGGTCGGGTAGGTGCCTAACGAGAAAATGCATGTTGACTATATTTTTTAACGGTCCAATTATATAATTTCTTTTAGATTTGTATTTTTTTTGAAGAAATCAAATAAATATATCGAACTAATTAAGAATCTAACGGAAGAGAAACGTGCATGCAAATGTTGCGGAAAATATTATAATTGGTGAGGTAGTTAAGGGCATGCCGATTTCGTTGAATGTTAATTTTGCTTAAGTACCTTACCCAAACCATTTTTTTTTCATTTTCATTTTGGGTTTCCTACGTACTTATTATTATCATGCAATATATGCTTTTGGTTCAAACATACAACCACCACACAATTTATAACATTTAACAACCCATCATCCCAAGATAACAACGCCTTCGTCCACCGCTCTCGAACTCAAATTTGTAACTGAATTTTGAACGACAGTCTGACAAAAAGAAATATGTTATGCACTTAATTATGCTCATAAAGTGGCATTTTTTTATTTTGCTAACAGAAAAACCTGATTAGAAATTATTTGGTTTAAATCGGTTTTTAATTTATATTAGTTTGTTGGGTTATTTTAGCTATAATGGTTTTAGACTTCTAGTAGAAGTTTGAAATTGAGATTTTCTTGAAAGAATTAAAACCATGGGACAAGTTTTAGTTGGTTGTTTTTTAAAAACTTATGCTGGCGTCATTAAGTGAAATTTGTACGAGCTAATTAAAATTGTCGATAGACCACAGAAAGAAACGTCCCATGGTGTTATTATTATTGTACGAGCAATATTGCGCAATCACTCGGCGTTATAATAATTTACCATGTCAAATTTTTGGCAAAACATTTAATGTATATTGTGAACAACATCATCTTGCTGGATCTCAATCTCATAATTACCTTGTTCTCATTATATTATGTACTGTTTCTAATTTCTACTGATGATGGCGCATGTATGATGCATGTGGCCTAGAATAGATGCGACAACAGTACGTAATGCTTACTAGTTACTTATATGTAATAATAAAAAAACATATATGATAAAACAAAAGGATTACCAGAGCGTAATGAGAAGATCAGTAATGCTTTTTTAAAAAATGTAATTATATTCGAACATACCATAACGATCAAATAAATGATCAACTGGTATCTATCTTCCACCTAGGGATAGGTAGGCATTTAAATTACAGTTGATCAGTTCGATTAAGTTATTTTTTACCGAAAGAAAAAGCTAATTAGCTCCGGTTTGGTTTCGGTTTAATATTTAATTATGATAAAAATCATGAAAATCCTTCTGGCTCGGTTTGGTTTATTTATAAATTGTTTTGACTTGGATTGTCATGTAGCCCATTAACGAACGAACAAGACCATCATATGATATCTAAAGCAGAGAACCACTTAAATTTCCGAAATTTATGGGCCCTTTAGAATTAAACATGCTTTCAGTAAAGCCCATAAGAAGCCCACATCAACACTTTTTCGCATTTGAATGAAGAAAACATCTTCAAGAACCCAATCCGTTTGGTAAGGTATGTTGTTAAAAAAAAACGGAAATTAGTTTTGAAATTAAAATTGAGGAATGTGTATATTTATATAAACTTACTTCTAAGAAGACCATTCACAATCGCAGTTGAAGATTCTTAATATTGAGGAAAGATTATAATCGAAAGATCATAATAAAAAGGCGATTAAAAAGGCGATTTCCCACCGACCTCCATCTCCATCGGCGCCGGTCTTTGGCCATCGTCGCCGGCAACTCCAATGGCTAAGAAAAAGAAATCTCCTATCCTCGGCTTCCCCCTTAGTCCAAATCACCTCCCAAAATCTCGCCCACCCCCTATTTCAACCCTCCCCTCTCCCATCTCAAAACCCGACCTCTCAAATGAGTCCTTGAAATTGGACCAACCAGCGACTTCTATGGCCACTGAAAAGTGCCCAAATCCTGTTGATGCTACCCGCTTGGATTCGCCAGCCGCCTCTAGCACCAACGACACGGTCGTCCTCAACTCCGTAGAGATCTGCTCTCCAGCTTCACAGGCCCCCGCCGACGAACCTGAGAAATCCAGCAAGCCCTCCTGGACGGAAGTCGTGAGCCCCTCAAACAAGAAGATGGTGAAGAAAGGGGAAAATTTCACCCTTGACTCAGGCGAACCCTGCGTCACCATTCCGAACGAAGTCATTACCAGGAATCAACACAGGTGGGAGAAATTTATTCTGGCACAGTTCCATGGCAAAGCACCTTCTCCGGGAGCGCTTCACGCCATCACCAACGGCATCTGGAGTAAAAGGCTTCGCGACATCACTGTTTCAAAGCTTAATGACAGATCCTTTCTTATACGAATTCCCTGCCCGCTAACTCGACAGAGGGTCCTAGCGCAGGGCATGTGGCACATAGAAAACCAGTCGATGTTTGTCGGGAAATGGGAGCCTGGATTGACGCCTGAAATCCCGACATTAATCTCCGTCCCGGTCTGGATTGACTTCCGGAACGTCCCCCTACAGTTCTATTCTGAGGAGGGTCTCAAGCACATTGCAGGGCTTGTGGGCGACCCAGTCAAGTGCCACCCAACAACTCTCAATATGACAAACCTTGAAGTGGCGAGAGTGCTAACCCTGATAGACCCCTCGAAACTCCTTCCGGAGTTTGTCAATGTGCGATTCCAGTCAGGGGAAACTCGGCGAGTAGAGGTATCATCTCCTTGGCTCCCCCCAACCTGTGAGTTCTGTAGCCAGATTGGTCATTCGCTTCGCCGATGCCCCTCCGCTCCGATCACCTGTGCGGGATGCAAATCCACTTTGCACTTCACGGACACCTGCCCACGAGCTAAAAAGAAAACTGATTCCCAGAGAGAAATCAAAGGAAAGGAGGAAAGTGCCACACGGCAAGCGGTTGTCCCCCCCTCCCTACAGGAGAATTTGAAATATAAACCAGAATCGAAGGCGGAAGGCAAAAAGATCATGACTCGGGAATCCACTGCAACCACGCGGAAACCCAAAGGGCTCTCCTCTAGCAGAAAACCCCCTGTCCCATCCTCTCCGTCTGACTCGGAACTACCCTCCACAGCGCTCTCTGATTCAAGTTCGGGGGACCCTAGCTACTACTCTGAGGAAGATGATAATCCGCAGGATAGCGAGAGACTTATTGAAGTGGTCTCTAAGCGGCATCAGAAAATCAAAAGGACGGAGGGGAAGTCACGGGGCAAAGGCCTCAAACATCTCTAAGTCTGATGATAGTCGACTTTTTTTGTTGGAACGTCCGGGGCTTTAACAATTCCTTTAGACGTAGTAGCTTCTGTAGATGGCTTAGGCGTAGTAAAGCCTCTTTTGGGTGTATATTAGAGACTAGAGTGAAGGAGCATAAATCACAGAAGATTCTGAATTCTTCTTTCCCGGGCTGGAGCTATGTCACCAACTATGAATTCTCTGACCTGGGGAGAATATGGGTTCTTTGGGGCTCGAACGTAAGACTCTCGGTTATCCACAAATCAAAGCAGGCCATCTCCTGCCGGGTGAAGCTGCCTGAGTGCACTCAGGAAGTTACAGTTACCTTTGTCTACGCAGTTAACAGTCCTACTGGGAGAAGAGAACTATGGGAAGATTTGGTGAACCTTTCTTCTAACCCGGTCACTTCCTCAACTCCGTGGTTAGTCCTGGGGGATTTCAACCAATCTCTTGATCCGGAAGATGACTCCAGGGGGTGCACGAGAATCTCAAGTGGGATGGAAGAGCTTAGAGAGTGCCTGCACCAAGCTGGACTCTTTGACCTCACGTACAGGGGAAACAAGTTCACTTGGTGGAATAACCAAGAAGCCAATCCCATCGTTAAAAAGCTCGATCGTATCCTAGTCAACGGCAGCTGGATTCTTAATTTCCCATACTCCTGCGGTCACTTCGGGGAGAGCCTCTTCTCGGATCATAGCCCAGCTTGTGTCGAGCTCGGTCGCTCCCTTGCGGACAACAACAGACCATTCAAATTCTTCAACTTCATTGCTAAACACCAGGTTTTTTTGCCAAGGATCTCGGCGGCATGGGAGGAGCTTCGCTTCGAGGGGACGAAACTGTTCTGTCTGGTTAAGAAGTTGAAAGCGCTTAAGAGTATCATCAAAACCATCAACCATGAGCAGTATTCAAATCTACAGCTGAGAGTTCTGGAAGCGCTTGACAAACTCACCATCTGCCAGCGCAACCTCCTCTCCTCCCCAACGCCCGCTATAGCTGCTCTAGAAAAAGAGGCTCAGAAAGACTGGATGGACCTTGCCGTTGCGGAGGAGCTCTTTCTGCACCAATGCTCACGAGTGACTTGGGTTGAGTGTGGCGACAGGAACACAGCATTTTTCCACCGTTACATGGCAGTTAGGCGATCAGCTAATCAGATCCACTACATCCTCGACAGCTCGGGTGTTAAGCACGAAACAATTCAGGAGATCCAACGTTGCTGTGTGGACTTCTACAACAATCTTCTAGGCGAATATCAGGCCCCCCTCACGGAGTCGAATATGGAATCCATTGACGCCCTTACTCCGTTTAGATGTGATCCTGCAACAAAGGAGATGCTCTCTGCTCCAGTTTCTGCAGCGGATGTAAGGAGAGAACTCTTCTCCCTCCCTCTCAATAAATCCCCGGGGCCCGATGGATACACTCCTGAATTCTTCCGTGCTGCTTGGGATGTTGTAGGGGAAGACTTCACTCAAGCTGTTCTTGAATTTTTCTCCTCTGGTCAGATGTTGAAGCAAATCAACTCCACGATCCTCGCCCTGATTCCCAAGCATCCCGGTGCAGATCAGTTAAAAGACTTCAGGCCAATTTCGTGCTGCAATATGGTCTATAAGGTTATCTCCAGAATCCTTGCGAGACGGCTGCAAGCAATTCTGCCGAATATGATCTCCAACACTCAGTCTGCTTTTCTGAAAGGGAGACTCCTCGTCGAGAATGTACTCCTAGCAACTGAGCTTGTCCAAGGGTTTAATCACAAGAACACCTCGAAAAGAGGTCTGCTGAAAGTGGATATTCGGAAGGCTTTTGACTCAGTTCGATGGGACTTCATCATCCAGGTTCTCCGGGCAGCTGAGTTCCCTCGCACTTTTGTGAACTGGATCTCACTGTGCCTCACCACCACCAGCTTCTCAGTGTGTATCAACGGGGGTCTCTGCGGCTATTTTAAAGGAACGAAGGGTCTGAGACAAGGTGACTCCCTCTCCCCATACCTCTTTGTTATGGCAATGGAAGTCTTTGACTGCCTTATCAAAACCAAGTTCAATGATGGGATAATCGGTTATCACCCAAAGGCGCATAATCCTAAAATCTCTCATCTCTCCTTTGCGGACGATGTCATGCTTTTCTACGATGGAAAGACAAGCTCCCTGCAGGCCATTATTAGCACCATGGAAGAGTTCTCGGAGCTTTCAGGATTGATAATGAATAAGGAGAAATCTGCTCTTTATGTTGCAGGATTGAACCAGGCGGAAACCATAGAATCCACATCTCTCGGATTCCTCCTCGGTTCACTCCCGGTCAGATACCTTGGACTACCGCTGATGCACCGCAAGCTGAAGAGAGCAGAGTACTCGCCCCTTATTGACGCTCTTAAGAGAAGGTTCACTAGTTGGTCAGTAAAAACCCTTTCCTTTGCAGGAAGGTTGCAGCTGATCTCCTCGGTGGTTTATAGCTCAATAAACTTCTGGTTAGCTGCTTTCTCGCTTCCAAAGAGCTGCCTAAAATCTCTAGAATCGTTATGCAGTAGATTTCTCTGGTCTGGCAGCTTAGAACACCACCGTGGGGCGAAAGTATCATGGCAACAGCTTTGCCTTCCTAAAACTGAAGGGGGTCTGGGGCTCCGGAACTTCTCTCAGTGGAACAAAGTCTTGAATCTGAAGCTCATATGGTTGCTGTTCTCTTCAAGTGGGTCACTATGGCTCGCTTGGATTAAAGAGCACCGCCTGAAGCGCACAAACTTCTGGCAAACAGAAGGAAAAGGTAACTCATCGTGGATATGGAGATTTATACTGCGGTTAAGACCCCTCGCTAAGAGGTTCCTAACCTGTACGATAAACAATGGCAAGAGATGCAGCTTCTGGTTTGATTCCTGGACACCTTTAGGCCCGTTGATGGATTTTGTTGGGTCAGAAGGACCTCGAACTCTGGGTATTCCTCTACAAAGCTCTGTCGCCTCTGCCTGTACCTCTGGTTCTTGGTCTCTCCCCCGAGCTGCTACTCGCAACAGCCTGATCCGGAAGGTTATAGACACCCTCACTACAATTGAGCTCCCAAATCCCGAGAGAGGGGAGGATCTCTACCTCTGGAAAACAGGTAACACACATAGGGATTTCTTCTCCACGGCTCATACTTGGGAGGAAATCAGACCGGTGTCTCCGCCCGTTCCTTGGCACAAAGCGGTGTGGTTCAAAGGCTACATTCCTAAACATGCCTTCACCTTTTGGGTGGCGCAGCTGGACAGACTACCTGTCAGAACAAGGCTAGTCAAATGGGGCCAAATCAACAACGCTTCTTGCTGTCTCTGCAACTTACATGACGAGACCAGGGATCATCTCCTCCTCCACTGTGAGATCTCTATTCAGGTTTGGAAATTAGTTTTCCGACGGCTAGGGGAGCCAACTGTCCTGCTTTTGAATTGGTCGGGACTAGTCTCTTGGATGTTGGACCCTTCTCCTCAGATGCCTCTCATCCTCAAGCTGCTTGCTGCCCATGCCACCATCTTCTCTATCTGGAAGGAGAGAAATTCGCGGCTACATGAGAGTACTTCTCACACGGTGGACCATGTGTTCAGGCAAATTGACAGATCAATAAGGGATTCAATCTTGGCGCGAAACAGAACCAGGAACTCGGATCTCCTATCCTCCTGGTTCGTTTTCGAATGAAGACTCAGCTCTCTCTATTATTTCTGCTCCTTGCTAGCGGCTATTATGTAATTGGTCGGGCTTTTTATCTTTTTTGGGCTCATCCTTTTCACTCTAGTCACCAAACTCTTGTAAACGGAACGTTCCTTTGGTAAATATATTCACATTTTATAAAAAAAAAAAGATTCTTAATATTGAAACAATCAAATGTATTTTTTTTTTTTTGGGTGAATGATTAGTGTAGATTTATTAAATGTTTTGACAACGGAGTAGAAAAGAAAAAAAAAAGTGTCTTAATAGAAAAAAGAACAAAAGTGGTGCGCACGTGCTTAGAAACTTTAACCTTCTTCCGAATCATTGCATTGACAATTTAACTGTCGACAAAAAAAAAAGAAGAAGAAGGCATTAGCCAAATCGGACTGATTCCTTCATTTTCAGCCGCCCATTCGTCACAGATCGGTTTAACATTGGTTTGTGGAAACCCGAAACCCTAATCGCATCGAATCGCAAAAAGTTGATTTTATCCTCTTTTATCTTTTCATCTCTCACACCATTTTTTAAAGAATCAGAAAAAGGTCGAAACTTTCCTTCTTCATTTTTCTCTACTTTCTTCAGCGAGCACCTTTAGGGTTTATCCTCCTACGATTCAGTTTTCCGATTCAATTCCTCGCAGCTGCCGGAGATGGCAGAGGAGCGGAGCATAAACGGCGAGGCGACTGGACATGAAGATGACCGTTTCTTCGAGTCCGATCAACATGACGATGGTGGGAAGTCTACGGAATTGAGTCGAAAGATCAAAGAGCTCGAGTCCCAGAATCAGGAACTGGCGCGGGATAATGGTGAAATCACCCGGAAAATCGAGAGCCTTACGGCGGAGATCGAGGAGCTGAGAGGAGCCGAATCCAAGGCGAGGCGTAAGATGGGTGAGATGGAGCGAGAGATTGACAAGTCGGACGAAGAGAGGAAGGTTTTGGAGGCCATAGCTGCGAGAGCCTCGGAGCTGGAGACCGAAGTGACACGGCTTCAGCATGAACTGGTGACGGCCCAGACGGAAGGGGAAGAGGTTGCGGCGGAGGCGAAGAAGCTCCGGTCTGAGATTTCACAGAAGGGGGATGGGATTGAGGAATTGGATAAAGAGGTCGCTGGTTTAAGGACTGTAAAGAAGGAGAACGAGAAGATAATGAAGGAATTGGAGACGAAGCTTGGTGCTTTGGAGGTGAAGGAGTTAGAGGAGAAGAACAAGAAGTTTCGAGCAGAGGAAGATATGAGAGAGAAGATTGACAATAAGGAAAAGGAGATTAATGAATTGAAGGAGAAGATCAAGGGTCTGGAATCAACTGTAGCAGAGGAGAAATCAGAGTTGCAGAAGTGGAAAACAGAGAAGACGACTGTGGAAGATTCGTTGAGAGAGTCAGAGAAGAAAGTGGCGGCCATGGAATCAGAGATTGTGGAGTTAGAGAAACAGATGGATGAGTCTGAGAAGATGATCAGTGGATTGAAGAATATGGTTGAGCCAATTAACGGCGTTGAGCTTAAGTCATGGTCGCCGACTGTGACTGCTGGTTCTGGTGGAGCTATGGCCGCTGTTGCAGTTGCAGTGGCTGGAGCGGCCGTCGTCTGCTACATTTACCATTCGAAGAGGGCTTGATTCGAGGTAGACTTTTATGAATCTGATTCCTTTGTTTTCGGAGTGTTTCCTACGCAACTTTCTTGCTACATCCTTGATAATTTGATTGAGTTCACAATTTTGGAGTCTTATTTATTGTGTTTTTGCTTAAATCTTCATTACAAATGTTCTCGGCAACAATCAAGAGATTGAAAAAAAAAAACCAGAGGTTCAGCAGAGGAATTAAAAGAACAAGACACAATTTGAAATCACACTCGAGAAATAGAAAAGGAATATGGGATCTTTTTACTCTGCTCTGTTGTTCTTCAGTATGGAAGCTGGTCTTCATGACTTGAGAAGATCAAGAACTCCACAGCAGTTCTTCCACCATGGCGTCGCTGTCTCGATCCCACGATCCCCCGCCGATAGGAGTGGCTGCAATTGTTAAAGACAAGCATAAGATTCTTTCTCTCCCCTATCTAGTTTTGCCCTCAAGATAGTATGTAAGGAATTGAAGTTTCCTTTATTGGTGTTTCGATCCGAACCTGATTGTCTGTGGATACTGGTAAGTCGCCGTTTGCGGTTGTGGCTGCTGAGTCAGCGCTACCGGTAAAGTGTGAAACAGCTCCCAATATCTTGGAGGAGACTTCACCTTTCTTCTCTTCCAAACTGTGCAACAGAGATTTGGCACCATCTATGCCTCTTGTGACCACATTGTCCACTGCATCCTTCACGACGTCGGTCTTGGCGGTTTCAGCAGAGGCGATGACGGTTTCTTTGGCTTCAGGGAGAGCAGAGGTGGCGTCGGCCATTTTGTTTGGCGACTCTGTCTCTGTTGTACGTTTGATTCAAGACGCAGGAGATTATGAGAAAGAAGAGAGGACATAATATAGTGACGAGAAGATTTAGAAAAAAAGAAAAAGGGCAAATTTGAAATGTCCAAATTGGCCGCGACTGTTTCAACGACCTCAACTGCTTCAACGACCTAAACGTGTCTTTCTTTATCTAATCCTAATCTTAACACTAAGATAAAACTTCTGGCTAGTTTTTGTTTGTGCGGAGAAGGCACCATGATAACTACTATTAACTATTATAAGAAAAGGCTATTGTTTACAACATGAAGAAAAGTACACCATTTTGATATTTAAGGTTGGTTGGGTTTTAGGATTTCAAGCTTCGTTTTTAGGATTTCACGTAATTTAGACACCAACAAAAGCATATTCTAGGACCTGAACTTAACCAAACCAATCATGAAAATCGAAATTCAGACATAAATCCTTATTCAATCGTGAGCCTGAAGCAACACATTATGTAATAACACACTAACATACTACGTCGAGTTTCAAGTTTTTGGATAAAGTCTTAACAATTGAACAAAACACAACATATGTCCTCTGTTCTGTTCTCTTCTATCCTCGTACTGATGCACAACCTGAAGTCTCGTATTTGCCTCCCCACCTATGAATTTTTCAAAAAATTAAAGAACATTGTTTCTCAGAGAAATTCTGATAGAAGAAAGCTACACAGTTGGGGGTTTTATTATCACTTAAATGGACCTGTTTTCTTCTGTTTCAAGGATATGAAGCTCAATATCATCCTCTAAGGGCTCAAACACCAAGTTAATTTTCTCGTCATCTACCTCATCTAATGTCGCTGGATTCCACTGCACCAAACCCAACCCATACAAGTTTGAAAGTATGTTAGATGCGATCTCCTTCTAAGTAGACACAGTTTTTACCTCCTAAGAGCGTAAACATACCTTTGGAGAATTGTCTTTGTCTATGGTCAGAGCTCTTATACCCTGCGCGTTGCCACACAGAGAACCCGGATAAGAATAGTTTTTAAAATAAGATGATGCTTGCTACAGTTTTCCTGAAAAGCAAAAGCAGGAACGGGTCACAGTTTTTTGCATCTATGTTCTTTACCTCATACACGTCAGGGGATATGGTGCTCCTCAAGATATTCACGGTGATTCGAAACTCCTTCTTGAGACAATCACTCAGTGTTTGCTTTCTACCTTCACGAATCTGTACGCATCACATCAGCAAGCTCAGGTTTTGAATCTCTTGGCCCAGATTACAAAAGTACTATAGAATAGAGTCAATCGACTCATATATATTTCACAGGAATCGGAAGATAAAATCATGACACAAATGACAATTACCGATTGCAGAGTGATCTTCAACCCTGTGGGTGACGATCGCTTTAGACCTTTGATAACTGGAGTTACCCACTCATTTCCCTCTTTGCTCCCTTCAGCTTCCTGTAAGAGGACCATAAATATTTCTTACTGATGAACAGACCCGGGAGTGACTCTTGTTCCGGGAAAATCACAGGACTTACAAATGCTTGTATGATCTGCTTCACATTTTCTTTTGAGAAGCACTCATTGATTATTGACTGCCTGCAGATCAGCCCATATCCCCAAAGTTAATACCGTCCCTGTGCTTATATATATGTATCAATGAGGACAAAAATGCTAACTAACACCTCAAGCACGAAGAAAGGCATATATAAGAGAGTTTTACTTGTTCAGAATACTGTCTTGGTCGAGGTTGACTTTCTCGGAGAACTCTTCAATTGTGGATCGGACTACATCCATGTCACCAGAGTCTAAACTCACAAGCCTTGCCTCCAGATCCGCCAATTTCTGATGATGAAGAAAGAAAAGATGTGAAAGATAAGCATTCCACTTACAAACTTTCTGCAACATAACATCGTTTCTAGAATAAATGTACAATCTGTCCGAACCCAAGCTTAAGGATAATAGTCAGACTCAGAGATTCCAAATACATCGCTGAAGTTGCAGATGATAAATATAAAGTTGGAAGACAGCTCAAGAAAGAGAGGTCATTACATACTCCCAAAAGACTGAATACTAGAACACCAAAATATAGCATGGAAAATGTAAATGCGGATATATTTACATCCTAGATCCATGCAAAACATTATCAAGAACTCACAGCAGAAGGTACAAAATGTGTTGCCATTCCAATTGCTACAAGTTCTTTTCCGTTCAATCTTGCCCCAGTTAAAGCCAAGAATTCTCCTACAAACGTCATATAAAGACTCTAAGTACATTAGAGATTACTAGCCAATGTCTAGTTGGAATCAACATTTGGTGTTAATGGTTTAGCATCTTACCCAAATGACCAGGAAGACGTGAATGGATGTAGGAGAACCCACAATCGGTGTGAAACCCGATACTTGCTTCTGGAGTTGCAAAAACCTATCAAGTGACAGATAATAGTTTAGTTGAATCTATATACTTGTTTCTACAACCATTATACAGAAATAAGATATGGAGCAAATTAAACTCATAACCCACCGTTTTCTCTGTCACAACCGAGAACTTCATTGGGACCATCAATGATGCACCTCCACCCATCGATATGCCATTAACAAGAGAAACCTGTACAGTTCTATTTCGTTACATTAATACTCCTCAAGTGGACACTTTCACACAATGAAATGTGGAAAACGACAAAAACCCACCTGAGTCTTCTTGTATGTGTGGATATGATAGCAAAGCCAGTACATCCTGTAAACAACCTCAAGACAAGAATCCTCTGTCGAAAACGACTTATCATCATTAAGTTATGACCAAACCTCTATGGAAAAGGAAAAAAGAACATGATGGTTCTCTTGGAGTCTTACTTGATTCCCGGCCGTCATAAAACATCTTTAGATCACCACCGGCGGAGAAAGCTCTCCCTGCACCCTGCACGAACAAGCCATGCTAAGAAATTACTCTACTGTATGTAGTAGAAAATCATAATCAGACCAAGGGAAAAAGATCAAACCTTGATCAATATAAGCTTTGTTTCGTCGTCCTTCTCCCACATTTCGAGATATTCTGCAAGCTTGAGGACCTGAGTATCAAAGGTTTGCATTAGGCGGCTCTCAGTATCTACTAGAAAAGGAGAGTATTATCAACTTCCGATCTACGGTGTTAGTATACCACTTCCGAAGAGATGACATTTAGCTGACGAGGGCGGTTTAGAGTAAACGATTTCACAGAACCTTTCTCCTCTCCAACAAGAACCTATAACAATGTCAAATTTCAAAAAGTTTTACTCATGGTTTACAGCTGAGTTATGAAGACCACACACACCACAAAGGGATGAAAACAAGCAGATATTACCGGCTCATCGATGTTTCGACCTTCTTGAGCCATCTTCAGCTGTCACAAACGTCACAAAATACTTACTTATCTGATCAATAAAGCCACCAAATTAAAAGAGTTGGATATAGAAACTTCAGACCCAATGTGACAAATCCCAAGATCTAACAACTTGCAACATTTCCCCTGACCGTAGTACTTCACTTCCTATTTCACCAAGACCAAGAACACAAACTCTATGCAAGTGATAAACTTTATGATCGCAGAATGAACATTTCCAAACAAAATCTACCCTTCCGATCAGCGAATAAACGGGCAAAGACTCAGAAATGAAGGAACTTTAATGGGTACAAAATCCATACAACTTGAGATCAGAGAACCCAACATGCAACAATCAAACCCAACAACCTCTCACAAAACTAAAGAAGCAACGAGTGAAATCAAATGAGGGAGAGGGAGAGAGAAGAGGAAACCTTGAGAGAGGAGAAGCGAAAGGTGTTCGGTATGAATGGAGATCAAACTATGAGAAGCCAAATTTAAAACCTCTTCTGAGTATTTGTTCGGACATTGCGAAAAATGGCAGGTGAAGCTAATCATCAAAAGGAGGGTTTGGTAGGGAAAGAGTATCATCAAACTTTACTGCTTCTTCTACCTAACCCCCTCGCAATTTCAATATCATCGTGCTGCTACTTTTTTTTTAACTTTTTCTATACACTAAAAGACAATTTCTGATTTTATTGATCCAGTAGTGTACATATAAACTGAAAAAAAGTTTATTGACAACATTTTTTTCTCGTACTTGTGTATGTGTGTACACGCACATTTCAAATCCGAAATTCAGATTGTAACACAAAAACATTAGTACAATTCTGAGTTCACAGCCGTTTGTGTGATTATATTATCGTCTTCTTCTGTTTTCGTTATAAGTGTGATATCTTCACACTTCACAATTCACACACAAGCTCACATCTTTGCACTTGATTACAATTCAGTATAGAGAGAGTAGGCCCAACAAAAATAAAGAGTTGGGCTATTATAATTTAAAGCGTCCCTGATTCATAGGTCATGTGGTGGGCTTTAAACGTAGTAGGAACTAAAGCCCATCTACCGTTAAAGCTCTAGTTCATAGGTCTGTGGTGGGCTTAATCGTAGCAACTTAAGCCCATCCGCCATTAAAGCTCTCAAGCTAAAACAAGCATCGATCGACCTCTCTCCGCCTCGAATGAAGAAAGCGAGGGTTCTGCTAAAACCCTCTTTCCTCCCCAGTTGCTTAACCAAAGCCACGACCTTCTTCTCCTCTGTTTCTCAGGTCCACTCTCACTCTCGCCACAAGGAGATGGATCCTTCGGAATCGGAGCGTTACTGTTATGATCCAGTGTTGCGATGGAATCCTGAAGTTGAAGACTACTTCAATAAAGCTTATGGACCAGACCACTTTGCTCGCATTTCAAAGGCTCTCACGTACTGTACTTCCCACCTTTCTATCATTCTTATGTGGTTTTGAAGCAACACTGTTCTGCTTCTTCTGTTTTGAGCGATAGCTTATTCGTTTCCGGATTTCTCCTAAATCGAATTGAATTTGTTCCTCATTAGGCGCCCATCTTCCTACTCCTGCATTCGGGTGAACACAGTTAAAACAACAAGTGACGCGGTTATTGAAAAGCTTACCAAAATCTTAAACGACTCCGAGGATAGCTTGAAGCTAGTGCAATCCGATGGAAGTAGTCCCATCTCCAAGTGTCAGATTCCTGGTTTGGAATATGTTGTTTTTGTCAATGGTTCAGGGCCACATAGAATCGAATATGACTCTGGCCTTGAAAACCCTCCCAAAGAGGTGCTTGTGAGCAGGAAGTGTGCTGAAGCTGTTCTTAGAGGAGCCCAGGTAAACATCATTTTCTCTCAACAAAACTTTAGTGGCTAGGCTTGCTCAGAATTATATGAACTTAATGTATTCCATTGAGAGGTTTAATAGTTATCTAAGCTTCTTTCCTGGTAACTATGCCGTTGGATCGGAGTATGAATCCCTATATACGTGAGTTGAACTCTGCTGAAAGAAAAAAACTTATGTTTCTCTTATGCGCTCTGTTGTAGGTCTATGTTCCAGGTGTACTGGCTTGCACTGCCCATGTTGAGAAAGGAGACGCAGTTGCTGTCTGTGTTGCTATGGAACAACCTGGGGATGAAGGTGACTGGAGCGTTAATATGACTCGCGGGACCACCCTTCAGGGTCTTCCGACAGGCAAGAATCAGATTTGTTCCTTTTACTTTGGTCACATATCATATGGACTGTAGCTGAATCCGAAGAATAGGTGTTTGATTTATTTAGAACTCGCTATGAAGGGAATATTTCATCTTGTTAGCGTGTTTATTGATCAAAAGTGCTATTATATAAGTTATAAGTTACAACTTGTGGCAGCCAAATGAATCAAACAATTTACTCTGTGGAATGCATTTAGGCTAAAAGATACTCGAATTTGATAGATTGGTTTTCTTATAATAATCCAGTCTTAGGTAATAAGCTTGCTCTCCAGTAGCTTCGTATGAAAGTGCTATATTATCCATGGTTGTTATATATGTTTTAGGGTCGCCAACAAACCAATCTTGTGAAGTATTTTGAACTTAAACAGTTGACATGTGCCGTAGTGTTATTGTAGATCCTTTCTATTGTGAACGCAGTGGACTATATATCGGCATGGGAACAACTATGTTGTCAAGGGCTGGGATGTTTCGTGTTTCTCATGGAGTTGCGGTGGATTTGAGCAATAGAGTTTTCAGATTGCCTTCTCTCCACAGTAAGCTTCTTCTTATTCCCTAAGTTTGCTTTCTACTTCAGCCTACAGTTGAAGACTCAGTATGTTATTTCATCATGGGGTATTGCTCTCACATTGTTATTATTTGGCTCCTTAGATGTCCTCGAGGGGGAAATATTTCTTCAAAACCTGCCAAGTATTGTCGCTGCTCATGCTCTTGGTAAGTGAAATAGTTTTCAGCCTACGGCATGCTTCATACATATATAAATCAAATATAGTAGATAGATATGGATACAAGATTGAGGAAGTTTAATGCTAAGTTTTTGTCTTGGCCGCCCAGATCCTCAGAAAGGGGAGAGAATATTAGATATGTGTGCAGCACCTGGAGGGAAGACCACTGCAATCGCTATACTTATGAAGGATGAGGGAGAGATAGTGGCAGCAGATAGATCTCATAACAAAGTACAGTTTCTTATGATTACATAGCAACAACCTTTTGAATAATGACGTAATATTTATTGAAACAGACATGATTACAATTTGCGTCTACTCGCTGACCTGTTTACATCGAATGCTTAGAAATACAAAACAAAAGGGTATTCTTCTTGAGGTAGCATAATTACCTGCTCTAATTAGTCCGTTTACTGTCTTTGGAAAATTAGGTGCTGGATGTCCAGAAATTGTCTGCAGAGATGGGCTTAAGTTGCATAACAACATGCAAATTGGATGCGCTAAAATCTGTTTGTCTTCCAAACACACTCGATGATTCAAACACAATAGTTGACGGTGATATTAGTGGTTCTGTGACCAGCCATACTGAATTATCATCAAATGAGGAAATGGCATTTGATGCTTTTAAAAGATCTGAGGCTGAAAAATCGTGTAAGGAAACGGGTAATTAAGCTACTCTCTCTCTTCCTCTCTCTTTCTCCCACATCAATAAACTTGCCATGTTTGCATTGCCCTGTTCCCTTTGTGGAGAAGGAACTTAGTTATCACTTCAGCATCATACAGAAATTAAACATTACTGAATTGACATCTGTAGTCCATTTTCTTGCGCCTGCATGTGTGCATAAATGCAAATCCCTATATATTTGTTCCGGTAGTTTTTTTTAAGAAAAAAACTGAATCTTGATTTTCCCATTATCATCCATATTTTAGCCAGCAGTGAACAGCCAAATGGAGGGGATAATGTTAGCCAAGCTGAAACGAGGAAGAATAAGGGGAGGCTGAAAAATGGTCGCGGAAGAACTCAATGCCAAGGTGGAAGGGCTGGAAAATCACAAGGGTTCCCGCCTAATAGTTTTGATAGGGTCCTTTTAGATGCTCCTTGTTCTGCTCTTGGCTTGAGGCCTCGTCTTTTCGCTGGACTGGTAAGATAAATGCGCTGTCTTGTGTAAACTTCTACTTTTCGTAATTATGCTCAATTAAGCATTAACTACTCACGAGTTAACAACATGCGGATAGCCTTAGCTTAATCACTTGTATGTGGCAGAAATATCATGTCTTTGTGTTTGTAGTAGTAGTTCGGAGAAAAATCTGTGTGTCTTCCTTCTTCCGTTTTAAAAAAAAAAAGAAATTGTTGAGAATGAAATTTGCCATTGTTTTTGTCTTGTAGGAGACTGTAATATCTTTGAGAAACCATGGAAGGTACCAGCGGAAGATGTTAGACCAGGCTGTTCAATTGGTTCGCGTTGGTGGAATTCTCGTATACTCAACGTAATTATGCAAACATAATTTCTGAATTTACGTTCATACAAGCTATGCAGATGAGGCAGTGACAGCCTTTGAGTTAACTGAGAGTTACTACGATTCTTACCTGTGGATGATTTGTTTTCCGTTTTGCAGATGCACAATTAACCCTAGCGAAAACGAGGCTGTGGTTCGCTATGCTCTAGATAAATACAAATTTCTTTCATTAGCACCACAGGTTTGGATCTAAATTACCCTTTTCGTTGTCAAATTCAAGGCACATGAATATCTTAGAAACTGTATGAGGTTTTTGCAAAATGTTGCATCGGGATCTTGTTCTTGTCCTAATGAAACTTCATGTGTTTGTTGTCTGCCTTGTTGCAGCATCCTAGGATTGGAGGACCTGGTCTGGTTGGTCGATGTGAATTTCCCGACGGATATATCGAGTAAGCATTTATACCCATTGAAGTGATATAATGTTCAACGAAGCAGATCTCGAAAACATTGATGATACAAAGAGATGGCTCTCGTTCTTGGACTATTCCATTAAACGAACCGTGTTATGTTTTGCAGGGAGTGGTTAAAACCTGGTGAAGAAGAAATGGTTCAGAAATTCGACCCGTCATCTGAGCTTGATACCATCGGCTTCTTTATAGCTAAATTCAGCGTCGGCTCCAAAGATTAATGATCTCCAAAGCTGATTCCTGCTCAAAATTACTGTGTTTGAAGTTCAAAGTGAGATGGTATTTTTATTGATCTCGGTTTCTATGTGAGATGGACAGACATCTTTCATACATTTTTGTAATCATCTTCTTTTTAATAACATAAAACAGTTTTTAATTACAATCCTTTAGTTGGTTCCTTGTTTCATCCCACAAGCTGTTTGGCTTCAAGAGTCTTCTCGTACTCTTCAATGGACTTGAAGAGCTCAGAGAAGTTGCCTTTGCCAAAGCCACCACATCCTCCACTCTGGTAAACTTTCCCTTCCTCATCTTTCTTCATGCATCCTATTCTCTGGATTATCTCTATAAATATCGTCGGCCTTACCAACAACACATTCACAAAGACAAGAGATTCTTAGCATCAAATGGATTGTTCAAACCTGATATAGTAAAAAACACAGATTCTGTGTTTGTACCTGTCACCAAGTGGTTTTGTGAAGATCTGAAGCAACGTCCCTTGATCATCTCTGTCCACAAGAATCCCCAATTCCTCACACTCCTTGATCTGTTCGTCGCTGATCACGTCACCGACCCGTTTCTTCAGATTCCGGTAGTAAGTAGGCGGAGGAGAAGGCATGAAATCGAACCCTCCAACACTGCTCCTCTTACGCATCTCTCTCAGTGTCCTGAATATGTCTTCGCTCATCAGAGCCAGATGCTGTAGCCCTGCGCCTTCGTTGTGTTCCAGATACGTCTGAATCTGACTCTTCCTCTTCGTCCCGTGCACCGGCTCGTTTATTGGTAGAAGAACCGTTTCGTCATTGCTGGCCAGGACCGCCGAATTTAAACCGCTCTCGGCGGTCCCCACGTCGTCTGCTGTGAACTCTGCGAATTGGTGAAATCCAGTGAACCCTGCGACGTAAGTTAACGCCGGACCAAGCTCAGGGACGTTTCCCACGGCGTGATCAAGCCGCCGTATCCCGTAGTCCAATGGAAACGACGAGGCATCCTCGACCGGTTCAAATCCTGGCAGGAAATCGGATTTATCGGTGTCTACTCCTTTGTGACTAACATATCGGAGGACGACATCGCCGTATAGTTTAACCTCAGCGATAGTAACGGCTTCGTCGAGGACGATAGGAGGCGACGAAGGAATGGCGCCGTTAGCGACACTGATGGAGAAGGCCGACTCTGCGTCTTCTACTTCAATTGCGACAGCTCTTACGCCGAGGCCATGGGAAGAGAAGAAGGAGCGGCAAGAGACGTGATCGAAGGATGGGATGGAGGCTGTAGCGGTCGGTCGGATTTGGCCGGCGGCGAGCGACGTGGAGTAGGGAGCAGTGAAAAGGAATCGCAGGTCGCCGGAGGTGAGGAGGTAGGAGGCGTGAACCATGTTACCGGTGGAGAGATCGGATTTGGCGGAGAATCGCATTCCGAGACCCCACGAGAAGCGACGCGCGACGTTGGTGGCGTCGCCGCACCAGAACTCGATGTGGTGAAAGCGCTTAACCGTGAATTTGTCGGACCTCGGATTCTTCCTCACGAACTTGGAAAATCCGACGAGCTTAAATCCCGGCGACGCAGACGCAGCATCGATGTCGTGCTGCTGACTCTCTGAAACGGCGGCGTTTTCGTGCCCCATAGGTTTTCACCTTCAGCTAGAACTAAAAAAATTCTGCTACGGAACTGAGTGTGGTTCGTTGAGCTACGGACACAAATACGTAAGGATTTTATTTTAGTTTAAAATCAGTTTATTTTGGGGGTAGAAAAGATAAGAAAAGAAGAAAGTCGTATCGTTATCTTGGGAGTCTTAAGATTGTCAGATTACAGATATGATGTTACTGTTGAACATCGAAGGATACACGTGTACGGTCAGGTTTTTCACTAAAAACGATTACGTGATGGATCTCACTACTTGCCCTTGTCCAGAGTTGCGGAGTTGTGACGTGTAATCCCTATCTACCATTTATAATATATTGCATTTTGAATCGCAATATCAATATGTATATTACTAGTAACGTTTCTGGCAAACGAGTTTCCTTGGTTGATCATTAGCAACGTAGTGATTTCTTGTTATCACATGATAATTTGTCTTGTTCTATTGTTCGATTGATATAGCTAATGGAAACTAATTTCAGTCTAGCTTTTGTAAGGTCGCAAGTTACTCTCGATCATGATGTAAAAAAGCTACACATCCCTAGAACGAGACGTAAGGAACATGTTACAACTTAAGTTACAAGCTTTGCACAATAAGCTTATTAAAATAAGGTCACAGACACAAAACTCTCAAGCTATATTCGGTTCAACGTCTTGAGGGTTCCCGAGAGCTATAATATGCTTTCTGAACAAAGCGGCAGCTTCTTCCCTCTCCTCAAGCTGTCCCAGCTTGTCGTATACCATTGCCATTAAATACAGAGCTTCCGCTGCGAGTTCATGGTACTGCAAAAATAAGCACAACGATTAATAAGTGACCCAAACGGTACCAAGATCCAGTTTTTGAAACAAAAGCTACTGTACATAGCATTCTTAATGGCATATGTTACCTCCAGAGCTTGAAGCTCATCTGAAGCTTGCCTTAGAGAATCCAGGACAGTGTCAGAATCTGTGGAAACTGGTGAAATATAGTCACAGCCCAACAAACAAAAGTCAGAACCAATCAGAAACTCGCAACCAGTAAGACAAAAGGCAATGACTATTCGAGATTGGATACTTTCTCAGATGCACTCATTTAAGATCCAAAGCCCTCTATGTGGCAATGACATCACCCCTTTCATATAAAAATCATGAACTAAGAAGTATGAAATAAAAGCTACCTGAAAAGCTTGGATCACACAGATAGCAGTTTGCTTCAAAGATGTATGCTCGAGCACGCAACTCCAGACCTCCATGGCCAAGAATCATAGGGAATGCCCCATGCAAAAGGTTTAACGCCCGTTTTGCATGATTTGATCCGAGACCAAGCCACAGCTCGGCAAGCGTGAGAGTTGCTGATGCTTTGAGAAGATCCAAGTTGAATGACTGGCAAAACGAGATGCTTGCCAGCGCATATGGAAGACCCAAGACTGCATTTCCTGACTTCTGAGAACCAAAAAGGGTGGAAGAGGAAAGGTGAAGTCCGCCCGGAAAACTAATAAAGTATTGAAAATAATGACATGTACTCCAAGACCAAGCAGCAGAGATAGAGAACATTCAATGAAATATCATATATTCCAATCAGTGTGCTGTCAACCTACTAAGTTCTTGTAGCCATGTCATACCTTATGTATCTCTGCAAGCAGAAGAAGAACAGACGCCTTTTCGATTTGCAAATTGAATTTGTGGCATGTGCAGAAGAGGGAGTGTGCCACATTTGCTGCCTGTAGAGGACGTAGTACCAAAGCAAAATTTAAGATACATTTACAAAGCATAAAATATTGCCTGTAATTATAGATAGCACTTGGGCTTAAAAACAGATGGTCAACAAGGCTTTATAAACCTGGGTATACTGTTTCGCTGCAAGCAACGTCCTAGCTTCACGAAGACTTGCTTCTACTTTCAGCTCCATGTCTACACCCATGGTGGTTGATGCCAAGCCTCCTAGCTCATTGCACATTCGTTGAGCTAGCTTTATATTCCCACTAATGGATTTAACAAAGTTAGAATAACTGGCTTCAGAGATAATAAATCAAGTACAATAGAGGTCCTCTGTTCAAATTCTATATCCCAACGAATGTTTTATACAGCTTCAAAGCATTTGAATCTATCTACATAACCTTCAAACAATAAACTAAGTGATCACAGAGGGCGGATAAATGAATCAACTTGGCTGGTTTTATGAGGTTGCTAAAGCAAACTATCAAGCAGAAGCATGTTCTTTAAAATTCAAGAGAGCTGTAAATTACAGAAACCCCGGCAGAATTACTTTTGGGGGGAAGGAATAGTACGCACCCGCCCCTTCCTTTCTCGTAACCTTGAAGCTAATCAGGACTAGGAGAGCGTATAAGAAGAAAAGTGGCATGTATAGGAGGCTGAGAACCTTACCGATGCAAGGCATGTTCATGCAGTAGCTGCAACTTGAGCAACAATATTTTTGATTTTGATAAGGTTAAGAACTTTTCCTCCGCAATCTTAAGAGCAGCAAAGGCATCTAGAATAGCATTAGTTCCAGAACAGAGGTCAGCATAGGGAAAAAAACATGGAACAAGATCTTAATAAGCACGTATAGCAAGGCGTTCATGACCTTGTGCACAGATTCTAACCTTTGTACCCCTTATGTAGTGCCAAATGTTGAATGAGCTTCAAGTATGCTAACTCAGCGTCAGATGAACTATTGATGCAAGAAATAGATCAAAATCATTCGAGTTTTTGAAAGAAGAAAGAGTTAAAGAGGGAAAGAGAGAAAGGGACTGAGAGTAAAACAAAAAAGTGATACATTTTGAAGAAAAGTACCTCGAAGGGTCCCCGAACAAAGTTGCATACACCAATGTATTCATCCGAGCCATAGGAGTGCTAACAAATATAAAGAGATTACTAAACTACAGAAAATCAACAGCTCAAATTCATATACCTAGTTATTAGAAAGGTAAGGTCAGCAAATGGAAAATTATATGAGTTATGAGTTCCTTCCCAAGAATAAGAAAACAAAGCAAAGATGGAAATACATACAAACCAACAGCATATGGACATAGTTAGATGATCATGATTTCATTCCCTGAGTGGGTACTTTGAGCATCAAAAGCAAAACGAGGCCTATTCTAAGGAGATTAAACTTATATATTAGCAGATTCAGGTCATAGTGGAATACATGAGGGACTCGTATACTAGCAGTTTGGAGCATTTGCAAGATGAAAACAAACCATTTCCCAATCAAGTAAAACCAAAAAAAGTTCCAAGAGATTGTATTAGCTAACAGTAATGTCCTCACAATTTACCATTTCTTTCTGAGAAATAATTGAAAGGGAATACGCAAGACCTTTCAGCTAGTCAGCTGAAACAACACATGTAATATCCGTATATGTAAATTTTGTGGAAGAAAGTGCCTACG